TATATATATATATATATATATTATAACAATGTAGACTAAAAAGAATAATAATGACTCACACTCAATGCAGGTTAAGTTAAACTTAGACAAGGTCGAGTTGAAAAGTACAAGTTAAAATTTGTGGTAGATATTTGCTACTTTCAGCACCATCCCAAGTCTTTGGGAAGCAAGTCTTCTTTCTGTTGTGAGGTTGATCAAATATGCGTTAACATCGAACTTCATTAAAATGAAAGTTTTGGTTTGTTTCATTATTAGTTTGTGTGTGGTTTGGCAACACTCTCTGAGCTCTCGCGCAACACAGGTCCTCGCCACACACCAATCCTTCCCCTATCCTCCCCTACCTCCAATCCAAAGACATCAGTACCTGATATCAGATATGTCTTTGCTTGTTTCTGTTGCCATATTATAAACCATGGTATCTATCACAATCCAATCAACATATACATTCAGCAGTGATTGCGACAGACATAATATGATGTGCGATACATGCGATACACGATACAAGATACGATAGATGCGATTGTGTGTAGGATTGATGATTGATTGACGATGCATCACTGCTGCGACAGATCATCAGATATAAGATATAGTTGTCTAACATACATAATGTATCACCTATCAGTCCTTAGTCGTGCCAGAGAACTTCCAACACATCATCCGTATCTACAACACTAATGTGGACGGTAGACGCAAGATCATGTACGCCTTGACTGACGTCAAGGGTATTGGTCGCAGATTCTCCAACCTTGTCTGCAAGAAGGCCGACGTCGATATGAACAAGAGGTATGATCGCTATCATGAATCAGTGAATCAAGACAAACAGCATGCGAGCGCAGCAGCAGCAACAGTGAATCAAGACAAACAGCAAGCAGATGTATCGATTGAACAGATAACTTACATTTACAACCTTACTTATTAACTTTAGAGCTGGTGAGATGTCCAAGGAGGAGATCGAGAGACTCACCACCATCTTGAACCACCCAAGACAATACAACATCCCATCCTGGTTCTTGAACAGACAGAGAGACATCAGAGACGGAAAGTTCTCCCAGGCTCTCGCCAATCAGCTTGACGTCAAATACAGAGATGACCTCGAGCGTCTGAAGAAGATCAGAGCTCACCGTGGTATCAGACATCACATGGGTCTCCGTGTCAGAGGTCAGAAGACAAAGACCACTGGTCGTCGTGGTAGAACCGTCGGTGTGTCCAAGAAGAAGGGAGGTTAATTCCATTTTTCAATGTTGTCCATCGTTTGTTTGTTCTTTGTTCAATTGGTTCATCAATAAACCAATACCAACGACCAACAACTATTCACTACTCTTCTCTCTCTCTTTCCACCCTTAACCCTTACCCTTGCCAAGGGGTAACGAAGTCCAAACGACCATCTTAGTCAAAAGCACACTCAAAAGTGAATCTAGATATTTTTTATCAGAATCTTACTTGCGACGATATGGACCTGTCTACAACTATGATCATAGTTGTGTCCTCCTCCTCATTATTTATTATTGGCCCCAATACAAATAACACAAAAGATATATATATCAATCAATCAATCAATAATGAATAATAATACTTTATTATTATTATTATTTTTAAATTTAATATATTTAGTTAATGGAACAATAGTTATTACATCATCATATGTTGGTGCACCACCAGAACTTAAATCAAATGGATGTGTATCATATGTTAATATATCAGGTGTAATGGCAGTGAACACATCACTAAAGTTAACATTCTCGGATAATGTACAGACAGTAGGTGCATCACAATTCCAACTATCATCGCCCACCTCCTTTTCAATCAAGTATCCAATACTCTACAAATATGGCAAACAGATATCCACTGCCACTGTGTCCAACCCATCCAACACCTCGGACTCTAATACCATAAATCTCAACCTTGAATGCACAAGTAAGTATAGTCAGGATTGATCAGCTGATCACACACACTCACACACACTCACACACACCGATCAATCAGATGTGACAGTACTCAAGACTGAACGTAGGATGAACTTGTATGATATATACTTCAAGGGTAGTCTGAATTATATATATCAGGTATCATTCAATGATAGTTGTTATAATTTATTGGTGCCGCCTACTCTCTCGTCATCAGTGTTCTCGACATCGTATTATACACTCACTTTGTCGATGACCGATTCCAAGTCATGTACATTCAATCAACCAATTATAATGAATGTTACATCCAATTCATTACCAGTGATCACTTGGGATGTACCATCGGCAATGCAACCTGAGCCCAACATGGACCAGATTCAGTTCAGGATGCGTAAGGCATTGACTTCAAATGCCATCAGGGCGCAGAGTCACTTCCAAGGACACCGAGTTGGCCTTTACTACGATATGTACAATCCCAGCTCATTGTTCTACACACCCAGCAACGCACTGATCTTCCCAGTGAGTGGAAACAAACACAATGCTACCTACTACCAACAACACCAGCCATACTATGGAGTTGATCAAGAGTCAGTCCCATTCATCTTGAACACCTATCTTGTCACCTACATTGAGCAAATGTTCAATCTATCATATCAACGTATGTATCCATTCAATCAGTACCTGTCACTGGAACTATCCCATCCACTCAATCAACTCATTCAATCACACTCAATGGATCTATTCCATCCACTCGATCCTCAATCACCCTACACTCAATCAAACACTCACACATGATCAATCAATCAATCAATCACACTCAATGGAACTATTCCATCCACTCAATCACTCACTCACTAACAATCAATCAATCAACAGAGTACTTGGTTTCTGGATCAATCGATGGTAATGAGGTGGTACTCAAGAATTCTAGTATTGCCAGTGGAACAATAACATGTACTTGTTTAGATTTCATGAAGAATAAGATCCAGATCGCACCCAAGACATCTAATTTCATGATACGCACTGATGTGTCCTTCCCCATTGGTGCCATCAATGGTAACTTCCAAAAGTACACATTCAACCTGCCACTTCGAATGTCCGACTGCTCCAACACTCCAATGCAGACCGAGCTATACTCCTACACAATCATCTACGATGATACCATCTTGTCCAATGGAGCACTCTCACCATACCCAGCTGGTAAGTATCAATGATTGAATGAATGAATGTATGAATGAGCGAATGATTGAATGGTACTAACCACACACATATCTGCCCCCGCTTGTAGTATCATGTACGGACAATGTTACACCTTCAATCTTCAAGATCAATATGATACCATTGACACAAGAATCATTCATTCTTCAAATCACTGCAATGGATACAACTAGTGGAGTATACAGGATATACTCATCCAATCTGGCAATGCTTATGAATGAGTCACATTTGGTATCTGGAGATGTGAACAATGGAGTGTACGAGATGGAGGTGGCCATACCCTATGACTCATTAGCCAGGATCGACTTCAACATTGAGGATCGAGCAAACAACAACTTCTTGGTCAACTCATATGTGTCGTTGCCTGGAGGTGGACTGTCGCCAGGCATGCCATTCCAGGCCAACTGGTGTATTGAAACAATCACTCAGTTCTACTTTGTCAAGAACAATCAAGATGTGACCAACCTGGACGTGGACAACACACTATTCTTCAACTCATCCAATGCCAACCCAGTGCTCCAACCGGTGTTTGAGACATACCTGCCCAACTATCTCAATGTCAAACGATTCATCGGTCGCTGGAACCCAGCCATGATGATGTATCAAGTCGACTTCACTCTATATCGCAATCAGTTTGAGGGCAAGGTATTGTACAACATCAAGGGATATCCATCAATCACTTCATCCATGTTTGAGGCTGCGATGGGCAGCAACGCCACACTCACTGTTCGTTGCCAGAACGCAGATGCCAAGCCACCTGTCATCACCAAGGTTGTGGCCATACCAAGTAACAAGATAAATTACCAAGGGGCAGGAATAGCAATGTTTGGTTGGGACGTGACCATCCAAGATGATCTCAATGGTTTGGCCTCGGCAACATTCAAGGTCACGAGCAGTCTTGACCCATTACCCTACGTGATCAACTTTGTTCCAAACAACACCGTGTCGGGTGACAGCAAGTTGGGCACGTATCAGATCAGACTGCCACTCACACCTGGAATGGTCAATCAATCTTTCACATTCAAAGATGCCATTACATTGGTTGATCAGGTTGGAAACACTGCCGAATCACTCTACCAGAGCTCCACCACATTCTTTGATCCACTGGAGCAGATCCTTTACACCCAGCAAGAGACCCAACTTGTTATTGATGTTATGACGCCAAACCCAGTGGACACCTCGGGCCCTGTGATTAGTAATGCAATAGTGTCAGTCTCGCTATTGGATGTCGGAAGTACCAATCGCACAATCACAGTCGACTTGGACGCCGCCACTGTTACCTCTGGAATGTCCACTCGCAACCCTCCACTCATAGTGATCAACTCATTCAACTTTGATTACATCTCTGCACCAATGACTCAAACAACTACCATGGCCAAGGGCGCACACTACAAGGGAAGCATCACGGTACCCTATGGATATGGCAGTGCAGGCTACCCTTTGATCTTGTCCGTCTATGGAGTGATGAGCAATCACAAGCAAGTCAGCTCACTGCCCAACCTGGCCACGATCAGACGTACATTTAGCATGGACATTCCAATAATTGAATCTGCCTCATCATATCTTCGTACTGATACACTCATCACGCTACGTGGACATGGCTTTGGAAACAACTCTGTTAATGTACAGCCAAGAGTCACTGTGCCCAAGACTACACCAGAGACCTTAATATTGACACCACCTATTATGTGCTCGTATACAGTGATGGTGGTTGATGTCAAATATATGAACTACCCATATATGGACATCATTGTCAATGTTGGACAAAAACAATCAAACCTCTTAAGGATATACCCTACCGATCCTGCGCCACCCACGACTCCGGTGCCCACCAACCCGGCATCCAAGTGCCCTGGCAATCCACCCTGCTCCAATCATGGAACATGTCTACCAAGCTTCAACTGCCAGTGTGATCAAGGTTGGGAGGGTCCTTTCTGTGACCTAGAGTACACACCAGTCATACCGACGATTGATCCAAAAACTCCAACTACCAACATTATTGACGCCAACCTATCAATCAGTTCGTTTGTATCCATTGTATCACTGAGGGAGTTGGATAATTCAGACAACCCTGTCAATGAATATCACTTGTCTGGCTGGACCATCAACAATCGAACATCAACAAACAGGACACTCTTGGACTTTACTTGCTCAGTGTCGCCCAATCGCTCAACACTGATCACAGTCACTTTGGAATACTTCAAGACGGCCCAGAATATTACATTTGCGGGTCATGATCTCCTCATGATCCCAGGCTCAATCAAGTATAGCGTGTCAATCTCTCCCTACATTTTTGCATCTCAACTCAACACTTTGCAATTGTTGATGAATGCATCATTGGCCACACAATCAGGAGATGATGGTTGCGCAAGAAGTGATCATGGATCAGGTGCCATCGTTGGCAATTCTATCGAATACATCCTTCTAAATATCAACGACAGGACATTGTATGGCAGGTTCATCAACTTTGGCGTCATAGACTATCGAGTGGCAACCATTACCAACACAGTCCTAAAGGCCGATGCCAACGCTACCTCTGTCAAGACAAGCACCACCTCTGCTTTGGTAGGCATCAACATACCACACTACACTGATTTTGTTCAGTTGGATCCGGATTTCAGTGTACTGGTCAATCAATCTCCTGGAGAATGTGGAAAGAGCGATACAAATGGTTTGTCGCGACCTGCACTTGCTGGTATAATTGTAGGTGCTACCCTTGGTGCTGTCATCCTGGCATTGGTCATCACCTATGTCCTGGTCAAGAGGAAAGTGATGGTTGTAGTTGGCAAGAGAATTAGAATGAACAAATTCTCATCTGAATAAAGGTTCCCTTATGCACCAAATAAATACATTCAATATCATCCAGAAAATTCCATAAGGGTTTTTTCAGTTTTACCAAACACAGAAAAAAATTATTTTAAATCGCCAAAATTTTCCGAATAATTCCGGAATTAAAGAAATATTTTCTTATATTGTCAGGATGGTGTAGTCGGTTATCACATGACCTTCACACGGTTAGGGTCACGGGTTCGATTCCCGTTCTTGATAAAAATTTTGTTGAAATCCGAGTTGTTTTTTGCGATTTTTAATATATTTTTTTTTTTGTTACTACACGTCGAAGACGTGCACTTTGTTATACATAGTCATTCTAAATAAGGGGCTATTTGGTGAGCCAGTCAGGGATGCTGACAGGTGGCCGATTTTTAATCCTTTAAGGGATTTTTATAAAAAACAGTCAGGATGGTGTAGTTGGTTATCACAAAACCTTAACACGGTTTGGGTCATGGGTTCGATTCCCATTCTTGATAAATTCTTTTTTGAACTTTTGAATTTTTTTATTTGTTTGAAAACTCGTTGTTATACCAGTAGAAAAATAAGTTCTAATTTTAAATTTTATTATTATTCTAATATCTATTAAAAATTATACTATCAACTTCTTATGATTAATTTAATTATATCCCTCCCCAAATCTCAGCTGTCTCCAGGACTAGTTCCTTTGTATGGAGCACAATTTAATCGCCAAAGTAATAGTTAATTATGGTTAGTGACAAAGTAGCCGCCTAATAATTTGGTTGCCAAGTATCCTATGTACAAGTGATATACAAAGTAATAGTAGATTGATTCAAGTCTAAGTCAACACCAAATTCCATCAGCATTATGATCACTACTATCACCATAGTAGCGACTACAGATTGATCGTGGTTGACAGAACAATGTGACGGTCAACAGTATTCCAAAAAAGGTTGGTTGTAATCCAATTCTAAATTTAATGATTGAATATCAATTAACTGAACATTGGTAGTCCCCAGAAGTCAGCCGGATCACATGTCCTTAGTGATTTGTTTAAAGCATTGAGCTGCTCCATGTCCACATCACTAATGGTAAAGTCGACAATGCTTAGGTTCTCAGTGATCCTCGAAGGTGTGACACTCTTTGGGATAACAGAGAATCCATGTTGGATGGCCCACCGACAGAGGATGTTGGACACTGATCGATCGTACTTAATGGCAATCTCCGCCACCTTTGGATCATTGACCAGTTGTCCGCTGCCCAATGGACTGTAGGCTGTGAGATGGATGTCATTCCTCTCACAGTACCATTTGAGTAGTGGCTGGGTGTTGTATGGGTGAAGCTCTACTTGGTTGACGGCGGGCTTGATGCGGCAGTAGGTGAGCAGGTCGTTAAGTGTCTGCACATTGTAGTTTGACACACCAATTGACTTGGTGAGGCCATCGTCCACCAGAGCCTCCATCTCTTGCCATGTCACTTGCAAAGGTACATTGATGACCTTGGCCGAACCATCATCGTTCATTGGATCATCGAGTGATTCGCCAGTGTACTCAAAGGCAACGGGCCAATGCACCAAGTAAAGGTCCAGGTATTCGAGTCCAAGATGGTTCAAGGTGATCTCACAGTGCTTCCTGACGTTGTGTTTCTCGTGACATGTGTTGTATAGCTTGCTTGTGATGAACAACTCCTCCCGCTTCACAACACCAGTAGTAAACATCTCCTTGAGTGCCAATCCCACTTCCTTCTCATTCTGATAGGCGGCAGCACAATCAATATGACGACAACCACCTCTGATGGCAGCCTTAACAGCTTCACCAACTGTATTTGGTTCAGACTTCCATGTTCTATTGTGATCATTCAATCAGTTAGTTTGTTAGTTAGTGATCATTCATTCATTCAATCAAACCAAACAAATAACTAATGACAATGGACTTACCCGAATCCTACAAGAGGTAACTTATGTCCACTGATTAACTTTACACTTGGTTCAATGATAGCTTTGGCGATAGCCATCATTACTGTAGCTTATTTGTCTGATTGATAGAATATATGTTGTTATGTAGTTGGTTGAGAAATTATCTGTAACTACAAGTTATTTGGCTGTTTGTTTATATATTGCAACTTGTTGATAATATATTGCCTTATTCAGAATGAGCTATTCCAAAAATATCTACCTCGATGATTCATTACACGTTACTGAAGCAAATTGAGTGATGTTCACAACACATTGTTAACTTGTGAAGTATTGTTTAAGTACTTCTTGGTATTTATTAGATTGTTGTTTTGCTGTACAGTTCTGTTTACAAAGTTGTTGATGTTGTTGTTGTTAATGGCAGTAGGGTTGGGAGGGATGGAGGAAAGACTGACAACATTATGAGTATGGGTATCCACAACGGTAGATGCACTCGAAGAACTTGGGAATGCATGGACATGGGTCATTGGTACGCATGTTCTGGAGCCACGAGTCCCAACAGTTGGCCATATCACGGTAACAATTCACTTGACATTCACGGCCAGCCAACACCTCAGCAGAGGACATTCCAACCATGAAGATCATGGCGAATACGAGTATGGACAGTATCTTAATCATTGTTTGTTGTTATTATTAGGTATGTAGATAGTTAAGTTTAACTTGTTGACTTTATGATCGTTCAGATGTCAACTATTTATAGACAAATGGGAATGATTGACGTCTAGGCGGACAGACTGACTGGCTGTACATTCAGTCATTTCAAATCTACAGCCTAATATCATCGTAAGTTGGATGTAATGGCAATTTCATTCAATATTCAATATCGGATGTTTGGAATTCAAACTGGCTCTTAGCTCTTGGATGTCCATAAAGTATGATATTATTTCTAGAGAGACACAAAGACGAATGGCCGATGAGTAAATATATGTCGGTATTATATTAATATTTACATGTAAGTTATTAGATATTGATGTGGTTGATCGATCAATAATACATAATTAGTGGGGGTATTGATTGATTGATTGATGGTGTGTGATTGATGTAAGCAACTGGAAAGGGTTGGAAAGGCAGAAGAGATGGTATGCGGATAATATATATATGATGAATGTAACTCTATAAACAAACCGACAAATAACAAACAATCAAGAGTGAGTGAGTGAATTGTAAATATGTCTTATGTATGATGTCATTCATTTATCGATCGATTTCATAACTACTAATACTTGTTAAGATTGAGTGAATTGAGATTGGTCTTGGTGTCCTGTACAAGGAAGCGCACCAGGTTCCTGTAGAAACTGGCCTCTTTGGAACTCTCTACAAATCTCTCATACTGGTCGAGGTTCTCTTGAAGCTTGAGCTTCAATGTGTCGTAGTTCTCTTTGATCAGTTTGATGACTTGCTCCGACACGAGGGATACCTCGGGATGCTCTGTAGTCCACGTCTGGATGATGCCGTTAAAGTGTTGAGTGATCGTTTTGATGTTGAGTAGATGGTTCATCAGTTGTCCGGTGGGGTCCTCCATCTGCACAATCGCAGAGAATGTATCAATGATCTGGCTCGCCCTAACAATCTCATAGAACAGGTCATCATAGTCGCTTGGTTGTGGCAAGAATAAGTCTCCATAGTTTACAAACAAGTTGAATATGTTGATAGTCTGTTCATTCGTTCGCGAGTGAGTGATTGTTAGTAGCTGGAACCAACTGCGCGCATGCTAGAATACAACAAACAAACAATCTTACATCAATTCCAACTGGCAACAGTTCAGTATGAAGTGATTTGTCCGAAGCAGACAATGAGGATAGGAATGAGAAGAGAGTGGACCAAGTGTCTATCCATTTGATTGGCAGTCTGGACTGTGTCTTCTTCTTGTAGGCAACAATACGTTGAATGCAGTTGACACACTTTTGATGGATGTCTGCAGGCAACTTGCCCTTTAGATTGCACTTGATAAACTGATTGATGACATCGACCACATGACATGACAATGGACTCTTCTCCAATTCCTTTGGATCAGGATACAATGATTTCTAATCGTTTGGTCCAAGTAAGTATGTGATTGATTATGATTGATAGATTGATTACATTACCTTTGAATAAATGAATATGTAGCAAGTGGTCTTTACATCGTGGAAGTAGTCCTCGAGCTCACGTCTCTCTGACATGCATATGAGGATGTTGAGACAGAGTTTGGTGAAGAGGATCTTGGACTCTTTGAGAGTGTCTGATGATAGATAACCACAGTAGACCAGGAAGTGACGGATGATGTCGGGGCAGTTGTTATGTGAGGTAAGACCACCTGATGTCAACAATCGTACAAATGCTTCGCTTTGGTAACATAGCTCATACAATATCATTAGGCATGATCCAGTGTCGCTTGATGAGCTATAAGTTGTTTGTTTGTTTGTTTGTTAGTATGTGCATGAACAGTCATTGTAATGATGTGTAGTGTACACTACTACTTACCATGGCTTGACTGTGACGGGAGTGTAGACCCAGCTGCTCAGATATCCACTCATTCTTGACATCATGGTCTGGTTTGGTTCGCCATACTGCTCAGAGTAGAACTTGCATTGATCATCTAGTCCGCCTGCGATCAACTCTGTCAATCCCTTGAGCTAATGATTGATAGATTGAGTGAGTACATCATCCATGCATGCTAGTCAAGTATCGATAGACATACTTTATCAGCATCGGCCAGTGCTGCTAGACTCTTGTTGTAAGGGTTCTGTATCTCGTATTTCTGGAAGTTGGACAGGTATACAAGGATTGTGAGCGCATGGAATCTTGATGGTTTTGGTATGCCAACATCAACGATCGCGTCCATAAGTGAGGGGAAGAGGTCTACAACCATAAAGAACTGAAGCAATGTATTCTGATTGATAAACTCTGTTGCTGTCACAATAATATTGATCAAGTTGATTGATCCAATTCTAATCTTGACTGTTTTGTTGTTGTCATTGTTGTTGTCAGTATGTGTACATGTACATGATGATGATGACGGTCAAACATACCCTCTGAATGCTTGAGTAGACTTTGCAAGTCAGTGATCAGTTCTTTGAACACTATATCAGCAGCATCGATGCCACACAAGATGTTAAGTATATCGAATCCAAAGTTGTTGAACTTCTTTCTAAAGATACTCTTGAGGAATACACTCAATGTCTGTTGGATGTTGAATGTTGAATGTTGAATGTTAGGTTGATTGATTATTAGGTCGATTGAATGAATAAGATAACATTACCTCGAGAATATGAGTTATCCTAATTGCATCAGAGTTCCTTAGCCATTGACAACAGTGAGTGAAGATCTTGTTGATGTTGGGCTTCAATGCCAAGAGGTGATCTTCGGATGTCAGGATGATACATCGCTCGAGGAATGGTATGTTGACTTTGATCAAGAACAGTTGCTCCCAGAATGATGGTTGATCCTTTGACGGATCCTCTCCATTAAAGAACGCTTCATATATCTCTACAAACTTCTCCTTCAACGCCTTTCTCTTTCCTTCGCTATCCTCCTTTCTCAACAGTATCTCTGTATGTCTAGGACCCTGTTGTTCTTGTAACATTCTTATTCTTTTTCTTCTTCTATCTTATGGTTATCTTATGTATGTATGTTAACAATAAACTTATATGTATAGAATGTTTTTGTTTATTTATGAGTACGTGTATAAGTATGAGAGACAAATGAGGTGAGGGGTGTGAGCGACAACGTTGATTTTGTTGATGAATGATGATATTTTTGAAATTAACAAAGGGGGAGTCTTTGCATATTTATTTGATTGGATTGAGTGATGACGCGTCAATCTCTAATGGACCTGGTAGGGACAAGTGTAATTGAATGGATTGTTGACTGGTTCGGATAGAGTGGAGAGTTGGGCCGGAATGATGAAATTAAAAAGAGTGATGAGGTATCGTCCAACCTTTGTATACAAACTCGTTCATGTGATCCACATCTTAATTGATATGTTGTAATGTTTGGTGCTATTTCAATCAATGTCTTGCCTCTCTCCATTAACAATTTATCACGTCCATAGAGTGTAGAACTTGGATTACGTATCTCCATACGAATTGATCGCATTCGTTGATAGACTATCTTATCATCGTCTGCCATTGCCTGTAGATCACCATCATAAATTGAATCATCCAATAGATACCAAAGGTCTACTTCCAAGTGTGGATGACAATTCTTGATCAATTGCAATTGATCAATATGGAGCATGCTCAATGTCTGGAGGTTGATTAGGTATGAGCAGTCGATCGCTTGTTGGAAGTATGCGCCAAACTGAAGGCTGGTGACAGAAATGGGCAACAGGCCCGTGATTGGTTGATTGAAGCTTGAGCCAAACCCCAAGGATATTATCGATGGCGGCAGTGATCCAGGGATGATCGGTTGATTGAAAATGTTGCCAAATGTGAGCTCGGTGATTGAGTTTGGAAGAAAGTCGCACTCAATCGGTCTGTTAAGTCCCAGCGTCAGTGATGTGAGTGTCGCTGGTAGTGAGTGGATGTCCTCTCCATCTCCTTCATACGCATTATCGTCATGATAAATGTCATCGTCAACGTCTTTTGTTGGTGGATAGCTGGTGCATGGCACGCTACAGTCATCCAGGGAAAGACTCAGTAGCGCACTGGGCAGAAAACCTTGGCCAATACTATGTTTGATGCTGTAGTCCCATCCGAGATCCAGAAACTTAAGCCCTGGTGGCAAGACTCCAGGTGGTATTGGCCGGTCGACAATTGTTCCGAATGATAGCCTTGTAAGGGATGACGGTAGTGTGAATCCCTCGCGTGGCGAATATCCAAGACGAAGTGATGTCAGTGAAGAGGGAAAGGCTCTCGGGTCAATAACACTCTGGATGTGAAGTGAACGCAGTGACTGAGGCAGCCATCCAACTTCAAAATATGGGTTCTTGCCGTAGAAGTTCATGTCGGTGAGATTGGTTGGCAGTGCCTGGAAGGACGACAGGACATGCTTGGTTCCCTGTGTAGTGTAGTTTGCAAAGAATATGAGTTCGGCTAGGCCATGAGGGAGAACGAATGGCGATGCATGGTATTGTCCAAATGATATCTTCTTGAGGGACGTGGGCAGGGCACCACCTGGTATCGGATAGTTGAAGTTGTCGCCAAACTCGAGATGTGTGATCGACTCTGGGAGGTATCCAAGCTCAATCGGTCTGTTGAAGTACTTGTTCAATACCAAGAGAGTGAGTGAGGGCGGTAACTGAGGCAAGGGATCGACTTCATTTGTTGTTGCAGGTGGGTATGATGGTGACCCGTACTCAAAGACCCTGTAGAAGCGGAGTGTCTTTAGAGTAGCTGGCAGGGCACCAGGTTCGATCTTTCTTCTATAAACGTGACCAAGATATAGACTGTCCAAGGCAGGCGGCAACACGCCGACAGTTATGTTCTTATCAAAGTTCCATCCAAATGATAGATTAGTTATAGACTCTGGCAATGTACCTGGTATCAATGTTTGATTGAAGTTTTGACCAAATGTCAATGTTGTCAACCAATCTCCAGCACCATCTACAACTCCAGCTCCATCTAGTATTGAACTATGAGTGAGTTCAACATTGTCGTTGTTATCAGACCATGTTGTATAGAATCTCGATTGTTTGAACAGTTGGTTGCTGCTAAGGTTCTGCAGGGGATAGTCAAGGTTACGCAGAGAATTCATTTTTCAGCGGTCTCAATCCTTGGGTTCGAGCTGGTTCGACCCTGGACAACCCTTGGAACAGCAAGGGGAACCCTTTCAAACCTTATCTGATGTTAATTAAATATTTATATTTTTATTGTTGTTGTTGTAGTTGTTGTTGTGGTTGTTGTTGTTGTTGTATGATAAATTAGACCTTAAAGAAATCGTCGTCTCGTCCAAAGGAGTGGAACATATTGGTCAAATATGCGATAATTGTCCAGAGTGCGTTGTGTCGTTGAATGTTGTCAGAAAGGTCGCCAAGTGATCTGATTGTGTCTGACAATATGTTCCATTTCTTCATCTCTCCAAAGACATTCTCAATGATGATCCTCACCTTCTTGATTCGATTGCTCTCATCTTTCTCTCTCAGGATACGCTCGGCATCGAATCCTTCTTTGGTGACCTTGGCTTCCAATGCCTTCAACTTCTTAGATACCTTGGTCGCCTCCTTTCCTTGACGCAGGCGATGCTCATCGAGCGTGCGTTTTCTGATCATCTTGTCTGTGTACTCCATATGATCGATCAATGAAGCCGACTTGATCTTGGGGGTGATGGTGTTGGTGTAGTACTTCTGACCTCCTTTGAATCCTTTGTCACCGAGAATGACAATATCTTCATCGAACAGAGCCTGTAGTCTAGGTGCAGCATCCTTGTAGAGCGAGACGTCAGGCTGGGCGCCTCCCTCTGTCTTACCTACATACACGATCTTGCCACGTATATCGCAAATGACCAACACTGCCAAAGAATACATTGATTTCTTGCCAGAATAAACAAGATCCTTGATCGTCTTGTGTGGCGGCACTTGAATCCTCTGCTCTGACCCGTCCACAATGAGATGAACATTGTGCTTAATACCATCTTTCCATATTTCTGCATGATTGTCTCGAAGCTCTCCATTGTGAACCACATCCTGGAAGTACCCATGGCAGTACGACTTCAATCTATCGAACACCTTGGTGAATGAGTACCTGAGCTGAGCGATTGTCAATTGATATAGGAACACACGCTCCATCATGTACCAGGGAAGGTTGTGGCGGCACCTCATGAGGAAGACGAGCATGTCCTTGTGTTCAAAAGAGTGCTTCTCACAGAGCTGAGACACTTGACTATGGGAGAGCTTGAAGTAACTTGTGTACTCTTCATCTTGGTTGAACCATTGATCTGTAAGTGCAGAGTTGAGGGTATGGCATTTGTCAGTTAATGGACTTAGCTTGCTGGCAGCATATTTATTCTTCACCTTCTTCAAGGGTATTGTTCTTCCTCTTATTGTTCCTCCTTGTTGTTGTTGTTGTTGTTGTTGTTGTTGTTGGTGTTGGTGTTGCAGCTGCTTTCTTGGCCTTTGATTTAGACACTGGTTTGGTTATTGCTGGGCTTGGTGCTGCTGGGCTGGGTGCTGGGATGGGTGGTGATGTAGTTGTTGACATCGCATTATCGTCGATATCTATCGTTGCCCTGCTGGAGATACCGGTGTTCGCTTCGCACCATTGAGTCCATTTCTCTCGTTTGTTGGTTAGATACTCGACAAGGCAGTTCCATCGACAGAAGTATACAAAGACGCCAAACGTGCTGTCTGGATGGCAACACTTCAAGATGCGAGAACAACCCTTTGAACAGTTCTGGCAATGTTGGACAGAATCTCCAATGATAGGCTTCTCTGGATCGTGTTCTCCAATCGCAGGTACAGCAAGCTTCAAATAGGGCATTGACCTGGTATGGTTTGTAATATGTCCAACACTGCACATCATCATTTTTTGGTCGCCATAGTAGACAATGATCTTCTTCTCGATCTTGTTCTCTGGTGAATTGCAAGTCGCCTCTACTATAATCCGGTTGGGATTGGTTGGGTCTCGAACGTTGGAATGCAGGAAGCACTTGGTTTGTTTGCTAGTCTCTCCATCCATCAACTTCTTGGTATGTGTGATATTCATCAGCTCTCTATTGTTCTCTGCCGCACCTTGTTTGGTTGGCGTCTTCATTTGCTGAAGCGTGAGTGTTGATGACAACGATGTTGGTTGTGGCTGTTGTTGTTGTGGCTGTTGTTGTTGTGGCTGTGGTTGTTGTTGTTGTTGTTGCGATAATGACTTGATGATTCCCTCTAACTCCTCTATACGCAGCCTCAACGTGTGAGTCTCCTCCTGTGATTCTTTAGTCTGGAACATATCAATGATGATATTGTAACACAGTTTGGCGCACACGGGCAGGTGTTTGCCCAAGACCCAGATATCCAACTCAGTACCGCAGAAGAAGCATTTGACACCTGCTTGCTTAACTCTGGTGACTATTAACTGGGTTAGCTCCTCAGACATCAGATGTTGTATTATATATATGTATTAATTGGTCGCTATTACTATGTTGGAGGTTGCAAAGGGTCATCACGGGTCGGACCTTGGATTCCAAAACAAATATTTGAAGAATCCACCCACAACACCCGTTGAACCCTGCAGAACCCAAGCTAACCTTAGCAGCAATCAAGTAATGAATGACTCTTTAGTATTGAATACAATCTCTTGCAAGTCAATGCCAAATAACACAAGTCAAACTGATTCTCCAACAACCTACTATCGGGAGCTATAAATGGCAATAAGTTCTGTACCAACACTGTATGAGGTAATGATTCCATCTATTACTACTGCTACACCTACTACAACTACAACTACTACAAGTGTTTGACATGTCTTCAAAGTTGTTACAGACTTGTGAAGGGGTGTCACTTGCAATCTTTGATGTTTCTCATTCTTGAACTTTGACATTAATATCTTTACTCATTGATCATTCATCTACTTCATTCATCCATTCATTCTTTCATTATTGTTGTTATACTACTACTACTACTATGTTGTTATAATATCATATACCAAGTTCAATCAATCAATCAATCAATATCATTATTTTGAAAGGAAGAAAAAGTAGAAGATGGAGAGTTTGTCACTGACTGTGTTGAGAGTTCTGATTGATCAGATGAGGCCTCATGACTCGGATGTAGCATTTCTAGCATTGACTAGTAAAAGGATGTACTCATTGTTGAAGAAAGAAGTATCGTTGTTTAGGTCTCCAAGGGAGGAGGTGTTTTGGTCGCTACACGGTAATGATCCAATCACTCCAGGTGACATCCGTCCAAGACAATTGTCCAACAACTCCAATGACGATGACAATGATGACGACAATCACACCACTATAATTGAAATCAAGACATTATCATTTGGACCAGCATTTAATAGACAGATTGGAATTGGTTGCCTACCTGACACGATCACAACGCTTACCTTGGGTTGGGAATTCAATAAGGACATCATGGTCGGGACGCTACCATCGTCCTTGATCAAACTCTTCATTGGCAATCACTACAACAGCAAGATAGAGAGTGGCGCGCTGCCCGAGACGCTCCAAACCCTCAGATTCTACAGCAACTATGACTTCCCCAGGAGGACACTCGAGGCCAACTGCAGGATACCCAAGCTACCGGGCTCACTTACACAGATGGAGTTTGGACACTACTTCAACTCATTCCTATTCCCAGGCTACTTCCCCGACTCCATCACCATACTTCGATTCGGCGAATGGTTCCTCCAGCCAATCGAGGTCGGTGTCCTACCAATGTCGCTCACTGAGTTAGCCTTTATCGGTTCATACCCTTATGCCATCCCTCTCAAGGCCTTCCCGCCTTCACTCCAGGACCTCACATTCCAATCCGATTACAGTCCACCCTCCCCCATCACTCTTCCAGTGTCAATTGAGCGTCTGTACACCGGCTGGGACGGCAGCACTGTGCTCACGCCCGGCATGCTCCCGTCAAAGTTGGACACACTTGACCTTTACCAATATTATCAAGAAATCAATCCAGGTGTACTACCTGAATCGCTACAACGCCTGTCGATCTTCCATGGACACAGTCAACCATTGCTCCCTGGCTCACTGCCCATGAACCTCACCGACCTCACATTCTATATCACTTTCGATCAAGAGCTGCCGCCAGGTATTCTGCCACCCAAACTTGAGTGGCTCAATCTTGGGTCGGACTTTAGACACCCTCTCTTGCCAGGTGTCCTCCCTCCATCACTCACCGACCTTTCTATGGATGATGACTATTGTCTATTTCAGCGCATTGGGCCAGGTGTGTTGCCCGATTCGCTCAAGGTGCTCACCATTGGCGACGCATACACTCAATATCCAACGGACTATCCGGCACAGCCTTGGGTGTTACGGGAGCCTGTTACATACTTGAATGATTTCATCGTGCCGCTGTCCCTCCCATTGTCCATCCGCTATCTGACACTTGGCGGGGGCTTCAACCAAGAGCTCACGCCAGGTCTCATACCAGAGTTTGTAACAGACTTGACACTGGGACGCCATTACAACACTGCGCTGTCACCTGGATCTTTGCCCAACTCAATTGTTAGGTTGAAATTTGGAGACTTCTTTAATCACCCGGTTGGAGCCGACACCTTGCCAACAAGCCTCAAGTCGTTGGCCTTTGGAAACAACTTCAACCAGATGATCACTCTACCCGACGCACTGACTGAGCTCACTCTTGGCGGATGTTTTGAACATGAACTCATTCTTCCATTTAATCTTAGAGCATTGTCTCTCTATCATATCAAACAGATTGGACATGTTATTATGTCTGCTGAGAATGACTCTGGCGATGCTGTGCCCTCAGTCCAAGTCTTCACCAAATGTATATTAAACTCATCAATGTTCCAGAACGGGGATGAGCCAGACCCAATGCCAAGGATGGTGCAGCATTTCAAGTCACTGACATGTGCGTTCAAGACACCAGAGAAGGTATACCTGAGTGAGCAAACTTTGGTCACAAGTATCAAGGCAACAGCAAGGTGTACTCCAAACATTAGAACATACGAGATAAGATGTGGAATGATTCGTTCCGTCACACGTAGGCTTGATGATCACAGGCTATTATGTATAGCCAAACATAGCTTTTTGGATTACGGTTTAATATCAACACATATATTAATTATCACTTTGTAAATATATTATAAACAATATGTCTATCCATCAATCCATCCATCTGGAATCATACCCTTGCATGAGTTGGTGTGAGTGGCGCCTTTTTAAATTTTGAATTTGAATTGTTTAACGGATAAACAGTTGTAACATCTAAGATGTACACAACATCAGAGTGTTGATGCCAGGTCACTTACATTGTCAAACACATAACAACGAATTATAGAGCACATTACAACAGTGTGTGGACATAAAGATACAGACGACAGACATGAGCAAGAGAAATGATAACACATCCTTCACGCCATTGAAGAGGAAGAAGATGGATCACAGCAGTCCTGCTGCATCACCTGCCGCTGTCACTCCTTCCAAAGTGCTATCAATGTACGTTATTCATTCATCATTGTGATGTTGATCAATCATATGACGTCAAACAACACACTCACTAATCAATCAATCACTCAATCAAACATTAGGGACGACTTTGATGACGAACGATTCCAATTGGAATGCGATAAGGAAGCTATTAGAGAAGAGAGGATGGTAGTGGAGAAGGCACGTAAAGAGGTGGAACAACGTGAAGATACTGTGAAGGTGTATGAGTACTCGTTGGAAGAAAGAGAGTTTGAATTGGAGGAACGAAAGATGGAGTTGAATGAGAAGGAGTCGTGGCTCAAATGCGAGGAGGCACGTCTCAATGAGTTGGCCCAAGAGATGGTGTCAGCAACCACAGACATTAGTGCCAGCCAGACTGCGCTGGCCGAGCGCGAGGCAGCACTATGCGACCGCGAGAAGCGTGTGGCAGAGCGCGAAGCACAGTTTGTCGCCATCGAGAGCGAGCTAAAGGTGCGCAGGAAGAAGCTGGCCGAGATTGAACAGCGTCTGAAGCAGCGAGATCACGAGATAAAGATGGCAGAGATCTCTGCACTACAAACGATGAACAAGCGATCAATGACTTCACCAAATGATGCAGATGTCGGTGGATCAGACAACCTATTCCAATCAACGTCATCCATGTCAATGTCACTGAGCACCCTATCACCAATCGCCCCAAAGTCATCAATGACATCAACAACAACAACAACAAGCAACAATCTGTCGGAGAGCACCATCAGTCCTCTATCACCAGCTCCAAAGGCTCGCATGTCTGTGGCGCCTCGCAAGTCCATCGTGCCAAAGACATCGCTTATCAACGCCAAGTCACCAAAGAAGACATTTATGGCACCGAGAAAGTCGATCATCAAGGGAGACACGATCGCCACCTTGCTCAACAAAGAGAACTCTGGCTCATCCTCGGCCAACACCACTTCACCGACATCTCCAGCGACCAAGATATTACGTCGTCCATCCATCATACCCTCGCGTCAGAGCATTCTCAAGTAATCCCCCACTAGTTTTATCTGCATTATCATCCCTATCATCCATTTGCAACCTTGTTTAACCCTTCCCTGTATAGCAATCCTGTCCGACATGTTGGCCATATTGGTTAATTCCAATGTACCAAGTTTAATAAATCAAGGTCACTTCATTCCTTCATACATTCATTGGTCAAATCTTGACTCAGTCCACCCAACAAATAATCTTGAAATGAGGGATGATTGAAATTCTTTCACACTCACTTCAGTCCAAATCAACATAAGCAAGTGTTTCTTGGAAGGTCACACACTCAAAACCATCTTCAGAAGCAATCAACCAAACTCATTGGGAAAATTTGAAAGTCATTTCGAGCTCAAACACACACAGAAGGAAGAGATACATAATTACAACAACTACAACCAATCACTCAAATCTACAACTAAACTCTATATAAGAAAAGTGATTTTATAAAGGTAGTTGTTGTTCAAATCAAGTTAATTTATAAACACAAACAGATAGATAAACAGATAGAATAGAGAGATAAACAATGGTTAGAAAGGCTTCAACAACAACTACAAAGGTCACAATTCCACCAAAGACCCAAGAGAGTGTAGGTTTTGAGATATACACCAACGACTCATTCAATCATTCATCATACTCACATAACAACGCCGCTGTCATCAACAACAACAGAAAAAGAGGAAGAACGAGGATGATATTGTACATCAACCTGTGAAGAAACTTGTTACGAGTGGCAAGTCACCTATATGCGCACTGTTTGAGAAGTACCAAGGTATGTTAATACAGAGTAGCACAGATGAGGATTGAATATTAACCCTCCCTCAATCACAAACTTAGACCCAGCCGACAAGTCAATAATAGGTCCAGATGGAATAACGAGTTTCTGTCATGATCTAGGCCTTGCCCCTGACAGTGTATGTTATACCTTTACATAATGAGATACCCTGCCTATGTCATTGTGACTAATCCTCTTCGCATACACACACATATATAGATTCAAGTGTTGATACTAGCATGGACAATGAACGCAAAGAAGATGGGATACTTTACATATGATGAGTTTAAGGTTGGATTCGAGCAACTGAGATGCAATGACCTGCCGAACCTAAAGAGGACACTGCAAACAATGACACATCAAATCAAGCTGGACCCAATCAAATTCTCAGAGTTATACAAGTTCTCCTTCCGCTTCGCCAGTGAGATTGAGAGTAAGAAGTCTGTTGATCTCCAGATTGCAGCAGAGATGCTCGAGTTGGTCCTACCGGACGGTCCACATACCAAATCCTTTATCAAATTCCTAAGAGTAAGTCATACCTCTATCATCACCTTGAGTCACACATTCTCAATCTAACACATCACTCTCTCTTAAACAGAACACCAAGTCATATAAAGTGATCAACATGGATCAATGGGTTTGCTTCTTGGAGTTCTCAAAGACTGTCAAAGGTGACCTATCCAACTATGACGAATCTGAAGCATGGCCACTGCTCATTGATGACTTTGTAGAGTTCACCTCAAATGATGGAAGAAAGTGATTGCCTACAACATTGCTCAGCATAATAAGGCTATCAAGGTAGCAATCATTCAATCAATCAACGCAATCATCCAACTCAATCATTCATCCATTCATTCATTCATCAATGTATCAATTCAACTTCAATCATTGGACAAGCCACAAACTACCCACACAGGACTCAATGCAAACACACATCCTCATCACATCAGTACTCTCTCTCATTGGACATCCGGCTGATGACACTCAACAACGACTGACAAGTGTCGCCAACAGCAACAAACAACCGATGATATTTGGACACGACTAAAGGGTGATCACGATTCCCCGACCTCGTTGACAGCAGCAACAACAACAGCAGAATGCAGACACAAGACATATCATCGATGTGATAAATATATAACAAGTATGATTCATCTACTATAGCAGCAGATGGACATATGCTTTTTGAGATCGTAATCACACCATCACAATCTGGGACATTACCTCCTAGTTGTGACCTTTAACACGGCATAGCTTGATTTACTGTGAGGTAGAATACTTCCTTGGTTATCCATTCAAGGACCAAGTGACATTGCGCAACACTGCCCTATTCAACCAAACACAAACTTGTTATGATCAACAGATATTTTTTTGACATTCCCTTCCCAACATTGACATCAATCAATCATGGAACTGACTCGATGGAATGTTTGTGCCCTATTTTGGGAGATTTAGATTCCATCCATGCACGTCTTGATGGTCTTGTTTTATCATGGGGTCAACAATTAATTGTGATCGTTTCGTTCTGATCAAAACATGAGGCGAGTGACTGGTTCATTTTCAAAACGACACAAGTTAGATATATAGATACATATAGACTTTGTTTTAAAGGTAAGAACCTCCTCCATAGTCAATCATCACTACCATGTCCTGAACAACAATTGTATCATCTTTGGTCGACCTTTGACATCCATTGTGTTCCTTCCCCATTGGACTTAGAGACAAAATCAACGACCAACGTCCAATCTATTTTTGATTGGTCCTTGGGGAATTTTGCAAATTTTGATTTATTTTGCAGTCCCTTCAATCTTGATTTAATGTGGTCAACCTGCAAAGGATCGGCCTCGGGTAATGTGTTTAAGCTAGTACCAACAATGTTAACCTCTCAATTCAACGTCCATCTACTTTAACTATTGTCATACAATTCATATTCATTTACTCACTTTGTCTCTCCATCTCTCACTCACTAACTCAGTTCACTATCAATCAAACTTTCTATCTCTACCTTATACTTACTCACTCTCAGACAAAGACAAGAAGTGAATAATAATAATAATAATAATAATAACAAGACATTGCAACCATCAACAACGACACGACAATAACAATTACAGGTAATTACACATATATATATTATTAATGAAATGCACACCCTATCAACAATGTCATCGCCATCAATCCAAAATTGGTGTTCATGTCCGCCTATGGAAGTCATGATACTTAAAGGGAGTCCAACATTACCTTCCATCCATCCACCTTCCAACCATAAACCATACCACCTTCCTTATCTTCCCCTTCACTTCACATTAACACCAATCGTAGATGATCAGAATCAATCACCACCACACATTCACACCCCAAACACATAATGCATTAACAACATACATAACATGGTGCGTAACACTCATTCCTTTCAACCTATCCAACCAATCAATCAAGTGGGATGATCAAACACCTTCACACTCACACACAGGTTGGCGTGCCACCAGTCACACTACGATCACGACCTGTGAGCACTCGGTGTGTGGATTGATCATCCATACCTGGTCTGCTTTACAAACAACATCATCAGCAGCAACATCATCTCTCATCATCACCTTATGTGTAGAGTAAAAGAGTTGTGCGGCTGTGCTCCAAAGTGTTCCTTTATATATATTATATTAGACTGTTTATATATCACTCATTCTTATCACCTTTGGTTAATGTTGTTGTTGTTCTCAACTCAACTCAACTCAACTACTATCACTCTCTTGTATGTAAACAACATCCATCCATCCGCCCACCTATCCTTGCATCACTATCCTTCAATTTACCTTCAATTCGACTTCACTTTATCAACGACATCTCTAGCAGTCCTATATAAATATTGTTAGTTAGATAGATAGTTAATTAGTTCATTAGTTCATTAGTTAGTATAAACAAGGTAATGATACCCTCCGACCATTACCATGTACAGATATATTTGCAATGCATTGGCATACAATACCGTTCCACCTCATCATCCTTGTTTTGTTAGTAATCGAAGAAGGTCTCACTATCAATGTCGCCCGACAATGGGTGCCATTCATGTGACCAATCCTTCGAAGTTTCCACCCAAAAAAAACAAGCAAGCTTCCACGATCGACTCACCTTTGGAAGCAAAAGCACCAAAATCACGATCAAGCGGGCCCTACCCACCAAGACACAAGGCCCCGCATGGATTACCCGTCCGATTCGATGACTTGCCTTAACCAAACAACCTATTTATAACTCATTTTTTGTCTATTGACCTATCAGTCCGGACGGAACATGTCTGTCTGTATTTGGCCCACATCAATATTTTGTGTCTGTCCATCTAACTTTTGTGTTAATTAGATGATGGTGATTTATAAGTTTAGTTTAGATAGATGGTCCAAGGACGGACGATCAATATCAAACACACCCCTTTGTTGTGTTTTGTCTTTGTCTTTGTCTCTGTTGTGTTTGTCTTGGTGTTGTGTTTGTGTGTGGTTGTTGATGTTGTTGCAATGTGTGTCTGTGCTTGCTCACTCACTCATTGTGAGATTGCAATGATATTATTGATAAATGTACATTTATCGTGATTAAGTGTTTGTCAACTTCCCAGCCCCTCCTCATCACGATCATCTATCTATCTCTTCCCTTCTCTAATCTTTGCCTTTTTTAATATAGCCAAATACAATACTTGTAATACTACTACAAATACTACAACTACAACATCTACAACAACAGCTACAACATCTTACAACCTAACCAACTTAAAAAAGTAGTCAAATAATGGGAAACATATGTTCTGCAAGTGGCGAAGATGCCAAAGCCAATCAAGATATTAACTCTCAGATCGAGAAAGAGAGAAAGAAGAAGTACAATGAAGTCAAGTTATTGTTACTTGGTGCCGGTGAATCAGGTATGTGTTATAGTCTACTCCATCAATCTTCAATCAATCAAGGATGTTAACCAACACATCAATCACATCAATCCAATCAATAAGGCAAATCAACAATCGCCAAACAAATGAAGATTATTCATCAGAGTGGATATAGTGACGATGAGAGGAAGGAGTTTAAGCCAATTATATACAGGAACATACTGGACAATATGAGAATCCTGTTGGATGGAATGTCCCGAATAGGAATGAATGTTGATCAAGCAAATGCTGAAGCAGCCACAATGGTAAAGGACCTCACCTCCTTAAACTCGGTGGCCTCCACAGACAACTGGAATGAGATGGGTGAGGACCGTGGCAAGCAAATCAAAGGACTCTGGGCTGATCCAAGCATCAAGCAAGCCATGAAGAGAGTATCAGAGTTTAGTACACTTCCAGACTCTGCTCCATAGTATGTAGATAACGACATGCCAAGGTCAAGAACAACAACATCAATACTTTCCAATACTAACATACCTTACTCCTCTCTCTCAACTATTCCAGTTTCTTTGACAACATTGATAGAATGATATCCCAGGTATACTTACCAACAGACCAAGACATACTACATACAAGAGTGATGACCAGAGGAGTGCATGAGATCAACTTTGAGGTTGGCAAGATTAAGTTCAGAATGGTAGACGTTGGAGGCCAACGTAGTGAGCGAAAGAAGTGGTTGTCATGTTTTGACGATGTCACTGCCGTAGTGTTCTGTGTTGCTCTGAGTGAATATGACCAGCTGCTATACGAAGACAACACCACCAACCGTATGCTAGAGTCGATGCGTGTCTTTAACGACGTGTGCAACACATGGTTCAACAACACTCCCATCATTCTGTTCCTCAACAAGTCGGATCTGTTCCGCGAGAAGATCAAGTCGGCCGATCTGGCCGAGACGTTCCCAGAGTACAAGGGCGGCAAGGACTTTGAGCGTGGCGCCAACTACATCAAGGAGCGATTCATGCAGATCAACAAGAACGAGAACAAGAGCATCTATTCACACATCACCTGTGCGACTGATACCGACAACATTCGTGTAGTATTCCAAGCAGTGAAGGACATCATATTCACCCAATGTGTAATGAAGGCTGGACTGTATTCATAATGGCATGGTTATCCAGCCAACCCTCTCAAATAAAACCAACCAACCTTTCAAACCAATGTCTAGCCATTCAGCCAGTCCAACGACCTAAACAGGGAAATGCAAAGATGGAAACCCGACAGTCTAATGTAGTTAACTACCAATGATAAATTTGTCAATGGAGCTCCATCAATTGATCAGTTCCAGGAACTATAGTTCATCAGACACAACCATTCTATGAGACCTAGATATCGAGTGAGATGAATGACATGTCCCTTTAGAGTCTATCTAACCATAACAAGTACAATGTCACCAACTACAGGAACAAAAAGAAAGGACCTTCCACAAGTACACCATATCAATGAGATATAGCAAAGAGAGTAGACTTTACTCAAGGTGAACTCTATTTGTCAATCGCAAGACAAGTCGAACAAGTATTCAATATCGAGAAAACTGGTGATCGATGTATGTTCCTAGGTCTAGACCAAGATGGAAAGGATTGTATAACTCCATTTGAAAGGATACCAGTTCCACCACCCGAATGTCTCTACCTCTCATTCTCTGATTGAGATAATATCTCTCTTTCTAAGACCTACCAGCCCTCTAAATAAGAATAATAGTTATTCTCTTTTATCATTACATGTTGGTTGATTGATTGTGGCAATTATTACCATTTTATTGACTCTATTTCTATTTCCACTGAAAGTTTGGATGGATGAAGAGATAGTTACGAACAAGTTGTTGTTTGTTTGGTTGGTTTGGATTGATGGATTGTTGATGAATGATATAAGTAGATTGATTCTTTCCAATTTTCTTACACTATGTACATGGGCGAGTGTTGTTTGTTTAGGAGCACAGCGGAAACACTTGAATTCGTTTAGATTGGAAGGATCTGCAGGAGGAGGTCACCCAAACTTACTACACCGATTGGTTTCTTGGTGTCGGCATGATCGACGATAAAGATACGGTGTACCTCGTTGGTGAAGATCTTGTTCAGGACTGACTCAAAGGTGTCGGTCTTGAGGGCAAAGATGGCGTGTCTTGGACGGATGGTGTTGGCGTCCTTCTTGATAAAGTCCAAGAAGGCAGACACTGGGCGGTAGAGCTTCCAGAAGAGCGAGCCATCGGTGGCCATCGCCTTGAGGTCTCGTGTGGAGAGGGTGTCCACCAGTACGCCCTTGTCATCGACAACAGCCAAACCACTGATGTTCTTCTCCTCCATGAGCTTGAAGGCATCAATTGTGATCATGGTGGTTGGGACGGTGACAATGTCGCCATCATTGCATAGGCCACGCATTTCGCTGACAAGCAAGTCCTTCTTGGTACCGAGGTACTGTAGGTTGTCGTGGACGTACTTGACCATCTGGGACATGGTCAAGATAGAGACGAGATGACGCTCCTTCATGTTGTTTAAGATGGGGATATGATGGGCATGTTGGTCTCTGGCCATGATCTCGACCACCGACAACAGTGAGTAGTCTTGGGTGATTGGATGGAACTTGTTCTCCTTGGTGGGGAAGGACATAACATCGTCCACTCGCAGTCCCTGGAACTGCTCAGACTCTTGGGAAAGTTTCCAGAAGTCATGCTCTGGTGACATCTTCTCCTTTCCAAAGTGATGATTAACATATTTGACAATGTCAAAGATGTCAATGAATGACAACCACTTCTTTCTATCTAATTATTTGTAAGATCAGTTAGAAATTGTAAGGTTATTATTGTTCAATCAATCAATTATTACACATACCTCCTTGAGTGAATACTGGGACGGATAAGAACTTCTTGTCACATAGACCCTTAAACACTTTACACAGGTTATCATCTCTTTGAGCGGAAAAGATGATCTCATCTCTGGTCTTGATGGACATGGCACGAGAGTGGGCCAACTTTAAAAGTAGGGCATCACCATCATTGGGGATGGTGATTGAAGCGGGTTCGGTATGTTTCGAGTGAGACTCAACTCTTGCTTTCTTGTTCTCCTCTGTGGCAGTACCGGCCTGACTCTTTCTCTTATGATCTTCCATATTTGGAAATTGATTTGATTGATTGATTTGAATTTAATAATATATTAATTAAATAATTAATTAATTGAAAAATACTCTTTAGTTATTTATATAATACTATTTATATATTTGATTAATGATGAACCAGAGTCAAACTAATACTGAAGAGGCATCCGATGGCTGTGTGCTATAACATTAATGGATGAAGGATGGATGGATGGATGAGAGGTATGTTGGTGTGTGTGTGAGAGGTGTATGCGGTATGCATATTGTACTCTTGGCTGTGAGAGAGAGAGGTTCATTTAGGCGAAGTTATCTTAATGCCTAATATGGAGAGTAGGCCGTGTTGACCATATGCATGCATTTTAAATTCAAATTGAGTCAACAGCCAATTGATCCTAGTATGGACAATATGCCTGCCCTCCTCCAACAATGTCGGGCTGTTAGATGCATGAGTGTGTGCGAGAGGTGTAAGTGTCTGTGTGTGTGTGTGTGTGTGTGTTGAAGCTCATCAACGAGGTTCAATATGGGGTGTTATACATGTGAGTTTGTGTGTCTATGTATGAATGGCATAGTGGTGAGTTGTGAATGTATTAAATTAAATTACTGATGATGTCTTGAGTGAGTGTGGGGGTTGGTAGTAAGGTTAGACAACACACCAACATTACCTCTACCTACCTACTTGCTTGTACTACATGTCGTCCAAGATAGTCGATTGACTGACTGACTGACTACCGCATGAATAACTATCTTACTTACTATAAAGACTAAAACAAACAAAATGACAGAACCTGTTGAAGCCACTACTATTGATAACACTACGGTATTGGAGGTCAATGATGACATTCAATCACCTCAACCATCATCATCATCCGCGCATGTTATACAAGAACAAGAACAAGAACAACAAGTTGAGGATGATCAACAGCAACAACAAGATGACAACAGTGATTATGAATATATGGAGGGTAGTAGGATAATGTTGATCGTTGATGCAGATGAAACAACAAACAAAGCATTCCAAGAGGTTGTCAATGTGTTTGATCCAGATAAGGATGAACTATATCTTCTCACAGTGTATGTTGTGACTCACTCTATCGATCAATCAATCAATCAATCAAAGTGATGTCACCTGCTGACACATACATCTTTTAAATCAGAACAAGCTCACTGGACTACCTTAATGATGAAAAGAACAGCGCTAAACTTGCTCTGTTTAAGTATCAAAGTTACTTGGACACCAGAAAGGTATACTTTGAAGACGATTCCTTGATTGATTGGTGATGCCATTCTAACTCTCTAGATCAATCCAACCCAATCCAATCCAATATAGATTGAATACCAACCTATAAGCGTAGAATCATTGTATATATTAACAGAGATACTTAAACAGATAGAGGACAACGAGATCGATATTGTGTACATTGGATCACGAGCATTGTCAACAGTGGCCAACACAGACAATATCATATTCTCATTATTTAGCTACATGAAACAATCAGTATTGGGAACCATTGTGGAAGGTTTGGAACGATCTTCATTCGACCAGGAATGGAAACTCAATATCATATCTTGATCGATTGTTTGATTGATCGATTGATTGGGAATTATTCCAATACATTGTACAGGTTCACCATCACTCACTTCCAGTCGCCAGCTTGGCTTGGATTGACACAACACATCACAAGAGTGTATTAATATTATTAAAGTTATAACAATGACCCATCGAAGTGATCAGAATCATCATGATTATGCGTTTTAACAACACATTCCAAGATACTATGGAATGCTTTATTGAATCGAACTTGTCTATTTGTGCGCGCTTAGAACAAACCAGCCAATCCACCAAAGTCTTGCTGCTCCTTGACGAATGTCTCAAAGTATTGGTAGATGATGGTGACGGCCAAGAGGATACCGGTACCGGATCCGATGGCACCCATAAAGTCGGCAATGACGGTCAAGGCACCAATGCAAAGACCTCCAAAGGCGGCGGCGGTGGGGATGTAACGGTTCAACTCCTTGACCAACATGGAGTCACGGTAACCCTTGATGGTCATCTGTTGGTCGCGCAGCTGCTTGGCAACGTCACGGGCTGATGAGCCACTGACCTCGATCCAGACCTTGGAGAACAGAGCACAAGAGGTCAGCATGAAGACGATGTAGCACAGTGCGTGCATGGGGTCGGCCACGACGGCAGACATGTTGTGTGGGGGCGAGATGTAGTAGGTGATACCTCCGGTTGGGATCATTCCACCATAGTCGGTCATTCTCCACGAGCCAATCAAGTTGATCAGGATGTTCTCGGGGAAACGGCGGTACAACAGCTGCGACACAAAGTAGAGGTTGCTGACCAAGGCCGACTGCAGGATGATTGGGATGTTCGAGGTGTAGAACAGCTTGATTGGGTATGAGCCAGACTGGCCACGGACGCGGGAGCTCTTGACTGGGAGGTCGACACGGAATCCCTGGAAGTAGATGACGACCAAGAAGATAAAGATGGTGGCCATCAAGTTGGTGACGTTGGGCAGGTTCTGTCTGTAGAAGGCCTCCTTCAGGGCACGGACCTTGTCGGTACGGGTCAACAGCAGGTGGAAGAGGGCAATGATGGCGCCCTCAAACTCGGTGCCACGGCCAGTGTTGATGGTGGTTGGCGAGAATGTCTTCCAAATGATGCTCTCACAGATGTTAGTGGCGATGAACAATGAGATACCTGATCCAATGCCGTAGCCCTTCTGGAGCAACTCGTCCAGCAACATAACAATAATGCCGGCAAAGAACAACTGCAGAATAATGAGCAAAGCGTTACCAAAGCCCAAAGTGGCGGGGTCACCGTACGTTCCAGACCAAATGTAAGCTGTTCCTTGTCCAATACAGATCAACATACCGAACACTAAGTGATTGATTAAGAGTGAGTAAAGTGATCAGATTGATTGATTGAATGATTGAATGATTGAATGAAACTTACACTTTTGAGCGGCAGAGAAGAGATCACGATCCTCCTTGACGGACTGATCGACTTCGATAAGCTTGGCACCGGCCAACAATTGAATGACCATGCCAGATGTGACGATTGGTCCAATACCCAACTCCATAAGAGTACCTCTGTTCGAGGCCATGATAACCTTCATCCAGTAGAATGGATCAGAGGAATCATTCGATCTAATACCGTACAGTGGCACCTGACTGCACACCAAGTACACAAACAAACACATTGCCGTCCATAGAACCTTCTCACGGAATGGAATCTAAACAAATAGGTATGATGATGTGTGAGTTGAGATGGCTTACAAGATTGATTGATTGATTAATGATTGAATGACTGATTGAGTTATACCTTTCTATCTGGTTGAGCCACCTCTGGAATGAGGTGAGAGAATGGCTTCACAATATCCAAGAATCTGAAGCCCATTGTTTATTATACAATTAATATATATAAGTATAAGATGATGGGTAAGAGTTGTGTATAATTAAAATACAAGTATGAAGAATGAATTAATGAATGAATGATTGATGGGCAATGAATGATTATGATGTTTGGTGTTGGAGATGCCCTCTGCAGATTGAAAGTAAACACATTCATTCATGCTCTTCCCACCCACACATCATCAAACTTGAATGTTTGACTTTGAGCATGTTCAAGTCAACCTTTGACTTGGGTTACTTTCAGAACTTCTTGTTATTTTTCAAGTCAATTTTTTCCAATATTGTAGAGTTTCAAAGGGAGAAGGAGTACAGAAACGAGCGAGTCTCATCTTTCAATCATTCACGACCTATCTCTACTTGTAAGTAACAAACATATACATATTATTGTGAATGATCGATATGAAGCAAGGAACGATGTTTGATTAGGATGATGATAAAACCTTTGACATAATCAAATGATCAATCCGTTTTGGGTTGGTCGTTTGGCTCAAGTTGATGATCTTAAATTCAATTGATTCATAGTTACTCTGACCTTAATCAAACATCATCAACCTTGACTTCAATCACAACACAATCATTCAACATAATATACAACAATTATCTAACTCCCCTCCCTTCTTCAATTCACAGTCCTCTCTCCAGATAATGATCGATCACATTATTCATTCCAACAATAATAATAAAGATTGTTTACACACTTTTCATTTATCTCATTCTAGAATACATAATTAATTGACTTATTTTCTCATGTGAAACAGTAAATTCAATCTTCAAAGTCAGTGAACTCCATTGCACGAGGGTCCTGTAATTTACCTTGAATCCTATAATTCAAGAAAGCCAAATCCTGAATTTAGTTTAATTAGTTTTTAATGTCCAAAACTTTTCGAAATAAGTGAGGAGAATTTGATTTTCCTCAAATATCACCGACTTTAACTCAATTGGTAGAGTGTTTGACTGTAGAGTAAACAAAGTAATCAAAAGGTCGCTAGTTCGATTCTGGCAAGTCGGAACTTTTTCCTTTTTAAAGGATTTTTTTTTTGCCCTGGGCCTGGAGCGGCGTCTTCTTGGTGTACGATACTCCTTAACCAGTCAATGACGCCAATTTTTTTTCAATAATAATAAACTTCCACTCTAGTCAAAAAAAAAAAAAAAAAAAACCAGTCAACATCATGAATGAGATGGCCGAGTTCACTACCAAGTGGCACCTCAGCACTCGCAACAGCGACATCCGTCTTCCGCCTCTGCCGCCAACTATCAACAAATACTTGGTTTTTAAATGGTTTGACCATATGGTCAAACATTGTTCCAATAAATGATAGCCAATATTAAAACTTAAAAATAATGTGGCACCAACCTAGAAATCTCCGAAAATGGATATTGCCAACAGACGTCCAATCACCCTTAGTCTGAAAGACATCTAAACCATCATCTGGAAGTCAAAGTATTCGCTCAATCAGATGACCAAGGGACAATGGCAGATCAGGGTTATCCTGAGCCTCAAGATCTCCCAGAAATCTGTGGAAACCCCAGCACAGACTAGCCTACAATCATTTCTTGAATGCCACAAGTGACCAGAAGCCATGCGCCCAGTCTTAGACTTGGTGAAGCAACACACTGGCATCAATGTCAGAGAATGGAACATCAAAGCACTCAGTTGAATTTCATGTTTCTGATTGGGAGACTAATGTTTGCGAAGGAAGAAGATGAAGTGATTGTGATGATGTTATAGATTGATGGAAGATTTATGGTTGATTATTTAGTACAACATTGATGTTGTTGAGAGCAGGAGATGGTGATGGTGATAGATCAGAAGAAGAAGAAGAAGTAGTAGGGGCCAAGGCCAAAGACTGTTGTTGTTGTTGTTGTTGATCGCTGCTGATGCTACTGCTACTGTTGCTGTGACTGCAACTGACTACAGTCAATAAAGTATGTGTTGATTGGAATGTCTCTACAATATGCTTGATACATTTTGATCGCACCTTGACAACATCTTCCCAGAGAACTTGGAATGGATATCCAACACTCCACGACAATGTAAGGAAGTATCGTGCATTGGACTCTAGCAACTCCTCGGCCAATATTGTTCCGACCTGGACATTGACCTTCTCCACAGTGTTGGGGTGCAGTGCCTCTAGCAACTCGAGGAAGAACAAGCTGTCCTGCAGGAATTGATCCTTGAACGATTGGATAGGCTTGACCTTGGTCGTCTCAAAGTTGACCTTACTGTTGGCCCACTTGAGCGCGGCCGTCTGATGTGCAGTGACCACTCCGATCGTGACCTTGTCACCAAGGTAACGTCTCACTTGATTCAGGATGGCACGGTTTGAACGAATGTCGCCATTGAGCAGGTCGGTACCGGCAATGCCCGCCACGTTCAGTTTGAACTTGTGACAGATCTCCATTGTGTAGTTGAACAGCTCCAGCTTCTTAAACACACTGTTTGGTTGGATCTTTAGCTTCTTGGGATCGACGGTGCCCGCGGGCAACACCTTGTCAAACACCTTCAAGAAGAGTGTGCCATCGTTGAAGCTGTCCAGCAGACTGGTGGCCTCGACGCCCAGCTTCATCTGGTTGATCCAATCGAGCAGCTCCTCGTCGTTGTTGCTCTGCTCGCTAGACTTCTCAACCTGGTCGTGCAGCTGATCGTCGATGCCAAACTTGTAGACTGGCAATGCCAGACAGACGCGCATAATGTCGGCCACAAACAATAGATTCATCTTGCTGTTCTCGGTCTCGACAATGTCGCGTGGCGTCAACAGTGGCATGCATCCAAGCTTGGTGGCCATCTCCAAAACAATCTGTGCGCGCTTCTCCCAGTCGCTCTCGTTGAGTATCTCGTCCTTGCGACTGATGGCTGGGGCGATGGCCTCAAAGAGGTAGGCATAGTTCTCGCAGTCCTCAACGTCGTCCGAGAAGTTGTTGATCTGGCGGTTGCATATCCTCCTCAAATGATGATTGAACCAACGTAGCATGATCTTCTCGGTCTCCAACTTGCGGAAGTTGTTACGAGTCTCTGCTCTCATCAGATGGAACAGTGAGCGTTGCTTGGATGGGTCGGCCGCCTGCAATAGACAACACTCTACAATCTCCCAAACAATGTTGTGTAGGTCGGATGGATTCAGTGCCTGTAACTTCTCTACAGTGATCGCTTCATGTTTGGCGCCCAATGATCGTGAGGCGTTGATTGCGATGAACAAGTTGGACCTTGTTGATTGTTTCTCGGCATTCCTCTGGACTACTCGTTCGTCCAAAGTACCTGGGAATATGTTGTTTATCAATTGGCTGAATAGGTAGAGTAGATGGGATGAGTTAGTGAGTGTATGGAATGATTGATCAATGGTCAGTATCACTTACCAAAGTAGTTGTCCATCCAAGATGGCCTTGATCATTTCGAACGGTGATTGAGGTAGCTTGTCGGCGATGGGCGAGTTCTGTAGAATGTGAGTGAGGTACTTGGTGGCAAAGAGACGCTTGGACACAACTTGGGTCTGGAACTCGTCTTGCCAGTTTCCGCCCACCTCTTCGTAGATGGTCAGCAGTGCACTCAACTGAGTCTCGGCATTGTCAGACAACAGATGCTCGACGGTGATCGACTGCACGCCATACTCATTCAGCTCACGCACAATGAGCTCAGCCTTCTCCACATTCGATTCCAGCTCCAGTGCTTTCAGGGAGAAGGACTCTGGATCCAATTTATGTAACAAATGAGTATATTTCTCAAGGTTCTAATTGATTTGATTGATTGAGTTAGCAAGTGATGTTGATTGATTGATGGGTGGATGATGGTTGGGATACATACAGCCTCGACCGCGGTGAGGTTAATCAATGGCTTGCTTAATTTACAATCGGCAGTTATATAGTTGGCCCAGGAGATTAGGAGACTCTCTGGGGTTGAAACGGTGGCATCTTGGAGTAGGAACTTGAGCTCGGGCAGCTCGGCTCCGACACCATCGAGACGGGCTTGCATTGACTTGAGTCGCTTGGCAATCAGTTGTCGTTCCTCTTCCTCCTGGTTCTCCTTCTCGATCTGCTCCAGCAGGTTCTCCTCCTCGAGCCTCTCTTGCTCCAGACGTCTTTCCTCTTCCTCGATGCGCATGGCCTCCAGACGCTCCTCCTCCTTCTTGCGCTCCTCTTCTTCGCGCAGACGCTCGGCTGCCGCGCGCTCCTCTTCCTCCTTTCGTCTGGCCTCCTGCTCCACTCTCTCTTGTTGCAGCTTCTCCATCTCTATCCTCTCTTGCTCCAATCTCTCCATCTCCTTCCTGAGCAGCTCTTCCTCTTCCTCCATCTTCTTGGCCTGCTCCAATCGCTCGGCCTCCTTCTTCTCCTGCTCCTCCTTGAGCTTTTCGCGTTCTTCGTTCTGCATCTCCATGGCCTGCATGAGCAGGTCCAGCCTCCTGTCCTCCTCGATCTGTTCTTGCAGCTGTCGCTGCTTCTCCAACTCCAACTGCTTCTGCTTCTCCATGAACTCCTCGTGCTGGCGTCTGTGCTCCTCGTCCTCCAAGGCCTTTTGTTTGGCGGCTTCCTCTTCGCGTTGGATGCGCTCCTTCTCCAGACGTTCCTCCTCCAGTCGCTGCTCCTCGCGTCTCTGAGCCTCCTCTTCTTCCATTCGTTGCTTCTTCTCCTTCTCCTCCTGTTCGCGACGTTTGTTGAACTCCTCCTGATCGACATCCTTGAACAGGTCCAATGATGATGAGCTTGATCCAGCACCAATGGCCATTGACAGTCTTGAACCCTTTTGGGCGATTCCAAAGAAGTGTGTCTCATAGGCAAACATCCTACGCGAGAAGTCCAATGTCTCTACCCACATCTTCATCTCATTTGCGCTGTTGGCCAGCATAACAAATGTTCTGGCAGGTGTAACAATCTCAAAGCATGACTAGATTGGATGCATAAGTTAGTGGACGCGTCCAATCAATCAATCAATCAAACAACTATCTTAACAACACTTACCTTGTGATACTTTGATGGTATGTCTGTTAGATCTTTGGATGGACGCACGGCTTGAACGGTCTTCATTAATATACAACCCATCTCTGGGCCAAAGCCTTTGGCTCGGTGATAGATAAGCTTGTTCTTCTTGAGTGTGTACCATCGTTTGTTCCAATTCTTTAGACCCTTCATGATGTTGCCTCCACGCTTACGAAGTACCCATCCCTCCAAGAATGGCACCATCACAAACAAGTTAATATCGCCCTTGGCCGACTTAAACAATCCTGTCGTGCACTCTCCAACATATCCTTGTTCTCTAATTGTCATATCACCTGACAATACCTCGACTAAAAGTGTCCGAGTATGTTAGTCACCTGGTCAATGGACGTGCGAGAGGATGGTATACATACCTTCATCCTCACTCATTGCGAATAACTCTGTCTCTGAGATGTAGCTTGAAGTTGTTATTTGTGGAATGATGGTATTGATGACATCGGCAACATTCATTGTGTCATCGACCATCACTGTCTTGAATTGATTGTCACCTTTGGCAACCTTGATTGGTCTGAACCTCTTCTTGAACTCAACAAATTCCTTTTAATTGTTTGATTGATTGAATGATTAGCAATTGTACAAGGACCATGACACAGGGACAGACACAAAGAGACATACCATTGTTGGAGCCTCAGCCTTTGAACTGAACATCATTGATTCCTTTTGATCACTCTCGCCTTCGAGACCATAAAAGTCCAATGGATAGTCGTCACGGAACCAGATACCATTCTGGTCGTCACGTGGTGGTAGGAAGAGTCCATATTGATCAGGATCCACTTCCAACTCCTTTGATATATGTAATCTGGCGTCCCTAACAGACTTCTTTGAGAAGAAATTGAACTTCTTGAATACCTTCTTGTCGACCAAGCGAACCTTTAACACAATAGCATCGCCACTCGACATTCTACTTCCTCTCTATTACTTGTGATACCTGTATAAATATAGAACTGTTTGATTGTTTGATTGAATGATTGAATGATTGAATGTTTGATTGATTGATCGATGTATGAATGAATGAATGGTGTGTATGTGTGTACATGTAATAGTAGTAGTATATCAAACAAACAATGAGTTATTATTTAAAGAGTGAGAGAGAAAGAGATAGATAGAGGTTGGAGGTTGGCAAGACCAACCCCTCAGGCTCTTGAGCCCCCTTCTCAAGTTGAATGAGCTAGCTCAGGTAACACCTGATACACCCTCACCACACCACTAGACCACACCAAGTAATATCTTTGGATACAAGATAGTTTGAATTGAGATTCAATTTTATTTTATTTTGGGCCTTGCTGACCACCTCACTGATTGTGATTGTTAAGAGTGTGTGTGTGGTGGAGGAGAGTGTGGAGCACTGATTGATCGAATAATGATCGAGTGATACTGTGGCAATGACGCGTCACGACTCATTCATTTATCTGAAAAGACGATTTTTAATAGGATGGGCCTATTCTCAAACCAGGCGCCTTTCGTCTTGTCACCCTGAATTACTCCGACAACCAGGGGATCATCCATACTTTTGTTCATGCCGACAATGATATATGATAATTATAATAATCCTCGAGGTCGGAACCGATATTGTAAATGATTGATTGAGTGAGTGTGAGTAAGTGTGATTGATTGATTGAGTGTGTGAGTAAGTGAGACTGGAATAGTTCCATCCAGGAATGATTATTTTAATAATAATATAATATAATATAAATATATGAATGATAAGTTGTAATCAAGTGATTGATTGATTGATGGTGATTACTTCTTTGATGATGAAGATGATGACGACTTCTTCTTGCCAGTGTTCTTGGGATCACTTGGATCACCCATCTGACCCAACACTTCACGGTAAATGGCACTCTTTTGGAATCGCCCGAATGAATCTATACGCAACAACTCAAAGGTGGCCTGCCATGATGATCGGATGCCCTGCTCAACATCGTCCATGTTCTTGGCACGCAATGCCTCGCGCACCTCCAGCTTGATCTCGGGCTCGATGTTGACTTCGAGCGGCGAGCCATCCTGGAAGAAGTTGTCATAGATGTTCTGTGCGCCGGCCATCGTGAGCTTGGCCGTGCTGTTGACGCGGCAGTACAGATCCAGCTCCATCCAGCACAGCAACACCTCCTCGCACTTCTCCGACTTGAGGAATCGCTTGAAGCTATCCAGCCACGTCGAGTCGCTGAGGATCGTGCAGAACACATCATTGGGCTTCTGCACGGCCGATGTGTTGAGCGGCGATGAGGACAACGAGCCACTGCTGCCACTCGAGTAGAATGGCATGGGGTTGGGCGTGGACGTTGCCAGGATGTAGTCGTTGACAACGACCTTGCGCGATGGTGGTGTGGGCACGGGGATGGGCGGGAGATTGGGCAGCGACCTGACCACGGGCGACTCTGGCTTGGCGCCAGCGGGCACGGGCGGCAACTCCTTAAAGTGCTGCGTCGATCTCGACTTCTCCTGCATGGGTGCCAGGCCGGCCGCGGGCTTGAACGACGCCTGCGGACGCACGGTGCCCGATGGGGTGGGGGCGGGAGCCTTGAGCTTCTCCTTGGACAGCAGCTCAAACTGCTGGTCCATCTTGGCGTCGGGCTTGCGCTTGTCCTTCTCCTGATACTTGATCATCTTGTCCTCGCGATACAACATCTCCTTGCAGACGGGGCTGTGGACAAAGGCGGGGAAGTGCGTGTTGGTCAGGTGCAGCACGATCTCTTGGAGCACCGGCTGGAAGATATCGCGTGTCACAGTCTTTGACGCGATCATTTGTTGCGTGGTGTTGTAATGCGTGGGGATGAATGTGGACAGCTCCTTCTCGGCGCCAGGCGTCAAGAACGCGCGGAACAGATCCGTTGCGTACAGTTCGAGATACTCGTCCGAGAGTTCGTAGAACTTCTTGATCTCGAGGTAGAACAGCACCATGTTGCGTGCTTCGCTGAATGAGATTGAGTATGGCGACAAGAGTGCAGCCATCGTGCGTGGTGATGCGGGCATGCCAGAGGGCGAAGATGACAATGGTGGGGATTGAGATGATTGAGTGCCAGTGCCAGGGGTCGCGGTCGAAGTGGTCAGAGTTGGGTTGTTCATCGACACCTGAGTGGTGGCGCCACGCGAGAGGTAGACCAGGAAGTGCTCAAGTCCAATGGGATTGGTGATCAAAGAGTCGAGTGACTCGACAATGTGTGTGATGCCCTCAGCTTCGACGGGGAAGGGCGTTGACTTGTTGAGCATGACCGCGGCGGCGGCGTTGTATAGCGTGCTCTTGAAGAAGTGTGGCACCATCGAGTAGTTGAGCAAGCACTCAATGTTGTCGATGGCCGAAGCCAGACATGGGTGGAAGTGGTCGTCAGTGAAGAGACTGGCGCGACGCGTCTCAATGGCGTTGCGAGACTCGGCGTCAATGTTGACCTCGAGTGTCGATCCCTCCACGATGTAGTTATTGTACAGATTGAAGAAGTGTGATCGCACGGCGTCCTTGTTGGCGGTGGGGCCCTCCTCCAGCTTCTTGAGTGCGTCTGCATCGACCCAGAACAGCAAGTTCTCCAGACCATGCTGTTTCTCGGCAAACATTGTGAATGCCTTTAGGAATACTGGATGATTGACTATCTCCTTGAAGTTGGTTGGTACTGCTATTAGTCTGTTTGATGAGTTGCTGGGTGATTGTTCCAACTTGTTATTGTTATTGTTGTTGTTGGTGAGTGTGAATGATGTACTTGAGCTGAGTGACTTGGACGAGTCAGGGCTGGACTCAATCTTTCTTCCAAAGTGTACCAAATGTTGTAAGTTCAATATCTACATCATCATCATCCTGTCAGTATCTCATTCAATCAATCAATAAATCATTCCACTTACATGTTTGGACAAGGACAACAAGTACCTGTGTCTAGTTCCACAGAAGTCAATCAACTCCTTCTCCAACAATGTTATATATCTTTGATACTGGCACATCGATAGATTGAGTTTAGCCATCACCTAAAATGATATATGATATGAGTCAGTCCATTCGATTCCAATCCAATTCAATCCAATCCAATCCCATCCCATTCACCTTACATTTGATATCTTGTCATGCTGACTGTCTGTGGTTGATTTGTTGTTGGTATACTTCTGTAACAGTTGTCTCAGTTCACGTCTGTTCTGGATGGACTCTACAAGATACTTGTCCACCTCTTGTTTGATGTTCTTGAAAGTGTCTGTGTGATTGGTTGACACCTGGTTCTCATTTGATATCTCCAAGACAACCTTGCATTCACGCTATTTCATGTTGTAAGTGATGGAATATGTTAGGATGCCGTCCATTCCAGTCGCCAGTCCAGTCCAAAGTGATGGATGTTGTATAATTTTGGAAATGTCAATGTTTTACCAAAGATTGTGGAAGGTTTTGATTGGCCTCCTTGTTGACTTGGGACATTGTTATTGACAACTCTCCAATATCAGGTATCTGAAGTCCAATCTTGTGCAAGTCACTGGCCAATGTAAATGATGAAACCATAAATGCTGTAATAATGGCGAAAGTGTTCGAAGAGAAAGAGAGAGATAGAGTGTATGTGTCAATGAATGAGTATTCCCATCTTTGATTGATTGATCAATCGTGATTGTCTGGAATCATTCCATATATATCATATCCAATATGTCCTAAATTGATCGCCAATCTGTTGATTATTTAATAAAACCTTACATTCTACCTGATTGACATAATGCCTGGAACCTTCCAGGGCATTATTAAGTGAAAGACATAAAGTATGTAAAGTATGTATATTATGATTGTATTTCCTAAGTGTTGATGGATTGATCTCAATCGTATCCTCCAGCAGCTGTGTGTGTGTGTGTATAGTGTCAATCAATCAGTTAGTCAGCCAGTCCCATCAATCATCCATCAATCCATCAATAGATCTTACAGTGAAACCCATCTCTTTATCTAATCAATAATGATGATGTAAATATAATATATTTATATGTTTATAGTTTTATCTTTTTACCAAGATTGGTAAATGATACACGAGATATGTTTGAAAGAGAGAAAGAAACTTAAAACTTGGGAGCGCACTTGTCCATCTCACTCACTCCCACCTTCGTGTGGAAAGTGGTTGGCAGGTCACCAAGGCTCTGGTTACCTGAACAGTGCCAACTGTGTGGGAGCATGCTTTGCACGAACAAGGTCTTTGATCAATCTTACCCAGATCTTTTTTCTGTTTTTTTTGTGTGTGTGTTTGTATCAATTTTCGTGTGTTTGTTTGTTTGTGTTTGTATCAATTTGCCGACACCGATTCAAACAAGTGTACACTTGTGATGATGATGATGATGTTGGTGTTGTAAACATAGGTAACAACAAATAACCGACGTCGTCGTCGGTTGTTCTTCAAACAGATACAAACAAAACAAAGAACACAACAAACACAACAAACAAAGAATCAGATTTATAAATATCTAGAATGATATTTTTTTAAATCTGGAGGGCTCGTATTGATCACGATCATAACAAACGTCATTGCCATGATGGGCATAGATTGGGAATGGAAAGAAGGAAGGTAGGAAGGAACTGTACATTGGTTTTATATGATTGGATTGGGATTGGATTGGATTTGATTGGATTGGTTGATTGATTGGATTGATTGATTGATCGAATGATTGATTGGACGAAGACCTGGATGAAGGCTGGATGTTCAACATCACAGTTGTTGCTCGCCACCAATGTCACGAACGTTGTTAATGTCATTACCTATTAACATTACTAGTGCTTTCAGTAGGTCCACGAGACTGATCACTCCAACCAACTTGTTTCCATCACTGACCACCCAAACACGATGATATCTATTGGTCACAATCGTCTGCCACACCTCTTGTATCGGTGTATCCGGTGAGCAAGTGAATAGTTTACGCTTCTTCCCATCCTTCTCCCTCTTTGCCTTGCTCTTTAAGAATCCCTTTACATCATCCAATATAGTATCAATGTTCTTCTCATTCATTCCCTGTTCATTCATTGGTTGATTGATTGAGTGTGAGTATACCTTGGTCATCACACATAGATTGATTGGATTGACATAACATACCTTCCAACTATCAGTACTTATCTCATTCTTTAGTTTACCCTTGTCGTCTACGACGGCCACTGAGCTGATCTTGTTCTCGTGAAGTAGTTTCATCACTTCGACTGTTGGTGTGGACTGGCTGACACTCTTGGGATTCGGATTCTGGATGTTGCCAGCCAGATATGGACATTTGGCAATGCGTTCTTTGATCCTGGCATCCTGCCACAGCCAAACCGCCAGGTCAGTCTGGCTGATGATCCTACTCAGTCGTGGTACGCCTCTGGCGGCGGCGTCAGTCGATGCATAGACGGGCACGCGATGACATCCAATCGTGAAGAGCTGTATCAGACTGTAGACATTGTCCGACTCGGTGACCACGGGACACATGGTCTCGACGTCGTTGGCTTGATTGATGACGACAGACACAGGGTCCAGATTGAGTTTGTAGAAGCTCAGGCCCATGGTCTTGCCACCAGTGTGCTCCGATTGTTTGAGTACCATCGATAAGAGATAGTCGACAATGTCAAACATGTCGACGAGGCCCATGCAGCCCAGCTTTGGATCGATCACTGGACATGAAGATATGTCATTGGTCGATAGTACCTTGAGTGCAGCGTCCAGTGAGTCTGATCGTTTGACAGTAATCAGACCCTGTTTCATCCGTGTAGTTGAGGGTACCATTGAAACAGTTTCATTCTTCAATTCATTGAGTATGGGCATACCTGCTGCGCCAGCCATTGTCATCTGTGCCATCAAAGTTGTTAAACTTCTTCCAAATTGTGATTGAATGAGTAATGGACTGTTGTTGATACTACTATTATTGATATTGTTATATGTTCTTGTTTGTGGAGATACGTTGCCGTTGTTGAATAATGGTGATGATGTACTGCTCGCACTTGCACTAATCTTTGTTAGGTTTGTCGTCTTTGTCGTCTTCTTCTTCTTGTTACTATTAATACGTTGTTGTTGTTGTTGTTGATGAAGAAGTAGTGGAGATAATGTTGATGTTGTTGTTGGACTTTGTGTCGTAGTATCTGTTGTCGATGACACTACAACTATATCAGGTCTTTTCTTTGATGATAGTATACTACTACAACTATATGCTCGTTTGAATAATTGTACAACAGGGAATCCTTGTGACCTTGAATGTTGTTGTTGTTGTTGTTGTTGTGGACTGGAAGACTCAAAGATTGAGTTTTGGCTCTTGTGCAATCTAAACTGTTGTTGATCATTGGTCATTTAATTGAATTGATTCAAATCAAAGGGTTTGGAAAATGTTTACAATGAATGGATGAATGTTAATATTGATTGATTGATTGATTGAATGAATGATTGTATTGTTTGAATGGAATGAATGATGTTTGATATATTAGCATTGTTAATGTCAAAGAGTAAGAGAGGTGGTCAATGGTCAACATATGTTCTTCCAACAACAAATAATAATCATAATCATTCTAATAATGGATTCAGATAATATGAGGTGGGGTGGAAGTGCGATAGGCGATAGGCTGTCCATGAGAGAGAGTCCGGGCGTAACAAATCCATGCCCATTGGACACCCGTTCATTGTTGCTCTGAGTTGTCAGATGTGATTGGAGCCGTCGGAAGTGAGGTAGTTGTTGTTCTGTGTGTGGGATATGTATTAATGTGTATGATTGATTGAGTGATTGTGTTGTGTGTTATGTGGGTTGTGGGGTAGTGTTGAATGATTGATTGGTTCATTGGTATACTGCCGTCATACGGAGAAACACAATGACAATCTACCTGAATGTTATCAACAACAACAACAACAATAACAACAATAACACAAGGTAACATAATTGAGTGTTGTTGTTGTTGAGTTGGTTAAAGAATCAACATCACACACACACACTCACAATATCAACACAATGAATGTGGTATGAAAGTTAATTCATTAAAAGGTAAATGGACCATATACATACCCTGAGATCGATCAATCTACACTATTAGTCTGAATGTATCTATTTATCTATGTGACTATGTCTTATTATCTATGTAATCCGAAATGTCAACAAGTCAGTGGTCGGAAATTGGAAATTGAGGTGTCAAAGTCCAACAACAAGACCTGGACACACACCATTCCTGGTGCTTTTGCTTGAATTCATTCACATTTAGCACAAGACATAACCTCATAATAATAATCAATGATGAATCCCAAACTTACTCAAATCTGTAAGATGCAAGTTTAATGACTTGGTAATGATGTCACACAACTAAAACTACAACATCATCTCGAATCGAATGTCTTTAATATTGATTGAGTGATCGTTTGAGGGCTAGGTCCAAACTTGATTGGAGATAAGGTCAACTCGCCTGGGTCGGCAAACAATCGAATTGACACCAAAACAGAGACGATCCAGTGACTGTGTCTTAAGACTGATGTGCTCGTGACACGAGTCCATTGGATGGAGGTAGATAATGACTAGAGAGAGTGAGAATGGAAATGAAATCCAGACATGTATGATTGTGATACAGGTTGTCCCTGTCTTACAGACTGATCGATCGATCGATCGACTCATTGATGTTGATGTGATATAATATAATACTAATTGTAGGTCTATACAATGAAGATGTCACCCTTCTTCTGATGTGCAATCGATTGCTTGAGTATGGGTGGTGGCGTTGGAAGTAGCCATGTGAATGATGGTGGACCAAATACTGTTGCAATGTTATTCAATATACTGCCTTTGTCATATTTCTTATGACTACTACTACTGTTGCTGTTGCTGTGATGACTACTGCCTCCATTGACATTGACATTGTGTCCGAATGATGTACGCTTCAAATCCTCTATCGTTGTCATATTACGACATAGTAATATTAACTGTGAGCTTAACAATGCCATCAATGATATCTCTGTCAGCACCATAATGATAACCAACAGTCCTGTAATAACAATCGTCGCAACATCCAACTGAATCATCACACTCTGTTGTTGTAGTTGTTGTTGCTCATCCTAAATGTGAATGAATGAGTGAGTGAGCATGTCATAGTCGTCGTGCATCGCTATCTCCAACTTACCATGTTGTTCATAGCAGCATTGATTGAGTTGGGACCAATGATTGTGGGCGTGGAGGGACTGAGTACTTCGATTGAACGGTCGATGAGTAGACCAAAGAAGTAGATGATGGATATTGACGCGTAGAAGAGGAATAGGATGAAGTACTTGTGATTGAATAGACCGATGCAGTTGTCGAGCCACATGCAATGATGATCCATGCGCAAGACGCACTTGTTACACGTGCTGCAGTGATGCGCTCGATCAGGCTTGAGCTGTCGACATTTGTTACAATTGCGCTGTTGCTCCTCGTCCTTGTCGGCGATTGGATGAACGAGGTAGTATGCTGGCGACAGGGTGTCCCGGAACTCGCCGGGGTTTGTCGATAGACATTGATAGTAGGACACCAGTATCATGATTGTGACCAATGTGCCCCACACCGAGTGGAACAGTCCCTTGCCAAGCGTGCTAGGAGTATGCATCCATGGGAATATTGCAAAGTTAAGTATATACAAGTATGGTACAATGATGAGTATCAACACCACCGACTGGTAGACAAAGCGTGACACTAATGTCTTGTTCACAGGTTGCATGTTGTTGTTGTCTGTTGTCTGTTGTTTCCAATGATCCTGTCTAGTATGTATGTATGTAATGTATTGTGTAATGATAATAAATAATGTTGTTTATATTTGTATGTTTCGAGCGAATGGAAGACGAGTATGGGTCCTTTGAAGGCATCCGTGGGTCAATCGTTACCCCAATTTTATGAGAATGTAACGTCCCCGACTTTTGAGTCAAATACTCAATCAAACACAACCATGGTCATCATTTATAAATCAACAAGTTATACATTCCTTAAGAGAGAAACATGAATATATGTATGCTCTCTACTATATCCATTTGTTTAAATGTTATAATTTGTGGAAGTGATTAACAATCCAGGTATCTAAATATCCAGAGCATCATGTTCCTCTAATGAACTCGGTATCGGTATGATAAGTAATGCTCTAAAGTACTCCCGATACCGAGGGGACTAAGCTGTGGCACTTGGTTGTTATTGCTTCTCTCTACACTTGCCAAGTGAGTGATATTTTTTTATATTATGCCCCTTCAGAAGGTAGAAGGTATTCGAAAAGGTAAATGGCAATACTCCAAGAGGGAAAGTTCTATTAATGAATCTGTGTGCAGTAGGGAGCCCCAACACAACGATCGATTATAATATCTGAGCTTGTGATTGAATTTAACACTAATTTTATCGTTTTAAATAGGCTCCACCTCAGGCCTGATAGGCTCTTCCGGGATTCAAACTGGAACTCGTTTGGGGGTGGTCCACTAAAGATGCGCGTGTAGTAGTGTTTGCATTTGTTTCCTGTGCACATCTTGGGATTGGGATCGGCACAAATGTTGGCGCGCTGGCCCAACTTATTGCACTACTTGTGGGATTCGAAAGATAATATCTATATTGGGTTACATATTCGCACTGTTGTTGGATGGATGATGGACTGTCCACTGTCACATATAGCTAGACCTGGTCTCCGTAACAATCACTTTCAAAGCCCATTAATTAACACGATGGGATCTAAAGTGCACTTAGTCCATTCCAGACATGACCTGCTCTCCCCGCTCGATATCTTCTGTTGATTGATCAACTGATGTGTCTCCTCTCACAGACCAAGTGGTGGTATCTTGCTTGACTACTTACTTGTTGTTGCTCTGTAGTCAGTTAGTGAGGATAATCGCGCGTGTAGCCCCCCAATGTCTCGGATACGACGGTGGCAACCTAGCAATGGGCAAGCGCGGTTACACAGGCCCACTGGTACAATCGAAGTGGCACTTCGGCTATTAGCCCTTCTCCTCTTCCTCCTCTTACTAATCAGGCAAGAAAGAGTCTTTGTCAGCTGCCTTGGTCTTTGGTTTGATTGATTGATTGATTTGATTGTTTGATACTTGTGGCGTTGCGAAGTATATCACCGTGTGATCACTCCCGTCCGTCCGTCCAACACCATCATCAACTTCATTCATTCATTGTATTAGTACTTGTAACTTAACTTATATATATATCTTATCTATTTATATATATATTTAATAATAATGAAGAATAATACATTATTTGTTGTACTTGTAATACTCACAACTGTTGCGGGTGTTCTCGCAGTACCAGTCAAGTGGGCGACGAATGGACATTTCTACGAAATAGCTTCAGCTGGATCACGTCCATCATCTTGGACCTACGCATTGGCTTGGGCTGCTAGCTACAGGCCCGCCAACATCCCCGCCAACTATGTCGGCTACATCGGCACCATTACCTCCCTCCAAGAGTACACTTTTATCTCCTCGTTGAGTGGCGCAACCTCCAGCAACTGGTACACATCAGTGCTCCGTTTCACTATGAATGAGTGGGGTTTCTCTTCTGGTCCTGAGAAGGACACCATCCTCTACGACTCGATGCGTGTGCGCTGCAACAGCTTCTGTCTGTTCAATGTCGACAAGCCCGACTCGCTGCAGGCCAACAACATCAACTTTGATCAGGCGTCAAAGACTTTCGTCAACACCTGGTATGACACCACCACCTCGATCACACTCTTCTTGGTCGAGTGGGGACCCGCCAACGAGCCATACGTCGCTCCCGTTTCAACTGCCGGAGGTGTGACCAGCGTCGCCCTCACTGGCTACAACACCGCCAACTTGGTCGTTACCCTCACCCCATCTGGCGGCTCAGCCGTCAGTGTTCCAGTTGTCTCAACCACAGCCACCAGCGCAACAATCAGATTGCCAACTGGCGGTGGAGTCAACACTCTCACCATCACAGACGGTACCAACACCTACACCAATACAATTTACAAATATCTTAGTAAGTCAATCAATCAATGATCATATACTGGTTCCACTCACTCACTCAATCAATCAATCAATGGATAGCCCCATGGATCAACATGTTCTACCCTGTAATGAACTCTGGTGGATTGATCACTGTGACTGGTAACAACTTTGGAAATGTTGCTGCCAACCTTAAGATTCAATTGGGTTCTACTCCACAAACTTGTGGACAGGTAACATTGCTCGCCGATCATACTCAAGCCACTTGTTCCCTCCCCTTCACTCCATCCCCCACCGCCACACTCTTCCCAGTGGTCATCCAACAATCCACCTCTGAGATATTCAGCACCTACTCTGCCACCATCTGTAAGTTTGTTGTTTTTGATGATGATGATGATGATGGTGGAATGATTCCAACCCTAACCCAAAACCCACACTCACCCACTGATCAGATGACAAGTACAACATGAGAGGAATTGCATTCCATCCAAGTCAGAACTCTTACTACCAATCATACTTGTTCATCACTGGAACCAATCCACCATACTATCTGGACAACTACAGACACTATGGAGGCATTCCAAGTTCAGCCACTCAGATCGCCATGGTCAAGAATGTTTACCCATTCTCCAAGATTGCCTTTGACTACCACGTCGCCGCCGCCGGTACCGGCACCGGTGCCCAAATGGCGTCCTGGGGCGGTCCATTCGACAACACCACCATCGTCACCAGTAGCAGAGTTTGTGATGCATCCAAGCTTGTTGCCTGTCCAAACGGATACGCTGGTGCTTTGTCCAGCGGCCAGACCTCCTACTTCCAGTACCGTGACGACATCTATGGCATTAGCGGAGACAATGACGATGGATGGCACGGAAACATCATCATGTACGGCATCAACCCAACCATCTCTGACACTGGCTTCAAGTTTGTCAACACCTCTGGTGGAGCCGTCAACATCACCATGCCAATTGGCATGGGCTTTACCTTCACCACTCGTACCATCGCCCTCAATGGAATCACCGTACCCTACACTCTCACCCCATTCTTTGCCGACAACAAGCTTCAGATCACCGTCCCAGCCGGCACTGGTGTTCCCAAGTCAGCCAACTTCTTCTTTGAGAACATCAAGGTTGGCGGTCCATCATTCGGTTACAACATCCCATACGCCGAGTCCATCTCATCGCCAGGCACTCAGGGTGACACTGTGATCATCAGAGGCTACAACTTTGGTTCCAACGCCAGCTTGATTAGCGTCAAGATCAACAGCAACACTTGTTCAAATGTCGCAATCGTCCTCGCCCACTACACCATCTCCTGTACCGTCCAGCCCGGCGCAGGCAGTGGCTACCCAGTCATAGTCACCGTCGACAGCCTCGTCCAGACCAACAACCTCCAGATGAGCTATGCTGCTCCCCTCGTCACTGGTTCCCAGCACAACGGTGCCAAGCTTACACTCTTTGGCAACAACTTTGGTGGCCCCCTCAGCGGCGTCTTTGTCAACATCCCTGACAAAATCCAAGCCGACAGCTCAGTGTTCAACGGCTCAGTCTACATCATGGACATCACTCTGCCCATCATCGCTAGGAATGGTCCAGTCTACTTGACCGTCTCGGGTGTCTCTGCCAACAGATGGGACGTCAACTACACTCCATCGCTCGTGTCCCTCGCACCCCTCGTCAGTGCCAATGGAGGCGACTTGATCAAGCTCACCGGTAACTTCCTCAACACAATTCGCCAAGGTGGCGACAACACCGACATGGTCATCGCTCTTGGTGGCAACAACTGCACATCACCATACTTCTCGTCTGACGCCCAGTACACCTACCTCCAATGTGTGTCGCCAAAGGGCACCGGTAAGGGTCTCAGTGCTCAAGTGACAATTGATGGCGTGGCCTCCAATGTGCTCAACACCTTTGCCTACCTCCCACCCAACGTCACCAACTTCATGCAGAATGGAATGGTCGCCACTATCGCCGGAGACAACTTTGGCGAGGACTTCTCCGTCATCACAGTCACCTACAACACCGACCTGCCCGTGGCGGCCACCAGCATGCACTTGATGCGTAACTCAATCGTCGTGCCCATCCCAGGCTCCACCACCAACGGTGAGTTGGTAGTCCGCGTCAATGGTCAGGACTCTACACCCTTTGTCTTCAAGGTCGCACCAGTGATCACTGCCGTCAACACCATCCCCACAATCGGAGGTGATGTTGTCATCACTGGACACTTCTTCAACCCAACTGACTTCTACGGCCAGACTTTGGCACGCTCCGTCTTCATCCACGGCATCGAGTGTCAAACATCTCGAATCTCCGCACCCAACACTGAGATCATCTGTGAGGGTCCCGCTGGAACTGGTGCCAACAACGCTTTGACTGTCACCATCGACGGTGTCTCCGGTGCCTTTACCTTTGCCTACATGGCACCAACTATCACCAACGTCGCCACTACAGAGACCTCATTCATTGTGACAGGAACCAACCTTGGTTCGGATGAGACCGTGATCTTTGCCTCAATAGAGACTGATGGAGGAATTGTCAATGTCACCGCTTCGGCTGTCACCAACGACGTTGCCCAGGTCGTCACCATCCCAAGCGTGCCAGAGACCACCCTCAACGGACAACTCATGCTCACTGTCAACCATCAAACATCCAACGGTCTGTCATACGTTATCGTTCCAATCATCACCAGCACTACCCAGTCGCCAACCATGGGAGGATCCGTTGTGATCACCGGTAGCCACTTGACTGGCAGACGTGCCAACTCTGACAACACCACTGTCTCGGTAACCGTCGCCGGTCAACCATGTACCAACGCCGAGGTATCCCAGTTCACCAGCCTGACCTGTAATGCTCCAGCCGGCACTGGCCTTTCCAACGAGTTGATCGTCTCGATTGATGGCACACCATCACGCTCAATCAGCCTTGCCTACCTCCCACCCAACATCGTCTCTGTCGTCCAGAACGAGATGACCGTGACCATCACAGGTACCAACCTCGGATCAAACACCGCCGTCGCCTCCATTACCTATGGTACCTCGCAAGCAAATGCCAACGAAGCCACTGACACCTCCTTGGTTGGACCAATCCCCAACCAGGCCAAGAGTGGCAAGGTCTTCGTCAAGATTGACTCGCAGACCTCCAACGAGCTCGACATGACCCTCATCCCCATCCTCAAGGGTATTGGTTCAACCAGCACTGCTGGTGGCCAGATCGAGATCCAAGGTTACTTCCTCAATGGTGATCGCCAGAATGGTACCCAAACCGACATCCAGGTATCCTTTGGTTTTGCCTCTGGCGCGCAACCATGCACTCAGGCCCAGTACTCCAGGAGTGACTCACAGTACACTTACATTAGCTGCAAGGCTCCAGCAGGCACCGGTAGCAAGGTCACCGTCACAGTTACTATCGATGGCCAGTCCGACACTATCCCCTTCAGTTACGACGCCCCAACCCTCACCAGCATCGATGTTAGCACTTCCAACATGATCACCCTTACTGGTACCAACTTTGGCTCGAGCAGCTCCGACGTTGTCATCACCTACGGTGACAACCCCGTCGCCACTTTCACCCTGGTTGATGACACTCACATCAGATTCCAGGCACCCGCCGACGCAGTCAATGCCTTGGTCACAGTCAGTATCCAGGAGAGAACCTCCAACGGTCTCCGCGCCAACTTGTTCCCAATGATCTCTGTCGTCACAGGCTCAGATACCCAGGGAACATCTGTCACCATCACTGGTTCCTACTTGAACCGCTTCTCATACGGAAGTCGTGCCACTGAGGTCATCGTCCAGGTCGACTCTGCCAACTGCACTTCAGTGTCATGGCCATCAGACAACACCCAGCTTGTGTGCACTGCTCCACGCGGTACCGGTTTCGTCCACAAGATTGGCGTGTCAATCGATGGACGTGCTAGCAACCAGATCAACTTCAAGTACAACCTCCCAACAATCATCAACATCACCCAGAATGTCGATGTGATCACCATTTCTGGAACCAACTTTGGCACCAACTCTGCCCTCGTCTCGCTCTCCAACGGATACGCCATCAGCCAGATCACCGACTATACCATCGTTGCCACCCTCGCAACAAATGCCCTTAACAACTACTTCAACGTCTCTGTGGACTCACAGATCTCCAACCAGTTCTTGCTCCAGATCCAGCCAGTCATCACCAACACTCTTGGCGTGTCCCCATACGGTGGCAACGTCTTTATCCAGGGTCGCTACCTCAATGACCGCACTGGCTACGGCACCCCAACCACCATCGTCATCACCATTGGCGGACAGCCATGCACCTACAAGAGCACTCAAGGCAACAGCCAGATAATCTGTGAGCTCGACCAAGGCTCATTCAACTCTGTCACTGTCAACGTGACCATCGAGTCCAAGACCGGCCAAGGACTGTACTCTTCACTTGCCCCAGCTATTCTCTCGTCGACCAAGCTCTGGTACCAAGTTGTTGGTAACATCACCATCACCGGATCCTACTTCTACGCTCCAATCTCTGTAGCTGTCTCAGGTCTCGACTGCATCTACCCAGTTCTTGTCAACTCGACCACCATCACATGTCAGTACGACGCCACCTACCTCATCCCCAACAATGGTCTTCAGAACATCACCGTCACTTCGGCCTCCCTCAAGAATGCCAGCCCAGTCTTCTCCTACCTCGAGGAGGCATGTGACAACAACTGTACCGGTAACGGAGAGTGTATCTCTGGCCTGTGCAGATGTTTCGCCGGCTTCTCTGGCTCGCTCTGCAACGTCAAGTATGACGCCACCGTTATCCCAACTACCACCCGCCGCACTGCCGTGTTCATGTCCAACTCCACCTTTGGCATGTACCTTGAGGGAGTGAAGGAGGTCACACCACAGGGCACCACCGTCAAGTCGTTCAACATCAACAATGTGACCATGACATGGACCAACGTTGTTTCGCTCGACAACAACAACGTCACCCAGGTTGTGTCTTTGGCCGTTGCCAACGATGGCTCCTCATTCTCCGTTGAGATCGACTCGCTCCAGTACAAGGTCGACAACTTTGTCCAGTTCGTCGGACAAAACGTCAGCAACATTGCCAACAGCATTAAGCACCAGGTCAGATTGACCAACTGGACATTCGCCAACGCCGCCAACACCTTGCAGGTCATCTACAGAATCACATACCTCGAGTATGAGACATACGAGTGCAAGAACAGCAGCATTGCCCCAGCTTTCGTCATGAACAACATCACCGGTTCACTCAAGACCTTCACCATCGACACACCATACGGAGTGTTTGTTGGTAGTTTCTCCAACCGTCACATCGCAGACAAGGTCAACAAGTTGCTCAATGTCCAGCAAGTGCCCGCCGACGAGTCCTTCCCCGCCATCGATGGCTTGGGCAGCGTGCTCGTGGCTCTCAACATCCCATCATTCACCAAGCAGGCCTACTATGACCCAACATTCATCTCCTACTCCAAGGCCAACATTCCAGATTCCGATTGTGACACTCACAGCTCTGGAAAGTCTCGTTCATGGGTCCTACCCGTCGCCATCGTCCTTTCGATCGTTGGTGCTGCTCTCATCGGTCTTGCCGGTTACCTCGTATACCGTCGCAGACAAAGATCAATCAAACCATAATCAATCAATCAATGGGTCTGCCTACTACTCCAATTTAGTATAGAATAGAATAGAAATAAACTCCCCGATCATCACCTGATTGGCTATGTCCAGTCATCATCAATTCAATCAAACAATCACTCTTGGGATGGCTCATTCCACAATTGTTGTCGTCAATCAATCAATCAATTTAATTTGGTACGTCGTCATACCAATCATCATGTGTCCATGTCGTCAATCAATCAAATATTTAGAACTTGTCATTGGTTATCGCAGTGATCACTGGTGGTTCCAACTTGGCGGCAATAGGTTGATTGATCTTTGTGTCCAACTCTGTCTTTGACTTATCGGCAAACTTGAATTGATTCTTCTCCAAGTACTCTCTAGCCTCCTTATCACTTGAGAATCCCAACAGTGTTACCTGCTCAGTGAGTATCGTTGGACGGAACCTACAAGTGATGAATGTTAGTTAATTGTCCATCTTCCAATCCATTGATGTATACATATACATACGCCTTGAACAATGTTTGTAATCCAGTTATTCTTATCCTTGGTATGATCTTGTCGAGGATGTAGTTCTCCATGTTTAGGGACTGCTTACATAGACTGAAGAATCGAACGTAGTTGTTGTCAAAGAATGCAGTCCTTAGCCTGAGGGCATGTTTGACACATTCTTGCATGGCCAACTCCTTTGTGATCTCTGAGAATGTCTTTGTCATGTCCGTACTATTGTTCTGATAAATACAATACAATATCCTATAAGCAAAGAACTCTGCTACGCTTCCCTTGATACCTGGTATCTCATACAGCTCAAACAGTTGTGTCTGGCATTGATTAAATTGTCCAATGTCTCCCTACAAGATTGATTGATTGATTGATCGTTCATGTTAGTCATTCAATCAAAGTCCACTCCACGCCGTGCCAATGCAACATACATTCTCAAGTGCCAGACGAGCATGAGTCTCGTAGACATCAACTGTGAACTGGTTCTTGATGTTCTGGACACGCAAGTCTTGTCTCATTGATCTGAATTGCTCGCATGTGTAGGAGTAGTCCTCCTTAATCTTCCAATGTCGTTTCAGATGATCCAGTGTCTTTCTAAGTACTGGCTCGGGACGTACTGTTGAGGGATCGGGTGCCGACGTCAGCCTCAGATAAGGCTTCTCCAAATCATTCGATGTACCCTTGATCGTCATACTATCCCAGTTAAGTTCGCCACTGTCCGTATAAACTTGTACACCAGATGATGAATACATTGATGACGATGTTGATGATGTCGATGATGATGATGAGCCAGTACCAAACCTCTGTGCTCTCTTATTCATATTATTCTCTGTATCTTGGAACTCGCTAAAACACCAGGCATGTTAGTAATATGATCGATCAATCAAATGTACATCCACCAAGTACTTACAGATGTTTCCTCTTCTTATCAGCCTTTGTTAACTTCATCTTCTTTGTTGGTGACACCAATGGTACAACATCCTGTTTCCAAATGGATTGCTTCTCCCTGTTATTCATTGTTGTTGATGGGTCAGTCACAGTCAATCAACTCGCTCACTCACTCACTCACACTCCATCAATCAATCAATCCAAACTTACATTACAATGGTTGGCTCATTATCCCAATTGATTGAGTTAAAGTCTGGCCTCTTCTTGGCTTCGTTGATCACTTGTTTGACCTTGACCTGCATCTCGTCCAGGTCTGATGGCAAACATTTCTCCAATGCCCTGTTCACAAATCGATTGAGGCTCTCCTTGAACAACTTGGTCTTGTCATCCTCCAACAACTTCTTTTGTTTCGCTTGGAATGCCTGTTGCTTCTTTGTCAATGGCGCAGTAGGCTGTGCTGGTACCGTCTGAGCTGGCTGCTGGTATTGTTGAATATGTTGTGCCATTGTCATCTGTTGCGCGCCAGCTCCAACTCCAGCATTGTTGTGATTGCCCCAACTGTTTGTTGTTGTTGTTGACATGGTCTGCTGACCCTGACCCAGACCTTGGGTAGGCTGTTGGAGTGAGTTCTGTTGATATTGATAGTACTGCATGTTTTGCATCATCACTTGTTGTTGATTGACTGGTGAGGAGTTGACTGTGGCGGCTGGGGAGGACATGTCTGTAGTTGCCTTTTTGGATTTTGGTACGTAGACTGGTGGAGGCACAATAGTTGAGCTTGATGGTGATGGCTTCATCGAGAAACTTATTGGTTGAGTTGGTGTCTGTTGTTGGAGTTGTTGTTGTGGTTGAACTTGTTGTTGTTGACCTTGTTGTTGAACTTGTTGTTGTGGCTGTTGTTGATTATATTGCTGTTGTTGTTGATAATACTGTTGTTGTTGATACCAATATTGATATTGCTCTGCTGTATAAGTGTTGTTGTTATTCTGTTGTTGACCTTGTTGACCTTGAACTTGTTGCTGACCTTGAACTTGTTGTTGACCTTGTTGACCTTGTTGACCTTGAGGTTGCTGATACATTTGAGAATAGTATTGATTATAATATTGTTGATCGTATACTTGTTGTTGTTGTTGTTGACCATTGGTATTGGTAGCAGTAGTATTTGAATTGTTGGGCAACCAGTACTGACTTGTTGACTGTTGTGATTGTGGTGACACCATGCTTGACATCATCTGATTGCCTCCAGTGTTGTTGCCAATGTTATTCGCATACATACCTAATGGCAAAAGTAAAGCAATCTATTCAATTATATGTTTGTTCGTTCGTTCGTTCGTTCGTTCGTCCACCCGTATTGGTATTGATTGATTGATCAATGAGATACACAATATATATATATATAAACAGCAGCAACAAAGATGATGATGACCTCCAAGTGTGAATATGAATGACAGTGGCAGTGCCAGGGACCTATCTTAACTTCCTCCTTCTAAACCTTCACTAGTAGTAGTAATAAATATATTAAATTTGATTGATTGTTTAAACTTTAGATATGTATATATATCGGATTTATTGAATAACAACTTATATATATAACTAACTCTTCTTTCTTCCTTCTCTATCTCTCTTTATCTAGATATATATATATGTTAAGTGTATGTTTGTTTGATTGCTAGTAGAAATGAAACGAGATGGTTGATCACGTGACTTAATTCATCTCATTCATTTTGAGCCATGCATTCTCACACAAAGATGGAGAGTGCACAGTTGATTTTTGGTCTTTCATGATTCAAGCAAGTGAGAGGAACAAACATCAACTGTGCATGCACACTCACGAACACGAAGGTGATTGTTGGACTGGTCAAGGTCCTGACCTTCCAATCAATACTATATGAACAACCTATTCAAGATGGGTAATACGATAACAATCAAATGTTGATTGTTTATTTATACATGTTATATATATCATAATATATTATGTTTGTGTTGTTGTTGATGAATGAATGAATGAATGAATGAATGAAGTCACTTGACTTTCTTTTAGAATGCACCATCTTCATCATCGTCATCATCGTCGTCATCTTCCATTTGACTGTCGGTTGCTTTTCTTGACATTTCCTCCTCGCTCTCATCGTCGTCGTCGTCATCGTCGACAGCACCTCGGAGTACAGAGTCTGCCTTGTCATCGTCGTCATCATCGTCATCATCCATCTTGCTGTCATCATCATCGTCGTCGTCATCGTTGATGACCACACCAGCGCCGGCACCATTCAAAGGCATCTGCTGCATTGGCTTTTGCAATGCCTTTCCATCGCTGCCCAGTCCACCATCCTCTGACAGTGCACTGCTATTGTTGATGTTGCTACCATTGTTATTGATGATGTTGCCGCCACTGTTGTTGCTGTTGATGCCTGTGCCGATGGACAATGGTGAGCCGCCCGCCGCACTGTTTGCACCAGAGATGACACTCTTTTGAATGATGATCTTCTTCCTGAGTGCTGGCTTCTCCTCATTGGACGCTGTTGTAGTTGTCGTTGTCGTCGATGTTGTACTCGTTGTCGATGTACTACTACTCTCTACTACATCCTCTGGCTTTGAACCCGGACTCTCTGCCAACAACTTCTTTTGCAAGTTATCAATCCTTCTAACGTTACTCCTTGTCTTTGGCAGATTACTCAACATCATCATCTCCATCTCTGCATCGGCCAATGACTGTTCACCTCCTCTCTTCATTCATTCATACATAGGTTAGCAATGTGTTTGATTGATTGATTGACTGATTGAATGAATGATTGAGTACATACAGCACTAGTCTTTGATCTTGTCATTCTTATCGATGTTGTAGCAGGCTCAGTGTTTGTCTTGTTGGTCATTCCATCCTTTAATCCTTTATTCGCACCAGACTGTGATTGATTAGGCTTCTTTGGTTTCACTTGATGATCATGATGATGATGATGAATGTTAGAGATACATGTGAATCACACATGATATGAGAAGCGTGAACAAGAACATACATGGTATCCATTTATATAACTTCAAGTGAGCTACAGTTACCCACTTCCTCTCCCATTTAGTAACAGGTCCTTTGAGTGGTTGCTTCTTTGTAGATACAGCATTCTGTAAAGCTTGTTGATGTCTTGATCGATTCAAAGGATCTAAACGTGAAGACATTATTGATGTTCAATATTATGAGACCGACAGATTGATTGATTGTTTGAAAGTGATTAATTAATGCGTGTGAGGGTAAGGGTAAGGGCAAGGGTTTGTTTGTTTAAAAGTGAGTGGGCTGAAGAATGAATGAATGAAAGCGGGAATGATGATGAAACCCCATCAATGTTGACGTGACGACCAAACTTTCAAATTTTTGCTTTGCTGCTCTGTTTGATTGGTTTTCTCTCACAAGTCTGAGAGATGTGTTTCAGATTTATGACTTTGGACATAAGGTTGTTTGTCCAATGGTCATTCATAATCACAAATACACACCATTTATATATAGATAAGAGATATATACACAAGACAGACAAATATCATGTCTGTCAAAATTAATAGTAATGATTATATAAATAATGATAGTTTAAAGATTGAAATACCAATGACACCAACTACGTCCACGACCACAACGACAACAACGACGACTTCAACCACAATTCAATTGAACGATGATCAAGATGATGATGATAATAGTAATAATACAGATGACCTGGACAGCATTGACCTTGATGTCCCCAACAGCGACAACAAGGTCAACAACAACATTGATGGACACAGTGATGTTGTGAATAGTGAAGAGGAGAGAAGGCACATTGACAGTGATGATCATGATGAAGAAGATGATGAAGATGATGATGAACTTATCGATCAGAAAGCAGATATATTCATATCATCATTACAGATTAGTACACCTGCTTTGTATGATAACTATGGATTCATGGTCGAACCTGACTTGATACAGACACATCTTATTTATAAGGACAAAGTGTTGCTACATGAGAAACAACGCAAGATTGCATGGATGGCATATATCGAGACGAATCCTGGATCATTCCAAACACTCTCACTCAATCTACCTCCAATGTCATCGGTCAACACTACTTATCGTCTGGCATGTGCGCCCAAGCCACTAAAGGCAATGATACGCAAGGGTGTCCCCGCAGAGTTCCGCTCAACAGTATGGATGCGATGTAGTGGTGCCTATCTTCGTCTAAAGCGCAATCCAGATGAATACTACAATATATTGGAGGCATATCGCGGCAAGACATCAGTTGCCACCAAACAGATTGCACTGGACATTGATCGAACATTTCCCGATCATCAATATCTCAACACAAAGGAGCATCTCGATCAGCTGACCAATGTCTTGACCGCATATTCATGGAGGAATCGTTCGTATCCCATCTGGACTACATTCATTGATTGATCATTCATCCTAACACCCTGGAATCATTCCTCCCACCCTCCCTTCCCTTCCCTCTCCTCTCCCGTCCTCATCCTCCAGCCAAGGTCGGATATTGTCAATGTATGAACTTTATTGCTGGATACCTTCTGCTCCACATGAGTGAGCACGAAGCATATTGGGTATGTCTTTTCGCGACCAATTACTCCATCACTCATTCACTAATTCAATCACTCAAACATATTGATTTAGACACTGGTATCGATTATTGAGGATATATTACCAACTGAATATTTCACAACTACAATGATGGATCTTTCGGTGGACGTTAGATTCGTGTTTGGAGACCTTTTGGCCAAGAAGCTGCCACGACTACATAAGCATTTCCTTCAGATTGGTTTGACTCTACCATTAGTCATGACACAATGGTTCCTCTGTATATTAGCCACTGCCACACCGACCGAAGTATGTCCATCCACCAATCACTCAATCAATCAATCATCATTCATACTCACTAATTCACTCGATCAATCAAAGACAACATTTAGAATATGGGATGTATTCTTTAGTGAAGGATCCAAGGTATTGTTTAGAATTGGAATAGCATTGTTCAAAGTCAACGAAGAGAAGTTGCTATCCTGTAAAGAATATAACACTCTGTATAACCTGGTAAAGGTATGCTCTCACTCTCATTCAATCAATCAATCACTCAATCATACTCACCCGATCCAATCCAGAAAATACCATCAATTATGTATGATGCCGATGTGCTCATTGACTATGCATTTAGACGATGTGGAAAGTTCTCTATGAAGTCGATCAATCAGAAGAGAAATGAATGTCGTCCAATTGTCCAAGAGGAATATCTCTCATTCCAGATGATGAAGAGTGGTCTGAAGCGACAATCACAACAGATCACCAAACGAGAGTTGTCCTCATCATCCTTGAAGAAATGGAAGAACAAGTTCAAGGAGATATAGATTGATTGATTGATTGGTTGATGTTCGTCGACATGGCACGCCAGTCAGTCAGTCAGTCCGCCGACTTTATATTTATATATACTATGCTATACTATATGTACAACAAAGATAACAAGATTGGAGAGAATGGATAGCTCCATGTTTCTCCTCTTGCTTCCAAGGGTGATGTTCATTCATACATCGCTCGATCAATCAATCGTTCAATCTGATCTAGATCAATGATGCTTGGTTCGGGTTATTCTTGGACATCATGTTGTTGTTGCCATTGTTGTTGATGTTAATGTTGTTGCCTGGCATGGACATTGGCTTGGACATCATTGGACCTGAAGGTCCGCCTCCAAATGGATTGTTTTGGAACTGCATTGGTTGCTGTTGCTGTTGGTGCAGTGCTGGGAATTGAACGCCGCCATACTGTTGCTGGGGTTGTTGAACATGCATTCCCATGTTGTTGACTGTCGTTGGATATCCTTGTTGTTGTTGGAAGTTATTGATTGGTTGCATTTGTGGCTGGAATGGTTGGCCGCCAAAGGGATTGGAATTCACATTGACATTGTTGATTGGCTGTATTGGCTGTGTGACTGGATTGTTAAAGTATGGTGAGGAGAATGGATTGTTGAAGGGTGGAGGCATTGGTGCTGCCGCTGGCTTGTTGGCGACGGCAGTCTGTGGTTGCAGAGGTGTGGATTTACTCGTGGCAGGTGGTGGGATGAATGGTGAGTTCTGCTGTTGACTCTGTTGCTGCTGCTGCTGCTGATGTACAAATGGATTGGATGCTGTTGATGGTTGGAATGTTGGGGCTGGCATTAGTTGGAGTTGTTGTGACTGAGTCTGAGGCTGAGGCTGGGCCTGTTGCTGTGGCTGTTGTTGACTCCTATTCGCAATGAACAGATCGAACTCGTCAAAAGCATTGTTTGACTGCTGCTGCTGCTGCTGTGGCTGCTGTGGTTGCTGCTGCTGATGCAGTTGTTGTTGAGGTTGAGGTTGTGATTGTTGTCCAACCAAAGGTGATAGGAATGGATTGTATGTTTGTGGAGGAGGTGGTTTGTTGAGCAGAACAGGTTGTTGTTGTTGCTGTGGTTGTTGTTGGTATTGCATTTGTGGTTGTTGTTGTTGCTGGTACTGTGGTGGATACTGCTGTTGTTGTTGTTGTTGAGGATTATACATCACTGGCTGTTGACCGTAGACTACTGTCGGCGACGAAAAGTCAATATCGTTCAGCCCATTACCATTGGATGAGGGGACGGCCTTCTTCTCTGGCAATGGCAATGGCTTGAATCCATTGTCCTCGAACTGCTTTCGTCTGAGGCATGCATTGTCATAGTCGCCCAACGCCTTGACCAACTCATCGTTGAGCAGTAGCAAAGACTCCAACTCATTCTCTGATGCCGTTCCATTCGTAATGAGATCGGTAATCTTGGTTTGATTCTCTTTGAGAAGTGTTCGCAACTCCTGAAGCAGAGAGTTCTGGGATGGTGCCTCCTCCTCCACATTCAGGAATGATACCATCTCTTGGAATATGGATACACTGCCACGTATTGAAGCAATATCCTGTCGAACGGCTGTCATTGATGGCTGTGAATGTTGCTGTTGCGGCTGGTGTGACTGATGTGACTGATGAGTCGAGGGCACTGGTGCGGCTGAAGGGTGAGAACCCTGTGCTCGGACAGGTGTTGGTGCACCTCTATCACGATTAAAGTTGAGTACTGGAGCGTCTGGTCTCTTTGGAGGGAATCTATGTCCAGAGCGTCTCAAGAATGAATATGAATCGTAGAAGCCTGGAATATCGTGGCGGTACTGGAATGCCAATCCCCAAGTCTCCACCAACTCTAATGCCTTCTCCTTCACATTATCCTTTGTCTAATAATGATTGATTGAATGAATGATGAATGAGTTAGAACAAGTGATGGCGAGGTTATCAATCACACTTCCACGCCAATCCCCTCGCACTAACCTTTTTGTTCATGATCAATTTGGCCAACTCTGTTTGGAATGTAGACTCGCCAAATGCCTCATGGGTACATATGCAGTTCTGGACCAATGATTCTGAGAGTTCCAAAGCCAACATTACCACTCTTGACTTCTCCTTGAATCTTCTTAATATTGCCCTAACAACTGGTCGAGCACTATTCCAATGAATCAATGAATGAATGAATGAGATTAGTCAACTTGGATTATACATTTGGCTGACAGAACATACTTTGTTGGATGACTATTTAATGAATCACATATTTGTAGACATGTTGTCCAATCCATTTGAATCAAGTATTCAGATGTGGCCTTGTCGACCAAGTCTGCTGGATTAGTTGGTGCCATTATTATAATATATTATTTGTGTTTGATTGAGTATTCGATCGATTTATTTATATATATATATATATTTGTTATGTATGTGTATGTACAAATAATTATGTTATGTATTTACTTTGTTTGTATTTGATAATATGTAATGTAATATTGAATGACGCGTTTGTTGTTGATCATGATGCACAACAACACGTGAGACAGAACAAATGAATGTATGAAGTTGTAATCCTCCATCTGGAGGATCGGGGGAACTGTTATGCACCGATCTGAGTCGTGGTGTTGACTGACTGAACTGACTCACATAATCAAACCATCCATCTCAAATTGGAAGTGAGCGTGTATGCGCGTGGGTGTAAGTGTGTTGAGGCGATGACGAAGAGCAGTTCGAGCAAGGTCTACCTTGAAAGACCCAGGGAAGGCAACAACACTTTGTATTTGTTTTTGTTGTTTTATCTCTTTGTTGTATCTTCTTTTGTTGGACAACATGTATCGTATTGCAACTGAACAAAACGATTAGTTTGTATACTTTGTTAATCATTGATTGAATGAATGATTGAATGATTGAATGATTTAAGGCAACTATGTAATGGTTGTTCGTTATGCTATATATATATATATCAGAGGTCATTTGTTTATTGCAATGGTACTTCCTCAACGGTAACATGGGTTCTTGCCTACAATGAATGAATGAATAAACGAATGAATGAATGAATGATTGAGCGTGAGTAAATACAAATAACTCGTGGGTATAATATATGTGCTGTTGTCTGCTGTTGTCATTGCCTGTCGTATGTATGTATGTATGTATGAATAATGTTGACTGGCTTACCCTGTGAATCATTCCTCTAATCTGTGGAGTGTTCTTGTGAACGATTGATCTATGACGCTTCTTCAGACCCAGTGCAGCGATGGTGCCACGCACCTCGGGATCGCCGTGGAATGGACTCTTGTGCAATGTGATCTTTACCAAACCTGCAGGCACTGATGGCAACTCCTTGATCAGATTGTCTGGCAGTGACTCTACAATATACTCTGGGAACTGTGTCAACAGTCCATGTGGGATATGTCTAAATGTCTTCTTCCTCAGCAATTGTTGGAATGATGAACTTAATGTCTTTGAAGCTCCTGTTGCTATCGATGACATCTTTATATCTTATATATATATATATTCTCTGTTTAGATCTAAGTAGTAGTAATGACGTCTATCTCTGTGACCTAGTTTCACAATCAACTCATTCAGTCGCATTGTGTCGATCATACACGATTATCCTTCGTTTTTTGAAATTTTTGCTTCCCAAGTATTAGTGATCACTTTATCCTTTTACATCTAAGCTCACCAGTAATATTGATCAATTGATGGATAGATAGGGTTACAGGAATGGATCCTTTATTATAGATAGACTGATTGATTGATTGATTGATTAATTGGAGGTTTTATTTCAAGAATAGTTCCAAAATATGATCATTGGAATAAATCCATATATATATTAGATTGATTGACTGATTTAGGATAATAGAACTTGTTATATTCTTCAAGGATAAATATTGTTGTCTTTGTTTAGAACAAAGAAGAGGCTTGCCAAGACATCAATCTTTTGAATAGTTGAAAGAAATTGCAAGTTGCCAGCCCATCAGATTTTTTGAAAGTGAGAACAAAAATGAAGCAGTGAATAGCCATCCAAACAATCAATCAACATCACTATTGTGATAGATACATATACATTCATACATAAATATAGAGATAGAGACAGATATGGAGGAGACATTAAAGAAAAAGAAATCGATATTCTTCCCAGATGACGATAGGAATACATCACAACAGGATTTGAGCAGCTTTACAAAGCGTGCCACTATTTCAAAGCCTGCTAATGCTCGTGAGGGTGAGCTGTCACAGATGGAGGACACAGAGTCCGAGCAGAAGTATCAAGAGATCATAGAGTTGTTGGTCACTGGTGGTTACTTCCGTGCACGTATCCAAGGTCTGTCACCATTCGACAAGGTAGTCGGTGGTATGGCCTGGTCCATCACTGCCTCCAACGTCGATGTCGATGGTGATCTCTTCTTCCAAGAGAACTCAAACATTGGTCAAAGGATGTATGTTGTTCATATTCATACATTCAATCAATCAATCAATCATACTTACTCAATCAATCAAACATAGTGCACTGTCTGAAGAGTTGATTAAAGCTTTGAATAGGATGAAGTGCCCATTCCCTTTGCAGGCACAACAGATTCAGGGTCTGAACTATATCAACTTGTTCCCTATTATTAGATGGTTGATTGCCAAGGTCATTGAGACTCGTGAGGAGACTGGTGATCTGCTGAGGATGTACTCACAGACAATGTTCAACAAGGATCATCAGGCACCACACGACGTCGAGACCTCGGAGAACCTGGCCCACTCATGCACCTTTGTCGACACGGTCGAAGACCGCTACAAGCCTCAGCGCAAGTTCCGTCGCGGCCAATCTGCCCATCCCACGCCTCAACAGACCTTGCTCGAGTATGGAAAGCTGCACAGACTGTCACGTGCTCAGCCTGTCGAGAAGTCGGCCAATGCCGCAAAGCTCGAGGCTGCGCTGGCCAAAGATGGCTCGGACAACCACGAGGAGGAGGAGAAGCGCATCAACATGATGATGAAGGGCATGAAGGACGTGGACATTAATGGCGCCTACAAGGTCAGCGGCGGCATCCTCAAGAACTACCTGCCCTCTGACGAGATCAGCGATTTGGCTGAGCGCTACGGCGACGGCACAGAGGACCCTGCCACGCAGGGCAAGGCATTTGGAGAGAAGCTGCACAGACAAAAGGTGGCGGCACTCGAGAAGCAGATGGGTCAGCGTCGCGAGGAACTCAAGGATGTGCTGGCCAAGCACCGCGAGCTGCAGGAGCGTCTGGAGGAGCTGCAGGCCGAGGTGGCCAAGCGCGCTGCCTTCAACGAGAGGATCATCGTCGAGACACAGAAGCTGGACGCCCTAGAGACGCCCGAGAACACCAAGATGCTGCGCGCACTGCGTGGCCTTGTCCTCCTCAACGAGACATTGATCTCGCAGGAGGCCAAGTTTAAGGACTCGTGCAAGCGACAGATGCTCGAGTACAAACAAAAGATCGACGAGCTGCTCAAGGATGACGACGACGAGGACGACGACAGGAAGAAGCAGATCGACGCCGCATTCGCCACAGACATTGACAAGCTGCAGAAGCTGAAGCAGCTGCTCAACAAGAAGAACAGAGACATCTCGCTGCTGCAGCGCTACCTGGACGAGCTGCCCAGCCGTGCCGAGCTGCTGCAGTACCAGCGCATGTTTGTCGAGTTGTCCGAGCAGAGCGACGCCAAGCTGACCGAGACGCGCCAGTACTACACGACCTACAACACGTTGGAGGACAAGCGTGCGCTGCTCGACAACGAGCTGTCCATCCTACAATCGATTCTGACCAAGTACAACGTGGCCATGTCATCCAAGAACAACAAGGAGATGTTTATCAACTCGATGGACAACATCATCGATGGCATTCAATCAGTGTTGGACAAGTCCGAAGGCAAGCGTTCAAACGAGAAGCACAAGTACGGCACACTATCCGACCAGTACATGCAGTTGATCGAACAGGAGAGAAGCTATCACAAGTACACCAAGGAGTTCCAAGACGAGTGTCGTAAGAATGAACTCCTTCAGGCCAAGCTTGGTGAGTTGTCGGCACAGTAGATCCATCGTCCGTCCATCTCTCCTTCTTCTCTCTTTCTGGTCGTCCAAGGGAGTTGATCAACTCCCAATCCCAATCCCTATCCACAATCGAATCCAATGTAATAATAAAAAGGACTCTCCTATTCAATGATTGATTGATTGTTTGAGTGAGTGCAAAGATCCAACTCTTTGACACAAGCATTCCGTGTTTCCGTGTTTCCTTGTTTCCACACCTCGCCACCACCCACTGTCGCGACAGTCGTTTTGGTTCAAAGTCAGACTCGACCTTCATTCAATCAATCAATCAATCAAACATATAACATACATATACATACATACATATAAGGATGATATCTACAACATTAAGACAATGTTGCAAGAGCAATAGTTCATCATCACTTATGATGAGATACTTGTCAGGCTCACAGAGAATCAGCTCAACAACAACAACATTCAAGAAAGTTGGACCATCATCTCTCACTGGCATTGCATCATCGTCATCATCAATCAAACCATATACTCTGAGACACTACTCTGTGTCTTCATCATCATCAGGTTCATCAGACTCCTCGAACAATACCAACAACACATCATCATCAACAACATCAGAGCAACAAAAGACTGAAGAACAACCTCAGGATCTTAGACAGGTTGTTTTGGATCGTGCGATGCAATACGTGCCACTGTATGGTTGGTCCGAAGCTGCAATCGCTAAAGCATGTACAGACCTTGGCTATGCACCAACGATGCACGGTCTGTTTGAGAATGGAGGCTACGATCTGGCATTCCACTTTGTCAACAGGTGCAACAAACAGCTCAAGGAGAAGTTGTCTGGTGACGTGCTTGCCACCCTCACACAGCGCGAGCGCGTCAAGATGGTGATCAAGGTCCGTCTGTCCATGATCACACCCTACCTCAACCGATGGGCTGAGGCCATGCAACTCCTTGCACATCCCTCCAACCTCACAACCAGTGCTCCATCCATGGCCTCACTCGTCGATGAGATATGGCACCTTGTAGACGACCGTTCGACCGATGTAAGTTATCCGTCCAGCTTATGAGACGGAGGATGGGGACGAGAGGACGACAACTGACCTGTCATCAATCAATCAATCACTTTTAGTTTGAATGGTACACCAAGAGAGGCTTGCTGGCCGCGTTGTACACCTCATCCGAGCTGTACATGCTCAATGACACATCGCCAGAGCACAAGGACACATGGCGCTTTGTGGACGACCGTGTAGACGACATGGTCTCACTGCTAAAGTTCAATAGAGATGTATGTACATGGTGATGGGCAAGCTCAAAGGGATCTTTATTGCTAACGAGACATGCACACGCACACGTACACATGCACACAGATTGGCGAGTCGGCTGCGCTGACAGCAAACATGTTGCTAAACTACATCAATGGCAAGAGACGTTGAGAGTGAGTCTGTCTGTCTGCAGACTGGATATGGATATCCAGACCGCGGTCTTTATGTCACACACAATGACAAGGAGAAGGCGCCAGCTTGCGACCTTTGGTGTGTCCCGCTCAGTGACTGAGCGCGGGCGTCCCAGTCATTAAACCCTCACCCATCCATCTATAGCCTATCTAGCTTCAATGGAGGATACTGTTGATTGACATGCGACTATTGTTGTTGTTGTTGTTGTTGATGTTGTTTAGCTCCATTTGTTGCTGGGACACTACGTTTGGAGTGGTGGTCGTCGAGTTACCGCCGCCATTGCCACTTCCTGTGGACATTGAGGATGGTGGCGGTGGAGTTGGTAGCAAAGCAGAGTTGTTGGACGATGACGTTGAGGAGAGGAATGATACATTGGACAGCGATCCCGACAATGATGGAGGGGATCGGGTGGGTGTCACCAGTGACAGTGACTTGTTCTGGGTCTGGCTCTGTAGCAACTGATGCTGTTGGTTGTTGTATTGATGGTTGTTGGTGGTAGTCGTGGTATTGGCCTGCACACCACGCTGCTGCTGGGTACTTTGCTTTACATTGTCCTCCAGTGCTTGGATCTCATTGATGAACGTATCTTTGAGCAGTATCTTTCTTTGGAGTGGCGTGGACAACATATCACTCATAGACTCGCGCAGATCCTCTGATAAGTCTCCGCTCATGAAGTTCTTGACGATACCCTTCTCCATGTCACTCTTAAAGCCCTCAACGCTCAACTTTACGTTCTTCAATTGCATCTTTAGCTCGTTAAGCTCCTCAATGAGCTTCTCCTTCTCCTTCTGGTAGTTCTGGCCATCTGGAAATGAATGGAATGGTCCAAATATGTTAGTAATTGGTTGTTCCATATTATGATCAATCACTTACTCTTTTTAAACTTGTCATCTTCATCATCTTTGGAGCGCTTCCTCTTCTCTCCACTCGCACTGGAATTGCCTCCAGAGCCTGAACCAGCACCAGCACCGGTGCCAGAGCCTGCGCCAGAGATACCAGGGAGCAAAGTGCCAGGGGGCTGACTGATGGAGCTCTTGCGTACTACCTTCTTCTTTTGCATGGCCCATGGATCATCACTTTGTTTCAGTTTCCAGAAGCCATTCTGACGGAAGTGTTCCATGCCAGACTCGAACAGGTCCTTGCTGTGGCTCAACATGTCCTGGATTTGCTTCTTCCAGTTGTCCGATCGTTTCCGGTTGATACACAGTCGCTCCCAATGTGACATCATGAAACCGTACACCTCGGTCTTGAGATTGAAGAACTCCTTGCTCGGTTGGTTGGCCTTGAGTGAGTAGAAGACAACCCGCATGATGATGGCCCATGTCGGGTTCTTGATCAGAATAGGTGGGCTGCCCTCCCGACACATCTTGCAGTATGTCAGTTGGCACCGTGGCTCGGACTTGCCGCCAGATGGTACTGATATGGCCACACTGCTTCCAATCTGTGGTGTCATTGGTGGGGACAACTTGGAGGCGCCCTTGACCAGGGGCGTGGAGGGACAACTTCTCGAGAGGGGGTTAACACTGAACATGTCTGGAGAAGTGGCAGGCGATTCAGTTGTGGGCGACGAGAATTGCTCCTCGTGAATGGACAGGTATTCGGATGGTGGCGGTGACATGCTCTTGTGATGGTGATGTTGGTGTTGCTGGTGTGGATGTTGTTGGTGGTGATGTTGTTGCTGGTGATGGTATTGTCCGCCGCCGTGATGTGGTAGTATAGCGCTCTTGCTCAAGCCATTTGATGATGATGGTGTCATGGGCTTACACAGTGCATTGTTGTTGTTATTATTGTTGTTATTGTTGTTGTTGAGTTGGAATGAGTTTGATGATGACTGGCCAATGAAATGCTTCGAGCTGTCGGTCGAGCTGAAGTTGGGAGTGGTGTTGGTCGACAGGTATTGTGGTGTGGAGAAGATCGAGGAGGTGGTGGACGACGACGATGACAGTGGAGACATCAATGATGGAATCTCTGGCGATAGTATATTGGGATAAGACGATCGATCTCGGAGTGAATGTGGTTGTTGGTCATTGTGTGGACCATGGTTGTTGTTGTTGCTATTGATTATCAGTTGTGAGAGATGGTGTGATGGAGGCGAGAGTGCTTGGTTACGCATCGAAGGTGTATAACTGGGTGGCGGGTAGTCGTCGGACAATAGACTAGTAATCGAGTTGGCGGTGTGTTGCGAAGGGGAGGGCGGGGGTGGGGGCAGGGAGCCGTTGGACTTGGTTAGGAATAAGTCCTTGAGTGAATGACCATGTTGTTGTTGTTGTTGCTGCTGCTGTTGTTGGGATTGATGCTGTTGATGATGCTGTTGTTGATGATGATGGCTAAGTTGGTGATGAGGATGATTGGGATATGATGGTATCATCCCATTTTGGTTGAGTGGCTCCATGGCTCCCAAAGGGCGGAGTTCCAGGATGGTGGTGGAGGTGAGAGGAGTTGGAGACTTGGATTGATCAATCTAGTTGGTTGGATGAATTATTTGGAAAGCTGAGGAGAGGAATTAACCTGTGGAGAGATCAAGGGTTGTTGGCTGGATGCTGATTGATTGAGTATGGTTGTCTGATGTGGATGTCCTTGGGTTAAGTGTGGATAGATATTATTATTGTTATTGTTGTTGTTTAATTAATTTACTTGGACAAACGAGTAGTCTTTAGTCCTATTCTAAGATCCAAGAGTTGCAAATAATATTAAACCAAAAACCAACTATAGTAGTTGAGAGTAGAGATGAGATGAGTGGAAGTGGAGTGATTGGAATGCAACAACAAGTGAGAGAGAGAGAGAGAAGTGTAAGTGTACGGTGGAAATTAGGTAGGTTGGGGTGCCCTTGGAACATGACCACCCAGCCATCAATGGGCCAACCTGCCCATATCCATCCACTGTTCTTTCTCTGTTGGATACCATACACCATGAAGGAGTTGGCCACCATCAATCCATGTCTGTCTGTGTGTTGCGTTTGTTGTTGTTGCTGTTGTTGTGATCATGAGATTGTGTGATTAAGGTTTGTGTGATGGTCCTCTACTCACTACAACTCTGCTCTGCTACACATGATTGATCATCCATTCCATTCCACGTGCTGATGTGTTGCGTCTGTTGGTACTATCGCCACTGCTCTCTCTCTCTTTTAAAATTTTAATTGAAGAGGTTGGTTAACTTGTGGAGTTTGACAATAGAGGAGCGCGAGAGGAGCGACCGCGCGCATCACTGTGATTCAGTCAGTCAGTGTTAATGAGTGAGCACACCTAACGAAACACATAACAATAATTATATGTTTGTGATCTTAAAAGGAGAGACGGCGAAAGCAACATCCATACATCAGGAAGGAACAAACGATCAGTCAGGTGAATGTGTGTGGTAGTGAGCACCTGATGATGAACTTGTGTGTTTATGTTTGTGTGTGTGTTTGATCACAAGTGTGTTGGCGATAATAGCAGTTAGAGTGATGGGGTACTGATATGTGTGTGAATGTTAATGAGTTAGAGTAAGTAGCATGCGAGTGGTATCAACTAATGATCCTCATGGTCATGGCAGTGGCCGTGGTCACGAGCCTTTATTCACTCCACCATGGAAGTGCCCGCCCATTCATTCACTCATTCATTCATTCATTCCATTGTCATTGATAACAATAATGTTGTGGATGTACACAGATAGAGCTAAGCTGGCCAAAGCAGTTGCCGCCCTCTGTGATGTGAAGCATTTATATCTATCGATACATGGTAGGTAGGTCGCTACTAACTCACTCACCATTCGCACTATAAAGTAAACAAGCAGATAGCAGAAGTAATAGTCCGTCCAATATCAACCAGAGCACTTCTGGCGGGCATCTCCAACTGAGAGAGAGAGAGGGCGTTGTTGCCATTGTTGTTTGATTCGATATGTAGGTGTTTGATCACTTGGGAACGATTGGTCGACTCCAATCTGGACGGGCAAGGTAGACGGCATCCATCCCTCCACCTATTGTGCGGGATGTGGATTCCACCAACAACGTCCAGTCTCTAAACCTCTTCTTGGTTGGTCCATAAATAGAATATGGGATGGGGATGGGATGGATTGATAGTTTGATCAACCCATGCATGTTGAATGAGCCAACAGTAAGTCGTGTGCTATCCTATACCAAGGAGTAGACCAAGGCTGGGGGGATGATGGCCATTGGCTGATTGATGGAGATCAATCACTCCACAACATCTGTGTAGTGATTGTGTTGTAGGTGACAGTGCCAGGCAGGTGCGCGCCACACTACATATAACTACAGCTACAACTTTACATCGATGACACAAACGGTACTGTCGGAGAAACAAGCAGAGAGTCTGTCGCCACTTGGATTCCAGCTGATGTCGAAGATTCCTCCATTTCCTTTGTACGTCTTGACAACGCTTCCATCCTTGATCGACCAGATGTACAGACACTTGTCGAATGATCCACTGGCCAGATACTCTCCATTCGGACTGAATGCCACAGAGTACACGGGGTCTGAATGCTTGTCCAAGTCCAACACACAAGTGCTTGTCTCCACATCCCATAACTTGACCGTGTTGTCAAATGATGCACTGGCCAACAACAATGACTTGTTGGGATTGGCTGATCCCGGTCCTGTTGGACTCCACTTGATCGTATATATACCTTGAGTATGTTTCTTAAGGTCCTGGACAAAGGTATCACTGTTCATGTTCCATATCTAATTGGTTGATTGGATGTTAGCGCGACCATGTGTGATTGATTGATTGATTGATTGAATGAGTGTACATACCTTGGCAGTGTAGTCGTCGGAACATGATGCCAATAGGCGCCCGGATGGATCCCATTTGATGGCGTTGATCTCATCTTGATGGCCAAGGAATGTCTTGATTGGTGTGGTCTTGCCAAGCTCGCACACGTGTATGGTCTGATCAGTGGAGCACGATGCAAATTGATGATTGTTACGCCAATCAATGTCCAAGGTGGGCGCCTGATGGAATTCAAACTGCTGCAACATCTCACCTGTTGTCATATCCCAAACGATCGAAGTCTTGTCCACAGAACCACTGAGCAAGTAATCACCGCGTTGATTCCACCGCAGTGTAAAGATGGGAGCTCTATGCTGTGTCAGTCTATGTAACAGCTCTCCCTTGTTTGACCAAACTCTCGCAATCCCATCATATGATCCAGTTGCCAACATTGCTCCATTGACCTAGTTTGGATGGTTTGAGAGGAAAGGGTCAGTCATGGATGTGAGTGATCGATCAATGATCCAGGGGATTGATCCCTTACATTCCAATCCAAGGTGGTGACATCGATGGCTTTCTCAGAGTCTGTCATGCATTGATGATCCAAAACGATTGATGGTACGAGTGCTCCGGATGAGCGAGTGACATTGGAGAGATCCCAAATGCGAGCGGTACTATCACCACTTCCAGAGGCCAGTAACAACATCTTTGGATTCCATTCACAAATGAACACTTCATTCTTATGTCCCTCCAATATAATCACTTGATCATTCGATATCTCTTTCTTATCATTCTCTTTCTCCTTCTCCTTCTCCTTGTCCTTGTCTTTATCTTTGTCAATGTCCATGTCATTTCTCTCCTTTGTCTTTGTCCTCTCCTTCTCCTTGTCCTTGTCTCTGTCCTTGTCCTTGTCTTTAGATCTCTCTTTGTCCTTGTCCTTGTCCTTCTCTGGATGTGATGTGATGTATTAGTCAGTCAATCAATCTTGAGATGAGCGCGAAGAGTCCAACCTGGGCATGCCCAGCCAGGTCCACGCCTTCTCACTCACACACTCACGCGCAATGAGATACATACTGCTATCCCTCATCTTTACATCATTGTCCTTGCTCTTGTTCTTCTCTTGTACCTTGTCCTTGTTCTTGTGTCTGTCTCTATCTCTATCTTTATCTCTATCCTTCTCTCGCTCTTTATGTTTGTCATTCTCTCTCTCTCTCTCCTTCTTTGAGGCTGGCACCACCAGCACTTTACTACAGACATGTTGTAATACTAGAGAGAAAGACTCTGTGCATTGTGACTCTGAGCCATCGTCCATCAAATGTGTCTCGACCTGTGTGTATTGTAATCCTTTCTGAAGGTATGTGACCAACTTGCCATGAGGTAGCTCCTCTGCCAGTTGAGCAATACTAGATCTTGCCACATTACTCTCATTAAAGAATGCGAATGCTGCATGATTATATCCAGACTCTTGCAAGTATTTATATACCAATAAGTTGACTTCGTCACTTGTTATACTCATTATATTGATTTGATATGATTGTATGTTTGATAAAGTTGTTTGATTGATTGATTGTATGATTGATTGATTGATTGTATTATTGATGCACTGCTACCGCCGCCGTTGCCGTTGCTGCTGCTAATGCTGCTACATGTATCTATGTTGTAGATGTAGTTGTAGTATCTGTACGCCCCTTCAGGGTTCAATGATTGATTGAATGAGCAAATGAAAGTGTGGCGCCAAAAATGAAGATTGTCTCACTTTTATTAACTTTTTGGTGAAGTTGATTGATTGATTGATTGATTGGTTGGTTGTGTTTGATTGATGGAGTGGCTGGATGGATGGATGGAGTGATGAATGAATACGACACTATTGTTGTGTTGTTTGTGTGCTTATTGTTGAGGCAGAGGGTACCATGGCCAACTACTTTCCCCAGAGATCTTCTGATACTGCTTAGTCGTTGGATTATGGAACACTCACTTTACCAACTCAGTGTCTCTGGGAAATACTTCTTGATCAAGGATTGATAGTATGGACGAAGTTTCTCAACATCGACTGGCTCAGCATCCTTGGAGTATAGGTCAAACTAAAGTTGATTGATTGATTGATTGAACGAGTGAGTGGATTGAAGTATTGATTGAATGATTGAGTGATGGAGGAAGTACTTACCATGTTAAAGTCTTTGACCCATTTTAACATGGACTCATCTTTGGCGTTGGTAATATGTTTGTACTGGCCTTGTTTATGCCATGGATAGAATGAGTGGAATCGGATGATGTATAATGCCTCCTCTGGCAACGTTGCTTTGTTTCCAAGGCATACTTGATACAAGTATTCATCATGACCCCAACTCATAACAACATTCTCCAATCCACAATTACGTTCATATACTCCACACTCTGTATTATACTTTGGATTATCATTATCTGGATTATCCTTAAAGTATTCATAGAATATATTGCTCTCTAAATTGATTGATTGAGTCAGTACATTATAGTGGAATTATTCCACCGGGTGGATGAATCAAACATACCATCGAATCTACAACCAAGAGGGAATGTATCACCGACTACAGCCCATTGTGGTTGGTTTTGGAACTTGTCGGTGAGTAGGATCTTGCCGAGGTCGTGGATGAAGCCGGTGAGATGGAACCAGTCGTACTTCTCACCGGGGTACACCTTGCGTATGGCCTCAGCCGTCTGCATTAGATGATTGATTTGTGGTATGTCCGAGTCGGGGTCCGACTCATCGACGATCGTATTCAATAGTTCGGCCGCCTCCCATATCGACATTTGGACACCAGATGACAATGCCTTGTAATGTGCCAACTTCTCAGAGGCATACTCAAAAGTCTGCAGCGTATGACTATTCTTATAAGCTCTTGACACTGTATCCTGTAGATGACTATTCTCATAATTTCTAAAGTCCTCCACATCCTTTGTCGGTAAGAACGATGGTTTATTCTCTTCGTTCTGTATCATTATTAATATTTGTTCTTTGTTTTTGTTCGTTATTGTTTAATTGATTAATATTAATATTACTTAAGTATTATTATTATTATTATTACAAGTATTATTTGTATGTTTGAGTATAAGTTTGGGAGTTGAAGTGAAATTAGTGAGGTTGAAAGGAAGTTGAATTGGTTACGTTCACACCACATAGTTGTTTGATCATTAATTCATTCATTCATTCATACACACTCTCTCCCCAACTAACTAACCTACCACACACTAAACAATAGATTACACTTCAACAACAGGCCCCGACAACGATTGTCGTACAACTACGGCCAATATATCTTGAGTGAAAAATCTGTTTAACCAGGGAGACATCCCCAAAAAGTGTGGAGTCATGCCCAGTCAAAAATAGTAATATTAAACAATCAATCATTATCAAGTCTTCATAATTATGTTTTAAAGAATGATCAACAACAAATAAGAATTGAGGCAATGCAATTGTATTATTGGGAGTTTGAATGATGCATGATTGATTGTAGTGTGTGTGTGTGTGGCTTGGTGGAGAAAGAAGTGTGTGGACCCCATCACATCAACACACAAACAAATAAAGATGGCGGTGGATGGAATAGAGATAATAACGGCTAACCAAGTGTGTTTTGAGTGTGTATGTGTGTTTGCGATCCAAAGGGTGTACGATTGTACAATCGTTCGAGATTGGTTGGTGCAGAGTCCAAACGCCACAGTCACATTCATCCTTTCTACCTTCTGTGCCCTCTCCCTAATCGGTGTTTGTTGTTTATTATTGTAGTTGCTCAATCACCTGATCAGTGTGATCCTGATCGTGTTGTTGAGGCCTGCCCGTACTCAAGCCCAAACCCATCAATCCATTCTTTCATTCATTCTTTCAACCAATCAATCAATCAATCAGTCAATCAAACAAACTACCAGACTAATAAATAATAATTTATAATTATACGTCATCATCATGGGCAAATCATTGAGTAAGGCCAAGTCCTCATCATCTCCATCATCATCAAAGAATAAGAATAAGGAGTCAACAAAGAATAGTTCATTAAACAGAGGCAATAGTGGCAACAATAATACAGGTGTTGTTGGTGTGACAAAGGGATCGAATGAGGCGAGCAAGGCAACAGTCGATGTGAACAACACCAAGTCAACAACAACAACAAATGTTGTGTCAGACCATCCCACCGCACAACCTCAACCTACAACAATCAGTATCACATCATCATCTTCATCATCAACAATCAACAACAACAACAATGTACATGTTCAGCCGCCACAACCACAGAGTACATCATCATCGTCAGCGACACCAGTGAATAATAATACACCTCGTAATACTCAGACTGATCAGAGTAGCAGTGTGACGACGGACGATGAGGATGATGAGGGACCAGAGGAGATCATATTCTCAAAGACAAAGCAGACGGTCACCAAGGACGACTTTGAGTTGATGCACGTCATTGGCAAGGGCAGCTTTGGCAAGGTGATGCAGGTGCGCAAGAAGGACGACAACAAGATCTTTGCGATGAAGGTGCTGCGAAAGGAGGCCATCATCGCGCGCAAGCAGGTCACTCATACCAAGTCCGAGAAGACCATCCTGCAGGCCATCTCACATCCATTCATCGTCAATCTGCACTACGCCTTCCAGACCAAGGACAAGCTGTACATGGTTCTGGACTATGTCAATGGCGGCGAGTTGTTCTTCCATCTGAAGCGCGAGGGTCGTTTCTCCGAGCCGCGCGTCAAGTTGTACGCGGCCGAGATAGTGTCGGCGCTGGCACACCTCCACAAGCAAGACATTGTCTACAGGGACTTGAAGCCAGAGAACATTCTACTCGACTCTGAGGGACATATATGCATCACAGACTTTGGACTGTCCAAGAAGATCGAGACGACCGATGGAACATTCACATTCTGTGGCACTCCCGAGTACCTCGCTCCCGAAGTACTCAATGGACATGGTCACGGATGTGCCGTCGACTGGTGGAGCTTAGGTACACTCCTTTATGAGATGTTGACTGGTCTGGTAAGTGTTTGCCTTCACTCAATCACACTTGGAATCATTCCAATCACTCACTAACCAACTCAATCAAATCACTCCTGGAATCATCCCAATCACTCAATCAATCAATGTAGCCTCCATTCTATTCACAGAATATATCGATGATGTATCAGAAGATATTGAATGGCGAGTTGAAGATACCAAGTTATATATCTCCGGAAGCTAAATCATTCCTGGAGAGTCTGTTGACAAGGGATGTTGATAGAAGATTGGGATCAAATGGAGGAGGCGAAGTGATGAATCATCCATGGTTCAAGAGTATTAATTGGGAGATGCTCGATCGCAAGGAGATTGAAGTGCACTTCAAGCCCAAGGTCAAGTCAGAGGGTGACATCAGTCAGATCGATCCATTGTTCACTCAAGAGCGGCCACTGGACAGCATGGTGGAGACATCAGCATTGACCGATGCCATGAGCAAAGACAACAGTTTTGAAGGCTTCACATATGTGGCCGACTCTGTTTTGAAAGCCTAGGCATGGCATAGGACTTGGAGTTGGAGTTGGAGGGAGTGGTCATGAGTGGATGACGTAGTTCATTCGCCATCATCATGTGGAAATAACAACTTTGTATTATATTATTACAACCTGGATTGTCGGCATGGAGGTCTCTTTCTCTTTCTCACGCTCCCATCACATGTTCTACATCTAACAAATAGTAGATGACAATGGCAACGTTGTGGCTGACTATCACCTCACACTCACACTCATACACATCAACTTCCAACTTCCACATCACACTTTCATTCGCCACACATACACCCATCACGTGCCTTCATCAATTTGTGTGAGTGAGGGAATAGAGTTATAAATATAACATTGTGTCGGGCGATGGTGTTTGATGTGGAGGGAGTACCAATGCACAGGCATCATCCGAATCGATGATGTTTGATTGATATTACGAAGGTGTAGCAACTAAACTCAACAAATATTTATATGTGTTGTTGATCAACCAAGCATACCCTTGCCAAGTATGTTAATATTCTCAACAGACATACACTGAGATGGTGTATGGTTCATTGGAATTGCAATCGCCTACCATTGGCAATAATAATAATATTATTGATGTTGTTTTGATTGATGGTGATGGTAGTGGCTAGTATATTTAGGATGTGTCCAACAAGAACCGGCAACCAATAATCATACAATCAACAATACACACACCTTTTACATTCGCGCTTTAGAGTCCACTCGCATTCCACATCTAATAAATGAATAATGGATGATGATGATCATTGATTGATTGATGGATTTGATTGAGTGAGTGGAGCACTCTCCGTATTCAGGATGTCCCTCCCCTCTCCCATTCTCCCAGTGCCATCCCATTCCTTTCCTTAATAATCGAAACCAAATCAATCAATCAATTAAACTATTTATAATATAAAGAGATAGAGATTTGATTGAGTCTCACTTAAATAATAATACATATTATATAATAATTAAGTTATTATCCATGCATTCCGCCAACGATAGAGAAGATATGATTACAAAGCCGGACGATGGAGCATCTGTGGCCTCTGGAAAACACCAAAGGCTGAGTTGTTGGCAATCCGGTTGGTTCTATTTCAAGATATCAATGTATGTTTGATTGTTTGATTGATTGTTTGAGTGAAAGCCACTCACTGATAATTTACAATCACTCTTTGACAGTTGGTTCTTTGGATCAAGTGTTGTACTTGGTGCCATGACATCTATAGTGTGGCCATACCAATTGGTCACATGTTTTGGAGCAGAGAGAAAGGAATATTGGAATGGAGTGATTCCTATATCAGGTGTGTTTATCAACTTCATAATGACAACGGTCTCAGGATATATGAGCGATCATATTAGGACAAAATTCGGAAAGAGGCGACCATTCCTTCTGGCTGGCACCATAATAATGATCGCCTTCCTCTTTGGTCTGTCATCCTACAATGACTCCAATGCGACAATCTCTGGATTCATACTCATGGAGGTTGGTTTCTACTTTGGACAAGGTGTGGCTGCCGGTGCATTCTCTGGAATCATTCCAGACCTCGTGCACCTCAGCCAGACGGGAATGGCCAGTGGCTGGCTGGGAGTGATGTGGTCGCTCGGCACATTGATCGGAGCGATTGGTGGCGGAGTACTCGTACAGGGCACGACAGAGGATGCCATCTACATCTACTGCTACGGCTTTGTCATTGCGCTGTTGGCCATCTCCACGATCATCGCGCTAGTCTCCCTCCACGAGGACAAATGTGAAGACTTCCACTTTGATGGCAGCGTGACTGGATTCTTCCGCTCACTCTACCTGCCGTCGCACACCTACTACAACTTCTACTGGATCATCTTGACGCGATTCTTCAATACGATGGGCTGCCACATGATCATCAGCTTCTTGTTCTACTTTGCCATGGACGTTGTGGGCCAGAAAGAGCTGATCGTGTCGTCCATCATCTTGGTCACGCTGATCCTCTGTTCGATCCCATCATCGATCGTCGGTGGTCTGATAGCCGATCGTTACAACATCACCAAGGGCATGGTGTACGCATCGTCTTGCATCCAGTTTGTTGCCGTGGCATGTATGATCGCGCTGTCATTTGGACCGTCATTCGTCGGATTGTTGGTGGTCGTCGGCTTCTTTGGCATAGGCTACGGATGCTATCAGTGCGTAGACTGGGCATTGGCACTGCGCGTGTTGCCGGGCCACACCATTGCCAAGGACATGGGCATCTGGCACGTATCATTCAATGCTCCAATGGTATTTGCACCATTCATAACGGCCAACATCTTGGCATACATGAAGCTGTCACATTACACGTACAACCAATCATATGCCGTTGTGTTTGGTGTGGCATCCATCTGGTTCATACTTGCCACTGCATTCATATATCCTTTGAAGGACACCAGTGTCGACAAGAACAACAACTGTTGTCTAAAGAACAGTCCAAGCAATAGCAGTAGCAATGGTGATCTGGAAGAGATCCAAATGAAGTCGATCTCAACCAATACTGCAGAGTAGATATAATTATACAGTAATATATTATATATTTGTACAAATACAAAGGTTGATTCATTTTTGATGGACTTGAGTGATGAAGTTGACAGGTTTTGATCAAAGTAGATATTTATTGTCCTTCACTGATCCAATTCAAATTGAAGAGATAGATTTATAATAATGATCGAACAAACTACACTACTACAACATAATATATTGAGGAATATAGTGGACCACCTAGGTTCTAGAACCGAGTTGTTTGGATCACTTGACATAATGTCATTGAGTCTAACATGTAAGAGATTGTTCATTCTACTTAGCAACATGACTCCAATCAACATCATGTTGAAAGGAATACATCATCGCAACAATAACAACAATAACATCAACAACAATAACAATAACTTATCAAAGTTTGTTATATCATCTTTAAAGAAGATAATGTTTGTTGATTCATTCAATCAAACGATAACACCTGGTTGTCTGCCTCAGACGATCCACACGCTCAAGTTTGGCAAAGACTTTAACAAGCCGATCATACCAGGGTCACTGCCAGAGTCGTTGGTCGATCTTACCTTTGGGGACGACTTCAACCAGTCACTTCAGTGGCCACCACCTCCATCATCACCAGCACCAACAGCTGCATCAGGTCTAAGTACATTATTGTCGTTTGGTGTTAAGCGATCTTCTTCACCTGCACCTGCATCAGTGCCATCGCCATCACTACCACCATCAATCATTAGGTTGAAGTTTGGTTCAAGTTACAACATGCCCGTAGAGGCGTGCGATGACCGCGGTAATGTAACCGGCACACTGCTCCCTCAGTCGCTCAACCAGTTGCACTTTGGCACTGGCTTTGTCCAGCCTCTGCCAGCCAACTCGCTTCCCATGTCGCTCGAGGTACTCAGATTCCAAATCTGGTTCACTCAACCGTGCATGGCTGCTGTGACACAACTACAATCACTCAAAGTACTTCTATTCTCATCGCTTCCCATCAATGACAGACACCCGTCACGACCCTATCACAGAGGTGACGACGATGCCGCAGCCGAAAGACATACATTCCCCTCATCGCTCATCAGTTTATACATCTCACACAATGACTTTAGCGACCTGGTATTACCTTCCTCGTTAAGATTGTTGATCTTGGCCGACCTTAAGACAAACATCGTCCCAGGGATACTCCCGCCATCACTCACAAAACTCATGCTAATCAACTTTAACCATTCTATTAAGCCTAACTCTCTCCCCGATCGCCTCAGGACCTTGAGCCTTGGTAAGACATTCTGTCGACCTCTGGCCCTGGGCTCACTGCCTTCATCGATCACATCGTTGGAATTGGGACATGCATTTAGGCAATGGATTGAACCCGGTATATTGCCAGCATCACTTACTGAACTCAGCCTAAGAGGGCTTAGCCAGGAGCAGGAGGAGAACGTCGTGCGTGGACTCTCGCTGCCCGGCTCAATCACCTCACTCTATCTATCATCATTCAATCTACCAATCAAACATGGGGAGCTTCCGGCCAAACTCCAAAAGCTCTATTTTGGAAATAATTATGATCACTCAATCATACCTGGAATCCTTCCACAGTCGATCACTTCAATCATATTTGGCAACTGTTATAACAAACCAATCACACCTGGAACCCTACCGCAATCCCTAAAGTCGTTGAGGTTTTGCGAGATGTTTGACCAAGTGATTGAGCCCGGCGCGCTGCCCGACTCGCTGGAAAGTCTTGAATTTGGAGCGCACTTTAATCAAGTCATCCGGCCGGGTGTCCTACCACCAAACCTCACAATGTTGATACTTGGCAGTGAGTTTAGACAACCATTCACACCTGCAACCTTCCCGCCATCACTCACTATATTCAAGTGCTCGATGCGTCGGCTCAGCTCGGAGCGGCTCCCCAAGAGCATCACCCGACTGTACATGGACGGCACTCTGATCCACAGATCGCCCCAGCACCTGCCCAACCTCAAGCATCTCAAGGTGTCCATTTACAACTTCAAAAAAAAAGAGGACATTTGCGATGATATCATTGTGGACAGTGTGGATATCAGATATTTACAATTTCCTATCAAGGAATTGAAACATCTTAGAGTTACCAAACATGTGTCCACATTATACTTGGGACAATTCTCTTCAACAACGGTGGTCATGGATAACCATTACCTTTCCAAAATGGTTACACAAGTATTTCCCAATGTTAATAATTTCCTAATTGAGCGATCAACACATCAATGTCGATGTCTACTTCGGAGAATAGATCGATCATTAGCCATATTGATGGAGTTTAAATCGGGTGGAGAATACATCAATATAATAAAATTGTAAACTTCTCCTCCAACTCACGAATGATTGATTGATCAAGAGTGTAACTTAACTGAAGTTGGAATAATGAACGGAACTTCAAAGTTTGTGAATGAATTTATCTTTTATTTTATTTTTTGAGGATGCTGTGAGGTCTCGGGCGAGTCTGTTCCCTTCCCCTCTCCCACTCTCACCCGTCGCATCCCACGCGAGCATTGACATGTATCCTTAAGACATATCTTACATCCCTTTCACCTTGACACAGTTACACAGCGCATACAACAGCAACCATGGTTGGTATCGATACACGATTGGATTGGATTGGCGATGCGATATGAATGAGCGAATGAAGGATGAACAGAATGAAAATGAATGAAGGAATGAATGATACATGATTGTTGGATGGATGATCACAGACAAGACAGAGAACAACAGACAGGATAACCTAAGTTGGATTGTATCTAACATTATGGATATCAAACAAACAACACAATAATAGGGTCGTGTTAGAACCAAGACAGTCAAAAGAGCCTCGAAGCTTCTCATTGAGAAGTACTACCCAAAGCTCACCAACGACTTTGACACCAACAAGCGCACTTGTGATGAGGTCGCCACTATCGCCTCCAAGAGATTGAGAAACAAGATCGCTGGTTTCGTCACTCACTTGATGAGACGTATTGAGCGTGGACCAGTCCGCGGAATCTCCTACAAGCTGCAGGAGGAGGAGAGAGAGAGACGTGACAACTACGTCCCAACCACCTCTGCCATCAAGACCGACAAGATCTACGTTGATGAGGACGCTTACGAGATGCTTAAGTCCACTCTTGGCAACTTCCCATCTATGACCCGTATGTTTCATTCATTCACCTTCATTCCAGACCAGATTGATCACATAACTAACATCAATCACTCATTCAATCAATCAATCTATCATTCAATATTTACAGAAGTTGTTGTTGAACGTTCAAACAAGAAGTCAAACCGTGGTGGCGACCGTCCACACCGTGGAGGTTTCAAGAAGAGAGCCGCACCAGCCAAGTAAATGATCATTGGTGTTGTCCAATCTTCCCCTTTTTACATAGTATTCGACACATGTCATTATCATTCATTCGTTCATTCATCCATTCATTCCAGGTGGAGCAGCATATACTACAGGGTCTTTGACGAGGTTCCGAGTCCAATGACCACAATAATTGATGGTTGTCCCATCGCGTGACTGAATGGCATAGTACCGCCCTTAAATTTGAATTTGAATTATCCGTTGTACCGGTCAAAATGGTTGGAAACTCATGGTACCAATCATGTGTCATCATTATAATTGTGTCACATCCATATTGAGTTAATACCATCCTTTCATCCATCCATCCAGTCATTGTGGAGGAATAAAGGTTGTGATTATTATTCCAACAAACCAGATTTTTCATCAATTTTGATGTGTGTGATGATCATTCTCTCTTTTGACCTAAGACAGCTGCAGCTCGGAAGTTATAACTATCTACGATCAAACACATTGCTAGCAATAACACAACACATTGTAATAATAGATAGACAGAGATATATGTATATGTATAACAATCAAATAACAAACAAACAAACAAATAAATAAATAATAAATAGAAGTGTGTATAGTAAGATAGAGAGAGATAGATAGAGATAGATATATAGATAGAGATAAGATGACCACGACGATACCTTCACAGGTACAACAAGGACAACAGTCTATTGGTGGTGGTGGTGCACTATATCCAAACATTGGTGTTAGCAGTGGCAATGTCAACAACAACAATAACAACAATGCATTGTACAAGGATATAAGACTGTCGATACAGGCATGGGTCACACCATCAGTGCTCGTGATCACCTCACCATCCGTCACCAAGACCTTCCAAAAGCTATCAGCTCACAGCGGCAACCTCTTCACTGATATCCTACAACAGTACATCACAGGTCACAGGAAAGGTATGTTTGATTGAGTCTGGCTGGGCTCACATTGTTCATTCACTCATTCATTCATCTTGATCAATCAATGTAGTTCCTGTTAGAGTTGGAGAGTCATATTATGAGCTCAATGACTTTAAGGTCAACTTCATTACATTGCAACATCTTGAACCTGCGAGCTACACTCAAACATTGTTGGACACATCATCTTCAATCGACTCAATAGCAACAGATGAATACTGTCAGAACTTTAAGATCAGGACCAAACAAGACGTACCATACTTCCACAAAGGTAAGCTAGCTTACCTTGAGCCAATGTCACATGACCCTCATCCATTCATTACTCACACGTATCGTATCCATCACATGTAGTATGCCCTGAACCAACACCTTGGTACGAGAAGTATCGTCATCATTATATGCGAGCATGTCACAACCCAGAGATAGAGACGTTCTCTCATCCATTGGCGGTGCTTGTGGTTGCATCATCAGAGGACTCCAACCCGATTGGTTTGTTGGTCAAGATGTTTGACGCGGCAAAGCCACCAGCAATACTGCAACAGTTCAACGCTGATTCTAATGTACCCAAGTTATACGTATTGGTACATCCAGAGAACTCGGCCACCGAGTCTGAGAAGCGTCTGTCCGAGATGAAGAGCACATTCGGACCGGACAACAGCTATCTGATGCGCATCTCCACCAAGGAGGACGACGGCGGTCTCACATACGACCCATCCACCGCCGCCTCCAGTCCCGTGCACAGCATCGTCACTGATCTCTTCCAGAAACATCTACCTCAATTCATTGGCAAGTCAATCCAAGAGCTAAGCGAGACGGTATGCGCGCCACACTCAATCAATCACGCGACACACTCACTCACAATCAATCAATCACTCAATCAATCAATCATATTATAGATCGTGGCCAACAAGAAGAGCTTCTTCTCAAAGATGAAGGTGTCATTGAGGATTGGATATAAGAAGAATGAGAAGGAGGGTGAGGATGCGTCCTCTTCAGTGTCGATGGAGCTGTGTCTAAGACGTCTGTCAGACTTGTACTTCCTGCTTCAAGACTATGAGAACGCCCTCGCCAACTACAAGACACTACTCAAGGAGTACAGCAGCGAGAAGTCTCCCAACTACTATGCCGCCACCTATGTAAGTACCCTCTGCCGTCGTGTCCCTCGCAGGGCGCATCAATGCTGACCTCTCCCTACCTTACCTCACTCTCGACAACAACAGGAGATGATTGGAATGTGTAATTTTATGCTTAACAAGGACACGGACACTCAGTTCGAGACGTCGATCAACAACTACTTGCGCGCTGGATTGAACGCAGCATCGGTCCGCGCTGCAATGATACAGGGCGAGGTGCTCAAGCGCAAATCACACTTCAAGCTGCTGGCGGACCTATTCAAATCGATTGCTGAGCGCGAGATTGATCCATTCTGCGCAGCCGTGCTGCTGGAGCAGGCCGGCTTCTGTCTGTTGCAGTCACCCGCGCCCTCATTCCGCAAGGCCTGCATGCGTTTGGTGCTAGCGGGCGACCGCTACGCCGAGGCGTCCAAGCGCAAGCATGCACTGCGCTGCTACAGCTTTGCCTACGGCGCGTACGAAGGTCGCGACTGGAACTTCATCGAGGATCATCTGCATCTGGCGTTGGTGCGCTACTCATTCTTCCAGGGCCACACGAGCGACTCGATCCTCTTTGTCAACAAGCTGTTGGAGAAGAACTGTCAGTCGTTCCAGAGCCAGAACTCAATCATTCGCGAGTTCCTCTTCATCTCCAAGTCGACGACAAAGGACAACTACATTGGCGAGCTGCCCATCCCCATTGTGCACAACGAGCGCACCACGGTCTTTTTGAGCGACTACTCGTCCGAGCTGAACCAGCAGGTTTGGCAAGAGATGGAGGAGGCCTTCAAGAAGGAGGCAGCCATCATTACCAAGCCTGTATTGCAAGGCTTTGATCTGTGGCGCAGAGATCAATTCTTTGAGCAGGAGAAAGAGCGAACGATCGTGGTCGAGGAGGCAATCACCGTTGAGGCCGAGATCAAGAACCCCCTGCAGGTGCCACTGCAGTTCAATCGCGCGCATCTTGTCGCCATATTCAAGGATGGCGAGAATGGACAGGAGGAGTCAAACATGTCGCCTCTGGACGATGAGACACTGGCCAAGATGGATCAGGGTGTCACACCCTTCAAGGTCGAGCACTTTGATGTACTGCTGGGTCCAAGCGAGACCAAGAAGCTCACACTCTCCATCGTGCCTCTGCGCCAAGGTCAGCTCGTGATCAAGGGCATAGGTCTATGCATGTGCGGCTCAGTCTGGGGCAAGAGAGAGTTCAAACTCAAGCAAAAGAGATTGAATAAGTATGTACCTTACAAACTCACTCATTCATTCATTCACATTCAAGTCATTCTAACATCACTGCCCACCTACCACCAGGACAAAGGCACAGAGAGAGACTGTATCATATGAACCTAATCTCAGTCTGACATTCAAGGTCACATCGCCAATGCCCAGACTAGAGTCACAGTTTATCGAGTTCCCCTCGTCAATCTGTCACGGCGAGATGAAGCAGGCCAAGTTGCAACTCAAGAACTGCAGCACAAAGATGGGTCTGAAGAACGTACGCATCAGACTGAGTCATCCAACACTCGTCTGCTTTGGTAGCAACAACGATGGTAAGAGGGGATCATCCCAACAACAACATGAACACTCACAAGCCATTCACTAACACATCAATAGACGCAAGCATCTTGAACTCATTGGACTCATCCATCCCATTGAACATTGAGTTGCCACCAGGCGCAACAGTCACAGTGCCACTGTGGGTCAGGGGATTGGTCGTTGGACGTTATACATTGAGATGCCTCGTGTACTACGAGTCCGAGGCCGGTAACAGTGAGCTGAAGTACCGTCTCGCAAGGTGTCAGACGGACTTTGACGTCAAGCCATCGCTCAGGATCTCAACGTTCTGCCAGCAGAGCTCGACCAACATCAACTCCTACCTGATGGGTATTGAGATTGACAACCCAATCATTGGTGGCGGTGGCGACATATTCTATCTGAAGCAGATCTCCTCGTTGTCCAAACAATGGAAGATCGTACCACTATCCTACCACGACGACGTGCCCAATGGATCAATCCTCACTCTTCACCCTGGCCAGTTCACCAATCTCTTCTTTGGCATTCTCCCATCATCCGTTGATGATAGACAGGCCACGGCCACAGCAACAACAACTGCAATGGTCGCGCCAGGCAAACAACCACAACAGCAACAGCAACAACAACAACACCAGCAGTTGACAATCACAAACATCTCGTTCGATAAGAATGAGCCAATGTACGATTCATCATCATTCCCTGTATTCCAGTTCCTCGAGTACGAGAAGATGTCACATGAATCTGCGCAGTCCAACGCAGCAAAGTTGGGCCAGTCGGCTAGCATCTCGGCCAATCCAAGAGACTCCCTAAAGTCACCGATATCCAGCGATTTCCTTGTTGGCGAGCATCAGAACCTGCTCGACATGATGCTGTTCTGGGAGTCGACGCCGCAGGCCACCAAGTCTCAGATGCTGCTCAAACAGGTGTCCAACCGCATGGGTGTGCTTAACGCCACGGCCATCTCCTTCCTGCCAACGCATCACAACGACTCATTGCTCGCGACACCATGGGGCTCGTGGCGCAACACCACATCACCAACTGGCAAAATCCAGTCCTACGTCGATCCCTCTCTGCGCTTCCAGGCGCCACTTCGCTACCAGTTGCAGTCGCCACTGGCCATCACACACAAGTTTGACCACGAGGCGATATGCACCGTGCCACTGCAGCTGCAGTTGTCCAACTGTTCAGCCTATCACCACTTACAGTTGTCGATAGAGACCATCCTGCCACACGAGAACCTGGACGCTGTTAGCCAGCTCACTTCCCAGTACTTCTGGACAGGAATCACTCGGTACAACATCCAGCTGGCGCCACTAAAGAGTGTGGAGCTACCTTTGCATGTATGTTTCCTACGCGCTGGCACCTACAACGTCAACCGTTTCAAGATCAATGTCAAACTGGACAACAGTGGCGAGTTCTCCAAGGATATTTTCCCCAACGTCCAACATCTGATCAATGTTGAGGATGCTGCTGCCAACTCTTAATAATGAACCTGCCTGTGAAATAAACCTTAAATTATCTATCTACCTCTCTCTCATCGCTCAATTATCCAGCCAGTTACAACTATTATCCATATCTTTCACATCAGATCAGACATCTTGAATAGCAGCCTTGATGGCCTGTAAGTGACAAGGAAATTGCCACAATCCTGATTCCATCACTCAACCACCCAACCAATCATGGCGAGGAAAGTGTATATGCTTGTATTGAAAATAGTAGTTGTATTGAATGAATGTATTATATGTATGTTTGTTGGACTACCATACATGCAAGCTTATTTCTTTCTAAAGCATACTCTCTTGGCACCATTTACAATATTCTCGACCTGGACCATTGCAGCATCCTCCAAGTTCTTGGCATATGGCATTGGAAGGTCAGCACCACAGATTCTCTCGATTGGTGCATCCAAGTAATCAAAAGCATCTGGAATGACGTAAAGTGTTGTTGTTGTTAGTTGATGTGGACTCTGGAACTATTCCAACTGATCATCCAATTTGTTTGTAACTTACTCTCAACCATTTGGGCGGCAATCTCAGCACCAATACCAGATTGAGGCCATCCTTCCTCGACGGTGACCATTCTGTTGGTCTTCATGATGGACTTGACGAGAGTCTCGACATCCAGTGGACGGACTGAACGGAGGTTGATGACCTCAGCGTTGATGCCCTCCTTGGCAAGTTGCTCGGCAGCGTCCATGCACAGAGAGACACCTCTTGAAAAACTGACGATGGTCACGTCTGTGCCCTGGCGCTCGACCTTGGCTTGACCGATTGGCAGCAAGAAGTCCTTGCCCTGGGCCTCTGGCGAGAGCATGAATTTGTAGTTGTAAAGCAGCTCAGACTCGAGACAGACCACTGGATTGTCATCACGAATGGCAGACTTCATCAGTCCTCTGTGATCCTCTGCGTTCCATGGAACGATGACCTTGCAGCCTGGGACACTGCTGTACCAGGCGGCAAAGCACTGTGAGTGTTGAGCACCGACACTGGTGGGTGGGCCGTTTGGACCTCTCCAGACGATGGAGTTGTACACCGTACCACCGGACATGTAGTGGGTCTTGGCCGATGAGTTGACGATGTGATCGATACCCTGCATGGCAAAGTTCCAGGTCATGAACTCGACGATTGGTCTGAGTCCGGCCATGGCGGCACCGACACCAACACCTGCGAATCCCATCTCTGTAATTGGTGTATCGATGATTCTCTTCTCTCCGTATTTATCGTACAGTCCCTTTGAGATCTTGTAGGCACCGTTGTACTTGGCAACCTCCTCGCCCATCAAGAACACACGTGGGTCTCTCTCAATCTCCTCGTCCAATGCACTATTGATAGCATCACGAACTGTAACCTGTTGTTTGTTTGTTGTTGATTGTCGCAGTAAGTCATATGTCAGTCATCTGTATATCCAAGCTATCCTGTATGTATGTATATTGATTGAAACGATCATGTTACTTCCTTGGGTGCCAGGGTGGAGAGTGTACGAACAGACATCTTTGATGCCTGCTTGAACATCAATGGTGATGATGTTCTCTTCAAGAAGTTGGTGATCATCATCTTTTAGAGTATGTATGTAAGTGGTATGTAAGTATAACAAGGTGTAATGAATGAATGAATGAGATTGAATGGTTGTTTTAGAATCAATTGAGTCGTCACTTGCACGCAATAGTGTGTTAGTGCGATTTAAAGAGAGAGAGAAGTGATGATCATTCATTTTGTCAAAGATTGTTGTCCCTTTGGGTCCCACTCATACAAAATTGAAAAAAAATATTATTGAGACCATCAGATATTGTGTGTGAATGAAAAAAAGACGACTAATCGTTTATCAATCCCATCTTAAGTTTGAGTGTCTTGAAGTAAGAGTATGTATCCAGTTGTCAAGATCATGAAAGGATGAACGGATGGAAGGACGGATGGTCATGGAGACGAGTTGCGTCTCTCTCTTTGTGCGATCGCTTGATTAAGCTCGTTCAGGTTCTTGAAGTTGACATAGAGGAAGTCGTCGGCAATTACTTCTTTGGTTGTTGGAGGAGGAGGTAGTTGGCCTCCCCCTTCGCCAACATCTCGGTTTGTTTCTATTGTACATGTTGTTGTTGTCGTCGTAGTTGATGTCATTGCGTCTGCATCTGGTGCAGTTGTAGATGTTGTTGTTTGTGATGTCGATGGTGATGATAAAGTGTCGGTCGTTGATGTTGAGTTTGTATTCATGTCAAGACTGTCCTTTGATTCCTTGACATCATAGACTTCTTGTCTCGCTATAATATTAAGTACAAGTAAGTATAACATGATCAACAAACAGGATAGACAGTAGCACAGGTGATGGATACTTACGATCAAAGAAACTGGTGTCCTCAGCATGATCAAGTCTCGGTGTGAAAGGTGATTGTTGTGATCGGATTGTGTCCCAGTTGATTCCTTTGAAGAATGGATGTGACTTGATCTCATCGATGCCATTGTGACCAAGTCGTGCAGTTGGATCGAGTGCCAACAACTTGTCGATGAGGTCGCGAGCATCGTCAGAAAGGATACCAGGCTCATCCGGCCATCTGATGTTGCGCTCCAGGATGTTGGTGCAGATGCAGTCCACCGTCTCTGCATTGAATGGCGCTATTCCAGTCAGCAATTCAAACAGCATGGCACCGACTGAGAACCAGTCCACCTCCTTGCCATGCTCTACTCCTCGAAGTATCTCTGGTGCAATGTAGTCTGGCGTGCCAACACAGCTGTACTTGCGAGCGTGTCTCGAAGATGTGGAGGTCTCTGACTTGTCGGCGCCAGTGGTCGAGGTGTGGCTGGGCTCAGCAATTTGGCCTTGTGAGTTGGTGCTTGGTAGGGATGCACGGACTCGGCGACGGATGACAGAGTGGCGGTCCTTGCCATCAAATCCACGGAAATAGATACGAGGCTTGACACCAATCTTGGAAAGACCGAAATCCGTCAGCTTGATGTGTCCATTGCGATCGATCAGGATGTTGTCTGGCTTGATATCACGATGGATGATTCCTTGTTTGTGCAGGTACTCCAAGGCCAGCACAGTCTCTGCAATTATCAGACGAGCAAGGTCCTCGTCCAACATGCTAAAGACTTGGAGAAGGGAGAAGCAGTCGCCGCCCTCGACATACTCCATCACCAGGTAGAAGTACTCATCAGTCTGGAATGAGTAGTACATCTTTACAACGTAGGGGTTACTGGTCTGTGCCAGGATGTTGCGCTCCACCTTGACATGGTCCACTTGGTTCTTCATGATCATGTCAGCCTTCTTCAATCGCTTGATGGCGTAGATATCGCCAGTGGTCTTCTTTCTCGCTAGAAAGACAGTGCCAAAGCCTCCACGAGTGATGGTCTTGATGCGATGGAAGTCCTCGATGGTGGGGATGCCCTTAACCAACTTGCCAGGTGCAGAGTCACGTCTTTGTCGTGGTGTGAGCTCTGGTGATTGAGACTCGCGTGATGGAAAGAGAGTGGGCGATGAGTTCATCACCTCCTCTGCCTTCTTGAGCACCTTGGTCTTCTCAAGGATGAGTGCTTCAATATCTTGTATCCATTTGTAGTTCTCGTCAAAGCATAGGTAAAGACGTCTCTTCAGCTTGAGTTGACTCAGAAGTGTTGATAGCTCCATTGTATCACACTCAACTGCGCGAATGGCAATATCCTTGACATCCTCCAGGAGTCTCTGATGATTGCTCAATGTGTTTGGTGTACTATCAGTGATCAATATCTTGGAAATCTATTCTCAATTATGTTAGTAATCAATCAGAGTGATGGACATTATCATCATGTTCAAAACTATATTTACCGTCATCAATTGATCATCAATGGTCATGGCCTTCATGTTCTCCTTGGCGGACAATACACAGACCTTGGAATGCTCTTCCAAAAGTGTAGATGATATCATCTCCTCACATATTCTACACATAACTGAACCAGTCTCGTATGGTCGCATTATAGGTAGATCGGAGAATGATCTAGCCATCTGATTAAAATAAATTTAGTTTGTAAGTAAGTTAATAGGTATTAATTAATTAATTAATTAAATATAACCTCATATCATACCTTTCTTTGAGGAGGGGACATCTTTGTAGAGTCTGCTTCATGCTTGGGAGGACAGAAGCTCTTGGATCGAATGAGTCCCTATAGTTTGATCAGACATTATTGTGTTAGGATTATGTATTCCGGAGAATGATTATTGATCATCAAATGGTGGGAAAGACTTACTCTTTTGGAGGGCGAATGGTCGTTCATGATCTGATGAGTGAATATGATGTATTGGTTAATATTATTATTATTTATCATCTCAATGATAACATGATAATTACTTACCTTATGTTCAATGACTCTTGGCTCAAGATGTGCTACTAGGTTATGAAGGAATGGTAATGGAGGTACCTTTTCGGCAGTTCCTTTTGGAAGAAGGCCATCATCATCCTTATTGATTGATTTACAAGTGTTGTTGTTGTTGAGGTGGCCTCCCTTCTCCATTGATGACAATAGAGCATGATTGTGAAGCTTTATAATATTGATGTTGTTGTTTGTAAATATAGTCATTAGTATCATTCATTCATTCAATCAATCATTAATTCAATTAGATTGTTGTCATTATTAAGTAGTACTACTTACGATATTTGTAATCCTCTTTGCAATTAGTGGAGAGGGCAGTCCATGATAAGATTGGGCTGCAATATTAATGGGCTCGTCAGCTCCATCCAACACCATGATATTATTATTTCTTGGAATAGTACATTGTTGTGTAATATGATAATCTTTATCTGTATGTTGTTGGTGTGTCAGAGAAGACAAGTCTAGATGTGTGACAAAGTTCTTCTTTCTAAGTTGGCTTCCAACTCCACTATTATTATTATTATTATTCATTGTTTGATTAATTGATTGCCTACTATTATTACAATTATCTATTATTATTATTACAACTTATATACAAAATATTTAAACTAACTAATATTAATGAATATGAATGGTAATGTAGATGTTGATTGGTATTAAACTGGTTAGTAAAGAGATGGAATAAGAGAATTGATATGCAAATGAATGATTGATTGATTGAATGATTGATTGAAGGCGGTAAAGTAGTGACTGGTGGATTGAGTGGTACCTACCTTTGAGAAAAGATGAAGTGTCGTCTTCGTGGTAAGGGGATCGCCCCCTATGAAACACACACTCTGTCTGATATGATGTCACTCAATAACAACCTAACCACCAGGCAATGAAAGCTTTGAAGGGCAATCGTCTGTTGTTTGTTAGTTTGTGTGTTTGTTTGATGTAGTTGGAGTGTGTTTCTATATGTGTGTGTGTACTGATTGATTGATTGATTGATTATCGTCTGTGTCTCCCTCCTTATTTTCTAATTAATTCCAACGCTGTAGTGTGTTACTATTACTGATGCTGTATCTCTGTATATATGTATTTATGTATGTGTGTATTGAACGAATCAATCAAATGTTAATTAAGAAAGTAGAATATGGTTGTTGTTATTACATTATACCAATGATGAATGAATGATTGTGTACCCTACTAACATGTACCAGTTTACAGTCGGTGTAGAATGATATTGGAAGGATGAATGGTCCTTCGCTCCCGACTCCACAACGTCATTGGTGGGCTGGTAAAGAGGGGGTTGTTGACAATGACTTCACACACACACACACTGAGACAAATACACACAAAGTAGTGAACCCTAGCCTTGCCCACCAACCACATACACACACAAACACATAAAGACATATTCACTCACATGATTGCCTTGCCATCGCACCACCCACACGCAGAAATGGTTACCATCGTAAGATTGATTGTTGTGACATGTCTACTTGTTGACACTCCAACACTCATCAGATGGTGTGAATCTGTCGGACTTGTTTCGAATTGATTGGATTGAAGCCCCGATCCTTGAGGCCCTGGGTCACAATCTCCCAATTTGGTCATGAAGGCCGCACCCATTAAGAAAGGTCGGCTCACCCACCTCCACTCACGGAACACCCACTCAACACACACTCACAGAAAGATCATGATCGAAGATTGATCTGTGTGGGCAGGGCAATAATAATGAAGAGTTGTTTCAAGCAATACTTGGTTCGATAGACTACCATTCATAGCCAGACGCTAAACCAAATGTACATTTGAATGAACTTAAAGATAGGTATGGTGGTTGGTTGGTTGACCAAAGGGCCGGTGGGGGGTCGGTTGGAGCTGGCTCAACCCAGACGCACCTCGCATCATCTCTCACCTGGTCGTTTGTCCTATTTTTTCGTTGGAATGTTACTGCGTTAATCATAAATCAATGGTATTCAATTAATCATTCTTTCTTTCATTAATTTCATTCATTCATTCATTCATTCCCAATCTAGGAACTAACTGAATGATTATGATCCATCATCCAGTCTCACCATAGACTGCTCCCGTCCACGTCCGCGCCCCCTCCATTATGTCCTTGACCATGTCCTTGACCATGTGCCCAATCGCTTCCCTCATCTCCCTCCTTTGTGATCGTTTACATATACGCCCAATCCATTTGCAAAGGAGCAAGCAACATAGAAACCTCTTCATTTATTTCCAATTTAGTATTACAACAATGACAGTGATGTTGTCAGTGGAACCTTTCTCGTAGGCATCTTGCACTAGAGCCTCGCTGATCTCGTCCGACGTCTTGCCTTGTTTGTGCAGTCGTTGGCACGTGCTGATTGCCTCGTCATACGTCACCTTGTCCCACAGACCATCACACGCCAGCACCAGATAGTGGTCAAGAGGCGTTAGGTCCACAACCTTGGTGAACGGCTCGCAAGTGACAAACTTCTTCTCGGCTTCCTTGTACTCTCGATCGCCAAACGACCGAGACACGGCCAGCGAGCCAAACAAACGGCCAAAGATGATCATTCCACCCATTTCAGTGATTCTCAACTTCTCCTTATCGTCGTTGGCCAAATGCTTGTAGCTCAGTAGTTGCGGCTCGTACACTGGCGACTTTGAAGACGAGCCCTCAGTCTGATGACCGAGTACACACTCAGAGTCTCCAACATTGGCAGTGAACAACTGTGAACCTATGATCATGCACACCATGGCAGTCGATCCACTCTTCTCACATAGCTTGATCACATGTCTATTGTTTGATTGATTGAATGATTGAGTTAGCATAATGGTACATGATCAATCGATCAATCAAATAATTAATAAATATACATACTTATCAGCAGCGTCAAAGCCATCCTTTAACGATTGCTCGTAGTTGCCATCTTTGAAGGCACTTGTTTCAACTATACACTTGTGGACTAGTGGCTCGAGGGCATGTGCTGTCTCCACTCCACTGTGACCATCGTAGACGGCAAAGTAGGAACAGACACCGCCGCCATCGGTTTGGGCCATGGCAGCCATGCTGTTCTCTGGGACCAACGAGCTGTCCATTGAATCGATGATGACGTGTGAGTCCTCCATGTTCTTCCTGCGACCCTGTATCGAATGTACACCTGATTGCAAGCTGTGAAGGCCCTTGCCCTTCTTCTTGGCCGATGCCTTTGAGACGGTCTTGCTCTTCTGCTCCCTCTGCTCTCTTTCCTTCTCTTTTTGCAACTCCTTCTCGCGCTCCTTCTCCTTCTGCAGCTCGCGCTCGCGTTCCTTCTCTTGTCGCAGTCTTTCCTTCTCACATTGCTTGGCGTGCTCCTTCTCAGCCTTCATGGCTTGCTTCTCAGCCTTCATGGCCTGCTTCTCGGCCAGTTTCTCAGCCTTCTTCTCCTGTGCCAGTTCCTTCTTGGTCTTGACTGGCGCAGTCGTGGGTAGTGACCTGGGTCTATCGGGATTGGCGGCCTTGTCCGCTTGGGCGTAGTAACTGCTGGGATCGGTGCTACTCGATAGGCCAGAGGCCAGGTGTGCTGGGTTCGTCATTGACTCGGTGTCACTAGTGTTCCTCGGACTATCCTTTGACTCTGAGTCGCCCAATCGCGGGCTATCCACTGATGACAGTCTAGGACTCTCCCCACTGACCGATGGAGTGGTACTTCCAGCATTCGAATCTCCATTGCCACCGACATGAGTGATCTCAATGTGTATTCTGTTTAGGTCGACCGGGGGCATCACAGGTGCCTCGGACGGTGTACCAGTGCTGCCATCGCCACTACTAACATTGGCCGCGGGCACTGTGGTTGGTGCTGGTTGCACCTCTGCTGGCGCGGTAAACAACGCCTGGTCGTCCAGCTGTGTGTCGGCCACAATACAATCAACAATATTCTCAAACTGACTCTGTGTATTATCTCGATCAAGTAGATTGATTGTGAATGTCCTATGATGTCTTCTCCTTTCGATCAACTATATTAGGGAGGAGGATGAGTGTTAGTCGCATGTGCTCCTCGGGTCTGCCTCTCAACATTGACTTGACTTACAGGCTTGGTGAATTTCTGGATGATGAAGTTGAGTGCCTTGTCTTGGTCGTCGCCATCGGTGTAGTCGGGGAAGCAGAGACTCAGGTCAAAGAGGCTGAGCTTGCGTGGGAATGAGTCGCAGATGTTGAACAGGAGATATATGGTGACAGAGCGGTCGATGTTGTTGGCCATTGACTCGAGGCTGGACAGCGCGTCCAGCAGACCGTTGTTGTGTTTATGTTGCGAGCAGTTCTGTGCGCTAAACTCCACCGATATGCTGTCCGATGGGTAGTACTCTCTGACGGGCACCACGTAGAACACGTAGTTCGGCATGTATGCTGCTATCGAGTTCCAGTCGCGTAACAACACATATTTGGTTGGCGCGCACACCAGCTCCATCTTGACGCGTCGGTGCGTCAAAGTCGACTCCTCAGGGAAGTCCACCTGCTCATATGCACTTATAATGTCAAGGGTCGTCGGTGTGAACTCTGGGCTGAACACTCTAAACATGTTGTCCATGTAACTATTATTGATGCGATTGATCGATGTGAGTGAGTGAGTGATCGAGTGATTGGATGAGGGACACTTACAACTTTGTTCTTCCAGGTGTCCTGAACTGTGGACAACATGAAGCGTATTCAAACATCTTCTGCATGCCTTGATCCTCCCAGAGACACTTGCAGTCGTAGCCAAGACGTAGTGGGAAGCGTGGTAGACGACTCTGAGCCAGCTCGATGGGCGTAGCAAGCACGCGCTTCAATCGTTCAGCATTCTCGCCAGAGAACGTGATGCCAAGTCGATCGGCATTCTCTATCAATCGCACCAGAGTGGCTATCGTATTGCCGTAGATCAATCGTTGAAAGTACTTTGGGTCGAGCAGTTTGATGCCGTACAGCAGATCCAACTGTCGTTGGAATGTTGTCTTGCCTGCCTCGGGCAGACCGACCAGCAACACATTGACGTCATGGTCATAGTCTGCGCCCTGATCAAAAGGGTTGCCTAAAGGTGTAGAAGCTGCCGAGTTTGATATTGGTGAGCCTGACAATGGTGAGTCTCCAGGTGATCCATTTCTCTTTGTCTTTGGCTTCAAGTTGTGAGCCAACCTGTGTAACATCTTCTTCCTCTATCTCTGTATCTATATCTATATATATCTCGTATGTTTGATTGTTTGATTGTTTGATTGTTTGATTGTTTGATTGATCAATCAGAGTATATATTGTATTGTTATCGAGTTTACTAAGTTGATCTAAATACACTCTATTGTACTTTAATGTATTAATTAAATAAATAAATATAAGTGATTGTATTGTATTATGTATTTGTTATCTATTTATGTATTCGTTATCTATCTACCTAACATTGCAACAATAGTTCGATTAACAATCAATCAAACAAATAAATAATAAATAATAAGTAAGTAACTAACTAACAGTGATGTAATAGATAAAGATAGTTATTGCCCATTAGCTTTGAAAGTAGTTTATATGAAATATTGATAAAGAGGGCCTCCCTCCACCTCCTTGTGAAAGGGAGCTTGAAAAGTGATTGTTGGTTGTGTGGTCCAGCTCAACTGTTTGTGTGGGTAGTTTGATTGATTGATTGATTGATCACAATACATGATCCATTAATACAATCCATCATAATGGACGTTTGAGGCAAGCAATCGACCTCTGATTCTCCAATTAGAGATGTTTGCCTCATGATGATGATGAAACTCTCTCTTTACGACTGTTTGAATACCAATATGTCAATGATAATTGTGACATTCAATGTATAGAGGCCATATTCTGACACAACTCAGTAGTGTACAGTTCATTGACATGTCATGGTGATTTAGTAATGTCCCAATCGACAACCTTCAGATCCTTCTGTATTCTGGTTCAGCAATCCTGACATTGGACAAACCCCCTTTGATCGATGAAAAGCGAGGTCCATCGGCAAAGAATGAAGTAGAAGCACATGCCATGATCTAATATTCATTCATCTTTGTTTACAATTATATTATACATAACTTATATATATATATATATATAAAGATGATGATGACATCGATTGGTCGATCATCTAGTATGATGAAACAATATTCAAAGAGATCAACAATGACATCATTGTTGGCTATCAACAATACAACATATCCATCATCAGTGATCACACGTTCAATCTCAACATCACCATTATCATCACATATTACAACATTGTCGAGCAATGCCCTGCCCACAACGACATCTCGTCAAACATCAATCAAGTCATTGCAATTGTATAGTCGACTACTTCAAACAACACTACCAGCGAATCGTCTATACTTTAGCACTGCTGCCGCGACAACTCAACAAACACAGACACAACCACAGACACAGCCACAGACAGAGACACAACAACAACAACAACAAACAAAACCAGAGAAACCAAAGACTGTTAGCAAGTTCTCATTCATGAGAAAGGGATACTTCAATCTCGTCAAGTTCCCTATCTCTGCGTATGTCACATTCACTACTGTGGCCGGCTACGTGATGACTGCGCCAATAGTCGACCCTGTAACACTAGGACTGCTCTCGTTTGGAACGTTCATGTCGTCGGCATCGGCATGCGCACATAATCAAGAGATGGAGGTCAGATTCGACGCCAAGATGCCAAGAACCAAGTCGCGTCCACTTGTTACAGGCGAGATCAAGTTGGACACTGGCTTCATCTTTGCTCTGGTGTCTGGCGTGGTTGGCTGTGGCACGTTGGTCTTTGTACACCCTGTTTGCGCAGGACTGGCCATGTCCAACATCTTCATTTACATCCTTTACACGCACATGAAGCGCACGACATCCTTCAACACATGGGTGGGCGCCATTGTCGGAGCCATCCCGCCACTCATTGGTACGGTGGCCGGTGCACGCGAGTTTGAGGCCATTGGTGGCCTTCTCGCCACCGTCCTCTTCATCTGGCAGATCCCGCACTTTTTGGCGCTGGCCGAGAAGCTCAAGTCACAGTACGCCGCGGCCGGCTACAAGATGCTACCCGTCACGCACCCTACCTGGAACTACCCAGTATCTGTGGCACACGCCGTGGCCGGTGTGATCGCACCCCTGGCCTTCTACTACACGTATGACCTCAACATGTCCCTGTTCACCGTGCTCGCCTTCTCGGCGTCATCGTTCGTCATGGGACTGGAGGCCGTGCTGGAGCATCGCTACAAACAAAAGATTATCGAAGCTGCCGCCAACGGTGTCACCTTGCCGCCCCAATCCAGGAAGCGTGGCGTCTTCTTCCTCTCGCTGATCATGCTCCCTCTCTCATTGATCATTGGCATGTTCCTGCGTCTCCCCTATGAATACTACTACGAGAAGACCAACGACAAGACTGGCGAGACCAAGGAGGTCATCAGATACACATCAGCGCCCAAATAACAACATTCACAGTATTCATTCAAACATTCATTCTTTGTGGACCGCGCGAACGCGAACAGATCAGATGATCATTGGTTTATTATGATTACATTACATTTACAATTACAATTGGATAATTGATTGAATGACAGCGTTAACACCGATGCCAAGGCCGAGGACATTGACGGCAGCTCCAACTCCAACTGCAGCTCCAAGTCCGAGCAAGGATGTTTGGTTATTGGATTGGCCCACTGATACAGTGTTGGTGGACGAGTAGGATGTCATGGACTTGTTGGAGGTCATGCTGTTGACGTTTCCGAGGGAAGAGATGGCGGCTACAAAAATTGATGAGCGGTTAGAACTTGGAACAAATCCATGAATTGGATGGATGTATACATACTCATAAGAGTCATTTTGGAATAATTATTGAGGTAGTAGTACTGGTAGTAGTAGTATATTTGTATTTGATTGATTGATTGATGATTGAATTGATCGACGGATTACAAGTATTTATAGTTATTTGTTGACAATGTTATTGAGTAACAATGGTAGTTAGTTAGTTAGTTATTGTAATTAACATAATCTTAGTTTAATTAAACATGTCATCCATCAAGTGTCATAAGATGTCAACTATTCATATGACACAACTACCAAATGTGTCTCTTCAGAAGCATAGACTCACCCCTTCTGATCATATGATTGATCAACTTTTGTGTGTGTGTGTGTGTGATTGATTGATCATTGGATAGTCATAGTCATAGTCGATCGATTCTCAATCGGCCAACATAACTTCTAACTGACGAATATTATAACTAACTAAAGTATCTACATAGAGATAAAATATAATATCTTGTTATTATTATCTACAGATATTTGATCATCTTGTCATTTTTTTGGAATAGACTTGGAATCCAAGAATTGGCAATGATTGATGAAATGAATGATTGGCAATGATTGAATGATTGTTGAAGGTGGCAGTGATAAAGATATTTAATTATGCAAGAACTAGGTGACTATGTTTGGACACTTATATATAGGTGCCTGGCAGAGAATGATGATACAAGGATTGACTTGTTCTCTCTTAGTCTCACTTGTAAGACACGTTATACATTGTTGATCAAACATAAACATAATCTAGTTGGTCCAACAACAAATGAAAAGACAACAACATATCAATCATCATTACAACGATCACAACAACGATCAAAGTCACAGTCACAACAACAACAACTTCAACAACAACCTGGTGATGAAAAAGAAGAAGTGATCACATCAATCACATTCAGTGATGGATACAATACTCCATTGAATTGTATATCTGGATCTATCCCAGACACTGTGACCTCGATCAAGTTTGGTACTTCATTCAACAAATCGGTTGATGTTGGTCACCTACCACCTGCGCTTACCTCTCTCACATTGGGCCTCTCATTCAACCGACCACTCATCGAAGGATCTCTGCCATCGACACTTACCTCACTCACATTCGGCCGAATGTTCAACCAGTACATCGACTCCAAGTTGCCAGACTCCATCACATTGTTGGTGCTGGGTGGCTACGGACAGCCAATCGCACCAAGCAGCCTGCCCCAGTCCCTGACCTCGCTCACCTTTGGATACATGTTCAACCATGAGATTGAACCAGGTGTGCTCCCGCCAAACCTCGTCACGCTACGCTTTGGACATCACTTCTCAAAAGACATCACTCCTTATTCACTCCCCGAGTCACTTAGAACGCTTACCTTTGGCGAATGGTACGCCCAACCATTCCAAACTGGATCGCTCCCACCCTGGCTTCTCTCGCTGAGTCTGGGATCGATGAGCCCAGAGTCGGCCGCCAACTGCCTCCCCAACTCACTGACGCACCTCCAGTTCAATGAGAGGAACGTCCCAACAGGCCCCCTGCCAACAGGTCTCAAGACCCTGGTCAATGGAATGATTAGCCACAAGACCGACATGCCACACTCACTCACCAAGCTCAAGCTGCGCCCTTACTTCAACGATCAGATGCTCCCATTTTGGTTGCCACAGACACTGCGCAACCTGAGTCTGGGCGATATGTACACACAGGAGTTGCTGCCTGGCACACTACCATTCTCGCTAACAAAGTTGACAATGGGCACACATTATAACAAACCGATTGGAAAGGGTCTGTTGCCAAGTTCGATCATCTCACTCACGATTGGTCACTACATGTCAATGCCAATTGTATTCCCGCCCAACCTAAGATATCTAAGTATGGGAAGGATGGAACAACAATTCCATTATTTACAACAATTGCCAGAGAGTATTGAGGAGGTGGCCATCACACATGTACCTTTGGCACGACCCTATGAGCGCTCATCACCCCTGACTTGTGTGTCGCCCAACATCAACATCAAGTACTTTACAATGTTCATTGAGAATGCACCGTTCAACGTAAAGTCAACATGTAAACTATCAAACATACGTCAGCTTATATACAACTCACTTGGATGGCTTGCATCTGGCACTATATCAACATACCGTGTGCGCAAGTTACTCTGGATGTCGAATGGTCACACATCATTCGAATACCGCGTCATTGACCACCATCACGTACTCTGTATTGGGAAACATTCAATCACTGACAGTTCAACAATGTTCATACTTCCGTACCCTCCTCCTTCTCCTCCTACACCTTCATCATCTCAATAAATATTCATTCATTCATATGATTGATTGATTGATTGATTGGAAGGGGCTGGCTGGGCTGGCGGGGTGGGTGGAGCTCGAGCACCTTAGTTCCCCGAGGTGGTAAGTGATGTGATTCTCTTCAAACACAATGGTGTGTGGCCAAAGTTTAAAACTGATGGTGGTCATGTGATCATCAACTTTCCAGTTCATTCAATCAATCAATCAAACAAACAAACAAAACAATTAATTACAAATATATCCATATGGATCAACTTCCACATCATGTACTTAGACTTGTATTAAACTACCTGGATAAGGATGTGCAACGTGATGTACATCTTGGACAAGAAGTTGTTGGAAGTGTCTGTGCACTGGATGTTCTGTCATTCGGTCTAACATGCAAGACAATGTTCACACTATTATTACATGGAACAACAAGATATCACTTAAAGTTGAACAACCAAGGTGATGACCATGATCATGGCGCACACAACTCACCACTCCAATCACTCATACATCAATGTTGTCCAGTATCTTTATCACTTTATAATCAGTTCAATCATTATGTACATACTTTATCACTACCTAATACAATACAAGCATTGGTCTTTGGCAATGTATTCAATCAATATATCAATGTTGGTGAGCTGCCTCCTGGACTCACAAGTCTAACATTTGGATCATGCTTCAATCAATCAATAACAAACAATCATGGATCGCTCTTGACAAGGTTATCAACATACTTTACATGGTACCAACCATCATCACAAGACAATTGCAATGATGATAATGATCATGTTATTGGTGTGTTGCCCCAGACACTTAGATCACTCACATTTGGATTGTACTTTAATCAACATATCGATCCAGGTTCACTCCCGCCCGAGCTCAGTCAGTTGACTTTTGGCCGATACTTTAGCCGTGCCCTGGCAATAGGGTCATTGCCGGCAACCTTGGAGAGACTATCATTGACATCAAACTACAATCATGTGTTGCAAGCTGGCTGCCTGCCCCAATCATTGATGAGCCTGAGGTACAGACGTGTGAGCTTGCCATCACAGTTGACCAAGTCCATACTCAATGTGCTCAAGACTGCATTGTTCGAGACACTGTCTGGCGGGCTGATCATGAGTGACCCTCCGCCCGGAATGACCGAGGCCATATACCCTCCAAACTCACTACCGCACTCACTCACCATACTGGCAATGGGCGACTACTTTGATGAGATGATCCCAGTTGGAATGCTACCGCAATCACTCACAGAGCTACGCTTTGGAACACATTATAATAAGCCAATAATTATGCCAGGTGTATTGCCTCACTCAATAACAAGCATCACATATGGTACCCATTATGATCATCCAGTTATCCCAGGTACCATGCCTCGATCACTAATGTCGTTGGAGTTTGGATCGGACTTTAATCAATCAATGATTGATTCTAGATCGATTGGCACACTGCCCTCAATGATCTCGCTGACATTTGGCGGCTACTTCAATCGTTCACTTGACCTACATGATCTGCCGCGATCCCTTCAGTCTCTGACCTTTGGTGATGGGTTTGATCAACTTTTGTCGCCTGGAATACTCCCTGACTCGATCACATCACTGACCTTTGGATACTGTTTCAGCCAGCCCCTCCAGCCTGGGGTACTCCCCACCTCACTCCATACACTTAGGCTTGGCGGTGACTTTAATCATCCAGTTCCACCTTGCACATCACTTACTTCATTGACCTTTGGCTTCAGCTTCAATCAAGTGCTCATGGGCATGCCTGGTCAATTCCCCTTGCTCCTCACACTTGAGTTTGGCGACGCATTCAATCAACAACTTGCACCTGGACAGCTCCCTCTGACACTGACCACGCTCAAACTTGGATATGGATTCAGACAAAAGGTCACGCCAGAGTGGCTACCCGTGTCCCTTACCGACCTGACCATCCGTCGCATGATCGAGCCACACAACAGCATCATATTCCCACAAAGACTCAAATCATTGAGTATACCATCAGTTGAATATTTGAATATATATGTTGAGCAGATGACCGCAGAACATAGTGTAGATACAATATGGATAGGGGACACGATACATGAATTCCAATTGGCACCATCATCAATCCGTCTCAAATCATTATATATCTCATCGTCATCTGGTGCCAACAACCGAACTGATGAAGACAATATCAAGTACATCAAACAGATTGACAACTGTCTGCCCAATGTCGAAACCATACACCTACGTATCATCCGTTATGAATTTGGACATGATGGATATCCAATCTCATCACGCATCGTCTACAAGAAAGGATGCATAATCAAGACCGATCAACCCAACAAGTCAGATACATTCAAGTTGACTTTGATAGGACCATGATTGGTCAATCGGTCGTCGATATGACTCATTGGAAGTGAGTGGCAATGGTCACCACGTTGACCACTTTGCCCGCGAGGCTTGAGGACTCTGACGTGGTCCCTTTCGCGAAAGTGGGGGAAGTGGAGTGATCCTCAGAAAACAGGAATCTCCAATAAAGGTGTTGTTGTCTTCGCGAAATGAAGGGGTTACCCTTTGTGATACATTCATTCATTCATTCATTCAATCATTCAATCATAACTTATACATAGTATTACTTATACTACTTCTATATCACATCAATCATACTTATATAACAATGGGACAGGGTGTTTCAAGAGAAGACTATGTCAAGGCTGTTGATACATTGACAAGTTCACCTGTACCAGAGAATGCTGATCTTTGGGCGTTGATACTTGATAATTACAATGACAATGTCTTTACTGTTGGTGTAATCAAATCAATAAGATCACAACAGATAAATAACTTGGCAATATTAGTTAGAAAGGTATGTTTGATTGAATGTACATATGCAGGCAGACTGACTGACTGACTAACTGACATTGTGTCCCCCGATTGATGTATATAGTGTATAGAGAGATTGAGTGTTATTAATGGAAAGAAACAGATTGATTGGCAACTGACTGATAATCAACATGCAACTTTTTGTATGACTATTCTTACAAAGATCATTCCATTCATCTTTGATCATGATGATGACCTTAAGGATCAGCTATTCTGGATGAACATCGTTTCACCAAGTATTGCTCAATCTTCAGTCGCGGTGACTGCTGCCACCCCAACAAGTTCTACTGCCACTGTACCACCTGTTGCTGATCCAGCTATGACGACTACGACTCCCACTACAACAACAATCAGCGACGCACCAGTCGCCAGCAATAGTAGCGCCACTACACCATCATCAACACCTGTCGTCGACACTACGACCACTCCCACAACAACAACAACAACAACGACAACAACTACTACATCAACTATCGAACCAAAGGTCAACAAGGATCACTTGCTTCCACATACTACCGTTGCAGGTGCACCATTGGCACAGCAGTTGATGACATCTCTACTGGGTCTTTTGTTCCGTCCTGCATTCACATTGTCCGAGAGGGTCGTCATTGACACCACTGGCTGCACAAACATGCCAACCAAGTATGCTTGGAAAGGTGGATATGGTATCGAACAGGTTGAGCAGGATGCCCAATACACAATCAAACCACACTGGCTCAACAGGCAACAAGTTCTCCAATGTCTAGTAGTCTGTCTCTCCGAACAGCTCTATGTCACCCAAGGTATGTCGTCTTGAACTGTCCATCGAACAATCCAACCAACAACCGAGACTAACAACAAACAACAGATCAATGTCACAGATACAGGAGTAGATGGCTGGATTGGATGACTTCGAATGAGTACTTTGCAGAGGTATTGCAGTATACATTGATCAATACACTGTGTACCTATGATCCGGTTGGATGGGGCGTGCCCTACAATCATCTGATGTTTTCTGACGACCAGGAGGCCGTCGCCAAGCTGTCCGTGCAGATACTGAACGTTCTGTTGTCCTACGATCCCACCATGGACGAGTCGTCGGCATCATCCTCCTCGTCACCAGCGACACACGTCAATGTGTACGTGTCACTACTGCGATCGATGAAGCGATCACGTGACCATGCCTTCTTCTTCAAAGCCTTCGAGAGGATCTTGGGTCTGCCACTGATGGCGCTCAACACCAGCCTGCCCAACTCGACCAAGGAGATCGAGATGCACCGTGATGTCCTCATCACATTCTGGCGATTCATCACAATCAATCAAGAGTTCCTTAGCTATATCGCCACCTGTCCGACCTGTCCCGAGTTCCTGACGCTGCTGCTCCAGTACATGGACGAGGGCAGAAAGAACCAGAGGACGCATGGTCTCGTGCAGATTGGCACGTTCATCCTGCTGCAGCTCAGCAGTGATCGCGACTTTGCCATCTCGCTCAACAAGCCGTTCTCGGACAAACAGGTCGTTGCCGACCTGCCCAAGCCCATCGCCGGCTACTCCGACCTGCTCATCCTCGTGCTGTACCGTCTGCTAATGGACAACAATCAGCTACTCGAGAGCATCTATGAGTGCACGTTGACTGTGCTGGCCAACCTGTCACCATACATGAAGCATCTGTCCATGACCACCAGCTCCAAGCTGATCAAGCTGTATGAGCATCTGTCCATGCCACGCTTCCTCTTTGCCAACAGTCACAACCATCGCTATGTCCACCTCTTGCTCGAGATGTTCAACAATCTGCTGCAACATCAATACGAGAGCAACACCAACTTTATATACTCTGTCCTAAGGAGTCAGAACTCCTTCTCCAAGCTTGCCTACCTCACCATCGTGTCGCCATCCTTTGCGCCACTACCAACAGTAGCCACGCCACCACAGCAACAGCAACTTGTAAATACATCAACAACACAGGACAATGCCTCATCATCCTCAGCATCCCCAACAACAACGACTACTACGACCACACCACCACCAACAACAGCATTGCAACAACAGATTGGATGGATGCCAACTGATGAGTGGCTGCAGGGAATCAAGAGACACTTGCCCTTGGACAATATACTCAAGGTGATCACTCATCTCTCACCTCAGGTTCAGAGATTGTGCACAGGATCAGGCACGGACGAGAAGAATATGATGGACTACCTAAAGATCTCTACGACAGTTGGATTGTTCACAACAAGCAACTCGATAATCACTCGCAAGTATCATGCCAATGCCATCACCAAGTCATGGTTCATCGCCTACATGTGGTGCATAATCTACTTGGAGAATGCCACCAACATGCTCTTCCAAGGCAGTGATATCCGATTATTCCATCTTAGTCGCCCTACAACATCTTCGACTCCAACATCATCATCCACGTCATCGACAACATCCACGTCATTGACATCCTCCGCATCAAATGTGTCTCCTGCCCCTGCTCCAGCTCCTGCTCCAACTGCTACAACATCAACACCAACAACTAGTACTTCTACTACTACGACTACTACAACTTCTACTTCTGGTCCAACGTCTGCCTAATCATAGTAGTCATAACATAATTATTATTAATAGTCCCAATCGAGTACATTGATGGATGGATTCGTGTTCCATTCATCTTTGACAATCTGCAACTTTGACTCAAAGTAATAAATTCAACGAAAATTCCATCAATTCCATACACACACAAAGGACTTGCTCAATTCAATTTATTTAATAAATTAACAATTTGATGAAGTTGATGATCAAAGCTTGCCCTCACCTCACACATCTTGCTATTTCTTATTCATTCTTACTTTTAATATATTATTATTTACACACATACGTACTACTTTATTTTTATTATTACTTACTTATAATCAATCAACATCATTAATATATTATATATATCTCATTTTTAAATATATAACAACTTGTATAAATATATTGTAATCATTAACATATTCACAAACAAAATATAATGGCTGATATAGAAGAGTATGATAATCAATCAAACAATCAGTTCAATCATATGATGAATGAATATGAATGAATGTACAAACAATGATATTACATGATCACTAACTCTCATTATCAATCAATCAATCATTATTATTATTATTAACAATTAAATAGGAAAAAGGATGAGAACGTTGCAATTATGGAGCGTAAGAGAGCTCCCAATAGATTCTATGTAGAGGATGCTATTAATGATGACAATTCAGTTGTCACTCTGCATCCAGATGCCATGACCACACTGCAGTTGTTCAGAGGTGACACCTTGCTCGTCAAGGGAAAGAAGAGAAAGGATACTGTTTGTATAGTGTTGATGGACGCTTCGGTCGATCCATCAAAGATCAGAATGAACAAGGTCATCAGAAACAACCTCAAGGTCCGTCTCGGCGACATGGTCTCTGTGCACCAATGCACTGACATTAAGTACGGCAAGCGCATCCACGTGCTGCCCATCGACGACACAATCGAGGGCCTCAGCGGCAACCTCTTTGACCTCTACTTGAAGCCCTACTTCCTCGAGGCCTACCGTCCAGTGCGCAAGGGAGACCTGTTCCTTGTGCGCGGTGGCATGCGTGCCGTCGAGTTCAAGGTGGTCGAGTGTGACCCAGGCGAGTTCTGTATCGTCGCCCCAGAGACCGTCATTCACTGCGAAGGTGATCCCATCAAGCGTGAGGACGAGGACCGTCTCGACGAGGTCGGATATGATGACATTGGAGGTGTGCGCAAGCAATTGGGCCAGATCCGTGAGCTCGTTGAGTTGCCTCTGCGTCACCCACAGCTGTTCAAGAACATTGGTGTCAAGCCACCAAAGGGTATCCTCTTGTACGGACCACCAGGCTGTGGTAAGACCATGATTGCCCGTGCCGTCGCCAACGAGACCGGTGCCTTCTTCTTCCTCATCAACGGACCAGAGATTATGTCCAAGCTGGCAGGAGAGTCCGAGTCCAACCTGAGGAAGGCCTTTGAGGAGGCCGAGAAGAACGCCCCAGCCATCATCTTTATCGATGAGATCGATTCGATCGCACCAAAGAGAGAGAAGACTCAGGGTGAGGTGGAGCGTCGTATCGTCTCACAGCTGCTCACACTGATGGATGGTCTCAAGTCACGTGCCCACGTCATCGTCATTGGTGCCACCAACCGTCCAAACTCCATCGACCCAGCCCTCAGACGTTTCGGTCGTTTCGACCGTGAGATTGACATCTCTATCCCCGACGCCACTGGCCGTCTCGAGATTCTCCGTATCCACACAAAGAACATGAAGCTCGACGAGTCTGTCGACCTCGAGTCCATTGGAAATGAGACTCACGGATACGTCGGTGCCGATCTTGCCGCCCTGTGTACCGAGGGTGCCCTTCAATGTATCCGTGAGAAGATGGACGTCATCGATCTTGAGGACGACACCATCTCTGCCGAGATCCTCGAGTCCATGTCCGTCACCCAAGACCACTTCAGAACCGCCATGGCCACATCCAACCCATCGGCCCTCCGTGAGACCGTCGTCGAGGTGCCAACAACCACCTGGGAGGACATTGGAGGTCTTGAGGGAGTCAAGAGAGAGCTCAAGGAGACCGTCCAATACCCAGTGGAGCACCCAGAGAAGTTCAGAAAGTTCGGAATGCAGCCATCCAAGGGTGTGCTCTTCTACGGCCCACCAGGTTGTGGTAAGACTCTGCTGGCCAAGGCCATCGCCAACGAGTGCCAGGCCAACTTCATTTCGATCAAGGGTCCAGAGCTGTTGACCATGTGGTTCGGAGAGTCCGAGGCCAACGTTCGTGAGCTCTTTGACAAGGCCAGACAGGCTGCACCATGTGTCCTCTTCTTTGATGAGCTCGACTCTATCGCTCGTGCTAGAGGCAGCAGCAGTGGAGACGCCGGTGGTGCTGGCGACCGTGTCATCAATCAGATTCTCACAGAGATGGACGGTATGGGCTCAAAGAAGAACGTCTTTATCATTGGTGCCACCAATCGTCCAGACATCATTGATCCAGCCATCCTGCGTCCAGGTCGTCTCGACCAGCTGATCTACATCCCCCTGCCAGACTTGCCCTCGCGTGTTGCTATCTTGAAGGCCTGTCTGCACAAGTCACCCGTCAGCAAGGACGTCGATCTGGAGTTCATGGCTCAGAAGACCCACGGCTTCTCTGGTGCCGATCTGACTGAGATCTGTCAGAGAGCATGCAAGCTCGCCATTCGTGAGTCGATCGAGCGCGACATTGAGGCCACCCAGCGCCGCCAGGAGGCTGGTGACACAATGGAGGAGGACGCCGTCGACCCAGTGCCCGAGATCACCCGTGACCACTTTGAGGAGGCCATGAAGTATGCCAGACGTTCAGTTTCAGATAACGATATTAGAAAGTACGAGATGTTTGCTCAGACTTTGGTTCAGTCGCGTGGACTGGGCAACAACTTCAAGTTCCCAGATGCCAACAATGCCAACCCCGCTGCCGGCAACAACAATGAGGAAGGTGATGACTTGTTTAGATAAATTATCAGACTTATCACAACAACATCAACATACACCCTTTGATGATCAATCCCTATAACATAACATAAACGACCCTACTATTACCCTTTGCACATACAACTATTCCGAATCTTTGTGTAGTGACCGTTCATCCAATGTTAATAATATCCTGGTTGCGCATTGGAACCAGGTCGCCATCAACCATCCTGATAAACTAACGAAGAGACATTACATTGAGAAAGTCCCTACACGACAGGATAAGGCTATAACCCGGAGACATGAACTTTCTGTCGAAGTAGGTGGGTGTGTAGGGTAAGATCTAGTTTATCGTCATTGTCGACACTGAATCGAGACAATGGCGGAATGTGATCACATTTGCAAGTTTTGGCTTTCAAGGACACTTTGATGAGATCAGCAAACGCCATCAATCCATAGGCGGAAAGGCCTTTGCTAAAAACAAATACCTTAAACTTGGCCTTGAAGGCCCAAGACTCAATGGTCATTATTTAAATAGACAAGTCTATTTCCATCCTTGGTATCAATCACTCAATCACTTCAATCACTTCAATCACTTCAATCACTTCAATCACTCAATCACTCAATCACTCAATCAATCAATCAAATATTATCAATGAGTGCAATAATATCCAACAAGATGAGGAATTCTTTGAACCTCCAAGAGCATAGATTGTTGCTAAAGTGCAATGGAATGTCTGGATTCCATGCAGAGAGAGAGTATCCAAATGAGTTGAATGGTCTCATTCATCCACTGGACTATAAATATATATTGTACAAGTTTAATGCACAGGTACATGGATTCAAGGCCAACTTAATCCGCACAATCATTACCAATATGATTACAGTAATAATCAGTACTGTCCTCCTCATCCTATCATCACTACATATATCATCACAATGGCTCAATCTCGAGATCACTGCCAGTATCGGTACCTTTGGCCTCCTACTCTCACTCTATGGTATCCATGCACTTAACAAAGGAGTAAGTTATAACGGATTTGACCAAGGATTGATTTGTGACTAATCCTGGGACATTAATTAGATAATGAAGAATTTGGAAGCGGATACACTTGAACTCTCTAGTCGTTATAGGGAATTGGGTATTCAGTTCGTGTTGGTGGACAAGCCAAAGTCTGATTCGGAGAATGGTTTGACCAAACTCATCTGTACAGCATCCAACTACAACATCGAGGTCATGATCAGATCTGGATCATCGAATAGCGTCAATGACGATATTTCAATTTCGATCAATGCTACTGCCACCTCTCCATTGATCAACATCTAAAGAGTTGTTTGATCTCTACCTTTGTCTCCTCTTCCATCTCATTGGTTTGTTCTGGCCGTTCGTTTGGTTCAATCAGTCAATAAAGATACGTGTTTGTATAATCGTGTTGACATGGATTCGCTCTGATGATTGATTGATTGATTGATGTTGTAGTTGTTGTCGTTGTTGGGTTTATGTATCAATGAACTTTTGATTAAGAGGCAGTAGCAATCGGATCGCATCCTCTCCCATTGTATAGTAACCAAATAGACGTTTCAGACGAATGAATCCTAGTCCTTCATATAGTGCTATCGCTTGGTGATTGGTCATCAAGGTCTCCAACACTATCTCATCGCACAACATCTGTGTCATCTTCTCAACTGTATATCTAACTAGCTTTGATCCTATTGTTGATTGTTTGATTGAATGAGAGTTAGGCTGATAGATCGATCAATAGATTGATTGATTGATGGACATACCTATACCAAGCCTTCTATATGTCTTGTCGACTACAATCATTCCTATGTAGCCTCGTAGCAGTTTACCATGTTTGGCAGACTTTGATATGACGATACCAACTAATCGCTTGTTGTTCTCGTCGGTGACGTCGTGTGCCAGGAAGCAGAGCTGTGGCCACATTCCAAGGAAGAAACGATAGGTGAATATAGAGTATGGCTCAGATAGCTCACATTCTATCAGGTCCATTATCTCCTTTATCTGTGACTCTCCTTTATAGACACTGTATCGTATTGAACAGTCCTTGTCCTCTACAGTCTTTAAGTGAAGTGTATCCAGTATATCACCTAGTTGTGCGACTACATCGGCACTTAGACTATTGTTTATGCTATTATTATTGTTCGTGTTGTGATCTCCATTCGATGTTGTTGTGGTGGTTGTTGTTGTTGTTGATGGTGTAGCCGATACAATGTCAGTCATTTTGAAGTGTAACAAGTTAACAGGGTGCCCAGGTATGTATGAGTCTGTCTATCTGTTTGTAAATATCTGTTTATCTATTGTGAATGCCAGCGGTTTGTGAAATTGAAGTTGAGGAGTTGACTTCATTCCCATCTTTGGCAACGCATGTCACTTGTCAAACATACCACATCATCTACAACAACAAGTTATACAGCGAGAGGATAGAGAAGATGTTCGACCAGCTACCATACACTGTCCTCCGTTATATATTGGAAGAACTACTACCTTCCAATGTAGATAGAGTATGCTTGGTACTAACATCTAGACATCTTTATGAGAGACGCGATAGTTACCTCTATCTAAACTTCAACAATCTATTGCAACAGGATCTCTATTGTACTCATGATACAACAACATCATTCAAACTCATGTCATTCAAAGACAGTGTGCTGAGGACGATCACCAAGAATATAGACGCCAGAAGACAATATCGACATGAAGTTGCCGCTGCTGCAGCTGCCGGTGCTCCAATCGACATTCAAACATTTAGAGTGACCTGGCGCATTGATAAAATACCCAGTGGCTTCTCTAAAGTGGACTTCTACTTATTCACAAGACCAATCGAGGCAGGCTTCGTACCAGAGGGTGTTAAGTGTGTCGAGTTCATCTCATCTTTCAGCCAGTCGCTTCTCCCTAGGGCCTTGCCACAGTCTCTTGTGGAGCTAAGGCTAGGCTCGAGTCAACATCCACTGTCAATTGGCTCGATCCCCGACAATGTCGAGACAATCGACCTTGGTCTGCGATATGAAGAGCCAATATTACCAGGCATACTACCAGCCTCGTGCAGACGGCTCACCTTGTCACAGGTCTATGAAACACCTCTCCAAGTCGGTACACTTCCACCACTCCTGGAGGAGCTGGTCTTTGGCTACATGTACAATCAGCCATTGCTGCCTGGACACCTTCCTCTGACTCTCAAGAGACTGGTGTTTGGTTCCAACTTTGACCAACCTCTTCAGAATGGATCGCTGCCGCCATTGCTCAGACAGCTAAAGTTTGGCCATTGTTACAATCAGCCGATACCAAACAATGTCCTACCCAGTTCGCTGTCCAAACTCACCTTTGGTAATAACTACAACACAAGTCTTGTATTTGGATCAATACCATCCAGTGTACATACGATCAAGTTTGGATGGAACTACAACATGCCCCTGGAAGTTGGGTCATTGCCCAGCTTGCTTACCAGGCTAAAGATGGGACGACTGTTTGACCAACCTCTTATACCTTATGCCATCCCTTGCTCACTACGAGAACTGAGGTTTGGGCACAAGTTCAATCAACCAATACCTGTTGGCTCGCTGCCTGGTGGCGTCCATACCATCACCTTTGGCGACGGATTCAAATGCCCCGATATGTACCTTCCGCCATCAGTGCACACCGTGCACTTGTCCTACTACTTTGACCATCCACACCTGTTGACCAACGGTATCTTTGACCATGTCAAGCGTTTACTGCTGAGTAGGGCAATGGCGCAGCATCCAAAGTTGTTCTCTTTACTGCCGACATCGATCGTCACACTTTCATTCAAGGAGACGCTACACATTCGCCGTCTGGACGACACACATGTACTACTGCTAGATGACTCTTTGCAAGGCGGCCTTGTCAAGCATTCAACAGGTCGCGCACATCTTGTCGACAAGGTCATCAAACGATTGATCAACCATCCACCAATTCCCAAAGGCAAAGTGTTGGAGGAGTGATAAGTGATGACATTGTTGTTGATGAGTGTAGCCAGCCATGATAAACAATGCGTCAATCCACTTGTCTAGGAGTCTTCTAGACGACTTTGGGAAATGACAATTGGTTGTTCCAGCGTGCTCCAGTGATGATTATGTGTGTGTGTGGCTGGGGGACGCACTTCAGCCCCTTCAAAGACTAGCACACACTCACTTTGAAACGATGCGAGACGACAAGACAGGTCTCGTCTGCAACCTCACTCACTAATTTTGAATAAAATCAAGCCTAGGGGGTCTCCAAGATGGGATTTCCCATGTTGTTGATCTTACTCCAACATCATTCATTTATTCATTCTCTGTCTGTCTCTCACTCTCTCACTCCCTCCTATCATATTGCGTTTGATTGTTTGTTTAATGATGTGGTTGGCTGGCTATCTATGCTGTGAATGAATGAATGAATGAATGAATGAATGAATGTAGTAATGTTCTATTGACATTGAGTGAGGTATACAATAGCAATAGTCCAACACCCAAGCAAGGTACAGGAACATACACCACATCCATCCATTGTATATCTTGTACGTTTAACTATTCAGGTACATATATATATTTATAATTATATATATCTTAACACACTCATGTAAGTAATATATACATAGTCTACAGATACAATTTAACCACCAATGAGATGATCACATATCCAAATCCCAATCTCAATATATATAATCAAACAATCAAACATTGTTTATCCATCCATTGGTCATTCAGTATGCCAAGACAACGACGATATATACCATACCTACCTCGTCTGTGTGACAATAACAATCAATCAATCAATCAATCAACCAACCCCTGCTCTACACTCTCTCTATCAAACTTTGTTCAACTTTCAACTTGGTCATTATGATGATCATCAGACATGTTGTTGTGTTATGTCCTCATGCATACCTGTCAATCATTCATTCACTCATCAATAACGCAATCTTACATGATGTTATGTTGTGGTTGGTGTGTGTGTTTGTGGTGCCTGTTGGTGTTTTTAGAAAGGTCTCATCATCGTCGTTTTTTGATACACACACAATCAATCTGCCAGTCATCGTTTCTGCATGACATCACCTATCACTCTCTGATCTATCAGTGTGTGTGTAGCACTGGACAAGGTGTTAACACACAAACAAGCAAGTTGACAAGCAAGCAAGAAGGGGTAGGGGGATGGATGATCAACAAGTGTGAGTTAGTGTTATTAGATTGGTGATTGACCACCACCCTCCCCACAACCTTCAACATCATTAACATTATTAATATATGCACATATTATTATGTTCAATCATTATTGCACAAACGATTGTTAGATAGATTATATGTACTAGTTGTAGTAGTAATATACCAGTTATAATTATAATTATATCTTTTTATTTATATAACAAACGAACGTTTTTGGATACTATTCCACTCATTCAATCAATCCAATCCATATCCAATCCATATCCAATCAATCAATAATACTTACCATCAATCAATCAAAGTAATTACATATATATAAAACAGGAGGAACAGGATGAACTCAAATACTTCGACACCAAGATCTGAAGGTCTTCCAGCACGTCTGTTCACCAAGCAGACTCAGGCACTCATCTATAACTACAAGGAGGCAGCCGTACAGCGTATGCTCGACTTTGACAATGTCGCTCAACGTGATATTCCATCAGTTGCCGGTCTGATCCATCCAGGTTCCGATGGTAAGTTTGGATCAATCATTGATGGACGGACGATAGACTGATTGACTGACTCTCATATACCATCCATCCAGCTGGATTCTACAAGGCATTCTTTGGATTCAAAGAGTTGGTGATTCCAGTGTATAACAGCATTGAGGACGCTTGTGCAGAGTGCCCAAATGCCGATGTGTTCTTGAACTTTGCCTCGCACAGAAGTGCTTACGCATCGTCGGCCAAGGCCCTCGCCCAACCATCGATCCGCACATGTGTCATCATTGCCGAGGGCATGCCAGAGAATGAGGCTCGTAGCCTTATCTCCATCGCCAAGAAGGCCAACAAGGTGATCATTGGCCCAGCCACAGTCGGTGGCATTCAAGCCGGCGCCTTCAAGATTGGAAATACTGCTGGTACCATCGAGAACATCCTCGCCTGCAAGTTGTACCGTTCGGGATCAGTCGGATTCGTCTCCAAGTCGGGTGGTCTGTCCAACGAGATGTACAACGTCCTGTCAAAGACTACAGACGGCATATACGAGGGTATTGCCATTGGAGGTGATGCCTTCCCAGGCTCAACGCTTGCCGACCATGCCTTGCGATTCGAGAAGTTGCTCGAGGTCAAGATGATCGTCGTGCTCGGAGAGCTCGGAGGATGGGACGAGTATGGAATCGTTGAGGCTCTCAAGAAGGGACAGATCACCAAGCCCGTCTGCGCATGGGTCTCTGGTACCGTCGCCAAGATCTTCCCAACCGAAGTACAGTTTGGACATGCTGGTGCCAAGTCTGGTGGAGACTCAGAGTCTGCCGAGTTCAAGAACAAGGCCCTAAAGGATGCCGGAGCCATCGTCCCAACATCATTCGAGGACTTTGCCACCGTCATCTCTGAGACCTACGCCAAGCTTGTCGCCGCCGGCCATGTCAAGTCGGTGCAAGAGCCAACCCCACCCGAGCTGCCCCTGGACTTCAAGACCGCCGTCAAGGCCGGCAAGGTCAGAAAGCCAACCAGCATTATCTCCACCATCTGTGACGACCGTGGAGAGGAGCTTACATACAACGGCGTGCCTATCTCCACAGTGTGCGAGGAGCAATACAACATTGGAGACGTCATCGGTCTGCTGTGGTTCAAGAGGAGGTTCCCAGCCTATGCCAGCAAGTTCATTGAGATGTGTATAAAGTTGGTAGCTGACCACGGTCCCTGTGTGTCTGGTGCACACAACACAATCGTTGCTGCCAGAGCCGGAAAGGATCTGGTATCCAGCTTGGTCTCTGGTCTCCTGACGATTGGACCACGTTTCGGAGGTGCCATTGATGACTCTGCCCGCTTCTTCAAGGATGCCTACGATCGCAAGCTGAGTCCCGCTGAGTTTGTCGAAGGAATGAAGGCCAAAGGAAAGAGAATCCCAGGTATTGGACATTTGATCAAGTCTGCCGATGACATTGATAAGAGAGTTATCCTTCTCAAGGAGTATGTATCTTGGAATCATGATCGATCAATCGATCAATCACACAACATTTACTTACCAATCAATCAATCAATCAAATCAATATAGTTACGCCAAGAAACATTTCACATCATCCAATTATCTAGAGTACGCTCTGGAGGTGGAGAAGTACACTTTGCAAAAGGCAAACAACCTGATCCTTAACGTAGACGGATGCATTGGTGTGCTGTTCTTGGACCTGCTGCACAGCTGTGGATTGTTCAAGAAGGAGGAGATTGAGGAGATTGTCCAGGTAGGCTATCTCAATGGATTCTTTATTGTTGGCAGAAGCATTGGTCTGATCGGACACGCTCTGGACCAGAAGAGAATGAGACAGCCACTCTACCGTCATCCATGGGAGGATGTCCTGTACGACGTTTAAATGTCATTAAAACAAACAGACAGTATCATTCAAACAACTGGATGGAACATTTAATAAATAAAGGACATATCATCTCAAATATATATATTAACATATCCAATACTTTGTTTGATTGATTGATTGATCATGTTCAAAGTATTGACAACACTTCCATTAATAGTACTATCTCAAATCCTGGATTCTATCATGTATCCCCAACTGTCAACAAATCTAGATCTTCATCAAATATGAGTAGTACACTAAATTGTGTTGATTGTTATACCAAAGACATCGAACTAGTTGAATTAAGTCTGGAGTGGTTGAAGGTGGTGTAGTAGGAGTATCTACTCTGTGATCAATCAAACATCTTCTGCCTCATCACATTACACACCACCCTCATCACATTGTTACTCATGTCAAACCTTGACACATCACACTAACCACTCGACTCACTGATCTATCTTTCAATCTCTCTATCTCTATCTATTTATACACATAACTAACAGGCAATCGTATTGACAATATGGTCTGAATAATGAGGTTATGGTCAGACCCTACATCACCAAGTATGTTCGAATGAGTGCTCCTCCTTTTCCCCCTCATATAGACTTCCAAATAAAGACTTATATCCTCGCATATCAATTAAATAAACACCTCTCTAAATGATATCACCAGTTTGTGTATCATCTGATCACTTTTGATCGTATACTAAAGTTGTTGTTGTCAATTACGGATATTGCTTGGACAATATCCACACCTTCCTGGTCACACTCGCCATCCAAGTCTAGTCAGGGAAATGAACACACTCTCACTAATATGCCCAATCTAAAATATTGCAAAGATTGATTGTTTAGGTGAAGCCACCACATTTATGTCCGATTAGGAAACCGTTAGAGTTTACTTGAGTTGGGGGAGTGTTTCCGACAAGTCTGGCAGGATGTTATGTGATCCTGTCGTGTAATCAATATTGATTGGTAACAATGATGGTATAGGTAGTCACATTCTCTTTTAAAAGAACAACATCGTTTGAATAAATCACAAAACTCTCTCATTGTAAATTTTAATTGATTGGATTGACTCCTAAACAGAAAGATCAACTTAAATCAAGTTGACCAGTAATAGTAAAGACACATCTTTGTATTATATAATATTAATAATATACTTTGTAAATACTTCAAACCAATATGGAACCAATAATTAATTTTACTATAGATGAGGAAGCACTAGTACCTCAATCAATCAAAGTCTGTGAGGAGGATTCATCGATATCACTTCCACCTCCCAAGTCACAATACCTTAGTTCACCAACTTATAAATTAAGATCACTCACAGATATTAGTCAATATAAGAATAGATATTCTATAAAATGGTCACAAACATCTGTACAGCCATCGAACAAGATCAGTTCATATCGTTCTATTTTATTGGCTTCACAGAGGATTAGAGCCAACTCTTCGCCTGCAAAGTTTGGATCGTTTCCAGTTCAAATCAAGTCCCCTCCTCTATCACCAAAGTCACCCAAGAGCCCAGAGGTCAGAGGTATCAGATCAAGAACTGAAGGAAAACTAGAGGACTTTATTTATCCAGAAAGTCCACTTGGATCACCCAAGGTTAGGACTAGAGGTAGCTCAGTGGAATCAAGGTAAGACAATATAATTGATTCTGTTTATTCAATTTTACTAACTATATAAATAGTGAGGAATTGATTGTAGAGGATGGGGAAGACCTAGGAATTAGCATGCCTTACAATGTCAAGCATGTCAAGCACTTTGAGAAAGATAGCAGCGAGTCTTTGGAGGAATTTATCCAAGAAGCCGTTCCGGTCTTCAAAGAGGGATGGCTTGGAAAGAGGAAAGGAAAGGAGAACAAAACCTTCTGGGTTGAAGTTATAAATGGACAACTCAAAGTATATAAATCAAATGTAAGTATATATATCTATTTGGTCATTCTCATGATTAATAAAATAACTAAATGCCAATCAAATACTATAGAAGAAGGATAAGTTAGTAGGATCGATAGAGATATTTGGTAGTATCCTTTATGATAAAGATATTAGTTTGACTGAGTTTGGAATCAAGTCCAACGAGTTGAAGGATAGATGGACTTTTGTTGGCTCAGAGAGTACCGAGATTGAAGAGTGGAAATCAACTTTGTTGGGTGCAGGTGCTATTTCTATTAAGGTGGACGAGATTGCAAAGAAGAAGATCTATCTGACAGCTCAAAGAAAGAAGTTATCCAAACTGAAGCAGGAGGAGGAATATATCAACCAAGAAAAGTCCAAACGAACTAATGGACTATCAGTTGATGGTGCATCTCTTCAAACGGGAGAGAGTATATTTGACGAAGAACTACTTAGAATGCACTGGGACATCGTCCCGATTGTAATAAGAGATTCCCATGACAACGATGTCAAGGAGTTGAAACAATATGTAAGTTCTAATCAATCATTCTATAAATCTCTCCAAAAACCAATCTCTAACAATACATACTTTTAGAGTTTCAAGATCAAGGTATCCATTGGCGACTTCCATTGGAGTATTAATAGGTCATATAGTATGGTTGAGAAGTATATCAAGAATGTAAAGACACTACTACCAGTTAACGGTTGTTTGGAGGAGAATGTTGAAGATAAGAATCATGCAAACGCCTATGATGTCCAAACAAACATGAACACATTTGTAAAGATCATCGTTGGCAATAGAGAATGGATCATTAGAGATAAGAAGTATAGAAAAGGATTCATCAAGTTCATTGCACCACTTCAATGGCAAGATGAGAAACCAGATGGTTTCGTACTACCCTTCAGTCTATAATAATAAATATATATATATTTGTTAATTAATTACAAACAAAGTGAAGTTATAATAAGAACTTCAAAGTGGATGAGAGTGTGGATGAATGAAGGAACTCTACCAAAGATAATTTAACAATTGTGGGGGTAACGGGTTGAATAGACCTAAATTACCTTTTAAGGTAATGTAGATGGCTTAGAAATGAATGTGTGACTGGGGGTCGGGGTCAACAAAGGACTGTCCCACACATACTTTCTCAACAAACAACCACAATATAATACAATTCATGAAGATGTTAGGATTATAATATTATTATATTTAAATATACACTCGAGACCTCTATCTATCAAAGTCGACTTTGGGGTTAGACTTGACTTCAATCTTTATTGCATTTACAACTTCACAACGACAAATTGAGATAGATATAAATAATATATATTAATTCGTATAATAATATAAACCAACAAACAATCAATTCAGAACAATATGGCCAACTTTGATTCACCTTCATTTAAAAGATTTGTAAACAAAGGATTGTCAAACTTCCTAAATACAGTAAAGATCACAGAGATATTGGAGAGTGAAGGTCAATATTGGAAGGCAAAGAGAGATAGAAAGATTCTATCAATAGAGAGTGATAAGACAGTTCGTGAGGCAATTAGTATGATTGCAAAGAATGACATTCTATCAATACCTGTAGTCGATCCCAAGGATAAGGAGTTTCTTGGATTCGTGGATATGGTAGATGTACTCCATGCTGTACTAGGACACATATCAGAGGACTGTGACAAAAAGAACAATGGTAAGATGCTAGCAATATAATTTAAAATTGGATGAATGTTATTCTGACCGATCTTTCAATGATGCTGGAAACAGAGTATCGGAAGTTTGCAAAGTGGTGCGAGGATATCAATGAGTTGGAGAAGAAGAATAGAGACTTGATGGACCATAAGATTGGATCAATCATTAGTATGTATAACATTAACACCTTTTGATGGTATAAAAATACTAATACTGTTTATTATTTAGACCAATCTAAATATGATAACTTTATCCCTGTCGATGAGAATGGAACGATGTACCAATTGTTGTCAGAGGTATTCTCTCGTGGAATCCATAGAGTCATTGTATACAATGAGCACGGTGCCCCAAGGGGACTGCTAAGCCAAGCAGACATTATCAAATTCATGCTTGAGAATCTCGACAATCTTGGTTCAGTCGTACATGAGCGTATTGGCAACATTGGAATCATTAACCCCAACGTCATATCAATGAGCTCCAAGGCACAAGCCATCCATGCATACTACCTTATGCTCTTCCATGGAGTACCGGGTGTAGCCATTCTAAACAGCAACGAGGAGATCATTGCCAATCTAAGTGTAACAGACCTTCGAGGAATGGACCCAAACACATTCTCCCAGCTGCTAAGGAACTCTCTGGATGTTCCAAAGAAGAAAGTGGTAACTTGCACCAAGGATACACCTTTGGAACTCATCCTCCTAAAGTTATATGAGAACAAGATTCACAGGATATGGGTGGTGGAGTCGGCAACAAGCAACAAGTGTGTTGGTGTCATCTCAATGTCTGATGTGATGAAGTTCTTCTCCCAGAGGTCTGGTAACAATCCACAACAACAAAAAGTGTAAACATGCTCAAGGGCAACCATGTCCAGGGTAGGGTCATTAAGAGGTTGTGGACAGGTCGTCCACAACATGGCTCCAAAGTGATCAAACAAATAACCATCAATCAAATAATCAATCTATCTATCTATACCATTCAATAATAACTTCAAATGATCTTATTAACACATGTATATATATAATTATATAATAAATAAATGCTACACAGATGTTATTATTGATAGTTGGTTTGGATCAATACTGGACACTCGACTCGTACGGCGGATATCGCGGCCTGACCAGACACCCTTCTCAACAACACATACAGTCAGTACTCACACCCAAGTGATGAATGGACATACTAGGAGTGTGGGACTTGGTACATGACGATTGATGAGTGATCGGGCTTGCCATGTTTCAGTTGTCGTTGGCTGTTGATGAGACGCGAATGGTTCTTCTTGAGCGCCTGATAGGTGGCATCGCTGGAGAGACTGACGCCAGTTGCCTCGATCTCCTTCATGGCCATGTATGTCCTGCTCTGCTCCTCCTGCAGGTTCCTAAAGTGTTGCGTCTTCTCCAGACAGTGCGTGACGATCGCTTGGCAGAGCGTGTCGCACGAGGCTGTGACCTCGGGCGACTGCTGACGGATGAAGTTTGTGATGTTCTGTTCCAGCTCCTCCTTGCTCGTCGGCTTGTTTTCCTCGGTGGTCAACGATGGGTTGGAGTTGAGGAAGTTGTCCGTTATGCCATCGGATGCGATGAACACGCGGTCGCCTGGATTGACCAGCACCAAACCAAAGTGCAGGTTCTTTAGATGTGGACGGGCCTTGTCATTCTTGGCCTTGAGAAGCTGGTCGCGGAGCTCGGGTCGTTGGTTGGTTGGGTACTCTGAGGCCGAGAATGGCCAGGAGCCCGACTCGCCGCCCCACATCCAGCCAAGCTGGCCACCAGCGTCATTAAAGTTCCTGACGGCGTTCTTGCTGTTGGTGATCTCGGTGACCTTGTTCGTCGTGCACGACAATCGGAAGGCGCGACAGTCGCCCACCGAACCAATCATGAAGAACCACTGTCCATCCGTGCTGGCCAGCCTGTTGTTGTTGTTGATGTCGTCCGCCGTGTTGGGCGAGGTCGTCGTCGTGCCTGCACTCTTCACACTACCATTAAAGCTGCCGCTGTTGTTGGTGCCGCTGCTACTACTGCTGTTGGCGTCACCATAACTACTATTACTACAATTCTCTCCGGTCGTTCCTATACTACTGCTGCTGTTGTTGATGTTGCTGTTGTTGTTGTTGTTTATGTTGTTGTTGATTGTGTTGTTGACGTTGTTGTTGATTGTGTTGATGATGACCGTGTTGTTGCCACTTCCGCTCAAGTTGACGGACAGGTAGTTCCTTGGTGGAGGTGGCTTTACCTTTACAATGTTGATGGTGTTGGTGCTACTGCTGCTTGTGCTGTTGCTGCTATCCTTATCCTGCTCGATCACTGCTGGAGAAATCTGTTGTGTGTCGCTGCTGTGTGATGGTGCGTCGTTCTGGCTGCTGTACTCCTCTTCAGCGATTGTCTCAATCGTGCGACTGGAGTTTGGTGCGGATGATGAGGTGGATGGTGATGGTGAAACGGTGATGTCGCTGCCACTCTTACGGCGCGACGATGAGGAGGAGGGTGATGAAGTAGAAGGGGAAGGGTTGGGGCTGGCAGTGGTGTCGGGCGACAATGAGCTCCGCCTGATTTGTGGTGGGGGAGGTAGTGGCCGCGACAGCTGCTTGGCTCTCTTGTCCGTGGGACCATACATCCGTCCGAGTTTGGAGGAAGATGACGATGACAGTGTGCCATTGCTCAAGTTCTGAAGGATGTTCTTTGTTTGGCCAAGACAACCAATGCAGAAGGTTGTGGCGCCCTTGGGTTCCAGGTGCAACTCCTTGGTCTGGTAATACTCGTCCTCAATGATCCTCATATGGCCAGCCATGATTGAGTATCCAATCTCTGACAGCAAGTCATTGGTAGTTGTGATGTCGGCTAGAACTGGAGGAGTTGGAGTTTTGTTGAGGGTTAGTACAAACTCAAACGAGTGTGCATATTGACTTTGCTTTGCCAAAAAAAGATTACTTACTGCTCTCCATGTACTCATTCGCTCCAAGGACAGCAAGGGCAGCAGCCCTTTGTGAGTCGAGACTTTGTCCAGTACCATCGGCAATGGAAAGGGTAGCACGCAGGTTAGGATGGGTGTTGGTTGATAGACAGAAACAGTCGGCAAACGGCTCGCCACTGCGTTCCTTCTTGTCAAAGTCCCATCCATACAGCGATGAGACAACCGCACATCCATTGTTGTCCTGTGCATTGTAGATTGTAAGTGAGGGCTTCTCAGGCTGCTCATCGGATATCTTGAATTGGCGCACAGCTGGCTGTGGTTGTGCCAGCTTTGTGGCCGAGTTGGAGCGCGACGATGATTGTAGTGGCTGAGGGGGCGGGCGAGTAGGCATGGGGATGGCCATCGATGAGGTGCTGGACGATGCCGACTCGCTGGTTCCGCTCGTAGAGGCTGCTGAGATGCTAAGTTGCTCGAGTGTGTTAACGCTGCTTGACGTCAGTGAGGCGCTGAGCTCGGGTGTCACCTTGCGATAGCTGAACTGGATGTTGGGCGAGAGGTTGTGGATGGAGCTTGGTCCAAGCAGTGCCAGTTGCTGTTGTGGTGAGATGACGATCGAGGGTGTGCCGGTCGAGGGTGTACCAGCTGAGGGTGAGGCCGACGATGATACATCATTGTCGTCGCTGGCTGGGTCTTGGTCTTGGTCGTTGTCGGCAACGACTGGTTGGCCCATGCCCATCAGACTGCCCGAGGTTGCGTTGGGCGACGATGACAAGAACATCAACGAAGAACTGTGTTGTGGCGCGGACGATGAGGTGCGCGATGCGATGCTGAGCGTGGAGGCCGAGGCGGGGATGCGAATGCCGCCAACGGCCACGCGGTCCAACCCGACCTGGGCCAGGAACAGCGTGGGCAGGTACATGCCCTCGTTCTTCTTGTAGTAGACCACCTGAGTGTAGTAGAGACGGTCGCGTTGGATACTATTTACAAAGTTGCTGAGTGCGCGCTGTATGCTCTGCAGCAGGAGGTACTGAATGTTCTCGACCAGGTTCTGACCCTGTGGTGTCACACGATGAATGATGTTGTTGATGAATGTGAGAATGGCTGGCGACTGTTGTTGCTGCGTGGCCTGTTGCTGTCCGTTGGGCACCATTGATGAGGAGGACGACGCGAATGATGAGAAGGGCGACGCAGACAGCGATGAGGGTGACGACGATACGTGAGACAGTGTGGGCGAGGAGGTGGATGGCGAGCTGCTGCTGGCCGAGTCGGAGCCGATCGATGAAGTTGACGATGTGGGCGACGACGAGATGAACGAAGATGAAGCCGATGACAGCTGGCTGGTGGATGATGTGCCGCCACCCGAGCTGGGCGTCAGCACACTGGCGTTAAGCTGTGGCGGCAGAGGGATGTGGAAGCTCTTGATGAGGTGGGTGTTCTTGCCCATGCCCTCCAGAACCATGGTGTAGACGAACACGTTCTTGCGCCACTTGGTGGCGTAGGAGAATGGGTTGTAGCTGAGGATGGCGTTGATCAGGTTGGACTCAGAGTCGATGCAGATGAAGATCGACGTCTGGTCGAGGTTGGAGAAGAGCGCCTGGTTCGATTCCAGCCACACCTCAATCATTGTGGCGTTGTCGCTGATGATCGTGTGTTCCGTGTCGGACGTGAGGTTGTATGTGCTGAGCGTCTTTTTCAGATGCTTGTTGCCGACCACTCCGCCATTGGCCATGTGTGTCGATATATTATTGCTCTCATAGTTGATCTTGATCGCTGGCGGCATGCTCTTTGTGAATTTAATGGATTCGATCATTGTTGTTGGATTTGATTTGGTTTGATTTGATTTGATTGGCGCGCGTTGGCGATGGGTGTGCGGGTGGATGGATGGGTAGGTGTGTTTCCAGATGTTCTGGAATGTCGTTCGTATTGACTAATATGAGATTGATGATTGGGGCTGGGTCGATTGCCTCTCTCTAATATTACTATTATTATTAATGTGTTGGTCTCAGTTTACTTTGTCGATTATACTGCTGTACATTTGGCTTTGTCTGATAATACTAATTACTACTGTCTGTTATCCTGGAATACGCTGTTGGTGGGTCGTAGTGATTGATTGGCGAATGAATCCAAAATTGATTGATTGATTGAATGGATTGATGGATGGATGGACGGATGATTGATTGAGGTTCCACCAACAACGACACTTTTAAGTTATGCAATGAATTGGATTGATATGGATAATATAATATGATGACGCCTGGATGGATGGATGGTTATTGCTACTGCTACTGCTACTGCTACTGTTAAGTTATTGTTTCCTGCTACTGCTTGTTGGGGTAGGTGTTATGTGTGTCTCTCACTACCTCAATTCCAAATTGCTGTAAATGTTGTTGTTATTGCTACTGCTAATGTGTTTGCTGTTGCTGGAATGTATTTGGATTGGATTGGAATTGTATATATTCGTTAACACTGTTTGGGCTGGCAGGCTGGTAAATAATTATTAATATTATGAATATGTGTGATGGAGTGTGAACACTTTGGTTTTGAATTAACGCGTCGTTGTCAATGTCGTTGGCTTGTGATTGATTGAATGATTGACTGAATGATTGATTGATTTGAAATGATAGAATGGATGGGTGGGTTTGGGGTTGGATGACAGAGAGAGTGAGTGAGTGAAGTGAGGTGAAGTTTGTGATAAAGTGTGATGTGTGAGGGGTGAAGGTGATGTATATTTAAAACAATGTGTGTGTGATTGTCTTTGTATCTCTATCTCTATCTCTATTTGTGTGTGTGTGATCGTGGGTGTGGGTGACGAAGTGTGTACACACGATGATGTGTGAGTGTGTGGTTGATTGATCACTCTAAGGAGAGAGACAGAGACTACAAAAATAGAATTAATAATAATTAATCAACTCAAACTCTCAAGCACTCATTCAAACTGTGTATGTGCCTGTGACTAGGTGATGTATGACATACACAACAACGATAGAGTAATCACTTTATGATGCTGTTGCTTGAACGGCATGAACAAATGCAGATACGGGTGAGGTGGATGGATGGTTTGGTGGGAGGCATGAGCGCACGCAAAAAAAGGGGGTGGCAAATCTTTGAAATGATGATGATGTGTGCGAGTGATCGATCAAACAGCTTGGTGGGTATTGTTTTGCAAAACAAAAAGAAGAAAAAAAAAAACAAATGGAGATTCATTGCTTGCTTGATGATGTAACGAATCATATCATATGATCACACACACTACTTCCAAAGTGAGCACAACACACATCACACCTCCTTCCAAATTTACTCGACAAGACAGGCCATTCTAGAGTCACATGGGTACCCAATAGAACAAACACACTTTGACTTGTCTCGTATCTTTCGCACTCTGTGTATGTTTGATTGATTGATTGCTGATGTTTCTGTTGATGTGGATAGAGGCAGACAGACAGGTCGATGGTTTGGGATCACGAGATAGTCTTACCTTTGAGTATTTCTCTCTTGTGTGTGTTGCTTATTTTAGAGTGAGTGGCTGGTTATGTGGGTTGATTGGTAGTTGAGGTGGCCTTATCAAGATGATAATCAAGTCGAGTGAGAGAGAGTGTCGTCTGGAAAGAATGAAAGAAAGAAAGAAAGAAAGTATTGAACAGACTATCTCACTACTCGTTCGTATTTGTGTTTTTGTGTGAATGGTTGGATGGTTGATTGATTGGCTTGTGGTTGGTAGTTGGTAGTTGGTAATACTGCTACTCACTCGTAAAGTGAATACTTTAATGAGGCCTATAGAAGAAATATAATTGAATGGATATGGGCTAGAGTGTATGGTATGTGTATGTGTCTGTTGAAGGGAACACTTCTTGATACAATAACGTACACTCAATGTTCACTTGCGTGAGTTAGGGTGTCTCCAAAAGGATCACCATACTCGTAACACAGCAACTCAAACAGGATCAGGGGTGTGTGCACCTAGAACGGACATGTATTACTCTTGGTGTACTCTGAAGACGCCCCCACATCACAGCTTCAGCGAAAAAACATAACTCTGACATCATCAAACAATCTTGTTGAGGCGAAGAAAAAAAAAGGACCAAGAGTGGGCGAAATGATCATTTGAACTTGAATGTGATGTGAGGTGGATGGATGTCCAACAACACACACGATCAGTATTGATGTTTTGGATTGCTTCCACTCACGCAATACTATTACTCGTCTCACAACGGACAGTCCTAGTTGTTGTTGTTGTTGTTGATGTTGGCAACTTACATGATGCCTGGCGCCAACTGAGGCGAACAGAACAGATAAGGTTACATGGTCCACCTACCCAACCCCCAACTAGTGCCGCACATCATTGGCATTGACAATCGAGATGAAGAAATAAATATCTTCTCTTTGATCATGGATAATACTCCAGTATGGGATTAGAAGTGATGACTGACCTAATCAAAAAGATACAATCTCTTTTATTAGTTCAATGTCATTGTTAAAGTCAACGTTGTTGTTGTTGTTGTCAGGGCTAGAGCTCTGAATGTGATGTTGATGATTGCGATGATGGCGATGGTGTTTGACACTACTTTGAGAATGGTGTTGGAGGCGCTGGCCGCCACTACTACGCTCATAAAGTTGGTGTTTGGTATGTTGTTGATATTGTTGTTCCAGGGGATGTTGGTCCGTCTGGATACTGTCCAATTTGCGCTTGTTGCCCACTTGTTCTGGTTGTTGTTGGTACTGATGGACAGTACTGGTGTTGGAGTTGGAGGATATCGTAATGATTGGAGTTGTGGAGCATGACGAGTTTGTGCTGGATGGACCAGCAGTCTCAACAGGAAATGATGATGATGATGGCGTATTGTAATCGGAGGATGAAATGGATGAAGAGGTATCTGGTGTACTCCTTGGTGAAATTGATGTATGAATTATAATGGATGTTGTCGCTGCTGGTGATGATGTTGATGACGATGATGATGAAGTGGAGGGTGTTTGAAGTTGTGAAGATGGTGATGTAGGACGCGAGGCAGTGGCAGTGGCTGCCGCTAGTTGTAATGATGATTTGTGAATGATGTCTGTGAACTGTTTCAAGTCCTTCTCGTGTAGGTACAACTGGTAGTCTATCAGCTTGAGGAAGTGTATCTCTAGCTGATTGATATGACTCAGCGACACTGAGAATATCTTTGATATATACTTATTGACGTTCATCTTCTCTTCGACCCACATCTTGATCGTGATCACGATGCTATTGGGTAACAAGGTGGCGGTGTTAGCGGCGGCGGTGGTATCATTGCTGGCGGCAATGGAAACATAATGTTCAATCAATCAATCATACCTGGTGATGATGATGTCCAAGATGGACACAGAGTTGGAGACATTTTTCCGAACAAACAGATCGGCGTAGTAAATACATCCGACAAACAGCGAGTTGTAGTCTTTGCTGTTGGTCGCGCTGACACTCTGGGGATCATAGTTGGATGCCCCTGATGCCCCGGTGCCCGTCCCCAGCTCTGGCTTGGGGAGGGCGCGCTTACAATGTTGTATAAAGAAGAAGTGGACCACGCTGCCGGCCATATCCACAAGACGAGTGATGTAATGTTCAATGTCGGCCAGCGGCGTGGTACTGGTCGAGAGCACCTTGTTGGCCCATGACGCGGAGGCGGGTTGGGAGGCAGCCTCGCATGCCTGGCTGCCAAAGCAGGGTGCGGTCTTTGACTGGCGTATATTGATCGTTGGCAATGGCAGGAGGAGTGGCGGCACCGGCGTCTTGTATATCCACGTCAGGAATAAACGAGTGGAGTAGTTACGTATCATCAATGCTTCGAGGTCCTCCTGATACTTTTGTATCAGTATCTTCTTGGGAGAGGCGGTCTTCATCTTGGTAGTAGTTGTAGTTGTAATTGTAGTTGTAGACTTAGTAGTTGTAGACATAGTAGTAGTAGTAGTAATCATTGTTATATGATAATGATGAAGAATGGATAAGATTATAATGGTCGGGATCGACCTTGCAACATTTGGAATCACTGGTTACAGTGTGTTACTTGTTTGGCGGATTGATTGATTGACTGGCGGGCAGAAGTGAGCGAGTTAGCGGGCTATTGAGGGTATGAGCGAAATGATTGACAGGATTGACTGAAGGCAGAAAGTTTATGTGTTGGAGAATGATTGACGAGTGACAGGAAACACGAAGGAAGAGGAAGAGTGAGGTATGGGGAGGAGGTGTTGGTTGGTTAAAGTCGTTGACAACGATTGATCAACAACAACAACAACAACAAATGTATGAATAATGGTTGAGATGAGACTGCCGTGCTCTTTACGGTTTTGTAAGTAAGCAAGAACTGTGGATGAGTATGAGTAATGAGTATGTGAAGGGCGATGGATGGTCGTGGGCTATTTATGAGACACATGGCCAGGTTGTAAACAACACACACCACCGAGCCATGTTCGAAACATCGATCAACTTTGATTTGAGTTGTGTGAGTGGTTGCGGACTCCGTGTGTGATTGGATGTGATGGCTGGATGGTCCAACAACTACTTGAGTGTGTGTTGTTGTAAAAACAGGAAACAAGCCTGTGAGTCCACCTTCTAAACGAGATGATGGGTTGAAGTCGTTTGGAACTGAGCGAACAAAGTCATGTCGTATTTGTTTGTATTTGTGTTTATGTGCATTGGAGCGGAGTTTATGTCTCCTGTTGGTGGAGGTATGTAGACTTTGTTTTGGTCATCCTCCAAAGATGTTACAGTGTTTGGAACGAGTATCAATCAATCAATCAATATTTCCAAACACTGAACTGGAAACAAATCATTGATAGAGTTACGTTCATAATGATTGATGATCATTACCTTTGTTGTATTTGTGAATTTAAGGACTTTTTTGAGTTGTTGGTGAATGTAGTTGATATGAGGAATGAATGAAAGAATATATGTGAAGATGATTGATATTAGATGAATAGGTGGGAAAATGAATGAATGAATGAATGGGGTCAACTACCAGGACAGGTCTCGGTATTATTATTAAAGATGATCGTGAAGGAAAGACGCAAGAACCCCCCCAAGTTTGTTTGTTGTTATTGATTATCTAAAGAGGAGATGTCATGGAAAATGAATTGAAATAATTAAATGTTCTTGGTCTTTCACAATAAAGAAGGACCTGTTGGTCGGTCAAGCAAAACAACCACACTGAAGCCATGACGATGGTTGACCGATGTTGGTGCTGGAAGTCGGTCTTGGGAAGTGTGTGGTTGACAATGGGATGACCTCGATGACTACATCAGATATATTTGTTTGAATGAAAGGATGATGAATGGTCGAATCTGAGGATCCCCATATTGAGAAGTGGTGGGCGAGCTTGAGGAGAGGACTCCAAAAGATTGATAACAAACTTTAGATTCTTTCTTTAGAGAGTGATAGATAGGTAATAACAAGGAGTAATCTACAGTGTTGATTGGTGAACTATTCAATAAGGATAAGTATGGGAATGGATTGGGAGAACAAACATTAGTTAGTAGAGTGGACGGACTAGTTGGAAAGGTGAAAGATGGCATGGGCAAGCATGCAGGCAGGCAGGCAGGCAGGCATAAGTATCATTGTAATCATAGACTGGTTCTGGTTATTCAATCTAATCAATCAATCAATCAACCCCCGTACACATTGATGGCATCACAGAACAATATATATACACATTGACGAGTGTTTGTTTGAATGATTGTTTGTTTGTTTGTTTAGTTGTTTGATTGTTGCCAACAAGAGGCAGGCTAGGGTAGAGGGTGTGAGTGTGGTGCGTGATGTTGTTGGTTAGTGGTTGTTGCGAGGAAGGTGGATTGATTGATGGAATGGGTTATCATTCGTACATGTATGTATGGTTGTGCGTTCAATGGGTCAATCATCAATGGGTGGTGAATGACAGTGATCCTCCTCCTCCCTTCTCACTCTCTTATCCAAAAATATCATCTTTCCAGATTGGTCTTTGTTGGTTGGATTGATATAAGCGTATAATACATGTATAATATAGAGAGGTAGGCATTGTCGATGGAGACTCGATCAATGTTGTAGTATGACAAATTGAACGAACTGTTAATACTTGTGATGAGGGTTACAGTGAGAAATTGATGGGTCAGATGAATGATGGAGATTGGTCTGAAGCTTCAGAATATGTTATTGCCCGATACGATATATATATATTAATTAATTAATTCTTGGATTTTAATTTATTTATTAAGTTGGTTGATTGATTGATTGAAACGATAAAGTTGTGAGTGATGAGAACAACAAGAGATGTTTTGTTAAAGTATCCTTAGGTGGACTCAACCTTTATTGATCCACTAATAGATGCACTTGATTCTGTTGACATGGAATCTTGGTTGGATGACGATGATTCGTCGGGACTGGAGGAGGACTCGGCGGATTTGATTGAAAATGGTATTGGATGCACAGCCAATGTTATCCTTTGGATTGCCTTCTCAAGCTTGGTCTTGAACTCGGGATGCTCTGATTTGACTTCCAGAGTTTCCAGATGTACGCTCGCCAGTTGATCGTCAATATTGAGGTGCAGAAGCAGTGGGTCGTCTTCGTCAGGCCTTGGTGCGCCAAATTGTTGCGCCAGCAATGATTTAACATCTTCGCGCAATGTCAATCGTTGGCTCTGTTTCCTTGACTTGGTCATCACCACAACATCCTCAATATCCTCATCATTCTCTTCTTCCTCTTCTTTCTTCACCATGATGTCTTCTGTCTTTCCATTGCTATCGCTCATCATCTCATCGTCATTCTTTGAACTGGATCGTACTCTAAGACTGAATGGATTTGATTCAATCTGCATGATCATCGCAACGATCGAGTCTGCCACCATGTCCGTGACGGGATTCGAATCCCATTCAATTGTAACATGTGATCCTGTATTATAAGTGAGTGTTATCGAGTCGTATATCTTTGAATCAGATCATGTTGGTTAGTATGAGCGTGTATGACCAGCATCCTTGTCGTCGTATAACAACAACATACCTTTATGATTGGCCTGTCATCCGATGTCTTGGTCTCTTCGATCTCGTCATAGAGTTGTTCAAGGGTGTTGCATAGGAGTAGGTACTTCTGGCCGAATGGAACTGATTGTTTCTGTTTGATTATGTTGGTCTTGAGGTTGGTGTAGTTGTGCAGATCGGATGGCGCAATGATGTGATGTGTAAAGTCCTTGGTGACCAACAGACCAGAGATGGTGGTGTTGTGTCTGGGTGTCTTGGAGGCGATGGCGCCCAGCATCTTGGCCACCTTCTCGGCCTTGAACTCCATCTGAACGTTCTGCGAGTTCTTGGGTGTCATGATATTGATCGTCTTGAACTTGGCGACGAGTGAGTGCTTCAGTCTGGACATCTCGTTGGCGTCGCCGTGCACCAGCACGATGTGAGGTGGATGGATGTCCTGGATGAACTCGGACGTCTGCAAGAAGTCAGAGTGAGCGCTGAACGACACATATGTAACTGACAGGTTGAGTGGGATATTGACACCATCCAGTCGTGTGATCTCCTTGGGCTCAGTCATGATGTGTTTGGCCAGTGTACCCTCGACGTTGTAACCTGGGATAACAACTCCATTCCTCTTGTCTGAGCACCATCGTTCAAACAGCTGTCTGGACAGACCACTCTGAAGCATACCAGGACTGGCCATGAACACACAAGGTCCATTGTCCTCAAACTTCTCAATGCCCTTGATATTCTGGATGTATTTAAACTCGAATGGATTGGATACATCGAACTGAGCTCTGATTCTCTGTGTAGATTGATTGATTGTGTGAGTGATTGAGTGACTTGGAATGATTCCAAAGTTGGTGAGCCAAACTTACCTCATTCATCATGTTGATTGAGAATTGATATGTGGACATGCACTTCTTGGCCAGGGCACTGGCGTAGTAGATAGGTATCCTTTGGAGTTCGGGATGTGCTATCCAGTATTCATCGAGAATGAGCAACAACTCTTGAGCTCTGCCAAGAGCAAACACTGGTATCAGACATCGACCACCACGTTTGACGACATCATGTATGGAGGAGGTGAATCTTCGCTCTCGCTCTAGTCGCGGCTCGTGCACTTGCACGCCGTATGTGCTCTCGATGATCAGTACGTCCACGTTGACCGGGGGCGTCTCGGCACCCATCAGATGTCGGTCCTCCTGTCGCGAGAAGTCTCCTGTGTACAATATCTTTGTGCCGGCAATCTCCACGAGGAACATGGCCGCGCCTAGCACGTGGCCGGCATTATAGCAAGAGAACCTGATTCCATTGTGTTCGAGCTTCTCGTGATACTTGATATGTTGAATCTTGTCTGAGCTACGCTTGAGGTCGGCCTCATTATATGGTATCTCCTCAGACATACTGCTGACCTTTACATAATCACTCATCAATATCTTGTAGATTGACTTTGTTGGCGGTGTCATATATATCTTGCCCTCAAAGTCTGTCTTCTCCACAATATAAGGTACTGCTGCTGCATGATCTAGATGGAAGCTGTTCAATGAATGAGTGAATGAGTGAATGAGGACCATTAACTTATCCATCAACAACAAGGTGATACATACTGAGTGACGAGTAGCAAGTCGATCTCTGATGGGTTGTCGATTGAATCAAAGTAGGGTAGTGATGACATGCCTGAGAAGGCAGGATGTACACCACAATCAAACATGATGGTTTTGCCCTTGTACTTCATTAGTACACAAGATCTGCCTACTTCATTGCCTGCACCAATTGGCATGATCTCCAACAAGTCATCCTTCTCAGTACCTCCTCTAACCGGTCTCTTATTATTCGCATTCAAGTGGTGTTGGTGACCGTGATGTGTATCCATCCTCTGTCTATCTTATCTGTGTATGTATATATATATGTACAATATTGAATGAATGAAACAAACAATGAAAGATTGAACATAAACTTTCGCCTTCACTCAAACTCATTCATTCATTCATTTTCCAAACTTCATCAAACAGATACTATTTGTATGAATGAATGAATGAATGATAGAGTTTATATTTATTAATTACAATGACAAGGTAAACAAGTAATACTTTAGATAAAAGTAGTTGGTCTAGTCTTTAAGTATTCAGCTAGTTGTGGGATTGATGCAATCTTCTTGTGGAATGAAAGTAATGCTGTGAATGGCTCGAGAACTGCCACTAGGTTGCCAGGCTGTTGATGGAAGAAATCCAAAAGATTGAAGATACTGATATCAGCCCAGCTCAACTTGTTGTTCACAAGATATACACCGCCAGCCTTGACAAGCAATGTCTCAAGCTTCTTGAACACCTTTGGAGCGGTCTCACTGGAGAACGTCTTCAGAGCTGCCTCGTCTTTGCCAAGGTATGCTTGGAAGTATGGTGCATACAGATCACCAGGCAGCAAGGCGTACTGAAGGATCTGAGCGGTCTCGATTGTTGATGAGCCAGTGAGTTTGAGATGATCGGCAAGATAGTACTCGATGGCTACAGATTGTGCCAATTGGATTATATACTTGGAGAGTATTTGTTATTTTTATTGTTATTAGCAAAAGGAAGGGAAGGGAGGCAGGGAAGGGAATGGAATATAATATAATGTAATGGTATAAGTATTGTAAAGGAAGGGAAGGGAAAGAAGAGAGGTGAAGAGGAATTAGATGATCTTCACAATATCTAATCCCCAGTTGATCAGATGTAAATAGCCAAAATACAAAGGGGAGTTGAATACCTCAATGAAATTGGCTACTTCATCAATCTTATTCATCACCAGAGTGGTATGAAGGTAGGGACTACAACCAATAATGGGGTACTCCTCATTCATTCCACATCCAAGTTTGTGTAATTATTGAACATACCTCTGTGGTAACTCCACCTGATCACGATCATTCAATAAATTAATTGCTGTTCATTTATGGTATCATGAATATACCATACTCAAAGGAACAAACACAGATCATTATATTGCTCAATCTCTGATTTGTTATTCATTGGTAAATCACTAAATAATATTATAATTCAAAATGAGAAGAACATTCAACTTAAATTTATTATTGTTATTATTATTAGTAATTTTATTAATATTAAATAATGTAAGCTGTTTATCATCATCGGAGACTCCATCATCAGATAATAGTGCTGTATACGTTGAAGAGATAAACGAATGTGACAAAGGTTGCTTCTCAAACATGTTAGGTAATAATATTTGTGAGAAGGTTTGCAACACCCAAGATTGTTACTTTGACCATGGAGACTGCGAGGGTACAGAACTTGAAGATATGGTATGAACGCCACTCATCATTCAGTTATTTTTAAAATCCAGGAACCCCAAGTTGATTAATTAATTAAAGTTGGCAATATTTATTGAATTCGGACCTAGAGGAAGAGGGAAATGACTATCATTGCAATGATGAATAGTGATGGGATGTAGATTCTTGACGATGAATTGAGTCCGGTGGTAGTGCCAATGGTTGTGGAGTTGGTGGTGGGGATGCCAGTGGTTGTGGTTGTGGATGGAGGTGGAGTTGCACAGGCAGTGACCGAGATACGATCAGAGGTGATGCTGCATCCAGTTCGCTCAACCATCATGGCACTGTACATGCCAGTGGCCAGACCCGGGAATGTAATGTCGTTGTCGTAGAATTGGTCGGGGCCGAGGCTAACGACGACGTTGTCAGAGCTGTCCAGGAGGGCAACTTGAAGGAGGTCATCGAACTGCTTCATGTACAAACTGAACATGCCACACTGGACCGAGACGACCTCTGCCTGCATATAGTCCGAGCGGACGGTGGCCAAGACTGAGAGGCGACGAGAGCATGAGCCCGCGCCAGTGACGACGGCATCGACCAGGAAATCGCCTTCCTTGACAGTGGTGACTGTGTTGGCGTCCACACCGTTGACCTTGTAGGTGGCGGTGTAGCCAGTTGGGGCGATGCTGAGGGAGAGGGTGGTCGAGTTGAGTTTGTAGTTACAGATGTTTGGTGCTGCGACAATCAGTTGTGGCTCGTTGCTGCCAACCACGATACTGATGGTCTTGGTGCAGTAGGTGTTGCTGTTGCTGAACACGGTGAGTGTGTGGATGCCGGCGGACAGGAAGCGGAATGTGATGGTGGTGCCCGAGATGAGAGTGTCTGAGTTGAAGCCAGTCTCAGTGCTGATCAGGTGGTAGAGGTAGGTGGCAGTGTCGGCGTTGGTGATGACAACCTGGCCGTCGCGAGAGTATGTGCACGACTCATTGACGACGTTGTAGGCGACGTTGACGTTGAGTGGCGAGATCGAGGGCAGGTTATCAAGGGACAAATATAGGAAGTTGTCGTCGTTGGGCAAGTGATAGTTGTTGCGCGATCTGTAGTTGATGTATTGATCAGAGTCCAGGCTAAGGTAGGCGACGCCATTGGAGTCGGGGGCGTATCTTCCGCTCATCAAGATCTCAAATGCCTGCATGCTGGCGGTGTCAAACTTGAACGTGAGGACACGCGAGCCACACTGGGTGGGCGGTGTGATGGTGAAGCGGGGCTTGTTGAGGGGCATCAATGCGGTGAGGTTGAACGAGTACTCGTAGGGGCAATCGTAGAAGTCGTAGATGTGCACTGAGAAGATATCAGGGTAGTCTTCAGGGCTGATGGTCCAACCAACAATCGTCATATGGTCTGGCAGGAAGTAGCCGTGAGAGGTTTCGGAATAGCCGGTGTAGAAGTTGGGTTTCAGCAGGACGACCTTGGCAACACCGTCGTAGGCACCGACAGTGGGGAACTGGATGACGTCTACGCGGAACACGGGCGATGTGTCGAACTTCTGGACGTATGACTCGTGCCACAAACAGTTGCCCGAAGAGATCTCGAAGAGGCGGTTGCCCTGGGGCATGCCGATGATGAGCTGGGTGTATCTGTCATAGCCGGCGTTGTTGTTCTCGCCAAGGTCGGTGACACCGTCGATCACGATGGGCTGGCCGCCCTGGGTGACGACGATCTTGGCCGAGTTGGGTGCAGAGTTGACCATCGAGCGACAGCCCGACGTCTCAACGGGGGTGATGGTGATGGTGCGGTTGGTATCAGTGGGGACGGGGATGTTGTTGATCTGACCGACGCCGCAGATAGAGTGGTTGAAGTAGAGAGTGCCAGATTGGGTAGAGGGCACTGTGCTGACACCGTTAGACAGGAAGCCGTAACCGTTGAAGTTGGCGGTGTAGAAGTTTTGGAAGTTGTGGAGGGTGACGTTGGCCGAGGCAGTCTGGCAGTCCGACGATAGCTGGGGTGTGATCGAGTAGGTGATGGCGGTGGTGGTGTCGATGGCGTTGATTGTGACGGTGAAGGGTTGGGTGCATTGTGAGCCTTGGTAGTACACCATGATTTTGGTGGTTCCTACCGGCACGAGGAAAGTACTGCCAGAGGGCTTCATCGAGGTGTATGAGTTGTTGAAGTAGTAGTAGGAGACCGGACTGGTGAAGTTGATCTGGATAAGTCCAAAGCTAGAGACACAGGGTGCTTGCGAGAGGACGGTGATGTTGGCGTTTTGTGGCGAGGCGGGTATCGAGTAACGGATCGAGCGAGGGGGGCAGGTGGGGAAGGTGGCTGGCACGTTGAAGTTGTAGTTGCTGTTGTTGAAGTTGACTGGAGTGCCGACTGTGCTTCGGATGCCCTTGTACACTGGGAAAAGTGTGCCCGAGATGTTGGCGCCACAGACCGAGGGGTAGACAACGTCGACCCAGTCCCAGGTAATGTATTGATTCTGGAATGATGACACCTCGCTGATGACGACCGACTGGTTCTTGGTCAGGCCAGTGCAGCCCTTCAACACGGTGCTGAGTACCCAGTTGGTTGCGACGTACAGGCCGCCCATCACACCCTCTGTTGCGACCACGGTCTTGGTAGGGTTGCTGATCATGATGCTTTCGAAAGACTGGTAGTTCTGGATGGTGACAGTGAAGTTGCCCAGACAGGTGGGGTCGTCGTAGGTGATCTGGACGAGTGGGTTGATTGAGTCGTATCTAAAGATGTATGGGTTGTCGTCGCAGGTCGATGTGAGGGATATGCCGGTGCCCAGGGTGACTGGCAGCTGGCGGTTCGAGTCGATCGAGCCTTGGCTTGCACTGAGGGTCGAGAAGTCGCGTGGGTAGGTGATGGTGACGGCCGAACCAGCACTGCAGGTGGGCTGTGGCGACTGGCCAAGGGTGTGCGTGACGGGGATGTAGTAGTTGGTCATGTCGTAGGCGGAGTTGCCCTCGCAGCCAATGTTGAAGTTGATTGCGTGCGAGCCCTGAGTGAAGGGTGTCTGAACGCCGGCAGTTACGTTGAACGTGCTATCGATTGTGATGGGGCCAGGGCTGCTCAGACCATTGACGGTGAGCGTCTGCAGGGCGTACGATGAGTTGCAGCCGGCGATAGACTGTGAGCTCACGGTGACTGAGGGAGTAGAGGGGTAGATGTATCCGGAGTAGATTATGACGCTGGTGCATTGGGCTGCGGTGGCGTAGATGGTGTAGGGCACCTGGTTGCCGGTGGCCACTTGCACGTTATCAAAGATGCCATTCGATGCCTCGGAGGTCCTGTTGGTGCCTTGCAACTCAAGTACCAAAGAGCTGAATTGCTGGTAGTTGGTGACGACGAGGCGGCCGTTGGGCAGGCCACAAGTTGGCTGGGTGACGACTACCTGTGGTGTGAGGGACTTTGTGATGTCGTAGACAAAGCGGACGCTGCAAGATGACATGCTGGGTGGGTACACTCTGAGTCTGTGCACGGTGTTTGCCTGGAAGACGTTCGAGTAGACAAAGGTGTTGTTGTAGGCGGTCTGTGGGCCAGAGTCGATTCTGAAAAGCGCGTTCCTGTTCTCAAAGCCAGTGACGGTGAGAGTCATGTTATTGCCGTAGCATACGGGCTGGGTGATGGTGATCTTGGGGATGGTGATTGTGAGCGTTCTGTTCCTGGTACAGTTGCCGATAGTGGCAAAGATGGTGTGTTGGCCAGCCTCTGTGGCGGTGAACCAGTAGTAGTTGAGGTAATAACGTTGCGATGTGACGGGTGGGCTGATCGTTAGATTGTCCCAGCCATAGTCGTAGGCGTAGAATACAATAGTTGAATCACATGTAGCATTATTGAATTGAATGTCCAGGTCCGAAGCGGAATCGCATGGATCCTGAGCTGAAGCCACACTAGTGGCAACCATTATCAAGGCACATAGCAACAGTGCCCTGGTAACAGGTGTATATCTCATCATAGTGTGTTTAGAAACAACTAAATGTTTGAGTGAGTATGGTCGAGGGTAAGGGTTGATGGTCGAGGGTTAGGGTCAAGGGTTCATTAAGGGTATATTTGTGGCCAATCAATCAATATTACTTACCTATATATTAAAATATAAAGATATATAAGTTAGGTTATATGTATATATTAGTTGGAAGGAAGAATGTAGATTGATTGGTTCTAACTAAACTCCTGGTTGATATAGTTTAGCATCGAATCAATCGCATCGGCTAATCATTCAATTGAATGACACGAACTAAATAAATAACCGCTTGATGAGATGACATACACAGGAAACGACTGGACATGTCACATGACCCGGGATGGACGACAGGATGTGTGATCCTCAGAAAACTGTCAGATATGATGGTCCATGCCTCCTTCGCAACACCATGTCATTTGCTTGCCTCTACTTTGAAATCAATCCTGTCCTATGTTGTTTTTTTTGTACAACCCTTTCTATCATTTATCTATCTAAATATAAATCAACCATGTGAGACGATAACCATTTTGATCAAACTTTCCCCAACAGCAGGTCGATTCGTTTTGGAAAAGTTATTGAAATCAAGTCAGTTTGTGGGGAGACGGTGTCTGAATCATCGTCGCCCCCTCTGATTGTTTGTTTTGATTGGTGTCGACATCATCGTTTATTAGTTTAGATCGTAAAAAGATTCACCATTACTTATTATGCAAGGTAAGAGGAAGTAATGAATGAAGACTAGTTTTCAAATGACCAGCGAGCAAGTCAAGTCTGGTTTGTGTGCGCCTCCAACATTAAGTCCTGGGAGACCCCTATTAACATCATGATGACTACTTTGTGGAACGCCTGGTTTACTGTTGATATGAGTTTGTTTGCCTTGTTGAAATGATATTGTATCAGAAAATTGTCAGTCTGTTTAGTTTCCGATTCCAGAATAATTATTCAAAGAGTACAAATAACCATAAATTAAGATTGATTACTTGTATGTCGGTCTCAATATTCCCTTGAAACTGTTTGATCAACAAGGTCGTCTTACAGCAATCACTACCAAACTTCAAACTTTAAAACTGAAATCCCGAAGACCTGTTCAACCAATCCATTTTATCTTGTTACATTCGTCAGGAACCATCCCAGACTTTATGAAATCCAAGAAGACCTGTTCAACCAATCCTTTTTATCAAGTTGAATCAATCAAAGTAATAGAACACTATTGTATTAATACGTGCCAAAGCTATTGCCAGAGTAAACTATATAAACACCCATGGGTAATAAAATCCAGCCTAGCTAATTGGCTGTCGGTAATTTATTGAATACAAAAAGAAAGAGTTAACTCTATGAGCGGTGGGTATTATAACAATGATGTGAGAAAGTTTCCTAGTTGGTAAGATTCCTACACTCTCGCGCTCACTCAACAACTGGCAATATTGAAGCTTGATAGATTTACAATGGCCGATGGAGGACGCAATGTAAGACCTGATGATGTACTTGGTGGATGGACATGGACCGTGGACTCTGCATCGGGAATCATAACGAAACGATGGAACTCCAATATCTGTTGGGAGAATTGATTGAGTCCATCCTCGTCGTCACTATCACAGTTATCATCTTCATCAATTGCATCGTTGCAAATAATATTGTTGATGTTGCTGTTGTTGTTGTTGTTGTTGTTGTTATTCTTGTGACGAATAGATTGTGTTGGAGTTGATGGATTTGATTGTTGTTGGAGATTGGTACCAGTGATATTGCTGGTTCTCTTTGAAGTTGATATCTTCTTCTTCTTTATACTCCTCTTGTGATACTCTATGTTGGATGAGCCACTACTATTATATACATTGTTGTTGTTGTTGTTATTGGAGATCATTGTTGTTGGTATGTTATCGGATGTTGGTTCGTCGTTGAGGTCAATAAAGTCGGTATACTCCTCGTCGCTTTCACTATAGTCGAATATCTCCTCGGTGCAATGTGTGCTGGAACACTCGTCCAGCGATAGAGAGCGGTCGTCGATATCTCTATCTCGTTCGTAGTCTGATTCCAACTCTCTATCACTATCATCGATCATCACAAAGTGTAGTGATGTCTTTCTATCTTGGAAATTATCCATCTTTTTTTCCAGACAATATATATATATATATTATTTCGATATTGATATAAATAAATAATATAACTATGTATATAATGTAATAATAATAATAATAATAAAGTAGAATAAGAATATATAATATATATCAAATACTACTTAATCACCTAACATAGTACGACCTTCCTTTGTAATTTTGTTTGGATACCAAGGTATCAAAGAAAGTCTAATTCTATAGGTTCCGCTGCTGCTGATGCTGCTGCTATTAGTTGGGGTTGTGTCTGAGCACTTGAATCACTTGTATACATAGAAAGAATAAGTTGATTGACAACAGGACTGATCAAATTGATTGGTTGATTGACTGGACTGATTATTATTATTCTTGTGGTGTGTAATGTTTGTCCAACTAGTTATATAGGTTGTTGATTAATGTTGCCACTTGTTGTCTTTGTGTATGAATGTATATGTAATTGTTGTGTTGGAACAAAGTGAATTGAATTGAATTGAATTGGAATTGAATGTAGATGTTTACTGTCCGTCACTCTTCCTTTCTCTCTGTCTGTCTGTCTGTCTGTCTGTATGTCTCAATGCTTGTGCTAGTGGCGGCAACTTGTATATATTGTGAGAGCGCGCGAGTGCAGTTCCTTTAAACGTGAGAAAACCTTAAGATGAAGATGATGTGTTATGTATGTATGTATTTATGAATGAATGTATAATTAAGTGTGGTTGTTATATGTGTGTGTTGGTGTATATATTTAGAAGAGGTGTTATGTGTGTACTTGTTCAAAGTGGGAAGGGGTGTGTTGTTGTTGTTGTTGTTGTTGGGTCAAACAAACAACTTAAACAGTTATAAAGATGTGTAGATGTGTGTATGTGCACTCGAGTAGTTATAGTTGATGCGTAATAACAATCGACAGTCAGCTGATCAATAACTCAATCAACAACACAACTTCTAAACTGCTACAAACTAAATAATAATAATAAATGTTTAATAGGTGATTATGTTATGTTATATGTGATTATTTGTATGTATTAGTTTGAACTCAGTGACAGGAAGTGAAGAATAGTTTCTCGATCTGGTTGATCATGTCTATGTGGCTGTTTGCGTAGCATTGTAAAATAACGGTCATCATCCATCACCATCATTGACCACTACTAGAATTCAATTAATTTTTTAATTAATCGGTGATTGTTTCTCAAGTTTGTGTGAAATGGTTGTGGCGGGTCCTCCCCCATCAAAGGGGTTTTTGAAGTGAATGGCATTGGGCAAGTGTGTGTGATGGGTTAGAGAATGGGATCATTCTGTGTGAGGGTGAGTGCCTCCTCGTTTATTATCCGAAGATACCAACAAAGCCATTGGTATTGGCTTTTGCCAACTTCCCAAACCCAACATGATATTATATTATCTCTATGTCTGAAACATTGAAAAATGTAGATACCGGCATTTTATTGATTGATTGATTTATCATCGAAGAGTCATTCCATTTTTCTTGGGAAACCGCAAACGACTACTAATCAACACTAAAGCCCAATACAACTATCTTCATATATATAAGTTATAACATTGGGAATAATTTAATAATAATATTATTATTGTGCCGATTTGATACTAAACAATGATATTTGCGCTGCAGTGGATATGTATCCCCAAGTAAAGGTACCTCCGTTGGGGGCAATCGATGCATAGGCTGGAAGTGATATCTCTCCACCGTTCAAGATAACATTCCATGAGGAGGTTGGGTTGAAGTCAGTGGCGGTCATTGTAACTTGGGTAATTGTACTAGCTCCATCATTCTTAACAATCACATCATATTGAACATATTCAACATTGTCTGTTGTCCATGACGAGGCCACCTTCTTTGACACTGATACCTTGGGTGATGGTGGGGCAACAGTACAAGACTCACCAAAGTGAAGAGCAGGGCATCCAACTGGCAATGGATTGATAATCAACTAGATTGATTGATTGAGTATATTGTTACTATTGATCCCGGGCAAGTATTGAGAATTAATGAATGATAGGATAACATACAACAAAAGTGTGAACTACACCATCCATAAGGAATCCGAATGTGTTTCCAGTGGCAGCGGAACAGTATAGTGTTGCACCCTTGTTACCAACTTGAATCGTTCCATTGGTGTATACAACAAACTCACTTGGCTGTGGACTTGGTTGGGCAACATCAAAGGGTTGGTTTAGAAGGTTGGAACCACATACATAGCTGTCACTCTGGAGTATCTTAACAGGTGCCTGTTGTCTTATTCCATCAAAGTAACGACTGTACATCAGGTTGCCCTTTAAAGCAAATTGGTTGCCAGATGGAGTGATGGCAGTACCCGAATAGGTAATGCACTGGTAGCCTTGGCCAGCATTTATATATTGTTGGAGTTGGGTGACACAACTGTCTGCCGAGGCAATGGCAAACAATGTCATTGCGACCACCAGTATCTTGGTAATGGATAGTTTAAAAGTCATATTTGATTGATATATTGAATATATGTTTGATTGATTGAATGAATTGTATGGATGAATTAATTAATTACCTCATTGACAGCTTATATATTTTTGTATATTCTCCAGTCATCCAATCATCAACAACCTTTACTTACAAGGAAGGTAGGGGTATGACAACTTATCATTCATCCTCACCAAGGGGTGTAGTGTTGACATCGGTTCATGGAACATGGTAAATGGATGTGAGTGTGTTGACATAATGTCAACAAGGTGGAAACAGTGTGTTGCCGCCCTCACCCACATACACCCACCATCTATCAATCCAACCAAGGCAACCAGCCACTATTCATTGTCTAATCGACATCATCATACTATATTAAACCTGTGGTTGTATAATGGAGTGTCGAGTAGTTAGTCATGTTGGATTTGATTGATTGGAACAGATGTTCCTTGTTTAGAACCCTTCTTTATGAGGCAATGACTATTTCATGTGGTCTTAAATCCCTGGCCATTAAACGAATGAACAACTAATATTAATAATTGCCAATGTTACTCCTTTCTACATCTCCCTTCCACTATCTTGCCTGCTTATTACATGTTGTTGTTTTGGTTGGACATTTGATGATTCCAGTTGTTGGTTTGATTGATATGCATACTTCTTCTTCTTGGATTTATTGTTGTTGATGATAATAATGATGTTGATAATGTAGATAATAATGATAATATTGATTCTTTGATTTGGTTGCATTCTATGCTCCTGCTGCTTCTCCCTCCTAACTTCTGTTACAACAGGTGGACCATAAGGTCTAAAAATAATAGTTGGAGAAGGAGATTGGGCTGGAACTGGTGTTGTTGCTTCCATACTTGATTTCCGAGTAGTTGGCGAATGGGTATGAGTTGGCAGACAACTCTTGCTCTTGGGATCCACAACTGCGAAGGAATTGAACGACTGGGGCATGTCCATTGCTCTTGGCCTCGGCGATTGGTGTGGCACCACTGGCGTCCTTTGACAGCAGGTTGGCACCGGCAGAGACAAGCAGGCGACAGCACTGCTCCTCACCAAGCGAGGCGGCCAGATGCAACAGGGACTCTCCGTCGTCGTTGGCAACATTCGGGTTGGCACCGGCAGACAGTAGCAATCCCAGCAGATCCGACTTTGATTCGCGGATCGCAAAGTGCGCAGGCGCCTCGCCCTCCTCGTCGACAACATTGAGCTGAGCGCCACCGGCAATCAGCAAGCGAGCAATGTCCATACGGCCAACGCTTGCTGCCAAGTGCAACGGTGTCGACTCGGTCACTGTCTGGAGGTTGACGTTGGCACCCTTGAACATGAGGTACTGGATGTAAACGAGGTTCTGTGCGAGCACGGCCATGTGGATCAGTGCAATTCCGTCGGCATTCTGTGAGTTGACACTGACGCCACAGTTGAACATGTTGTCGATTGATTGGAAGTCGGCCGAGTTGAATAGCTGTATCATAATATCGCCCACTTGACAGGACTCTATTGTTGTAGGTGTTGTAGTCGTCGACGTCGTTCCCCGTTGGAGAGGGGGAACGGCATCCAAATTGCCATTTCTGTCTACGACATTTACTTCATTGATCTGTTGTTTGGCGCCAAAGGCTGAGGATAATGACATCTTTGATAGGAGAGGAAGGGTTGGGATGGGCTGATGTGCGATGTGTTTAAACTGACAAAGTGACGATGCTTAGAATAAACTGATTGAAGTTCTTCAGATTGAAGATGCTGATGCGTTGGGAGAGGGGAAACGTTGAAATCTGTTGTTGCTCGCGATGCAAATGTGCGTGTTGGATACTAGGTGATGGGAGTGAAGTGGAGATGCCGGCGGGGGTGGAGGGTGTAGCTTGTTGCTGTTGATGGACTAATTTGCTGCTGCTGGATATGCGACTATTCCGCGACTATCAGTTTTATGAGCGCTGGTGTCGTCTGTGCACTGCTGCTGTCTGGTCTGCCTTGGATCACTTTAGATTGATACAAGGTAGATTGAGATAAGAGAGGACGAACGAACCAACCAAACAAAAACCAATGCTGTAGCGAGATAGGTAAATGTAGGAGGGTAAAGTTGGTAGGGTATGAATTGATTAATTAATTACAAAGAGTTGATGAATGAATGAATGAATAGTGGTAATTAGTTGTTGTTGATTATGACAAGACTACTACTACTGAGCAAACATGAAGGTAAATATTAATTGATTAAAGAGTTGATAGCACTTGGCTTGATTGTTGGAGATTGAGAAGAAGTGAGGGAGGGAGGACGAGTCTAGACTTTGTACTTCCAACTGACTACTACTACTTCTTGTTGTTGTTGTTGCTGCTGTGGGAAAATGTACAGAAATGTTCCTGTTGCTGCTGCTGACTGCTGACGATGACGATGAGGGATAACTAAAATGTGTTTGTTGTTGCTGTTGATGATGATGATGATGACTCGTTTGAGTTTGAAAGTATTCTTTAAATTTGAAGCGTTGATAAGTGGTAAGGGGCTTGAATGATTGATTGATTGATTGATTGATAACTTATTATAACTAGTCTATTTGATAGTTGTTTGACTTTGATGTAATTATTATTGTTGTTGTGAGAATTGAATAAACAAAGCTTGTTTCCTCCCTCTCTCTCTTCAATTCTCAGGCATTCCCACTCTCTCACACACATACACCAACCCACACTATTCCAACTCTTCACACACTCTCACTTTCGGCCAACACTCGCAACAACTCACCTCAGGTCATTATTTTTCTCAGCACACTGTCTCTTTTGCTAAATAATTCAGAAAATGGAAGGAAGGAGAGTGATGCATCACTCACACGTATTTACACTTGGGCGCCTCACGTCTGAGGCCTTCTATGACTTCCACATGAAGACACAGGTTACTGAAGACCAATTGGGCAACTTTTGGAAGATCCAACAACTAAATTATGTGATTGTTTGATTGAACGAATGACAAATGATTGGTGATGTTGGTTGATAGTGTTGGGGGAAATGATTGGGTTGGTGGTGGCCCAGTTTGGAAATGGTTGGAATGGTTCCCTCTACTTGGACATTGAATAACTGGATTGATGAATGAATGATTGACAAGTGTTGACAACACACAAAAGAAAAGAAGGAAACCTGTCCATATAGTTTTTAGTACTGGTTTATTGTTGAAGGGCTTGGGTCCTGGCTGGGGCACGCATAGTCACACTGGAACGAAAGATTGAGTTTAGGCAGTGGCGGTCTCCTCGGTTCTCTCGACGGCAACACCGGTCTCCTCAACTGGGGCTGGGGCAGCAGCAACTGGGGCGTTCTGGTAGTGCTCGAGCAACTTGGCGATTTCGAACTTGGGCTGCTTCAAGACCTTGACCTTGCGGATGTAGGTGTTGTTCAATGGGAAGTACTGGGAGCATTGCTTCTGGATCTTCTCAGAGATGGTCTGGTCGACGAACTTCTTGACGACGGAGGCGAGGTCGGTGGCGGTGATCTCGGCGTTGATGATCTCGAACATCTTCTTACGGATGAGCTTGACCTTGGAGGACTTGGCGTACGAGGTCTTCTTGGCTTGCTTCTCGGAGGCCTTCTTGGTGAAGGTGATGGCAAACACGCGGAGGGTGTATCCGTCGGTGGTCTTGACATCGACGAAGCACTCGATCAAAGTGGCCCACTTGTGGATGAGGGAGCGCAACTTGTCGGAGGTCATGTCCATACCGTGGAAGTTGGTCAACACGGACTTGCCCTCAACCTCGTCGGCTCTCAACTTGATCTTGCGGAAGACGTGGTTCTCGTCGTTCTTCATGTCACCGAGGCAGACATCGAAGACACGTCCCTTCAAACCATCAGAGGCGAGCTTGGTACCCTGAGTACGGTTAACTGGGGTGTAACCAATCTGGTTCGACTCGTTGGGCTGGAAGAACACGGTTGGTGCTCTTACGTTGTACCACTCCTTGCGGGAGAATGGGTCAACCCTATAATATTATTAATCAAGTTGTTTGATTGATTGTGATTGATTATGAGTTTGATGATTGTGATTTTATGAACGAGTGAATGTTAGTCATCAATATTCGTTAATTCTGTGTTTTGTTCATGTCAATGTATGTATACATACTTCTTTCCTCCCTTCTTGGATCCCTTCTTCTTTGATTTGCTGTTTGATTATTAATAAGAATGTTTAAGAAGAAGTAAAGCGTTAGTAATCATTCAAGTATCATTGTATCAACATCATCATCATCACCATCAATTGTGTTGTCAACATCATAATTATCAACAACTGTCACTACTACTACATCTATGTTGTTCTATCTGTTCGTTCGTTTGATTGATTGTGTTTGTCTTGTGTTATGTACATCGATCATTCAATCCAATGATGTTATTCGCTTATTGTATCAACTTGATTCACCAATCCAATTATTTGTTGTTGTCAATGTTATCGTTGTAATTGTTATCGTGTTGTTGTTGTTGTGTTATATTGTTGTTGATATTGTTGAAGATGTATGTTGTTGACGACGCAAGAGTTTGGTGAGCGACAATAGAGATAGACATACTCAGCCATTGTTCTCTGTGGTTATGCGGAAAGACTAAAAGGGCGATGTGAATGCTCAGAGGCTCGTTTTGATATGCTCTGTCCTCCCCGCACGCTTCACTCTGATCTCAACTAAAAATTGAATTAAATAAAAATAAATGACAAAGAAAACAAGTTGAGAGGAGAGCGAGAGTTGTTTTCAATGCAAAAATTAAATGCCCGGGCTTTCCCTCTGCCCTACTTCACGAAGTTCTTAATATTTCAATTCATTTATGGGTTTGAGTAGATTGAAGAATGAATGAACTTTAGATGTGCTTGTTGACTCATTCTTTCATTTAATCAATCATACTATATTCTATACTTATAATACAAGTTAGATAGAGAGCAATGGTCAGAAGTAGTAATAATAATAATGATGATGATAGTGATGATGAAGGTGTTGGATCAGATATAATGTTACTTGGCAACTTGAAACAGAGATTCAGTAATATGTTTGGAGATGATGTTGATGAAGATGAAGAGGATGAGGACAAGAAGGCCACTTGTGCAAATGCTCATGTGTTTGTTGATAAATACTTTGGAGATGTGATTGGATCATCGATTGGATTACAATCAGTTATGGCATCATGCGTCTCATTCAATGTCCTCACTCAATCATTCACTGCTCAGCAATTGGATAGATTGGCAGTTTTACAACAATTACATGGTGATCACAACGAAGACGATCAACAACCTTGTATGAAGGTTGTATTCTTCCTGTCAACATATCTCTGGGACTATTCCGATGCAATCAAGATGCTGCTTGGTCATCATAAATGGACTTCATGCCAAATATACTGCGCGATCAGTGAGTTGGCACATCTGTCACATCCACATCCTCCAGTGTCCTCTCGTTCATCATCCCCAGTGTTGACATCGGCCAACGCCAACGATCGATCCGCTTCATTCAAACCCATCTATCATCGATTCGAATCGGACTTTAACGACATACTTGATGACTCACATGGCGGTGTCGAGAAGAATCGTTGTACAATCAGTTACTTCCCTACATGTTACAGTATGCCCTACAGCAACTACTTCACGATTCCCGTGCAGGCCAACATTTTCCCTCCACTATACTTTGCCCAAGAGATGCGTCCTCATGAGTCCAAGCTTGCCAAACTACCCAATGCCATCCAAGAGGGTGTTCACCTGACCACTCATTCACTACTATCATTCCTGGCCGATCTACGTCTTGGTGCATCCAATGGCGAGGACCTCAGTATTTTCCCCGTGGGTCAATACTCCACATTCTTGGCTGGCGAGATACACGCTGTTCTATCAACGGCGACCAAAGTCCAAACCGATGCCTATCATCCAATATCATTAGTACTCGTTGATAGGGTAAGTAGATGATTGATTGATCACTCACTCACACAATACTGATCATTCAAACAAACGCACAGTATCTGGATCTCGTCAGTCCATGCGCACACTCTGATAATGCACTTGATAGAGTGTTCCAGACGACATCCACGTCAGACAATCAATCACCTCATTTCAATATTGACCCTGTGTTTGCCACCTCCACTCCATCTTTCAAGGCCACATCACCATCACCAACACCTCATATATATGGCAGCATATCATGTCTGAATGATGGCGACCAGGATCACATCTGGAGTTCAATGGCTTCAAAGACACTACGTGACGCGATTGTATTGCTCAAACGACGTGTTGTAGACATTGTCGCGCAAGAGAATATCCACGTGGACATTGCAGCGGCTGCTAGTAGCTCTGGTGGTGCCATGAATGTTTCCTCACTTGTACAGCTACTAGAGGTGCTCAAACAACATGGACTGACGCTCAAGTATCGCAACGTTGTCCAGGCATTGTGCGCAATCATTCAAACACTCCAATGCAGTCAACACCAGCACTGGGATAACCTGCTATCGATTGAGAAGATCCTGTTGCTCAGCGCAGGGTTCACAGGTTCTAATGACGACGATGATGACGATGATTCGTCTCAGAGCCTACTTGGACAGATATCGGAGTTGATCAATGCGCCAGTGTCCAATGCCGACAAAACAATGTATACGCTACAGGAGATACTATTATTGTGCACCTTTGCATTCTCACTCAAGGGTGAGGCAGGGTTCACCGAACAAGAGCAGGACAAGTTGCAAGAGTCACTACAGACACGTGTGGCCAGTCTGGATCGGGAGCAACTCGCCTCAGATCCATTGCTCAGCCAGCTGTTTGGCGAAGCGGGCAAGGATGGAGAGGAGGACATAGAGGCAAGACAAGATGAGGCATTGGAGGGCCTGTTCGAGACACTCAGACTCATATCCAACTCAAGGAAGAATATGCAAGAATTCAAGTCATTGCTCAAGGGTGGCATGTCAGGCAGCACCTATCAATCATTGTTGGGTCAACTAACCAAGGCAATGCTGGAGCAGACTGATCAGAAGGAGATCAAGGCACTCGAGAGGTTCAATCCATCAAGACTGGGATCACTCCTAACCAAGGGATTCGGCAGCTGGGGCATGTCCAAGAGATCACAACACATTGTAGACAATCGCAAGATCATAGTATATGTCCTGGGAGGTGTAACCTTTGCCGAATTGAAAGAGGTCCACGATATTGTTGAGCGTGCCAAACGATCATCACTCTCCACACATCAAGTTATAATTGGAGGTAGTTGCATAGCAACTGGAGCAACAATACTCGATGGTATCCTTTCATATATCAATATGGATGCTTAACAATGTCAGTCAACAACACTGATTGATCGATTGATCATTCGAAATGAACCACACACTTCCACAAGTTCTTGTGAACTTGAACCAAAACCACTTTGTTGTTGAAGTTGATTGATGATCTTGAAGTTATAATATATATTAAATCTTAAGATTAAGAATGATAAGTGCATTGTTCTTGATGAACAGTAAGGGTGAGGTACTCATCTCTCGTATATACAGAGATGATATCAGGTATAGTTCATTCACTCAATCAAACAATCAATCACATCATCAAGGACTGACACTCCTTTCTCTCCCACCCATCATCCAACAATGTTAGCCGAGGTGTTGGAAATGCATTCAGACTGGAGGTGGTCATGTCACAGGAGAATAGGTCACCGGTTAAACAGATTGGATCGTCAACATTTATGTATATACAACAGGGAGGTCTATATGTTGTGGCAGTGACCTCAAAGAATGTCAACGCTTGCATGGTGTTTGAAGTGTTGCATCAACTAGTCGATCTCTTCAAATCATACTTTGACACATTCAACGAGGAGTCTATCAAGAACAACTTTGTACTGGTATATGAGTTGTTGGATGGTATGGTCGTTCATAGTCAATCATTCATTCACTCAATCAATCAATCAATCGCTGACACTCATTATGCATGTCGACATATGATCGATCACAGAGATACTAGACTTTGGATACCCTCAGAACTGCTCCACTGAGGTGTTGAAACTGTACATTACTCAAGGACAGGGCAAGTTGAAGTCAATTGACAAGGTATGATCCAGTCGATCCAATCAATCCAAGATCCATATCATATGGAATCATCCCATCACTCACTCACTCATCTCAACTCAATGCATTCCTACCAACCAAACTAGTTGAAACAAGAGAAGTTGGCCAAGATCACTATCCAGGCCACTGGTATCACTCCATGGAGAACACCAGACATCAAGCACAAGAGAAATGAGATATATATTGATGTGGTGGAGTCTGTTAATATGTTGATGTCAGCTGAGGGCAACATACTTCGTGCCGACGTCACTGGACAGGTGATGATGAAGTGCTATCTGTCTGGAATGCCCGAGTGCAAGTTTGGAATGAACGACCGAGTGGTCATGGACAGGGAGCGCGGACCGACGCCCACGTCGGCGCCCAAGAACAAGCGTGCACATGGCGTGGAGATCGACGACATAACATTCCATCAGTGCGTGCGTCTGGGCAAGTTCGACACGGACCGCACAGTCAGCTTCATCCCACCCGACGGTGAGTTCGAGTTGATGAAGTATCGCACGACTGAGTACATCAACCTGCCGTTCAAAGTGCTGCCCATTGTAAAGGAGATGGGACGCACGCGTATCGAGTGTAGCATTACTGTCAAGTCCAACTTCAATGCCAAGATGTTTGGCTCCAACGTCAAAGTCATGGTGCCCATGCCAAAGAACACCGCCGTCTGCAAGATAGTGGTGGCCGCTGGCAAGGCCAAGTACATGCCCGAGCAGGACGCCATCGTGTGGCGAATCAAACGATTCCCGGGCGACACAGAATTCACTCTGCGTGCCGAGATTGAACTGATGGCCTCTGTCAACTTGGACAAGAAGACATGGTCACGCCCACCAATCTCGATGGAGTTCCAGGTAGCAATGTTCACAGCGTCCGGCTTCCATGTACGCTTCCTCAAGGTGATTGAGAAGAGCAACTACACGCCAATCAAATGGGTGAGATATCTGACCAAGGCTGGTACGTACCAGAACAGAATCTAAAAACGACAGACGACTACAGCAACAACAACAACATGATATCCAAATGCCGGTAGAGCTCAGGATACAAGTCCACATCCTCATTATTATTATCTGCTCCACAATTGTAATTATAACAACAAAAAAGAAGAGAGGGAGAGAGTGACATAGAATGATGGAGATCATAATAATAATAATAAAAGTGATAGTTGTATTCCAGCACTTCGGGTGATGATCAGTTAAGCATCTATTATGAGTCAACTAACATCTTTTCGAATATTTTATAATTGAGTAAAGTGTTGTTAATCAAATGACGAGTAATAGCATACCAACTTAAGCTACAGGAACTATAAATAATACCAAATCAAAATGATTAGTTAATATCTACCTCAATCAATAAATTAATAAATTAATCTAAAACATGTTATACAGTATGTAAATAAATATTACAATTGATCTACTTTGATTGAATACATTTATTAACAAACTGTGTATTATTTCTACAGAATCACTTTCTAAGCTCTCGGGAATCACATCCACCCTGTCAATTACTCTTTGGTTGAAACAAAGTTTGCCGGTGGAGTCTCTCAGTCTTTTAACTCAACAGTTGGAATGATTAATGGCGCCATTGGACTTGGTCTTGGTGGAATTCTAGCAGTCCAAATGGGGCTAATATTTCCGTTTAACAACTTTATTTAAAAAAATATACACAGGATTTACCAATCCACTCTTATCTCAGCCAAACATTCCAATCAAAAAGTATCAATTTCAATTGTTTCAGAAAAAGATTGATTAATAATCAAAAATATTAATATTAATAAAATATCAAATTATAGTTGTTCTAGTAGTATTAATATATGTTTGTCAATTAGGGGGAATCGATCGATCACAGAAAAGAAAGTAGAACAAAGTAAATATATATCAGATAATGTAAAATATGTGTCGTTCGAGGGGTAGTATACTGGCTTGTATTGCTGGATTTTATTAGTTATTATCAGTCTATTTACATTATCTCCGAAAAATATTCATTCATTATTATATTAATATTGATTTGCCGATGCCTCAATTACAAATAATGTAATAAGTCTATCTCTTCAAGACCCAAGACTATTTAATAGGAATATATTTTATCTACCCTTAGTTATTCAATCAATTAATCAATAATACTTTATTCTTTATATGTATCATGTTGTACAGTATGTTCATACTTTTCCTTCATTTAATAATCAAAAAAACTAACTCTTTCCATTTGTTTTTTCCAGAATCACTTGCCAACCTCACAGGAATGACCTCCAACTCTGCCAATAACAGCCGGGTTCAGACCAAGTTAGTCGATGGAGTTTCCCAGTCAACCAACTCAACTGCACTCCTTAATACCATTACCGATATTAAATTATATGTTCCAGGTGTTCTTGATGATTCTGAAATCTTTTTAAGTCTTAATCTATAAGTGATTTGAAGACCTATTCAAGAGCACTACTGCCATTCAACACCAAACACAATAACTAAATACTTGAATTAATAAATTCACTCCCTATTATACTTTGATTAGCTCATATCTCATCTGTCTCCAACCTCTATGTCAGTACAAAAGCTGGGCTACCAGAATTGTCGTTCAATGGTTGAGGAAAATGCCTTGGCAATTGGAGTGATCCAGTATTGATTGAGTAGTGGATGTTTATTTATGGATTTGTTGTTTGATTGTTTGTTTGATAGATGGGGAAAGATGTTGTTGTTGGACTCTATCAAAAAATAAAACAATTTGGACAGGTTCCAGACTTATGTAACTGAAGAGAGAGAAACAACCATGGCGAAAGCAGTGGCGTGCGGTGGTGTAATGAAGGGATAAGAGAAGAGAATGATGAGGGCAAAGTGAAAGGGTAGGTAGGAGTGAAAGAAAAAGCATAACGAGTATATTTGGATGAGAGGAGGATTGACATAGAGACGGACGACGAAGTATTGCAATAGAGAGGAAAGAGGAGGTTGGAAAGAAAGATGGAAGGAGCTGAGCTGAGCTGCATGGGTTTGATTGATTGTTTGATTGATTGTTTGATTGATTGTTTGATTGTTTGATTTCATATTGTTGACAACAATAATGATTACATTTAAGCCCAGATCTATGATTGATTGATTGTGAGTTAGTATCCATTTGTTGGTTGAGCTGCTACTACTATCACATACCTTAAGGAGACTGTCCCAGCTTCCTGTGCAGAGAGCCATGCCATCAGCAGAGACACCAAGGCAAGAGACACGGTTGCCGTGGCCAGTGAGAGAGACAACACGCTCGCCCTTGAGCGTGTCCCAAATGTTGCATGAAAAGTCGTCGTAGCCGGCAAACATGAAGCGACCAGACAGCGAGAAGCCGACCGAGGTAATGCCACAAAGAATGACGTCGTGGGTGTACTGCATCAACTCACGGTCAGCACGAATATCAAACAGTCTGCAAGAGGCATCGTCCGATCCAGTACCGAACGACAGACCGTTGGGGAAGTACTGCACGGCGTTGATATCAGCATCGTGGCCAGTGAATGTCTGGACACACTTGCCTGCACGGATGTCCCACAACTTGGCGGTGGCATCACAAGCACCAGAGATGAAGTAGTTCTTGTCTGGTGAGATAGATACACTATTATTATGATTGATTGATTGATTGATGTTAGTGTTGGTTTGTTGGTCGGTGGATGGATGGATGGATGGATGGGTCGCGCAAACATACCTCATGACATCACCATTGTGATCGGAGAACTCGGTGATCTTTGTTCCGTTCTCAATGTCCCAGAGAATGCAAGACATATCACCACTGCTAGTAACAATCTGTCTGTCGTTGAGGAATCTGCAGCAGGACAAGTAACCAGTGTGCGAGTTGAGCTCGCGGCACACTCTGATTGGCACCTCTCTGCTGCGCAGGTTGTAAATCGAACAGATATTATCCAAACCTCCACAAGCTACAAAGTTGGCGGTCGGTGAATATGCGCATGTCATTACCCATGATGATCTAATAATAATAATAATAAGTTGTTAGATATTGTTGACTGTGTTCACGTGACGACGACGACAACATACCTGAGTGGAATGGCGTGGACCTTGTTGGTGGTCAAACCGTCCCAGACCAAGAGCTTGCCGTCTTGGGAGGCAGACACAAGATGAACAGAGTCCTCAGCCCAATGCATGGCATAGATCTTGGCAAGATGGCCCTTCAATGTTCTCCTGACCTTAATCTTTCCATCAAGCTTTGGCAAGTTTGGAAGATCACGTGTGTATACCTTCACTGTATATCATTGATGTTGATGATGAGGGAGATAAGGTGTCAGTCCAATCTTGTTTCATAATAATCATTCTAATTGACTGAATGACTACATACGAGAAGTATCATTCATAACATCTCTGTTGGTTCTAATTTGCTCCTTCATTGCCTCAGCATCTCTGCGAGCCTGTTGAATCTTTTCTGAAATATCTGTCATTCTGTCTACACTTCTGCTGTTTCTTTCTGTATTTTGTTTAAAATGTGCACAATGCTATTCTTTTGATTTGATTTGATTTGATTGGTATTACTGTAACAACAACAACAACAACAATGTTGGACGCTATATAAATAATAAATTGAATTGGATTTGTTGATTGATTGAATATGTAATATGTAATATATATATATTTATGATTATATACACAAGGTAGTAGGTATTACCAAGTCAGCGTCTGTCTATCGAATGATGATTGAAGATAATGATTGATTGATTGATGGTGCTGAGTGAGAGATTGATTAAAAAGTGATAATGAAATATACAAAATGAATGAATTAATGCTTGAATGAATGAAAAATAATGATGTTGTTTATGTCTGTCTCAAGGATTGAAAGACAACCTCCTCACCTCAAAGCTTAAAAAAAACAACAACAAAAACATAATAAATCAAATTTTTATTATTTTGATGGTTGGGTTAATGATGACCGTGAGAGAAGAACTTGTTGTTGTGTATGATTGTGAGTGTGCGTGTGTGATAAACAATCAAGATCCCATCTCAGATGAATGATTACAAATAATATTAATAATAATTAAAAAAATCCTAAAAAAAATTGTATACCTCATCATTAAAGATCTTTGTCTATATCAAGTAATTAACCAAATATGTGTTTATATATATTTTTATATGTTTACACATAATAATATTATTTGTATCTCTTTGACAATTATTTGTTCGATTGATTGCCCACACACATCTTTGGAGATCAACACAGAGAGAGATAGAATGAATGAATCCACACACATTAAGGTGACTTGGAGATTAGCATTGGTGAGTCACACAGAGTCACGAGTCAAAATTGTGTTGGAGGTAGAGTAATGGGCTGCTCTGTCTGTGTGTGTTGACTGTGACAGCTGAGTCCAAGTCTGAGTCAACAAGGGTCATCCATATGGTTGGATGGCTGTCAATGTGTCTAGTGGTGTTGTTGTTGGCTGGCTGGCTGGCTGCATTGCATTGCATTGGCTTGCTTGGTATTACCAACATATGTTAAATAACAAACATAATTAATAGCCTTTGACGTGCACTCTGGGATCAGATCACAAGCTGCTGCTTTGTTTATTTGTTTGCACCTCATTCATTCATCAATCATATACACATTATATTGTATTAGCTAATAAGATAGAGATAGATAGATAGATAGATAGATAGAATGGTCGCAACATCAGTCACACCTGCCCCTCACTCACCTCCTCATTCAGCCACACATTCGAATGATGTTGTCGTAGTCAAGCCAAATACATCGATGACTTCAACACTCTCATCACTCTCTAGTCAGTTGTTGATCAAGATATTCAATTATGTACTGCACCCCTTTGAGTTCTGTAACAATCGTGTTCGTAACGATCGTAGCTACTGTTACATCGATCGCTATGACAATGTGAACAACGTGGTGGCGCGCTACGGTCTGTTGGCCAAACGATTCGCACGAGACATCGTACCGCGATTGACTCCTCGACTACAGCTCTTCATACAAGATGGCCAGGACCTGCGTCGAATGCTTCGTCTGGCACAGCACGGCTTGCTCGATGGCCGCTCCATTCAGTTTGGCCACATTGACGTCACGCGCTACTCCCTGACCAAGCAGCGTGGTTGCATGGCTATCAAGGGCGTGGAGTTGCCCTCACTCACCATGCCTTCGATGCCCTTGATCCGAAGCATATCGATCGAGTCGATGCTGTCCTCGCCCAACTTCCTTCTTTCACTCATACGCTACACGCCACTCACTCGTCTCTCCCTATCAACTTGCGACTTCTCCGTCGACCAGTATCCCGACCTCGTCAGTGTGTTGACCGCGCTCACATCCACCACACTCTCATCACTCAAGCTGTTCCATCCCTTAATGATATCACATATCGTCCAGCAGCAAAGCAGTGGCGACAGCAGCAGTAGCGGCGACTTTATCCAACAGCTAACAGACAGATACCTTCAGTCGTCGACTTGCTACCAAGCTTTGACCAATCTCAGCATCACTGGATACTCTGAACACAGTTTAATTTCACTGCTCAAGCTGCCCAACCTCCGTCTCACCAAGTTGAAGCTATACGCGACGAGCAGTTTGGACGAGGAGCTGTGTCGATGCATTGCCCGCCTAGTCAGTCTCGAGTCGTTCACATTCTGCAGCAACAAGATTGACTTCCGCTCGACATCCCTCCACGAACTGCCCGCACAGCTGCCCGCGCTCACCAAGCTCAACCTCTCCAACATCTTCCAAGAGGAGGCCAGTCACTTGAGCACCATGCCCATGCCGCGACCCCTTTCATTCTTCCCGATCTTCCCCTCATTGAACACACTGATACTGAGTCACTTCAACATACCCGAGTCACTGGTTATCACTATCTTCTCTGGCCTTCAACAGCTACAGCACTTGCAGACACTGATCATTGAGAGCTTCTACACGATCACTACGACGGCCATGCAACATCTGGCCAAGTTCTTTGCGACCAACAAGTCATTGGAGACCATCTCACTCATATCATTGAGCTACGACGAGCCATTCGACCTGATATTCCTGGCGCTGAGGGATCATCCAGCTCTCAAGAACCTCAGGTTCACGCCATTCTACAAGAATCGATTCCAACTCAATGACAAGGAGTCCAAGGACATCGAACAGTTCATCGACACGTGCTCCACACTGCAGACATTCCAGTTCTACCAGGTCAACTTCCCACCATCAGTGATGCGAGCACTACTCACACATCAAGGTCTGCACACGATTGAGGTTGGCAAGCTGACCAGTGTCAATGCCATCACCGAACTGCTCTCGACCAATCACTCGATACGACATGTAAAGTGCACACTCGTGGAGGCTGTTGACGTGGATGTCTTGGCATTCCTGCGATCGATCAGTCAACTAAAGATTGGCGAACTACATACACTCAGTCTCTACCTCATTGTCTCGAGTGAGGAGTTGATCGACTACCTAATCGACATGCTATTCCTTGCCAAGGCACCCAACTACTTTGTCAGTCTATCACTCAAACTTGATCCATACTGTCCAGATCAGGCAGTCAACAGACTGTTGAATCACATCATACCATCCTACAACAATTTCAAAGACGATAACAACAATAATAACAACAACAACAACAATAGTGAAGACGACAGTAATATCAAGAGAACAACAAGTTTGGAGAAGTTGAGTATTGAACGAGTATCATCAGTTAAGCAACCAATATGCTTTGGACGAATATCCAAACACCTGGAGCGAACACAACAATCACAGCCACAGCCATTCCCAATCAAAGAAGACTTCCTCCATGTACTTTTCCAAAAGAACCTCCTATCCGAATGGGAATAAACCCTTTGTGACGGTCGGTCCGTCCGTCTCTTTACAATACATCACAAACTTGTGTATATTATTAACAAATCAATTGATTAATCAATCCATTTGAGCACTTTATAATTTATAAATGTTTATTAATAATATTTATATATATATAATTAAAGTTATTAATAACTTTAATAATATTAATACCGATAAGATGGATGATGATCGCCAGTTAAATTGTATAATACAACCTTATTTTTAAATATATTAATCAAAGACGATACAAATACCAATTAGGTGATCAGAGTTGTTAGAGGTACACCAAGTTGAACCGGTACTCTAACGAAGTCGACATTGGATTTACTTAAGTGTGGAGATGTATGTTGTATCAATCAAGATGAGGGTGTTAGTGAATGTGTGTATCCAACGGAAATAGATACTCTGGAACCCACACCTCTTTGTCGACCCCTAGTGATTGAATTGGTGATTGATTGATAAGCTGATTTAGGTGTGTTTGGGGGTATGTTGAGTGACTACTAAGAGTGAGGTACGAGTGTATTACATTCTTTAAATTAATGATACCACAATCCGGTTCAGAATGTTCGTGAACTGCCTGCTATCCTGGATAGGCTTGATCAGTGAACAATGATCACATGATTGATTAAAAGTATGAATCATTCAAATTGATTACAACTACAAATATTATAACAATAACACAAACATATACAAATTTATATATATACTTAAAAATGATAAATAATAATAATAATAATAATATAAAGATATTTATAATAACTATAATATTATTGATTGGAACGACCAAAGCTGGAATGATATATGAAGGAGGTGATCCTGGTGACTTTGACTTTTATTTATTCGTCGAGCAATGGATATACTCATTCTGTGATACTCAATCATGTTTGCCAGGCAAGGAAAGAGAGGCATTCACTATCCACGGTCTGTGGCCAAACAATAATGATGGAAGCTATCCAAGTTTCTGCAAGGGCCAGCCATTCGATGTCGATGAGATCGCCGACATTGAGCCACAGTTGGACACGATCTGGCCCTCGCTGACAGGACCCAACCCAGACTTTTGGGCACATGAGTGGAGCAAGCATGGCACATGCTCAATCACCGGTCCGCTGGCCGACCTGCACGACTACTTCTTCGCCACGGTGCACATCTATCAGACGTACAACATTACGGGCGGACTAGCCCAGTTCAATATCCTGCCGTCGGACAACGCAACCTACTCGGCGCCAAGTGTTGTAGATGCCTTGTCCAAACAGTTTGGCGTCACACCACTGATCCAATGCACAGGCAATCGTTTGGTGACCGTTGCATTCTGTTTGACCAAGGACCTGAAGCTGATGAGCTGTCCAGCATTGAACGGATGGAGTTGCAGTGGCAATGTAATCCTTCCTGCAACATAACAAATAATAAACTACCATGATATGACAACGATGAATGAGTGTAATGAACAATGCGCTGATATTGATTGATTGATTGATCGATCGGCTCAATAGTATTGTCGGTTTTGAGCTTGGGGTGGCGCGCCCTGGGCTGTAGCTCTGGCCGCACGGGCAGCCGCAGTCGCATTGGCAGTTGATGCATAGAAGCTGTAGCCCCATCCAATAGTGAAGACTAGTAACAGTAGTGTGGCCATTCGATCAAAGTATTTGGGTCTTGTGATTTGGAAACTCCACAAGGCCGCCAAGAACAATCCAGTGAGCGTGTACAGACTCTTTGATGTCATCCATGAGGTTACAACAACTGATTGTTGTTGATGATGTTGATGTTGTTGTTGTTGCTGCTGTTGTTGTTGCTGTTGTTGATGTTGTTGATCTGGTTGGTCTGTTGGAGGTCGTATTATACAATGTATTGTCGGTGGGACTGCGTAAGGGTCGTCGAAAGCAGCACCATAAGAGACCAATGTATTGGAATCAATCATTGATCGGCCACCATATATAAACATTACCCTGTTGCCATTCTGCATATCAAAGGGGAATAACTAAGGTTCAGTTGGTCGGATGGTCGGATGGTCGGATGGTCGGATGGGAGACATGTTAGCAACTTTGAAGTGATTGTCCAATGAAGTCCACGGGACATGGCAGACTTACGTATGATTTGAGCTCGGCAACAGTACTGACACGTGACCTTCTGAATCTACGATGATGTGTTGTCTCTCGCTGAATGATGTTGATTGATACCAAGTCATCAACATCAACATTGTTATGTGTTTCATCAAAAGGTTGATCACTTGTTTGTTGGGATTGTTGAGTTTGAGGTTGTTGTTGTTGTTGTTGTTGATGTTGTGATTGATTTGGATATCTCCATGATGTATATGTATTACTTATATAAGTTGATATATCAGTATATATTCTTGGTAATAGAGTTGAATTTCTCCATAAGAAGAATGACAAGAATATAAGTGTCAATGATAATAACAATGAGTACTTGTCAATCATACTCTCATGTTCATAATCATATCCATTATCATTACTATCATGACTATCATCATAATCATAGTATTCATTATGTTGATCCATCTTTCTATATATATCTAACCTATCTATCTCTTTAACTTATAATAAGTATCAATAATTGATTAATTAATTATTTGAAACTATGATGACACAATGATGAACTTGACTTTGAAAAGTGGTTGGTTCTCATGACTCATCACCTATCCCATAATATCAATGTGAATGGGCATTAATGTCGAGGTGTAACTATTATAACTATCAATATTCAATCTTCCGATGCATTCGGTTAATGAGAATTGTCATGTCTCCATTGGATTGAACAATGAATCTGGATACCTTATTTGGGCGATGTTGATTACTCCCTCAATTGATTCGGGTAGGCTACTACTATGTTTGTTCTTTTGCAAATATCTGATTGATCGTCAGACGAGACAGTTTCAATTGATTTGATGAAGTGAAGTGATCTCCACCAGGTCACACAAGCACCCTTGGCATTGGACACCCTATTTTGGTGAATGAATGAACTGAATCACCTTTGTTGTGTGTGTTCAATGCGGCAAAACAAACAAACACAACACTTCAGCTCTCTCTTCTACTCTGCTCTACTCTCCCTCACCACTCATCCATCCATTCACCTAACTTACTTACTCTCTATCACTTGTTAACAAACAACATCTACATCTACATCTACATCTATGTATATGTTTATAACATATAGAGAATTATTACAAATACAAATACAAATACAAATACATCATTGTGCAAAATAGGAGTTTCAATGAAATGGACAGGACAGATCATATCCCTTCGTTAGACATCATTGATGATGATGTTGTTGATAACAACAACATAGTTGCTAAGGAGGATGAACAAATCAATCATCAGATGTCCCTGCCTCATCATCATGTTGAATCACCATCATCATTGTCAACACCAACACCTTCATCATTTGCCGTACCTCTGGCATACCCTCCAGAAGAACCAACAATAGTGGTGGCATCACCAACCATCAGTAACTCCACAGACACCTCACCAATACAACCAATATCGATATCAATGGAATCTGCAACAACTCCAACATTCCTCTCTCCAACCCCAACAACAACTACCACAACAACTACAACTACGACCACTACTACCTCTTCTTCTTCACCTATAACCAATTCAGGTGAACTCAAAGACTCAACAGACTCCCAACAATCAAACAATAACAACAATAACAACAACAACCATAGTGCATTACTCAATGGTATATCGGAACAAGTTCAAAATATAGTGATTGCATGTGAGAGCAGCAGTCCTTCACTCAGACCAAAGGTTGTGGCGCGAGGCGATCCAATCACCAGCTTCTTGGATCCGCTGATCCCAATCGAGATCGTCAACTACATCTTCCTCAATGTGGGCGCACTTTACCTGCCGCCACTGCTACGTGTCAACCGTATGTGCCTGCGAACGGGCATGAGCAAAGGCCTCTGGGCACTCTTTGTTCAGAACGACTTCAAGATCACTGGCTCTGACCTCCTGGCCATGGAGCGTCTGAACGGAGGCGCGCGCTCGCTCTACGCCAACCTCTACTTCCGTCGCAAGAACAGCATCAAGCCACCCAAGTCGACCAATCCACTGGTGCGCTTCTTCCTCAAGCCCATCTCCAAGCTGCCTGGCCTCTTTAGTCGCAAGGAATTCAAGATACTAATGTACGGTCTCAATGGCGTTGGCAAGACCTCCATGCTGTACAAGTTTGCGCGCGGCGAGAATGTGCGCACCAGCCACACCAATGGCTACAACGTTGAGGTCGTCGAGTACAAGTCGTGCGACTTTATCTGCTGGGACATTGGCTATGAGAAGTCGATCGTGCCCGTCTGGCACCACTACCTGCAGGACACGCAGGCCTTTATCTTTATCATCGACAGCACGGATCGTGCTCGCATGCGCATGGTGCGCGAGGAGCTGTGGCGTATGCTCACCGACAAGAACGTTGTAAAGATTCTGAACAACTTCCGAACGCCAAACACAACGCAGAGTGGCAACGGAGCCTCTGGCAACGGACATCGTGTACGTGTCTTAATCTATGCCAACAAGACCGATCTCCCAACTCCCATGACAACACTAGACATCACACTGGCACTATCACTCTTCAATCTGCCCAAGCATATCTTGTGGCATGTACAAGTAAGTCCTGGCCTTAAACACTCAATCAATCATGCAATCATTTACTAACATTTACTTACTCGCACTTGATCCAGGGATGCTCTGCAACTGCGGAAGAAGGCGACGGACTATATGAAGGATTGGATTGGCTAAGTTCTCAATTTGAGGAGGATTGAAGATGCTTCAACCATAATCAAACTTACATTAAAAGTACATAACGTTGACATGACATGTTTGATTGATGATTGATTACCGATCCAGATATTTTGATCGATCCAGAAAAGTGATTGTGTCGCTGACTGTCTGATCGATTGAATGAATGATCATTGTTCACATCACATGTACTACAACTAATAATAACAACAACCAACAGATAACAACAAGATGGAGACATTACCATGTATTATACTTAAACAAATAGTAACCAACTTTGATAATATTGTTGATGTTATACTATTGTCATTGACTTGTAAGAGATTGTTTAATGATAGACATATGTATATACAGTTAAACATTGAAAGACCTCCATTCAATCAATTGTCAACATGTAGAATACATCTAAAGTCATACAAAGATATAATCACCAATCATATTACAAACATAATGCCACATTCGATACTCATAAGAACATCAAGCAACACCTACAATATATCAAAGTATGATCGATCATACATGATTGATGTCGATGAGGATTGGCAACAACAGGTACTTGAAGTACATAATATAAAGAGCTTGAAGTTCAGCGACCTTGGATCATCAAGTGATGGCCAGTCCGACCCGAATCCCGCCTTTTGGGAGAGGACCCGACCATTCCTTGGAACATTATCATCATTGCGCAACGTCAATGACATCTCTCTGGACATGTCCAAGGACCCTTCAACGTACTCGACGATGTTGCAACATGTACCAATTACAAAGTTGACCGTGGACTATGAGGATGATTGGACCCCTCGCCTCAACATGTGGCCCACGACATTGACTCATCTCACACTGAATGGCATGTTCGATTGTAGTCTCAACAATGCGTTGCCACCATGCTTGAAGGAGTTGGATATGATGTATACGACCATTTGGGACATGCCGATTACACCTGGTGGATTGCCCGCAACACTTGAGCTTCTGTACCTCGGCCAAAGGTTCAATCAACCGATATTGCCAAGCGCGTTGCCACCAGCACTCAAGACGTTGTTCGTTGGTTCCATGTTCAATCAACCACTTGACCAGCCAGGCCAGTTGCCAGCATCGCTTACATCCTTGGACACATCATTCAGCAAGCACTTCAATAAGACGCTGAACAACCTGCAAGCCAAACTCACCGACCTGTCGCTCTGCAGCTCGTTCCAACATTCCATCGACAGCCCACATCTCGAGACCTTATACATTGGCTGGTCTCACTTCATGTTCACACCCGAAGCTATATATACCCGTCTGACTACACTCAGTCTCAGCCAGACAAGTCGCGCGTTGATCGCATCAATCACATCCCGCGCCTTCCCAAGTCTTTGCGACTGTAGCATCCACGGCATTTACGATGCAGACTGCGAATCACCGTTGGACATGACACACCTACCTCTAACACTGACCAGATTGTATACCAATGCGTACGGTCCAATCGTGCTACCACAGGGTATCCAGCGACTTGATCTAATGTGTAGTAGTGCAGACTTTGTCCTGGTGCCAGGGATGATTCCAGAATCAGTGACAGCACTTCGATTGTTAAAGTATTGGCACAAGTTGGATGTTACGGCGATACCAACTACTTCACTAAGGATGCTGGCGATTGAAGCTTATGGTAGTCTCACTGTACCTCTACGCATGCTACCACCTCGCACCAGCAATGTCAATCATGTCGTGCAGCCAATACTAGACCATCTCTCTACAACGTTGGCCAGCATAACATCATTCATACTGCCTATTGGTGGACGTGACATCTACCAACTGACACGTATATCCGATACATTATTCTTCAGACACTCTATCCAATTGTCTGTCTGTGGATTCGTCCATCTTGACGAATTGCGCAAAGCAGATACTTAGTTTGCAAACATGAACCCATAAATTAAAACAAAGTTTCATGAAGTTCCTGGAAGAGATCCCCTCAAGTTGTCAGATTGATTGAATGTTTGTTTGACATTCTTGTTTGTTGTCTTTATCTTTTTTCATTCATACAAGAGATGAACACTACACCATCACTATCACTATCACTTCACAACAACAGCAACAGCAACAGCAATAGACAATCAAACTTTATCAATAATTTGAAGCCACCAACTACGATAACATCATCAAAGAGTAGTGACAACAACAATAGCAATAGCAGTAGTGGTATGAACAAGCCGCTCAGCCTAAGCGCAAACCCGCTTACGTTGAAGCCAACAACACAACAACTCAAACTACCATCAAGGCCATTATCATTGGGTACAACAGTTTCACTCAGCACTTCATTACTTTCAAATGGACAACAACATCAACATCAACAGCAACTACATGTTGGCTTCAACAATACATTGATATCAAATGGTTCCTCTGCCCCTTCTCCTGCTCCTGCTCCTGCCCCTGCACTAGGGGCAACAATATCAGACGTTACAGAGTTTGACTTTGACTTTGATTTTGATTCAGCGTCAGTGGATAATGGAGGCAGCAGTGGCAGCAGTGGCAGCAGCGGCGGCAGTAGCAGCGGCAACACAAGTAGCACGACGACCACGTCCACGAGTTCAAATACATTGTCTCTTCCCAAGTTTAGCAACAGCATTCAACTACCCAAGAAGTTGACATTGAATAACAACAATGTTAGCATTGGTACTGTCAATCTGAATCGCATCGGTGGCATCAGCAGCAGTCTAAACTTCAACAGCAACAACAACAACAACATTGACAATCAACTATTCAATATACAACAACATCAATATAATGTGCGCGTAGAGATAACACTAAAGTTAATCTCTGAGCATGAGTTCAGTTGTGTGGATCCCAATAACCAGGCGATCAAGATGGTCTTTGGCAAGATTGATGGTGCGCGCTCCGAACAACATCAGACCACCCTTTGGTGGATATTCCCAATCAATCAATATCATGTCCTCATCAGAACACTGCAACAGAACTTTAGAACGGGGCTCACTGTCGTGCCCCTGCCACGCCACATTGTCAACACATTCGTGGTCCAGCCCTTCATACCCGATGCGCCTGACTACTCCCGCATCCCGCCACAGCTCATGAGCACTCTGCTACCATTCCAGCGTAAGGGTCTCGAGTTTGGCATCGAGAAGAAGGGCAAATGTATCATTGGTGATGAGATGGGTCTTGGTAAAACGATCCAGGCCATTGCACTATCCTACTACTATCGATCAGAGTGGCCACTACTCATCATCACTCCATCATCACTCAGAATGTCATGGGCCGATGTAAGTATCTAGTGCACATCCAATCAATCAATCAATCAGAGTCCATCACTCGCTCACTCACTCCACTCCACTCCACTCCAATCAATCAATCAATCAATCAATAGTCCTTTGAAAAGTTCCTTCCAGGTCATGTTAAGGCAAGAGATATCAATTTGATTATGAATGGCAAGTGTGGAGTCAATGGATTGATCAATATTATAAGTTATGATTTGGTCAAGAGGAAGCTTGATGAGATCAAGTTGAAGTCATTCAAAGTGGTGATTGCCGATGAGAGCCACTTCCTCAAGAGCTTCCAGACACAGAGGACCAGAGCCACAATGGAGGTCATGAGAATGGCCACCAGAAGAATCCTGCTCACTGGCACACCCGCCACCTCCAGACCATGCGAGCTCTATCCTCAGCTCCAATGTGTTGCGCCAGAGTTTAGCAACTACCGATGGACAGACTACACAAACAGATATTGTGCTGCATTTATGGTATGTCATTGATCAGTATCATGTGATTGGATTGATGTGATAGATTGACTAACATGATGAATGATACAGGATAGGGGACATATTAACTACTTTGGAGCATCCAATGTAAAGGAGTTGAACTTGTTCTTGAACAAACATATGATACGTAGACTCAAGGATGAGGTGTTGACAGAGTTGCCAGACATGAGGCGTGAGAAGATCATGGTGGAGGTGAAGAAGACGGATATGAAGAAGATCAAGCAGACGATGGATGAGATAAAGGATGCCAAGGGTATCATAATGAAGACCACAGACATCAAAGAGGGAAGGAGTACCTCTGGCAAGAGGAGCTCTCTGTTCATGAAGTTGTTCAGAGACACTGGTCTTGGCAAGCTGGCTGGCGTCAGCACGTACCTGACGGACGTGCTCGAGGACTTCCATGGCAAGGTCCTGATCTTTGCCCACCACCAGCCTGTGATGGACGGCTTGGAGAAGCTGCTAAAGAAGCTCAAGGTGTCAATGTTTAGGATCGATGGACAGACGCCCGCCCACACTCGCGCCGAGTACGTCAATCTATTCCAAGCGGAGAAGAGCGAGATCAAGGTGGCGCTGCTCAGTGTCACTGCGGCCGGCACCGGTCTGACCCTGACCGCAGCCAGTCTCGTCATCTTTGCCGAGCTATATTGGACGCCTGGCACTCTGTTCCAGGCTGAGGCAAGAGCTCATCGTTATGGCCAGAAGAACGCAGTGTTGGTACAGTACCTCATTGGAAAGAACACTGTGGACGAGTCTATTTGGAGCATGATCGAGTCAAAGAAGGACATACTTGGAAGGATGTTGGATGGAGAGAGCTCAGTGCTCGAGGTCGATGAAGTGAGCGACTTAATAGAGGCCAGGCCGGGCGCAGTCGATGGCTATTTGGACGACATTATACAAGGAATCGAGGACAAGGACGCAGAGAGGAAGCGAAGGATCGATGCAAAGAAAGAGAAGCAGAGGCTGAAGGAAGCCAACAAAGGAGGAGTGAGCGATCTCAACCAAGATGAAGATGAAGATGATGATGTTGGTGGTTATCGATACGACGATGATGACTTTTTGGATAGCGACATTGAAGAGAACAGTCTGTTCAATCCAAAAGATGACGACGACGATGAAGATGTCGTTGATGATGACAACTGGGACGACAATGACTCATCAACGAACAAGGGCAAGAAAGGGAAGAAGACCGTGGGCAAGAAACAGACCACAACAACATCAAAGTCAAAGAAGGGTGCGGCTTCAAAGAAGAGGGGTACATCCAAGACATCAACTACCACTACCACTACATCCACAAAGAAGAAGAGAGGCCTGGCAAACAAGGACGACCCTGGTGTTGACATTGCCGACGACCTAGACTTGGACTACAACCACGCATTCACTACCTATGATGATCATAACAATGGCAATGGCAATGGCAAGGACAAGGACAAGGACAAATGGGGTGGCGGTACAAGTGCCTATCCAGACAAGAAACGTCGAGTGGGCAGCGGCTCCGAGATCATCGTCGACATGGATGAGGAGTTTGAAGATCTGTGCCATGTTGACCTCACCGATCATGCCAAGCTCGAGCTGTTTCGATTCAACAACAAAGATTGATTGTTTCATCGCAATCCAATTTTAGATAGTGTGCTCTCGCCAATTGACGTCAGATGTCGGCTTGGTCGCGGCCCACGTCTCAATTGCCCCGGCCAGGCCTGGGGGACAGTCCCGCGTCTACGGTTCTCGAACCCCGCCACAGTGTGATATCACCTGCCTATTACGCACTAGTTGGTCTGTTTGTTTGGTGTGTTCAACAACACCAACAACAACACACCCCATAGCCTCTTCTCACTCTCGCGTGCACTCTCACAAAGTAGCTACAACAACGCGTTGTCCAACTGTTGCGTGTTTGGTGTGAGTGTGGGGATTTTGGACCACGAAAAAACGCGTGCCTCGAGGCTGAGCCCAGCCCTACCCTAAGTCCACTGACGAGGCCCATTTTGTTGTCCAACTGCGTGGATTTTTCGTGTCGTCTGTGTGTGTGACGACAACCTCTGAGTGTGAAGACCAGTACCAGCTTGCCCACTGGACAGAGACACACACAGTCAAGTTTCAAGTCGATCGCAATTGAGGTCCTCAACCTCATCGACCCACTAACTGGTGAAAGTTGAGTTGAGTGAGAGCTCATGTCCAGTCTGTCCTATCAGGTCCTGTCCTGCCTGACCCTACTTTGATAAGCTTTGCATTGTCGTCGTTCACACGAGACACATTACATTCGAACAAACATTACAATTCATACATCTATGTACTTTTTACCTACCTCCTCCTAAATCCCATCTCCACTATAACTTACATATAATAATATTATTATTATCTATATTATACCATTAATCAATCAATCCATCAATCAATCCAACTCAATCAAACAAACCATATATTATATATTTATAAAGTCTGATTAACTTAGTGTCTGAGCAGTAAAATCAATCAACTCTCTCTTTGACTTTGGTATATTTACCATGTCAACATCATTTGAATCGGCAGTTGATGGCAGTGTTTATGTTAGTTCCTCCAACAATATGATGATGGGTGGTGTTGGTAACGGAGCAGGCGGTGTTGTGGTATGCACCCCCACGACAGACTTTGTCAATCAGCCATCAATGGACCAAAATGGTTTATTGTCCTCAGTTTATAGTCCTGTGATGCCAAACTATAGTCTTGCCACGACGCCAATCACTCAACAGGACATGTTGATCAATACATATAATGATGTAGATGGAACACCTGGCGGTGGTGGAGGTCATCATCAAGTACCCAACAGCGAGATGAGCTTCAAGGATGCCACTGTTCCAGCCACCAACAATATTAATGATGAGAACTATTCATACAACAGCAGCAACACATCACCTCTACCTTCATTGACCAGCAGTACCAGTACCACACCAAATATCCATTTGGAACAACATTCAATCAATGATGGTCAATCAGAAGTTGGAGGTAAATTACCGTCAACTTCCACTTCATACACACAACATCCACAACACCAACAAAACCATCATCAACATCATCAACAACAACCTCCACAACCTCATCACCATCCACATCACTTCCAATTTCATGAGGTACAACCATCACTTAAATCATCAAGTTCCAATGTTAATATTACAAGTGCTTCACTCCCAAAGTCATCTGGAATGATGTCACTTTCTACAAGTTTGGATGGATCTGCAAGGAAGAAAAGAGGAAGACCACCAAAGATCAAGGATGTCTTTGATGCACTACAACCCAACATAAGTCTATCGTCCAGTGAGGATAAGATCAAACTGAAACGATCGACATATCTGTGCAACCGATGTAAATTACCAAAGGTAATAATTATTAATTAGATATACAAATAATTATGATTTATATTAACATGATAATTATTCAATTAATAGAAAGGACATTCATGTTCCAAGTTGGATGGCGAAGAAGTGGACCAACTGGAATTGAACATGGCTGGTGGCGATAATATTATGACTGGATCACCAAAGAAGAAGAGTAGATCGACAAATAGTTCCAGTCCCAGTCCAAGTGCCAATTCCAATAGCAATATCACCATAAATAGACCGATCACAAGTAGTCCTGGACAACATTATATACAACAACAACAACAAGTACATCATAATATACAATATCAACTACAACAACAACAACACCAGATGTACCAACAACAACAACAACAACAACAACTTTTATTACATCAACATCAACTACAACAACAGCATCACCAACAACTACAACAAAATATATATAGTGTACCATTTAATATACCATCTGCCATGACATATAGCCCTGGTATGCCAATGATAGCCTACGAAGGACTGACAGGCCAAGGCCAGCATACCTTACATCAACTTTATCCACAGTCTCAACAACTACCTCATCACCAACAACTACAACAACAGAATCAACAGACAATGTCATATGTACATCAACCAACAACAAACATATATCATCCATCAACAACGACTTCGGCCACAATGTCCATGGTCAATCCAATGTACACACATCAGAAGCCCTCACCAACTGTCTATGGCACGACCACCAACCTGTACACAGCAAACTTTGATGGTGGCAACAACAATAACAATAACAACTATGGAGTTGGAGTTGGAGGGATAGAGCAACAACAACAACAACAACAACAACAACAACAACAACAACAACAACAACAACAACATCAGTACAGTCTATCAGTTGGAGGTACTGCGGGTGGTGGATATCATCAACAATCACAATCACCATCAACATCAACATCATTATCTAGTATCAATCAAGGTCTATACCAACAACAACAACAACAACATCAACAACAACAACTTAGTAATTGATAGAGATGAATAACTTATACTGTATAAAGGTACATAGATTGATAATTATAGATAGTCAAACATATTCTTGAGTGTTATTGTTATTATTATTATTGTTATAACTTGAGGTCAGTTTGTTCATTGCTTGATTGATTGGGATAGTTTCCCTCAAGAGTGTGTTCAATGTTGTTGGATGAACCAACCAAAGGTCCACCCCTGGATCTTTGCTTGGAAGTTTGCAACTCCAACATTACTTTTATCTTCACAAACACCCGACTCTTTGACAAAAGTTACAGATAAATATAGATATATATATATATAATATATAGATAATCAATCAATCAATCAATCAGTCAATCAATAGTCAGTGATAGATCATTTGAGAGAGAGAATGAGTGGTGTTTCAGATGAAGAGTTCACTCTGTTGCAACAGCAACTGATTGATCTCAAACAGTTCAAATATGAAGCATCAGAGAGGGAGAAGAAGCTTCAAAATGGTAATGATGACAACGTCTATATTGCTTGACTGATCAATGTCGCTTTGACTAACATTCATTATATGTATGTTGATGATCGATCAAAGAGTTGAAAGCACAGAGAGACCAGATTGAATCATTAGAGACAGAGTCGGCACAGCAACAAAAGAAGAAGCCATCTTTTATCTCTGGTATAATGTCTCAATCCAAGGACAAGAACAAGATGGCTGAGATATTGGAGGAGAATGAATCATTGAAGAGGTCAATGCAACAGAATACTCAAGTCTATCAGGATCAAGTATGTCCCGCCCCGGCCGGCCAAGTCAATCACCATGCGCATGCACGCACATACTAACATCACACTCACTCCACTCCACTCAGACTGAAGCTTTGAAGCACAATATAAAGAGCCTGTATGATACGAACAAGCAGCTGGAGGATGAGATATTGATGGTCAAGAAGGACATGCAACAGTACTTTATAAAGTCTGAGGAGCAACAGGCCACCATCAGGAAGCTGCAGGTTGATATTGCCGAACTCATTTGCTCAAAGGAGGAGTTGGAGACCAGTATTGACAACTATAAGAAGTTGGTTAATGATGGTCAGATGATGATGCAGCAGAGTGATGTACAACCGCCCTCGGTCGTCGTCTCTTCAGATGGAGGAGAGGGAGAGGAATCAAACGATCAGGATCAAATTCAGGGTCAGGGCCAGGCCCAACAGACACTTGCCACACCATCACCAATGCTGGGATCCATGACTCCACTATCCATTCAGCTATTGCCACTCAATCAACTTCTTACATTGTTGGATGACGATGAATGTTGGGGTCAAGAGGATAAGGACCAGATCAAGGTAAGACCAAAGATTGATTGATTGATTGACAGGCTAGATCTAACATTCGTGCTCACTCACTCACAGACTCAGATCAAGACCAAGCTCACAGAGCTGTATGATAGCAAGAAGCAGATGATGGCGACATCAAGCACGAATAGCTCACAGAATGGAACACCTTTGCTCAACTCACAGAAGAAGGACATGATATTCCATCCTTTGGGCGAACCTTTGTTCAACCCAGAGGATGAGAAAGAGAAGTCCAAACTGCGCGAGACAATCAAGAGTCTGATGGAGCAGATCAAGGAGAATGATGGACGCACGAACAAGCAACAGACAGAGGCAAAGGACTTACAGACTCAGGTCGATTCACTGAATCTTAGTGTCAAGGAGTGGCAGGACAAGCATCGCGCCGCAGAGATACATCGCGTCAAGATCGAGGAGAAGTTGGAGGCCGACATCAAGAAGTTGGTCAACGACATCAGTGTATTGAATGGCGAGAAGGATGACCTGGTCAATCAGAAGGCACAAGTGCTGCAGGAGTTGCAACAGACGATCACCAAGCATCAATCTGCCATCACTGATATTGAGAAGGCCAACAACGAAGCAAAGGAGCAACAAGAGAAGCAACTCAATGATAAGATCAACGAGCTCAAGGAGCAAAAGTATGTCACATTATCATGAAGTCTGATGCTTCGAACAAGATCACTAACGATTGATCAACTTAGGATGCACTACGAGACGATGGTGTCAGACTCTACGGATCAATCACACATTTACAAGTTGTCACGAGACGAGTATGCACAGTCATTGAAGACAATGAGTGAGGACCTTGGTATTAAGGATCAGTTGATCGAGGCAAAGGGAAGCGAGATCAGTCAGTTGAAGGAGACGATCAATAACTTGGAGAAGGACTGCAAGCAGACCAAGGCTGTGTTGTTGGAACGAGAGGCCGAGCTCAATGACACCCGTGCCAACACTGAGAGTGTATCGACCATGATCAAGAAGGCCGAGGAGAAGTTGACCCGCGAGCGAGCCAGCTTTGACTCGTTGACGACAAAGTTCAACAAACTCAATCAAGACTACTCGGAGCTGGAGACAAAGAGCAACGAGTTTGAGAAGCAGCAGAAGGAATCAGACGAGAGGATTTTGAGGATGGACGAGTCCAATGCATCATTGGTCGAGCGAACTACTCAGCTGGGCGATCAGTTGGATCAGCTACAGACTGAACTCAAAGACAAGACAAGACAGATTGAGGAGTTGAGCACATCACTGGAGGAGGCCAACAAACAGTTGGGTGAACTGAAGGATCTGCAGCAACTATATGATGAGACGAAGCAGAAGCATGAGGAGACTCAGGCCTCATGCGCTGACCTCCAACTTGTTGTGCCACAATACGAACAGTTAAAGGTTGAGCACCAAGAGGCCCTGGACAAGGTGAACAAGCTAGAGACAGCACTGGCAGATGCAGACACTGAGAGAAAGATTGCCGAGAAGAAGAAGGATAAGATGGTATGGTCATACAATCAATCAATCAATCTGTGGGATACTAACAATCAATCAATCAATTTTAGATTAAGGATCTCAAGACAGAGTTGACAAAGGAGCGTTCAAATGCTAGCCTCTTGTCACAATCATCAAACAGCATTCCAAGCACGCCAAACATGTCTCCATTGTCACAATCATCTGGTAGCATATCGATGCCAACTACCCCAATGACAACACCAATGAAGACCCACCTCAGGACCATGTCCAAGGGTGAACCATTGGCGCCATCCACTCCGCCAACAGGTACAACTCCACGTGTAAGTACTCACTAACTTATTCGCTCGCACTCACTCCAACAACAACACTAACAATTGTACAACAGATGGCAGCACCAATGATGATACCAGGTCTACCACCAAAGGGAGCTCAACATGGAAACAGTGAATCAATGCGTAATGATATTGAGATCATGGGCAAGAAGCTTGGTGAGCTTGGCACCGAGAAGTACAAGCTGGAGGAGAAAATCAGACTGCTTGAAGAGAATGTATCATTATTGAACCAGGATATTGAGAAGAAGAACAGCGTCGTGCGATTCTACATTTCAAAGACACAGTTGGGCAAGGCGACAACTACCGACGAGAAGACCAAACGACTGAAAGGTGGTGCCGCCGGTTCCTTCTGGCGAAACAACGATCCCCAACTAGTTGGAGAGATGGTAGAGAAGATGGAGAATATCCTACAAGAGAATATCATGAAGAATATTCAATTGACTGTAAGTTTAATATTATTKGGAACCATTCCAATCAATCAATCACTCACTGATTCAACCATTAAATAGAACGACATGGAAGTACTTGGCAATGAGACTGGAAGACTGTCAACGGAGAATAGAGCAATCAGACAATTATTATTGGATAATGGTATTCCAATTCCAACGATCGTTGAGAATCAACCAATGACTAGAAGTAGCTCAAATAATACGGCCACTTTAAGTAGCAGTGTTGGTAGTAGTCTCGGCAGCAGTAGCAACAGTATTGGCAGCAGTAGCAATAGTATAACAAAGTAATAATAATAAATAAATCATTAATTAAACTAAACTAAACATAACTAAACTAAACTAAACTACTTTTATTATACCCTTAAAGTATTTGGGTTTCCGAGACTATTGACTGGGAGTCCTGGTATGGACCGGGGAATTGTTTGGCTAGAACCTTTCTCGATAGACCCTTGGTAAAGATCAACTTGGGATTGAAGTAATTTGATTTAAAATGGTCTACCTTTTTCAACTTATAACTTGGTCTAAATTCCAATACTAGTTGTTCTCTTGTATTTTGATTACTTCTTGATTGTTCCTTCATTAAGATATAATATCTTTCATCACTATTATCAGGAAGTGAAGGTAGTTCCAATGTATCTACAATCTCTTTTATTAGATCAGATACATATTTAAGTTTTCTTGAACGAAGAATGACAATATAATTATCATCGAACCATGTTGATACATAATACATTCTTTGTTTGTTTGTTTGTTTGTTTGTTATAATATAGTACGGTATGAAAATAGATGTAGTCAATAGTAATTTCTAAGTCTTTAGAACAAATATGTATTTATTTAATTATTAATATATTATTATTATTAGATTTGAATCCATTGATCTAGAGGACTATATCATTCAAAGAACTTTCTAGATATCCAAGATTGACTACATTCTGGATTCCCAAAAGATATTAGAATTTCCAAACTGATTGGATTTATTTAAACAAACAAAGTGATTATTAATTCCCATTTCTATCAAGATAAAGGTTATCTTCCACTGAACATGAGGGAATATGAACTCAACACTGTTTCCAACCTCTTCACCATGATTGGAGAGCTTAACAATGACATTCGGGGAATGCTACAACAGCTCCATGATTTAAATGATGACACCAGAGAAATGAGAGCTGATATCACCAGGCTAAAGGCCCAGGTAGCTTCACAGACGACCGATTACCGAGAGCTCAAAGTCGAGGTAGTTAGTCTTACTCAGAGGTTCTCCACAATAGAAACATTTGCCGACAAGAATGCGAGCGACATGACTTTGGTGGACGGTGCAAGCATTGCAATATACTACAAAGATCATATTCTTCTGCCACGACTACGAGCAGAACAACATAATAATGACGCCAACTGGGATGAATTAGATCATCAGACAAAGTGTAGAGTCTCGATGGAGCATGGCAAGATACTATATGATACTCTATGACATCTTCTGGGTGACAGAAACAGTGTCACTCACAAGGAAGTGAGCATAGCCAGACTCAAGCAAGCCTTCTCGGCTCTAGAGACCAACTTTACAAACTTCCCAAGGATTCCTCAAATCGTTGGATATGACACAGTTGACTGCATTACCAAGCTTATTAGATATGTTGAAACACATATATAGACAGTCGACAATATGTTGATTCTCTATATCCATTGTTTCCTTGACTTTCATTTTGAGTGAATGGTTAGTATCAGTGTCTATAGAGTTCATTGAAGATTGAATGAACGAATTAATGATTGATTCTAACACGAAAGTCAATTGACTCCTGAACTTGTGGGAATGAGTAAATGAACCACGTATTATAATTAAATTAAACAAGGTGAAGGTGAGATGAAAGATCAAACCTGGTTCATTCATTTATTCACACATTTACAAGCATACATACCTACATATATACAAGTAATATATATATACACAGAGTAATACATATATTTATTTATATAATAACATAATAATAATAATAATAATAATTACAATAACATTTTAGATGAACATCAATTCAGGAGGTGGTATACCTGCCCCACCACCAGGCTGGCAGATATCGATGGATAACATGGGTAGATACTTCTACTACAATCCAATGACTCAACAACAATCGTGGACTCCACCACCAGGCTCACAGATGCCAACTGCTGTTGTTGGTCAACAGCAACAACAACAACAGAGTGGTATTGGACAGGGACAACCAATCGTACAACAATCGCCACAACAACATATCAACATATCAAATCTGGCCAATTCAAAGTCATCGCTGTCGTCGTCCAGCTTGCCAGACGGTTGGGAGGAGGCTACCGACAATCAGGGTCGTGTCTACTATATCGACCATCTAAACAAGAAGACAAGTTGGATTCATCCCAACTTTAGTCAACAGCTACATCATCAACAGCCTCAATCGCAACAGCAACAGTCTCAGCCAGTGCATCAACAACAGCAGCAACAGTCACATCAGCAACAACAGCAGCAGCCGATCATCTCATCGAATCCATCATACCCATCGATCGTCCCCAAGAAGGCTGCACCTTCTTCGGGTGACTACTATCCATCAATGAATGAATATGGCTATAGTATGTGTGTTACCTTCGAGATCGTTCGACTCGCTCAATTACTAACTCATCATGTACAGACGTCTCAAGCTCACCAAAGCAACCGACATTCATTCCTCCCAAGGTTACAAGCGCGCCAGCACCAGCTAGACCTAGCACAACGACCTCACCAATGGCACCCATTCAAAGACCTCCCCTGTCAATGTCTAAGCCAACCTCTGTCCTCTCCCAGACAGCTCCTCTCTGGGATCTCGAGAAGATAGTACCAGCATGCTCCAACTGTTATCTCCCATTCACTGTTATAAGAAGACGTGTATGTATCAATCAATCAATCAATCAATCACTCAGTCCAATGACTCACTCAAACATACATATAGCATCATTGTAGATGTTGTCAAAGAGAGTTCTGTGACGCTTGCAGTGTAAAGAGAATTGCTATACCACAGTTCAATCATAATGATCAGGTTAGAGTGTGCCTTTACTGCTTCATTCATACAACAGACCATGAGAAGACATGTATTTCAAGATTGGTACCATATTTCCTCGACTTCCACAAGGATACCAATCATCAGTATCAGGCATTGTGCGAGCTCTACGACTTCTTGTTGACCAACCAGAACAATGCCGAGCGTGTAGAGACTGCCCTTGTTGGAGGATTGAAGCCATTCATGGAGTACATCGCCAGGACCACCAAGGAGAACCACAGGAGTGAGAACCTTACCCTAGCATGTCAAATAGTCTGCTTCCTCACCAAGTGTAAGTCAGTCCAGTCCAGTCCTCGTTCAATCACTAACACATTATACAGACAAGAAGTTATTGAAGCCACTTCATCAGACTGAGTACATCTCAGCTTTGTTCGACTTGATGTCTTGCACTGATGTGGCATCTGTCAAGCTGGACTGCGCTAGGATCTTGAAGAATATTATCTCCAACATTGACAAGACCACTCATACTCCAACACAACCACCCGCGCCATCCGTTGCCGCAGCCGCCGCCGTAACACTCAATGTTGGTGCCGTGCAGAATGCCGCTGGAGTGGTTGAGGACGGGGGACTGCGAGTGACCACCGCCATCTCCAAGGCACAGATCGTCGAGATAGTCTCCCTCCTGGAGAACCCAACGTCCAAGGACGACTTCCAGTTGGAGCTGCTCAAGATCTTGCGCATCCTCTCACACAATGAGGAGCAGTTACAAAACATTGCCAACTCCAACATTGTCGAGGTGGCTTCGCCACTCCTCTCGTCCACCAGAGTGGACGTGCTCAAGAGTGTGCTCAAGGTGTTGACCAGGCTATCCATCCTTGACAAGCAGAATGCCGAAAAGCTCTACTCTGTTGGTGGTGTCATCTTCCTCCTCGAGTTACTTGTCAAGCAGATATCCCCAGTGCTCAACGTCATCCTCATCAAGCTTCTCTACTCAATCAGCAAAGTTAGTAGGTATCCTGTACACTCAATCACTCAATCAATCAATCTAACATCAACCTCTCCCAGGCAAATGTTCAAGCGCTATCGCCAGCTCAGACACTGGCATTGGATCAATATTGTTCTTGTTTGTCAACTCATCTGGTAACCTCAACTTGCAAGAACCAATACTGTTGTTGTTGTTGCAGGTGATGGAGAACAACCAGTTGAACAAGCAGATGCACATTCAGATCACACAGAATGATAGTTTCATCAAGTCAATGTTCCAATCACTCAAGATTCCCGCACTTGAACCATTGGTGCTGGCCATATTCAGTCAGCTCTGTCTCACCGACGAGTCCAAGGAGTCACTGCGCGTCCAGGGCATCATTGAGCCTATTCTCTCAATGATGTACGACAGGAGCAAGAGTATCCTACTTCCCCTGGAGATCCTCACAAGGATTGCGATGAACAATGAGAAGGCCTGCTATGACATTTTCGAAGTTGGTGGACTGTCTGTGTTGATTGACATCATCACATCACCAGCGCCACAGGCACCAAAGCGGGAGGCACCTGTCAATGGCGAGATACCATACACGGAGTTGGAGGACATTGCTGAGAGCACCTACAATGCCGATGTAAAGCGATTCGAGATGTACAAGAAGGTGCAGTACAACACGGTCAAGCTTGTGGGCAGTCTTTCCTACTCCAAGAACATCGTCCAGGAGTTTGTCCACTTTGAGAATGGCGCCGGTGTCAAGGCGCTGGTAGCCCTGCTCAACCCCTCCGTTGATGAGTCCGTCAAGCAGGTGGCCTCTGAAGCGCTCAGCAACCTGTGTGAGAACGAGACCTGCGCCATTCTTGTGCTGAGCGAGGAGGGACTCACCTACTCCATGGCCCTGCTCTCATCATCCAACACGGCCATCAAAGCCAATGCACTGCGATTGCTACAGAGACTCGCCAGCCACTCACAGGAGATCAAGCTGGCCATCTCTGAGGGCACGTCCATACGCCAGATCGTCGAGATGCTGTCCAATCAGTCGGCAGAGCTAAAAAAGTGTGCGATCTTCTCGCTGGCCGAGCTCTGCAAGGAGAACGAGTCCAATCGTGAGCAGGCCTTCAAGTTTGGCTGTCTGCCTATCCTGGCACAATCGTTCAATATCTACACCAGTGACCCCAAGTCCTTGGTGTGTCTGCTAGAGATTATCTCTGGCTTTGCCGGCCAGAACGATCAGTACCGCAGCGTATTGTTGGGCACGTCGATCGTCCAGTCAATCATCGAGTACCTCTTCAACAACATGAACTCGCCAGACGACAACTTTGTCATTCAAACACAGGTGTACTCAGTGCTCATCCTCTCACAGTTGGTCAAGGAGAACATGGCCGATCAGATCAGAAAGATCATCAACTCGGGCGTCATCCTGTCGCTCGTGCCCCTGCTCTCTGTTAAGAACTCATACCTCCAAGAGTACACATTGATCGTCCTCAATGTCGTCTCCAAGAACAGCTCATCCGAGCTGCGCGAGAGCTTGATGACATCAGGCCCCATCCTTGAGAGTCTCAGCCAGTTGCTCAACTCCAAGAACGAAGCCATCCTAGTCAACTCGCTCACGCTACTCATTGAGTTGTCCAAGAGTCCAGAGTGTGGAGGCTATCTCCTCTCGACCAACGCCATCACTCAAGTATCCGAGCTCATCATCAGCCCCAACACGCCCACAAGATGCAAGAGTTTGGCCATCCAGCTCATCTCCTCGTTCTTCTCGAACAACACGAGCAACACCAACATATGGGAGGTGTTCACTGCCAAGGCTGGCATTCCAGGTCTGGTCGCTCTGCTTTCGTCCACCAGCGTCATGGCCCAAATCACCAGTGCCAACGCCCTGTCTGCCATCGTAGTTGATGGACCAGGCCGAGCCAGAGTCGTCGAGTCGGGCGGACTTCACGCCCTGGTCAACGCGCTCTCCTCATCCAACATCAATGTGTCGTGTGCTGTACTCGTGACAGTGCTGGGCCTCTCACTCGAGGACGAGCTCTGTGAGACAATTGTAAACTTGGGCGCGCTCAACTCATTGTTGACCATCCTTGCCAACCAGGAGTACATGTCGAACAACATCAACATTGATGCCAAGCTCTACGCATGCGAGACCATATTCAACCTTGCCTCCAACCAACAGTGTCGCTCTATGATCTGCGACAACAGACTGATCACACAGCTTCTCGACCTCCTGTTTGTCGGCACTGAAGCCTACAAGATCGTCGCGTGCAAGACCCTTGCGTTGCTCGCTGCCGACCCTGCCACTGCCAAGGCGGTGTGTGAACAAGGTGGCATCATTGGCCTTGTCCCACTACTCTCCTATGAGAGCAGCGATGAGAACACTCTGATGTCCGTTGCGATTGCACTCACCAATCTGGCGCAGCACATTGAGATGTCCAAGAACCAGATACTCACCACGACCAACGACAAGGGTGTGACTGGTGTCGAGATCATCCTGGCCATCCTCGCAGCCAAGGATGGAGTGAGATCGAGTCAATCACTCAAGCTACAACTCCTTGATCTTCTGCAAATGTGCTCATCCGATGGCATTTTCCTCGCGGCCCTCGAGTCCACCGAGCAAGGCATCCCCAACCTTCTCTCCCTGCTGTCAGCATCGCTCTCCAAGCTCCCAACGATGGCCAGCTCGCCCCAGGTCAAGCCGGTCAATGACAACGATCCATCTCCATCAAAGGAGGTACAGAACCAGTTGCTGATCGTGTTCAAGACGTTGTCAATCATCATTGCCATCTCACCAAATCCCAAGATCAGGAATCTGTTGGTACAGAACAATTGTCTGAAGCAGATCTCATTGCTGATGACGCCGCCACCAGAGGTTCTCGTGTCGATTGACATGCTGTCCAACTCGATCTCCTTGTTGGATCTCCCCACCAAGGAAACACAGCATCAACACATAAGTGTCGAAGCCATTGGCGACAAGGACGAGGTCAACCTACAGTGCCTCAACCTCATCCACAAGTTCTCGCTATCAGAGTTTGGCAAGAACGAGATCAGGAACTCAAAGCTTGTGCCTCTGGTCCAAAGATTCCTTGATTCCAAGATTGAGGAGCAAGTCTGTACATCTCTTAAAATACTTCATAACCTTGCAGTATCAAGTAAGTATCGCCACTAATGATCCATCAGCCAGGTAGGCATGTTAGCTAACATCCAACCTCCACAATCAATAGACCTTAATCGATTGGAGATACATACCAATGGTGGAATGGAGAAGGTATTGGACATATTTACAAAGACAACCAGTCCAACGATCATATTGAACTCTCTATGTACATTATATCAGTTAATATATTTAGGTATGTTGTCCAGACTCACTCAATCAATCAATCAATCAGTACCACTAACCAACCAATCAATCAAACAGTGGACAACTTCAACCTGTTCATTAAGCGTGATTGTTTCAAATTGCTTGCACAGTGCACTGCATACCCTAGTGAAGCCATCCAACTCAATGCTCTGATGTTGATCAATAGACATTTGAACAATGAGAGATATGCCGAGATACTCAATGGTCTTGGTATAGTGGACAGTATTTTGAACATACTCAACACGGCATCCAGTGAGAACCTGATCATGTACGTTCTCAAGACATTGAACGACTTTACTCCATTCGACAATCTGCGCAAGACTATATCCGAGAAGCTACCAATCGATGTTCTAAAGGCCATGCAGACAGTTCCAAACCAAACGATCAGAGAACTATCAGAGTCATTGCTTGGATCATTTGGTTCAAATTAGTCTTGCTTGCTTGGAACACATCAATCATTCATTCTTTCATTCATTCAAACAACTTGTATACATCGACAATCAATCATCCAACAATAATATAATTATGTTTAATAATTAACTGTTTGATATTCATTGATAATTATGATATTATTAATCTTGTTTGCTTCATTTAGTGAGCCACCTAGCAATCCATGGTTCCTTCCTGCCCATTCTTTGATCAAGGTCTAGAACCATGATCAATCACACATGCAACAGATATTTTTATTAAATGAAACGACTTAATGTGACCTGACTGTTGCCCCCTATTTGGGAAAATGGTGATGTGAGTGGTATCGATGATCATGGGACGGGGGTCAACAGTTCCCAATTCCACCGACATCCTTAAACCATGCCTTACACGTGACTTAAACATCCTCACTCTATCCTTGGCACTGATCATCATTTTGGGAACCCATAGCAATCCATCCAACACTTTATTCAGTGCCATCTAACTCCTCAACAATGTAATTTATGGCCTTTATCCAACAGCCATCTTCAAAAAGTGGCTTCCAGAACACTGAGTACTCATTATTGATCTTATGTTTAATGATTAATAATATATGACCAAACATTCAATCAAATTAATCAATCAAACAATTAATCAATCAAATAATACACAGAATAATTAAAGAATTATTTCTTTCTTTATAATTCCAATATACTAATATTTATATATATATATATATAATAATATAATAATAATGGATACTTTAGAACAATCACCAATTAATCAATGGAAGGATATAGCATCTATTGGTGGATGCGTACATGAGAGTTACTTGGCAGAGAGTTGCCGAGATGAGAGTTGGCAAGAGGTCGCTGCCAAGTCTTCAATATTTTTTGCCCAGGTCAGGGAAGACCCTCTACTGGACCAACAGGTCCTCGACAGATACTTTGGCTCCGATGCCAAGATCAACATGGCCATGATATCAAGTGGCGGTGACACCGCAGCCTACATCCTTAAGGACCCCAGACTGAAGAAGTTGGACCTGGTCGACATCTCGACGCCCCAACTATCTCTCACACGTCTAAAGATCGAGTTGCTGAAGGAGACCACCCAGCGCCGTCTGGAGTTGCTGGGCCACGCCCCGCTGGACCCTGCCGAACGACGCCAAGCCGTGGAGCTGATCTTGTCCCGATTACCGGGGGTAACCATTTCCGACTTTGAAGGGAATGACCTCGGCGCCGGCATCGACCGGACGGGACGCTATGAACAGCTCTTCCACGCGCTCAAGGTTCGTCTGGCGGACGTGTCCAGCTCGGTCGAAGCGCTCTTTGCACTGACCTCCATCCACGAGCAGGTGCGTCACATCTCGTCCGACACCGAGTTTGGTCGCGAGCTTGACGCAGCCTTTGACGAGATCTTGCACGTCGACAACTACTTTGCAGTGTTTGGCGAGCGCGCCACTTCCAACAAGGGTCGCGACTTCTCCAAGCGCTTCCTTCAGAAGCTGCGTAACTTCCTCTCCAATCATCTCGCGTCTAGCTCGCCATTCGTCTCGCAGATTCTGCGGGCGGACTTTTACCGTGGCAAGTACTACGATTGGTACAACAACCCCCAGCTCGTCGACGGTCCTTCGGCCGAGCTCGGCTTCCACAAGCAGGGAATGGAGGAGTATCTGCTCAAGGCGCGCGACCTCGACGTCGTCCACCTGTCCAACATCACCGATTGGTTCACCCCCGAGGAGAACCTGCGCGTCCTACGTCTTGCCTACCAAGCACTCAAGCCCAATGGTGTAGTATTCGTTCGTCAGATCAACACTCACTTTGATCTCAACGCAGTACACATTGGATTCGTCTGGGATCAAGCCACCTCTGAAGAATTGATCCGTAACGACAGGAGTTTCTTCTACAAGATAGCTGCTGTTGGAAGAAAGGTTGTTGAGCCATCTCCATAATTCACTAATCTTCTCTCGCGCAAAGTCCATATATATACATTACCATTATTGGATTAAACATGTTGTACCTATATTCATTCCCTCCCCATGTATATCTATATCTCTATCTCTATCTCTCACTTCATTTCCCATGAGTCTAGACTTTGAATYCCAACTTCAAGAAACCAAAGGGGGTACCCTTTGCAATTATTTGAAAAGTTGACTCTTTGGCTTGCAACAACTTCGCTGAGGTCATTCATTGTGATTCACAAGTCCCTGCTTGACTTGTAATACTACTACTACACCTTTGTTATAACATAGATAGGATAGGATGGAGGATTATGAAGAACTTAGAACTATTGGTAAAGGTAGCTTTGGAAAGGCTGTTCTGGTTAGACGACGATCAGATGGTTTGCTATTAGTACTCAAACAGATAAATATAATGGAGATGGCACCTCGTGAGAGGAATGATGCTATGAATGAAGTACAAGTGTTATCAATGTTAGAGTATGTATAACCAACATTCAATCATTCATTTAATCATTCAATCAATCTAATGTATGATTCAATGTTTCAAAGCCATGAGAATATCATTGCATATCATGATAGCTTCTTGGTTAATGGTACATTATACATTGGAATGGAGTATGCCAATGCAGGTGATATACATCAAGAGATAAAGAAGCGTACCATTCAAAAGAGTTACTTCACTGAAGATCAGATATGGACATGGTTCACTCAGATCTGTCTTGCTGTTCAATACATGAATAGCAAGAATATACTACATCGTGATCTTGTAAGTATCATTCATTGATTGATTGATTGATTGATTGATTGATTGATTGATTGATTGATGGAGTTGGACTCACTCATTCATTCAATCAATCAATGACAACGACACAACAGAAAACACAGAACATCTTCCTTTCAAACATTGATAATCGATCAGTTGTCAAGGTTGGAGACATGGGAATTGCAAAGATATTGAATAGTGATACATCATTCGCGAGGACTGTCATTGGTACACCTTATTATCTGTCGCCAGAGATATGTGAGGATAGACCTTACGATCACAAGTCGGACATTTGGTCATTGGGCTGTGTACTTTATGAGTTGGCAACATTGAAGCATGCATTCAATGCTGGCAGTCTGCCGGCACTGGTTCTAAAGATACTCAAGGGAAACTATCCACCCATTCCAACCATGTACTCGAGCGACATGCGATCACTCATTTCATTCATGTTGCGCACTGATCCAAAGCAGCGACCATCTGTGGACAACATTCTCTCACTTCCATTCATTCAAACCTATGTACAAATTGCACGAGCTGCTTCGGACTCTTCAGTGGCCAATCTGAAGCAATCATCCCCATCGACATCAACAACATCTGCAGCGCCATCACCTTCACCATCAAGGCCACAGACAAAGTATGTTTGAACTCAATCATGTATGACCATCACTCACTCACTCTCTATCTCAATTTAGCATTCCAATGGCAATGTCCAAAGCTAAGCCAACACCATCAATCACTCCAAAGTCACCAGCAATAACAACATCACCAATCAATAGTGTCAGAAGTAATGTAGCCACGAGACCTAGACAAACACCAACTGCATCACCAATCGCATCCAAACAGACGCCAGTCAGGCAACAGACATCAGCGACGACTCCAACGAGGCCTGTAACAGCATCATCGTCGTCATCATCAACACCTAGATCAACGCCAACTACAACACCAATGTCAACACCAAAGTCAACACCAACCAAGCCTGCAGTAGTGACCAAGACAACCACGACAACAACCTCTACGATAACGAGCAAGACAGCAATAACACCAAAACCAGCAGAATCCAAAAGAGCACCAATCACTCAGTCAACTCAATCCCCAACTACTCCAACAGCTAAACCAACACCAATACCAACACCAACAGCTCCATTATATACACCTCCAACCCGACCTACTGTATCTATTCCCAGCACATCAAAGACCAAACCTTTGTCATCATCTGGAAGTGTGAGCAGGACGAGTACTTCCTCGTCCTCCTCATCTCGACTGTCAATTCCGACCTCATCTACATCCACTTCCACAACCGCCACTTCGTCATCATCCACGCGAAGTGGTAGACTGTCCACACCATCGTTGACAAAATCATCATCCCTCTCTTCAAWTTAGCAAACCTTTGGTTCCATCATCATCATCAGAAAGAACAAGCACACAGCCATCAAGTAGAGTAACACCCTCTGTTGCACCACCCTCTGGACGGTCGACTCCGTCTGGACGAGTTACTCCATCTGGACGCACTACTCCATCTGGACGATCGACACCCTCTGGAAGATTGTCATCATCATCAACAAGGGTGTCTACCTCCACATCGACAGTTACCAAGCCACCACAATCGACTACATCTACCACCTCTACTTCGACATCGACATCGACATCGACATACACTAGACCTGCTGTACCTGAGATATCATTGACAAAGCGATCAAACAGACAGGTTGACCTCAAACAACAGGAGGCATTGTACAAACAGAAGATGGACTCTGTAAAGTCAACATTGAATCTGACAAAGAAGGCAGACATCCCTCCAATAGCAAAGACAACAGATGATGGACCAGCCACTGAGCAACCAATCATGGAGACTGGTGTCGACGTGTCAACAACAATGACGAGTAGTATTAGCACTGATGACAGCTTCTCCACACACTCCACTGAATTGGAAAGCTGCAGTAGTCTTGAGAGCAGTGGAATCATGGATACACCTACCAACCAAGAAACAGAGCGTTGCTATGAAACACAAACAACATCAACAACCACAACAACAGAGGATATGTTGGAAAGCAACAACACCAACAACGCCAACAATAACAACAACAATGAAGAGTCAGATGAGAAAAAGAGCCAACTTCGCAACAAGAAGTTACACACAAGGGCCGTTGCACTGAGACAGTGAGTACCAATCCATTCCTGCTGTATAGGGGCCAGCACTGACTAACATCACATAATCAAGCTTCTGCAATAGTATATTCGGAGAGGAAACGTTCAACATGGTCTACGGAGTCTTGAAAGACGTCTGTCTGAATAGTGATGGAGCCGATTCAATACTGGCAGGCGGCGGCGAAGCAAATGGAGATGATGACGACCAAGGAGTACAAAAGCAATTGGAGGAACTGTTGGGCGACAAGATATACTATCTCAAGTATCTCCAGCAACTGTTGTACTGCGAGAGTCAACTTTCACAATAAGTCACTCCTTCCAGGATTTGTCCAAAGTAAAGTATATGATCGACTGACGGACGATGTAACATGCGTCCCTCAACGCATTTGCTTGATTGGTCCTTTATTACGCGTTTATCATCGCTCCGTATCATCCAAGGATTACTTAACTTAACTTGATTGGTTTGTTTGGTTGGTTGTTGTTTGCTGTTTGTTGTTTGTTAGCTCTCATAAGGTCTCCTGATTGATGGAGGTGCAACGATAACGGATCCACTGTAACTGTTGTCTGGTCTAACTGAATTGTTGCCGTTTCTGTTGTTGCTGTTGCTGTTACTTGATGTATATCTTGACTCGTTAAACTTATCTTCGCCAGGTTTGCTGTTACTGCCATTGCTATCGTCTCTTCTGTATTGTTGTGATCTGTCATCATCTCCTGACGGTCTCTCTAGTGATCTTGGAGGCTGTTGAGTGTCCCTGTTCGTACTGGTTCCAATAACACCTTGTCCAAATCTATCTGTTTGTCTGTCGGCTGGTCTGTCGGCTGGTCTAACTTCATTGCTCACTGCACTTCCATAAGGTAGTCCGTATCTGTCCAAAGGTCTGTCCAACAAAGGTGGTCTGTATTCTGCTCCACCGTATGGTGGTGGTGGTGGTGGTGGTGCTTGTTGTCTGTATCTGTCGTAAGTTCCATATGCATACTGTTGGGGTCGAACATTGTCTCGATTGCCGTACGGCGAGTAGCGAACGCCGCCCGGGTTCGAACCACCAGCACTAGTGTCATGTGGCTTTGAAGATGCCGAGTAGTCTGTTCTGATCTTCTTTCCGTCCAACACGAGGTCCTGACACGCGTTCTTGGCCTTGACGGCATCTTCGAGATTGGTAAAGTATACGAATGCATAGCACTTTGATCGATTTGTCTTCCTGTCCATGATAAGATGCACATTGTCAAGACTTCCATACTTCATAAACTCATTCTGTATCATGTACTTGTCTGTCGTGTGACTCAGACCGAATAGTCCAAGCACTTTATTTGGTGGTGCAGTCTGTAAATGTACAAGAAAAGATGTATCAGTTCTATGTGTCACTCGTCTTTCTTGTCGTCATTGACTTACATTGGCCAATTGGTTTGGTCTGTCGGTTGGTTGTGCGTCGTATACAGGGTGGCTTGGGTATTGGCCGTATGGTGATGGATAGCTCATCATTTGGTTCATTAGTCTGGATGGATGAGTTGGAGGATAGAGTGATGATGTTGATGGTGTTGACATTGTTGATGGCGCCGGTGCGCTACCCTCACTGTGAAGACTATGATAATCCATTTATATATATTTGAAGTATATCTGTATAATAGTATATATCTATTCTTCTGACAAGTTATGTTACCTTGTGTGTTGCTTGTCAGAGTGCACATGAGGGAGCAGTTTCCAACGAGATCTTTGAAAAATTCGATTTAATTTAATTACGAACCTTGAGTCCTAATGATGATCAAATATCTCATTATTATTTGTTTGATAATTATTACATTCATTGATTGATGTTACTAACTCTACATGTTCCAGGCGTTTATTGATTGTTGAGTGTGTGGTGGTGTATATGTGATGTATGTGCTGTGTTCTGTTGTTGCATGTTGATGATGGACTTGACATGACAGTGACCCTGTCATATGATGGTCCCCTTGTTGGTTGGTCACTTCACTTCACTTCACTTGATGGAGGGAGGGGAAGGGTTTGATGATGTACACTCGGTGATACTTCTTGCGCTGGTAAACTAGTGATGTACTCTCTCTCTTTATGAAGAGATCTTTCCAGCGATGGTGTTGTTCAACGAACCGATATGAGTGGCCCACTTGTGAATGGAGCGATACTTCCAGTAGCTTGACGACTTTGCAGAGTCCAGCTCCAGTTGTTGGTTGACCTGATCGATGGAGCCACGAATCTTGTTGTCCAAAATCAATGTCACAAGCAAAGCCTCCACCTCGTTGGAAGGGATGTTCAACTCCTTCGAGATAAATGGTATTCTGATCCTTGTGTATGGCTCCAACAACTTGAGCAACACCTGTGTACGAATGTTCTTCAACAGGTCCTCAATGTACATTCTGATGAATGGGTCATCCATGATGGTCTTTCTGTTGTCTATTGATTATGTTGATGTTTGTTAGTCAGTGATCAATCATCAATGTTGTGTGACATTATCATACCTCTGAGGATCTTCTCGAATGCATAGATGTCATTGCGCTCGTAGGCACTGACGAGGTTGGTCATAGCAAGGATGTCTGGATCATTCTTGTATGGCTTGGCCTCTGTAGAGTCGAATGGATTGATGGAGGACAGCATCAGCATTGTTGCCAGAACCAGGTACTTGAGACACTGGATACGTCTTGGGCTTCCAGCCTCATCATAGTTCTTGAATGCCTCAAAGAAGTCAGAGTGAGCCTTCTCCCATTCCTTCTCTGCCATATGCATCTTGCCACCGCACTCTCTAATGATACCCATGATTCTTGGATGTGGAATAGCACTTTTAATCTATTGGAAGTGATTGATTGATGGATTGGATGTTAGTGTATGGTTGAGTAATGACGACGATGATGATTATGATATCGTTACCTCCAATGCCTTCTTATATAAATCCTTCAACTTCTTGTTGTTCTTGGTCGCAGTGTACATTTGAATCTCAAGGGCATAGATGTCCACAAGTTGGCTTCCCTTCTTCTGGTCATCTGATCCATCCTCCAACTGACAAGACTTGTGCAACTCTCTAAGAATCTTTGCCAAACGTGCATACTCCTCCTTCTCAAACAATAGTTTGGAGAGCTTTAGGTTGGTCCTGAACCAAACTCTCTGTGTATATATATATGATCAATCATTGTCAGTCAATCTGGTCAATCCAATGTTTGATTACAATTACACATACCTCATTCTTGGCCTCAAGCAGACACTTGAGTGTTAGGTCATAGACCTGTTGAACGAGATCAAGCTCAATGCTTGCACCAGTTGGCACGAGATCAAGGATTGAGTTGATACCCTTCTCACTATAATTGCTAGTGACAGCGGACTTGGTGTATGATAGGAACTGTCTGTAGCTCTCAATCATCTTGTCGAACTTTCCAATTCTAAAGTTAAGCTTGGTAATCTTCTTTAGTGCTTTGAATCCCCTGTTATGTGTATATAATGTTTATGTGAGCAATATGATCATTCAATCAATCAATCAAATGAATGAATGAATGAATGAATGTACAATACATACCATTCACCTTTCTCTCCCTTCTCTAACTCGATAACCTTCTCGTATGATTCTATTGCCTCTGAGATGTCATCATCGATGAGACCCTTTGAGTTGTAGTATTGATTCTCAATCTCGACACCCTCCTCCTCCTCATCGTTGTTGTCATCAGCCTGTTCATCATCGTCATCAAAGTACTCATCATCGTCAAAGTTCATATCCTCATCGTCAGACATCTTGTATGTGTTTAGTATGTATGTATTATGAATAATACGTAAATATATAATATATATGGATGGATAGTGAAGTTAGATAGATAGTTGATCAAGATAGATTATGATGATGAACAGACTTTGAAGGCACTTTGTGAGTTATTGAACACACCAAGAAATTAATGTGAAAAATTTTGTGTTTTATTCATTTTGCCTCATTTTGACTCTTATGGTATCTTCACTTTCAATCCAAGCGTCATTAGTTTGTTATTACATACATGTATGTTTGACAGTATTGTAATGTTTGTTGTTGTTGTTGTTGTTTGATTATTTATAAGTTGTCCTAAGATATATATATATGAATGAATAATCCTTATCTATTGATATATATATATTATTTGAACATCACATAAACAACATAATTATCTTTGTGTGTTTCGCTCGTTTCCCACACTAATAAACAAGACAACGAATCATGAAGTTGTGTTCACAATTTAAAACACTTATAATACATATAGAGATATAGATAAAGATATATAGAATGAACTTTGCACATAACTCTGCTATGAAGGCTCCAACGCCACCTGATAAGGGAAGCTTCCCTTTGGATCATGACCAAGAATGTTTACAGCCAATGAACTCATATATAAAGTGTCTGGCTGATAACAAGAATCAGTCTAGAATGTGCATGGAGTTGTCAAAGCTCTATTTGCAATGTAGAATGGACAGGTGAGTGTTGTTGAATAGATTGATATCATGATGTGACACACAACATACACAGGACACTTACATTCAATCATTCAATCAATCACAACAGAGGACTAATGGCAAAGGAGGACATTGACAGTTTTGGATACAATGAACTTCAAAAGTCAAAGGTAGTGGAGCCTCCACAAAACCCAAGAGAGCCAATTATTGCTGGTCTACGAAGACCAAACAAAGACAGATAAGTTGGTGGACCGATCATATTCCTTCTTCCATCATTATAACTATTTCTCATGGCTAGCCAACCTGTCTTGCCGACCAACCAACCAACTCAATCAAGTCCGTCTCACATTCGCACCAATAAAATCAATCAACCAAGCTCATTCATTACCATTACCTCATTCATTTGAGAAACCCGACGACAACAAGTTGACGTGGAACTACACACCTGTGTGAGAGGCCATCAATTGATTGGTTGTTGTGGTGTATTACAAATACAAAGGCAACCATTGGATCTGTAGAGTTGATGATAGGAGTGTCGCATGTTCATGACGAGATCACTTTGCGAGGTCGAAAGATCAGAGGGTTGAGTTCACACGTTGCACCCTTGAAGAAGCCTGCAATGACGAGTGATCGAGACCCACTCACACACAGCCCACCAATGTTTGATTTCTTTTGTTAATGCTGGGATGGTGGATGATGGGCAATCAGATATCTTTATTCGAAACACAAACAACAAAGTAATCGATTAGTGATTTAAATGATTTTTTTTATGTTGTTCCAGAGTGGAGAACAACAACATGAGGTGAAGGTCTTTCAAAACATTCGTCGGCTGTTCAATCTTTGATGGGCAAGACCTCAGACTCGGGTGGGCAGTGTGATGTGATGGGGATGATGATTAAAGTTTGTTGTTGATTCTTGATTAGTTGTTGGTTCTATGTAATCGAGTGGGCCAGTCAGACCAGAATGAGTGAATGTGAGGCGGTCCTCTCTCACCTCATCCATTGACTGTCACTCAACCAACACCATTCACTTTACAAGCCATCACCAAGCTCTACACATAAGTTATCTATCTCTTTACCTTTACCTCCAAGTCAGTAGTAATCACTTTACTTTCCTCTTCGAGATTTAATTATAATAATTATTATATATACCTTTATTATCTTCATACATACCTTCGAGATAATTTGTTATATATCAATCCTTATCAATTAATTCTTCATACTCCACATATATCAACTTACTACCAACTACCCTAATATATTTATAAACTTATTTAACACTTTCCCCTTTATACAACAACAACATACAACATAATGAACACTCAACAAAGAGCTATGGAGGGTGATTTGACCCGTTTGAAGGCCATCGCCCGTAAGGAGTCTGATGCCGTCGGCCGTGCTGGTATCTCTGACACTTTGAAGCAGTACAACGAGCTGTTCCAGGGAAATGAGGACAAGTCCATCGAAGCCCGTAAGAACAACTACACCAGCATGGTCAACCAGTTCTACGATCTGGCCACCGACTTTTACGAGTTTGGCTGGGGTCAGTCCTTCCACTTTGCCACCCGTCACAAGTTCGAGAGCTTCGAGGCCTCGATTGCCCGTCACGAGATGTACCTTGCTCATCAGCTCGGTCTGTTCCCAGGCATGCGTGTGCTCGATGTCGGCTGCGGTGTCGGTGGTCCAATGAGAACCATTGCCCGTTTCTCCGGTGCCCACGTCGTCGGTCTCAACAACAACGAGTACCAGATCCAGCGTGGAAAGCGTCTGAACGAGGCTGCCGGTCTCGCCCCACTCTGCTCCTTCATCAAGGCCGACTTCATGAAGGTCCCCCAGGAGGACGCCACCTACGACGCCATCTACCAGGTTGAGGCCACCTGCCACGCCCCCAACAAGGTCGACTGCTACAAGGAGATCTTCCGTCTGTTGAAGCCCGGCGCACTCTTTGGAGGCTACGAGTGGATCGTCACCAACAAGTACGACAAGAACAACGAGGAGCACAAGAAGATCAAGCGTGAGATTGAGCTCGGCAACGGTCTCCCAGAGCTGGAGCAGCCAGCTGCCATCGTCGCCGCCCTCAAGGAGGCTGGTTTTGAGGTGATCACCGCCACCGATCTCGCCGAGACCTCTGACCTTCCATGGTACCTGCCATTGTCCGGTTCGTTCTCGATCACTGGTTTCCTGCACACCGCCGTCGGTCGTTACCTCACCGGTAAGCTGTGCCAGTTGCTCGAGGTCGTCAAGATTGCCCCAGGTGGTGCCTACGACGTCAACGTCTGGCTCCAGGGTGCTGCCATCTACCTCGTCGAGGGAGGTCGCAAGGAGATCTTCTCGCCAATGCTCTTTGTCTTGGCCAGAAAGCCCGAGACTGCCAAATAAATCAAGTAGTGCATGTCTTCATTGTTGCTCTTTCCTTTCACCTTGTTAATAATAATCAAAGTCATTGGTCCGTTGTCTATCTATTTTATTGCCTCTCATTATATCTATTCTTATCATTCAGTCTTGTTTGTATGTCTACTTCACTTGTCTCTGCCATCTGGATTCACATACAAGGAATTATTAATAATTATTAATGAAGATGTCATCTTACCTGTTCAAGTTTGTGTGAGTCATTCACTCATATATAATCATTAGTTCATTCACTGACTCATTCACCTTTATTCAAACATATATATACACTATCTCTTCCTTATACATTAAAGTATATTACACTTATCAAACAATCAATCTGAATATGACTATCCAATTTAGTTATCTTGCTCAAATGGCAATTTGGTAAGGTTAATGTCCCAAAGTTATAAATAATTATTAATTACTCTAAATATGGTTAATAATATAGGAGTGTTGCTTTGTTGTTCACTGGTGTAGTAGGATTACCTATTATAGCCTACCTAGCTCAAGAGAAGTTTATTTATTTCCCAGACAGAAGATACTTCCTTGAACCAAAGAGCTGGGGCTTCAATGACAACAACTTTAAAGAGTTGATGTTACAAACCAAGGATGGTCTTACTATACACTGTTGGTTCATCAAACAAAAGAACTCAAAGGGTGTACCAACTATATTATATTGCCATGGCAATGGTGGAAGTAAGTACACAGAGTCTACATCATCATCATCATCATCATCTTCTACAATATTAATTCAGAATGATCATCTACTTTAGATATGAGTTATGGACTACCAACCTATTGGAGATTGAGTAATCAAGTAGGTTGTAATTTATTCGTTCTATCATATAGAGGATATGGAAAGAGTGATGGTTCACCAATGGAGAGTGGTATCAAGAAAGATATTGATGCTTGTATTGAGTACTTGATGTCTGACGAAAGTATTGATCCTGAGAAGTTAGTTATATATGGTTTGTCATTGGGAGGTGCGGTAGCAATAAACACGTCAATGAGATATCCAGACAAGGTAAGTACAATCATTCAACATCTCAAGCTCCACATTTCTTATTCATTCATTCATTATTATTATAATATAGATCAAGGCAAACATATTTGTAAATACATTCTTGTCCATACCTGATATGATGGATAATATTATGGGGTCATTGGTTCTACTCAAGCCATTGATAAAGAACAAATGGATGAGTAAGAACTCAATTAGATCAATTACAACTCCAATACTATTCTTATCAGGACGAGAGGATACAGTTGTACCACCTCAGCATATGGACAAGTTGGAGGAGCTGGCAATCAACTCATCTCAGAAGGAAATTATTAGATTTGAGAAATATGGTCACAATGATACAGAGAACAATGCTGGATATTCCAAACATATCAAAGAATTCCTTATCAAGGTGTTTGGAGAGTGGTCTCCTCAGTAGTTATATCTTATCAGATATAATATCATTTTGAGTTCAACATACAAGTTCAGCTTCCCCTAGGAATTGGCACTTTAGTCAACACATTGAACTACCGATTAAATTATTATTTATTGATTTTAAATATTTTACAATTATATTATATTCTTAGACCCCAAAACTACTCTTTGTGTATTCTAGATCATTGTAAAGGGTTACAAAGCGAGTTGCCGCAAAGACTTTGAAAGGACACTGACTCTGGAGTCTTCTGAAGTGGGGTTGGATGGGACTTATCCATCAAAACACTACCCAAATGCAAAAAATCCTCAAGTTTTGCGTTCTTGGGATGCTGGGCGATCACTAAACTCGGAGTAGTGCATCTTCACAGTCCATCAGATTCTATAAATATCAAACTAAACTTATAAGACATTCATCATACTAATAATAATCATAAGAATAAGAAATAATAATCATAATCAATTATAATAATAATAATCCTTTTCATTTTAAAACAATCTAATAATATTAATAATACAATGTACCGCACTTTTATACCCATTCTATTAATTGGAATTACAATGGCTATGACTACTATGGCAGCCACTAGTTATCCAATTATATCATCAATTACACCAATTTATACTGATGGTGGTGTTGTTACATTTCATGGTTACTTTGGACCATCACCAATAACACTCAATCCAACCAGTCAACATGTTAACATCAATGATATTGAATGTAGTATGACATCGATCAGCTCTGAGATGATCACCTGTTCAATTGGTAATCTGACCAAAGGATATGCCAAACTCAAAGTTACAATTGACACCAACACCTATTTCTCAAACAATACTCTGGCCATATGTATGTATATTCGATCAATCAATCCATTAAATTAATAATATTCTAACATTTACAATATTATAGATAATTCCCCCCTACTGAGTAATAACTGTGGATATCAGGATGCTTGTTCTTCTCATGGACAATGTGTGAATGGAAGATGCCAATGTGATAGATATTGGGGTGGAGTACACTGTGAAGTCCATACAGCAACTGGAGCATTGATCAATAATGTTGATACTACACCAAAGACAACATTCCAATCTGCTGATTCACACTTCTTGCCCAATGTCATTGACATCTTTGCCATCCAAGAGTTGGATATTGATCAACGTGTTGTCAAGTCTGTCCCAACTACTGCTTGGACCATGTCCCAACCAACCAACGATAAAGTCAACAACATCACATCTAGATTGTATACTCTGGCCAAGGTGGATGCCCAACCAACTCTCATTATCACAGTGTTGGTCCAAGATCTTCTGTTCCCAGACTCGAACAACTCAACAATCATGATCACCACTGATGTTGTGATGAATGTTTCAATCCAAGGATGGACATATCAATCAAACATGAACACTTTGAGGGTTGTTCTCTTCAAGAATGCCTCGACGACAACTGTTACCACTGGTCCAAACTGTGGAAGAGTGTTCCTCTTTGGTTGGGACTCAATCGACAACAACATGCAATACTTTAGAGATACTGATTATGATCAGTTGTTTGCCACCTTCCCAACGTTTGGTCTTTCTGATGGTTTGCCAACATTCACCAGGAACGAGCTGATCAGTTCATCGACCAACCAGTCACTGTTTGGTATCAACTTGCCACAATGTCAACAATGCAGTGTCAGTCCATCGTTCTCAGTGTTGGACAGTCCAGACTCTAGAAACAATCGTCTACAGTATGGTTGTGAAGGTAATGGAACCAAGGGTGATAGCCGCATAGGTGTCTCTGGTATCGTTGCCATTGCAGTTGTATGTGGTGCTGTATTATTGGCAATCATCATAACAATCATTGTATTGGTTGTTAGAAGAGTTAGAAGATCAAGAAGAGAGGAGTCTGGTAATAAGATGGGTCCACTATAACAACATCATAATCATCATAAATATATACTTTACACATTACATTATTCAATAAATAGAATCAATTAATAATATTATCTCTATGAACAAGACCTTGTTGTGTTTACACTAATGTAATGAATGTATGTCCAAGGACAAGTTGCCAAAAGACATCACTATTACTTACTTGTACAAGTACAATTAATAGTTGTAACTCTTCAGACAATGTTGTATTACCTTGTTATAACATGTATGTTTGATTACATTCTCGTGTTTTGTCGAAAGATACTCAATGGTTGAAGTGATCTTCGCTTAGAGTCAAAAAATGACTTCTGATTGAATGAATATTGTGTATTTGTAGATAGAGATAGAGATAGAGATAGAGATGACAGACAACAAGAGAAAGAATGATAGTAATAGCCTTATTGTGGTAGGAGATGGCAATGATAGCAATGGCAGTGTAAAGAAACAAAAGAATGAGTTGGCACTTAGAGATACCTCGGCATCATCAAAGGAGATCATACTTGGTACAGAGAGAACATCAAAGCTGAAGAGTCCTATAATGCAGTTAACAGGTCATAGAGTATGTACATTACGTACATTCTTTCATTCATTCATTTACTCATTCATTCATTCGTTTCATTCAATTTATGAACATCATTGATAACAACAGGGAGAGGTATTCAGTGTCAAGTTCAATCCATTTGGTACAGCATTGGCATCTGGCTCATTCGATAAAGAGATATGTATGTCAACATACATCAACAGCATCATCATCCCGCAACAATGATCACAACAGCAACTGACTAACCAATCTCGATCAATCAATCAATCAAATGAACAGATTTGTGGAATGTATATGGAGATTGTATCAACTACTCTGTACTCAAAGGACATCAGGGAAGCATATTAGAGCTACATTGGGATAGAGAAGGAATTGAATTGTTCTCAGTGTCATCGGACAAGTCAGTTGGACTATGGGATACAGTCGAGGGCACACTAGTCAAACGTATTCGCGAACATAAGAAATTCGTCAACTCATGCTGTCCTGCAAGACGCGGACCTCCATTGGTAGCCACTGCATCTGATGATTGCACCGCGCGACTCTTTGACACACGCCAGCGACACAGCATTGAGACATTCACGCACAAATTCCCAGTGACGGCCGTGGCCATGTCAGACTCGAGCGATCAGGTCATCACAGGCTGTCTGGACAACGTGGTACGCGTATTCGACCTGCGCACACAGCGCGAGATCATGACACTACAGGGCCACAACGACTCGATCACCGGCCTGGCCGTCAGCCCGGATGGCTCGCATCTCCTTTCAAACTCAATGGACAACTCACTCAAGATATGGGACATCCGTCCGTTTGCCCCACCCAACCGCTGCACCAACACGCTGACTGGCGCACAGCACAACTTTGAAAAGATACTACTCAAGTGCTCCTGGTCGCCTGATGGACAGCGCGTGTCAGCCGGCTCATCCGATGGCCAGGTGTACGTATGGGATGTGAGCAGCAGCAAGATACTCTACCGACTGCCTGGACACACAGGCTCAGTCAACCAAGTGGACTTCCATCCATTCGAGCCCATCATTGCATCTGGTTCATCAGACAAGACTATATTCCTCGGTGAAATAAAGCCATAAATAACAAGTAAGAAGAGGCGACATTGTTTGATTGATTGATTGATTGGGTGAGCAAGTGAGTGAGTGAGTGATGGAAGTTTACTTCATTGCCTCGACGATTGGATCGTAGGTGGATTGATCAACTGATTTGAAGCCAAGATATCCAAATCTTTGGATAGCATCACTGTGGCGTTCACCAAACTGTTGAAGATATGCCTGTATGTTGCTCTTCTGGAAGTATGCCATTGTGTCCTTTCTTGTTACCAATGGAGGCATAGGTGATGGTCCAATCTGATCAACAATCCTAATATTCTTGGCCAACTCTCCATTATTCTTTAATAGTTCTACATCCTGTTTGAATGATTGATTGAGTGAATAAGTGAGTATAATGACTAACATTTGATTGATTGATTGATGGGACATACTAATACTGTGCTATCTATGGCAGCTGTATCACATTGATTGTTGAGTACCATTTGGATTGACTTTAGATGTGATCCAGATGCTGTTGTGTTGTTGCCAAAGTACTCTTCCAGTGTGCCATTGAATCCTTCTACCTTTTGAACATGATGTCTAAGTACATGATATCCAGAATATGATTCCTTTCCATTATAAGCGAATGTTCTTCCTTTAAGATCTTTGATTGAGTTGATGTTATTGCTATCATTGTTGGATGACTTGATTATAATATCCGAGAAGTATACTGATTGATTATTATATCTTGTTCCAGAACATATTGGCGCAGAGATTGGCTCGAGTGAGTGTGATCCCTTGACATAGACCAATCCACACATGAATGCACAGTCGATACCAAACTCCTCCATCAGTAGATGTGGAGGTTCGGACCATCTGGACTGAGGTACCAATTGCCAAATGTCAACCATCTTCATGTTGATACCAAGTTCACTGGACATGCTGTCAACAACAAATTGGAAGAATGAGTTGGCACTTGGACTCAGGAATGATGTGATCACCAACTCTCCATAAGTGCGAATACCTCGCCATCCAAGTGATCCATCTTTGAATGAGTAGTACTTGGACCTAATCAATGTTATTGGCATAGGTTCCAGTGAGTATGACGATCGGCTGAGGTATTCGGACACGGTGGTAACACTCTTGATCGTTGAGGAGGATAGATCCGGGGAGGATATGGATGATTGAGGTAGTGTGATCAGAGCATTGTTGATTCGAACAAAGTGGTAATACAGTGGACTTGACTTTTGGACAGCCTCCACATGACAGCTATTCAATCTCCATTCATCAGCTGTGCTAAAGTCCTCCATAATGACGATGTTGGCGTAGTCCAATAGGTTGTTGTTGACCATGTGCTCCGGGTGCAATGGGGCATCCTTGTGTACAGTGACATAGGCCAACACTCCTGGAAATGTAGCCAGTTGACTGATGAGCATTTGATCACTCTCGCAAATATCAGCACCAGCTGAATAGTCGTTGGAGCGAGTTCCAAAGAATCCGACACAGCAATAACGCCTGGCAGCCAAAGCCAATGATGGATTGTTGATTATACATCTCAACTTTTCATTATCATTCAATGATACTGTATATGTCAATTTGTTGACAGGTTGAGAATGTTGTGATTGATGCATTGACTGTTTCAATGGTACACTGATTGACAATCTTAGAAAGTTTAAGAAATAATGTAACATTGTTGACATGTACTCCTTATCATCTATGGAGTACTCTATATTTGATAATGGATGTTGTGGTACTACATCACACTCTCTAAGATATTGAACTGTCACTGGTATATCATCATTCTTGGTCTTGACATTATAAATATGAAATGGACATGACATTATTCTTTTGTTTGTTTGTTTGCTATTATTATTTCTATCGTTTGATTGATTGAATGATTGATTGATCAAACAATGAATAGATGTATAGGTGGGAAGTTTAAAGTTTAGTTTAGAAAGACAACGGAAGGTGGGACAAGCAAGATTAAAAAGGGACCTCGTCAAATCTTAATATAAGAAATATCTGATTTGGAACCTTCCATCCAAAAATCAAATCAAATTTTGATCATTCATTGTACAATCCCAAATTAGATCAAATAATGGAAGTTCATTTATATACATTTCCAATCCAACAACTTCATTCTCAACCAATCAATTTATCTTTAATAAGAGATGTCTTGAAGGTTACAATTGGGATTCATTATCTATATTTGTTATTATATTATTTGAATAAACAATCATTCAAATATTCAAATAGAACATCGTCTGGATAGTCAATAGTTAAATGTTATGATTCTTTCATTTAGACGTATGCCTTGGGTATATGATCATACAGAACAAGGTCCTAAACGACTTATTAATCTATTAATCAAAAAAGGTGTGTCAATGTTGTGTGTGTGTGAGTGTTATTCCAATCACTTTGTTTGTCCAATCAACTTTGATTTACATCCTACCACTACACCACCCACACCCTTTAAGGTTCATTGAAAAGACTCTTCGTCTGACTCTGTCTACATCGATGCTCAGTACACTACTCACTACTACTGATCAGTGTCGACAACAACAAATTGATCATATGATCAAACACTCACACAACACAAACTGGCATACAGTAGTTGGATGACATCATATAATAGATCATCTATAGATATGGGTTAGTTGCCAACTCATACCACTACTCAACGATACCAGTCATTGGTCAATCTAACCTTTATATTAATTAATTAAAGCCAACATGACTTGGAAGATTGAATTGAATCCGATTCCGATGAAACGTTGACTTGTAACGAAGTATACAGTCAACAGACATGGCATTCATTGTCAACAATGTCAATAACAATTAACTATAAATAGTCATGGATCCAGTCTAATCAATCAATATCAAATCAATACCAATCAAATAATATTATATTATAACAATCTTCAAGATTAATACCATCAACATCTTCCAAAAATGACTCTTATGAGTATGTACCTACGCCATGCATCCAACATTCAAACAATTCTAACGCGCTCTACCTCCTCTCTCTTCTCTCTCTTTTCTCTTAGACGCCATGTCTTCCCTCGGAAACGTCAACGCTATGACCTCCAACAAGTCAATGACCTCGTACTCGACCTCCAAGACAGTGACTGTAGGCCAGGCCAGCAACCAGAACGCCCTCCTTGGTCTCGGAGTTGGAGTTGGCGTCGGTGCCTCTGTTGACCTCCTCGGAATCCATCTTGGTCTCGGTGTTAACATTGGTGCTGTGATCCAATTGTAAACCATGTGATCCATCATCATCATCATCATCGTGCTTGTCATGCACCTATGTTGTATCATAACATCAATCAACAACTTGTAATTAATTAAACAAATCAATCTATCACTGCAGTGTAATCAATCAATCGTCATCGTCCTGAATGAGTCTGTCTGATACTGCTGTTGCTGATAGTTGCTATTGCTATGTTGGTATCGTTTATTGAGTGATCATCATATCACTCTGCTAATGTGTTAATGTGTATGTCATGTTGCTCGCAATGATCTTGATCCTCGCTCGCTTGTTCGCTCGCTTAGTGATGATGTGACTGAGGCTTCTTGTTTGCCAAGTTCAACTCTCTTGGGATCATTCTGTAAGCACCATTGTTGTTGATCAATGGTGGCATCCATCTAGTTGTGTATACATTCTTGTGAGTCGATCCAAGGAACCTATAATCATGCATCATCAATGTTAATGTTTGTTGTTCACAACCTGTCATGTGATCTGTCTGCTGTTGCTGCTGTTGCTGTTGCTGATGCCCGCTATGCTTGATTGATTGATTGATGTTGATCTTACAGAATATCATTCTCAGCCTGGATGATGGGCAATATCTTTGACAAACGGATTCTCTCAGTCTCATCGTCTTGGCTGTTTGTTTGTTGATGTTTGAATGTTAGTATCCATGTTGACGATAACCTGTGACTATGCTGCTGACGCTGTTGGTGCCATCAATCACATACAGATCTTGTATTCTTGTGTTGATATAGATGTAGGTACCAACACTCATAATAATGAATGTAGCTCCAAACAACTTGTAACCAGAGACCATCTTTGGTGTCTGTCTACCAAAGGGCAGAGGTGCCCAACCTCCTGGAGGTGGGAGGTCCTGTACCCACTTCTGTCTATAATTGATCGTCATCTCTCTCTTAAATATATATATATACTACAACTACAAACTAAACTAAATAACAAGAATATGATCAATTATCTCTCATTATGTTGTGCGGGAGTGCGACATCACTTGCCAACACTTTTCGAAAAATTCATCAAGTCGAACTTCCTCGTGTTCAGACGAGTCTTGTGGACAAGTTAAGTTTGGTCGAACGTTTATTTGAGAGGTGATTGGATGTTGTTTGGTTGTTGTAATTATTAATATATGTATGTGTGTTAGAGTTGAGTGGAACCGGTATCCTGCATGTCCTCGCCACTGTAGTACTCTGGGTTGTATCTTGGCAACATCCATGGCTCGACGATGAGGTTCTTCTGCTTCTCGAATCTTGGATCCTTGGTAATGTCTGAACTCTCCAATTGGAGACGACGTGAGTTCATGTGTGGCTTGTAGCTGGCGAGTGCGCGTCTGATCATCTCCATCGTCTTCTTGGTGTCGCGGCGTGAGTAGTAGCCGTTGCCCGACAGCGTGCGGTACGACTCGGTCAGTGTCTGCTTGAACTTGTCGGCGTGCTCTGGTGCTATCTCCTCCTCGGTGAATGGCTTGATGCGGACAAAGGTGTTGGGCGCGTGTGTCGACTTAAATACATATTCACCGCTGGGCAGCTCCTGGCGCTTGTACACGGGGGTGACGGGGTTGGCTGCGTTCTTCTTGAGAGTCTCGGCGCGGTACTTGGCAGCGCGCTCGCGACGCTTGGACAGCGCCACCATCTTCTTCTTGTTGCGTCTAAGATACATGTCCACATCGGTGCCCAGCACGCGCAGATGCTCGTGCCACTCAGTGTCGTACAGCTGCTCGTGGTAGTAGAGGTTGTCGACGTAGTCCTGGAACTGGACCAGACCCTCAGCGCCGTCGACGATGGTCTCTTGGGTGCGATCGTCAAACTCAAACAGGTCGGTCTCGTCGTGGATGTCATCCTCGTCCTCCCCATTCTCGTCCATCAGCTCGTCGGAAAGCAACTGCTCAATCTCCTCCTCAGTGCCCACGAGTGGCACCTCTTCAGAACGATCGACGAGACTCTCGGCGAACTTGGGGTCGACGGCCTTCATCTCCTCGACCTTGGCCTTGAACTCCTCGACGGGCATATTGTCATACTTGTCCAACTTGAGGCTGGCCACGAAGCGATCGTTCTGATCCTCAGTCATACGTGACATGAGACCTGGCGTCAGGTGCTTGAGTGGGTCGAGCAATGTGCGCAGCTCGCTCTGCTTGCCGTCTGTGTTGAGCTCGAGATCCTCCTCGTCCAGCTCTTGCATGCTGTCCAGATAGTTGTCCTTCTCGTAGGCGTACAGGGGCTCAGAGTCGAGGGCATCGGACAGCGCCTTGAACTCCTCTTCGTTATAGACGCGCTCGTCCTCCACCAGGAAGAAGTTCTCGCTCGCGTTGTGATCGTCGTACAGAGTGTTGTGACCGTCCTGTGCGCTGGCCTCCTTACGCTTGTTCTGGCCCTCCTCAATGGCCTTCTTCTGGTCCTCGTCCAAGTCAAACTCAAATTTGTCGCGCTGATGTAGGACGTAGGCGTCGCTGATCTCCTCCTTGACGATGCCAGTCTCCTCGTCGACCTCGTGCAGGGCAGGCTCGTAGTTGGGCTCCTCCAACTCGGCCAGCTCGACCGTATCAAATTGCTCGTCGACAGTCTCCTGAAGCTCCTCGGGGCTCAGACGCGCCATGAATGCCAGCTCGTTCGTCGTGAACTTGGTCGTGTCGATACCATACTGCTTCAAATACTTGATGGTTGTGATGTGCGTCTGGATCTGCTCGGGCGTGGCGTCCTCGGGCAGCTCATAGTTTAGTGCGGCGAACGTCGAGAATGACTTGGCCTCGATTGGCTCACCGTTCTTGATCGCCTCATTGTAGCGCCTCTCCTCGTCTTCGATCTCCAGATCCATCTCGTCCTGCTCGGGATCCTCCTCAAACAGCTCCTCATGCTCCTCGGCGATCAGCTCGTCAAAGTCCTGGCCGGCCAGCTCCTTGTCGATGGCCTCGGCGTCCTCGTCCTCGCCCACGAATAAGTTGACCATCTCCATGTTGCGGTGGAACTCGACATTGTCGGCGGGAATGGCGACCTGCTGGTACCTGTTGAACTGACGCATCATCTTGGGGTCGAATGCGTAGGGCTCATCACCATTCTCCATCTCCTCTTCAATCATCGTCTCGAGGTCCTCGTTCATTGACTCCTCCTCCTCGGTCATCTTGCTCTTTACAAGGCCATCCTCATCGATCTCATCTCCATCCTCATCGATATAGGTCTCCTCGTGTCTATCCTGTTGTGGTCCACCGCTCGCACGTCTCTGATCCGACTCCAATGCATTGTTCTGAAACTTTTGATCAAAGGTTTGCAACAACTTCTTGATCTTCTCTGTTGAACCTTGCTGTTGATCATCTGCTGCTGATGTTGTTGTTGATGCTGTATTCTTATCTGACTTTGAATCATTCTTGTTATTATTGTTGTTGCTGTTGCCACTATTTGATGATGTTGAAGCATAACCATGACCAGCAGTACGCGAAGATGATAATGTCATCATTGATGTTGTTGATGATAATCTCTGTGCATTCTTCAAAGCCGGTGCACCGGATCTTGCTATTGTTCTTGCGCACCAAAACATTGTTGTTTAACTATATATATATCTATATCTATACTACTTCTACAATCAATGAATAACCTATTGAACATATATAATTGATTGATTGATTGGTTGGTGATTAGTCATCATTGATCACATTTCATTCATTCATTCAATCAATCATTCACGATCAAATGTATTTCACTGAAACCTACAATGATGATGTACCTGTACAGTTCACTGCTATTGATGATTATTGATTGAATGATTGATAATATATACAGATATATTGTACCTTTGGTTAAGCTGATGATTACTGAAGCCTGTTGTGATCAATGCTATTTCTCTCGTTTTCCGAACTTTGATGATTAGCACCACACTCAAGGATCTCATGAAAAATTGTCCAATCCATGGAAGTTCATTAACACTTTCCAAAAGACAAGAGCATTCGCACTCACACACGCTCCATTGGCAACAACACCTCAAAGTTATCTTTGTTGTATTTATTACTATAAATAAACATTATAATTTATTTATATACAGTAGTGGTTAGTATCACTTGAATGATGTTATAGTTACTTTATATTCATACAGACATACATACATATATATACATACACTCAACTTTACAACTTGAACGTTAACATGTTACATTCCGAATATATTCGGACAAAGCATGTCGGACATCAAACATGTCTTGTCAGGTCAGACAAGTATTATGTTGCTCCAAGTCGTAGATGGCCTGCCATGTCAACATCCCTGGCTTGAGGTCTTGTTCGATCCATCCTTGAACACTGTTGAAGTTCCAAGAATCCAAATGGTAACGTTTCACACATCACACAAACACTCAACATCAACAATCACCACCAAATTTATTTCATTTTGATTTTTTTAATTGTTTGTATTTGGTTGTTTAATCCGTTATTTCAACCGCCATCTCACTCTCCACACACAAAGTTCAAATTAGAGAGTAGTTCATCCTAACAGTTCATTTTCAAATTGCCTGGCAACCCACGTAACAGTTTAAAAAGTTTGTAAACACCCAAACCCCATCTCCACCACCTCCCCCACACACTCACTCACACGTGTACACATAATTACCAACACACTCACACTACCACCACCAATAATAACAACAACAATAACAGCAACAACAACAGCAACAACACCAACAACAACAGCTACATGTTAGTATACTATAATACTATACTATACAATAATATATATATTACTATTGCGATCTTTTAGTGTGTGTTTGTGTTGTGCGGTATACAGAAGAAATTTGGATTGTTGGATAAAGAGGTGCGTGCGTGTGTCACTTTACTCATGTCGACAGGAGGACAATAGATAGATAGATAGATAGATTATACAGGACATTTACCAACACATATATATACTCTTTGAACATACAACAAATAGATAACAAACACTTAGCATTGAACATACATACATACAGTTGGATACACAGGACCTTTATAACATGTTAATCAATCGAGATCAAGGTTAATAATAATATCACAACAACGACAATTACATAACACATTGTATGTTTGATGATATGGCGACAAAGTTACAGGACCAGACAACGATTTGCTTACACTTTAATGAACATAGGATTGCTTTTAGCATCATCTATATCAACAACAGCAACCTTGTATAAATCAATCAATCAATCTCAAGCGATACCAAACGATACATTATCATCTTTGACGACATACTCTACAGGCCACAGATTAGCGACAACAAAACAAGCAGTAGGAGCAGAAAGTAGCGGCAGCAGCAAGCAGTAGCCTCCTATCTATCTATCTCTACAATGAAGAAGGATACGGCGGCAACAGACAGGAGCTACTCGTCTGCTGTGAAAAAGATGACGACATCCACTTCGTCATCATCGACGACATCGTCAACAACATCTTCACCTTCACAGTCGACTACACAACAACAGCAACAACAACAGAATGGGCAACATACTCTAAATGGACATCATAATCATCAACATCACAATAATCATAACAATCATCATCATCAACATCCTCATTCATCTCATCACAACCAATTCCACAATGTAAACAACAACAACAACAACAGTGCGAACTCGACACACAGCAACAGTGGAGGACCATTCAAACTGAGTCAGCAGCCATTGCCACATCAAAGATATCGCGACGCATCCACCGAGGACAACTATGATGAGGACCAACTCTTGGTCGAACAATCGCAGCTACTACAAAAGTCATTGGAGATCCTCAGCGACAGCGATGACAATGTTCCATTCAAAGCGCCAACCGATATGTATTGGAGCATGTTTCAGCATCAGATGAAGAACAGCCAGCCTGCGCAGACACAACAGACAGCCTTTCACAAACTTGATGGTGGCGGTGGCGGCGGCGGTCCCACTGCCTTTGTTGTTGGACAACCCGTTGGTGCAAACAATCCATATGGTTCATATCAACAACAGATGTTACAGCAACAGAAGCAGCAGCAGCAACAACAACAACAACATTCACCAGCATCATCGTCATATCCACCATTCCTCGATTATAACCTTCAACAACAGATGTCAAACAACAACAACAACAACAACAACAACAACAACAACAACAACAACAACAACAACAACAACTCATACCGAATGAATGATATGATGCACCAGAAGGGCGGCTTTCCTCAGACACAACAACAACAACACTCATCACCTATGTTTACTCAACAACATACTACTTCAAACACTACTGCTGCTGGCAATCCAATGACATTCTGGGACCATGGCGACATACAACAGCAGCACCAACAGGGTCTATTCAAGTCCTATGACATTGCCAATGAATGGGCACCACTATCATCGTCACCTGACTTCACTGGACACTCATTCCAAACCTCATTGAAGCCATCACCATCAGCCTCATCGATCATTCAGCAACCAAACAAGTCTTCCTCTACCGACTTGTCCAAGGACACGAACAACCCATGGATTGGACGACAGCCTCTGCCCTTCCCTACTGGTCTCCCACAACAACAGCAACAGCAGCAACAACAGCAGCCTGGCACACCTCGATCACAATATTGGGACATTGCACCCAATCAGAAATCATCACTGCACCTTCAGCAGGGTCGCGATCCATTGGACATGAAGAGCCACAGACCTTTCAATCCAATGGTCGCACCATTTCATCCAAACAAAGGCTCCTTTGTCCCCTATTCAAAGGGTGCCTCGCCAAACCAGTCAAGTCTCGCGACGACAATGCAGACGACACAACCGACTCAACAGTTTACTCCACAGCAACTTCAGCCACCCGCACAGCTGATACCAAACCAACCGCAACAACAACCCCAAACACCGACACAAGCGCCAGTTACTACATCCACTGCCACTCAACAACAACAGCACCGTCCACCAGCACAGCAACAACAACAACATCAACCACAACAACATCAACAACATCAACCACATCAACAAAAGTACCAACATCATTCACATCACCAACAACATCATGGACAATCATCACACTCACAACAACAACAACATCATCACCATCATCACAATCAACAACAACAACACCAACATCACCAACATCAAAGCTATCATGGCGAGCATTCATATGATGACTCCAACTATGACAGCCCAGATGCAGAGGTGGAGGCATGCCTATCTCGGCCCCCACCCAACCAAGATATCAAGCGAGGCGAGATGGTCGAGAGTCCAGTGTCGCGCCAACAGTACAAGAACTTCATCAAACAGTTCAAGCTGAAGGAGAAGGAGGGATTGGAGGTGGCCATGGCATTCGCCTCGCAGTCCCTGTCCACCCTGTCCGACAAGGTGCATTGGCGAGTGTATCTTGAGCTGGCCGATTTGGCCAACCGACAGAACAACCTGAAGCTTGCGCGCAAGTTCTACAGGATCGTGACCAAGACCCAACCCTACATCAGTCATGGCTGGCTAGAGTACGCCAAGATGGAGGAGGACTATGGTCGCCTTGAGAAGTGTCAACAGATTCTCCAGCTGGGCCTAAAGTACTGTCCATTCAACGAGAGCCTTTTGATCAAAGGCATCCGACACGAGGAAAAGATGGACAACCTGGACGGCGCACGCACCCTGCTATCTCAATTGCGCGACCAGTCCATATTCAAGACCTGGCGAGCGGTTATGGAGGGTGGTCTATTGGAGGCACGCGCTGGCAACATCGAGGTGGCACGCAAGATCTTCAAGTACCTGATGAAGCACGTTCCATGGTACGGCCCCATCTACCAAGAGGCCTACAAACTCGAGGAACGTTGCGAGGAATATGAGCGAGCCATTGCCATCGTTGAGAAGGGTCTCCAAGAGGACCCCAAGTACGGACCCTTATGGTTCAGCGCCCTGCGTCTCTACGAGAAGACCAGTCACGGGTTCCTGCAACAGACGCGCAACACTGTGGAGCGTGCGCGACAGTCTGTGTCACGCGAGGTCACCTGGAAGATCTACTTTGAGGCGGCCCAGATCGAAGAGCGCTCCAAGAACCTCAGCCTCAGCCGAGCAGCCTACGTCAAGAGTGTCGAGCTCTGTCCAGAGAACCTGCTCTGGAAGGTCTGGCTGGGCGGCGCACGAACCGAGCTCAACACAGATAACATCACCGTGGCAAGGAAGCTTGTCTTCCGTGCACTTCAAGAGGTACCGGCGAAGCTCAAGTCTCTGGTGCTACTAGAGTACTCGCGACTGGAAGAGTACGCCGGCAACATCAACAAGTCGCGCCGCATTTTGAAGAAGGCACACGAGGAGGCACGTCTCGACTGGAAGGTGTTCCTGGAGGCTGTACTACTAGAGATGCGCGCCAACAACTACGAGGCCGCCATCCAAGAGGCCAAACAATCGCTCAAGATACACAGTGGAGCAGGCAGGCTCTGGGCGGCGCTCATTCAACTGAAGCAGCTCAAGGGCATACCTGCACAGCTCAAGGTGTTCCGCAAGGCACTGCAGTTCGTGCCCAAGTCTGGCGAGGTTTGGTGTGAGGGTGCCCGCATCGCTTTGAACAACAACGAGTTGGACAAAGCGCGCAAGTTCCTCGAGTTTGCAATTCAGTTCACACCGCAATTTGGCGATTCCTTCATTGAATTGCTTCGATTGGAGATTCTAGAGAAAGGATTCAATTGCGATATATCTAAACTAGAACAGGTATGTTGGCGTCGTCTGATCAATCAAACAATCAATCAAATTACTAACACACTATGTACAACCATTAGCTATGTATTAATGCCGATCCAAACTATGGATTCATGTGGCTACATTGCACGGTGTCGGTTCTAGACAGTCCAAGACAGGTGTTGAGGAACGCCAAGAAGCTCTTGATCGAGATGTCCCCGTCGAGCAAGGAGGAATACGATAGGACAAAGGATTCGAGGTATGGAGACTGTTGGGTTGGAGCCAACGGTGTCCTGTCCCTCAACCGAGTGTTTAGGAACGACTTTACCAAGATGACGAACGAAGAACGAAGGAAATGTATGTTTGGTTCTGATCAAGTTAAGCCTTAGATCATACAAATTGTTATGGATATTCAATTCAAATCAACTCAATCAAAATATGTCCATGGCGACATCCAAACAACCAACAACAACAACAATAACAACCAACAACAAGTATAACAATCAACTATATCCAACAACCAATCCAACAACGTCAATGACAAATGTATATAAACCCAACAAGTCAACCATAGCATCCTAAGTCTTTAACCATAAATATTATTTATATTTAACAATCATCATGTTCTGTACTTGACTGGATATGAACCATTGAACGGAGGACAGGGAGGAGGGTAATGGAAAATGGTTACCATTTATTATGTCGACATATGGAGAGTGAGATGGAGAGGCAGAGGAGGGATAGCCTGTTGAGTGGACCTTACTTCTTTCCAAGCAAACCTCCAAACATGCTCATCATCTCTGGGTTGCTCATAACGTTTCTTGCCCTAAAGTGATTGATTGTTAATACATTGATGGTTGAATGTCGCGAGCTTAACATACATATCTTGGAGGTTGCCATTCTCCATCATTTGTCTCATCTGTGGATCCTGCATAAAGGATTGCGCCATGTTCTTGACCATTGGGTTGGAGAGCAATGAACCAAGGTCCATGCCTCCCAAGTCTGGCATACCAGCAGGCATTCCTGCCATTGGCTAAAATCATACATTTGACAACAAATGATTAGTCAGTGAGATGTCTTGTAACAACAACATCTTGTGTTAACTTACGCTGTTCAACTTTGCCTCAGCATTGGCCAAGGATGACTTGTAGACCTCATTGTTTGGCTCAAACTCCAATGCCTTCTTGAATGCTTCCACAGCCTCTGCAGCCTTGCCCTGTGAAATCTTGGCAGATCTATGTGTCATGTCCGATGGTCATGTTAGTGTCACTCCATCCATCAATCAATCAATCAATGCTGCTTACCCGAGTCTAAAGTATGCTTTGCTGTATGATGGATTCCTGGAGATGGCATTGTTGGCATCTTCGACGGCGTTGTCATACTGCTTGAGGTTGCTGTAGGCTGAGGCACGGTTGGCATAGTAGACAGCATTGGTGCCATCGTAGAGGATGGCCTTGGTGTAGCACTCAACAGCACCATTAAAATCGAGTGCAGTCAACTTGTTGTTACCCTCAACCTTTAGCTTCTCAGCAATCTCCTTGATCTCTGTTGCCTTTGACTCTACAAACTTCTGCTTTGACACTCTCAATATGTTCTCGTGTTCTGTGTGTCGTCGAGGGTGTTAGCGAAGGGTCAACCGAGTTGATTGATTGAGTAATAATAGACATACGGGATGGGTCGTTGAAGGCACCCTTCTGACGAAGGATGTCCAAGTAGTTGGAGAATGACTGTCTAAGCTCATCGGGGATCTCTTGGCTGCTCTGAGCAAAGAGTTCTTCGAGTGGACGGGTTGGTTGGGCAGCGGTTGGTGAGGAGGTGGCAGCAGCTGCGGCAGATGATGAGAATGCATTGAATATTTGTGGAAGTGTGGCAGATGATTGCAATGTAGGATCACTCTCATTGACACCGAATGCATCACGTATACAATCGATTGACACTTGAAGTGACTCTGCGCTATCACTTGACAACGAAGGCAATGAGCCAGTCAAGAACTGTAGAATGCTAACAACCAATTTCTTTTGATCCATTTATGATATATTGTATATTTGTATTTGTATTTGTATTTGTAAGTAATAATAATTATTATTATGATGTGAATGAACAAGAGTGCGAACAGAGGTGAGTTCAAGTTGTTTCAAAAATTGAATGATGTGTCCTTTCACTCACATTCACGGTCAATCAATCATTCACATATTCATACTTGGACAAACAAATAATACATGTACTCCTAAACAACAACAACATATAATCAAGCAAACATGTCATTCGCTTACAAGAGATTGATGCAAGAGTATAAAAGTTGGATAGATATGATATGACAATTACAATCAAACGATGAACATCCCTCAATCAATCAATCAATGGATGACCGGTCAAACAAAGTCCGATCACAATCGGGGTTAATTGATTGATCGATAATGATATCATGAGGGTGTTCCTTCAATACATGTACAACTAACTAACATCCCATTATTGTAGACCTCACTCAAGACCCTCCAGAGGGTATTACAGCAGGACCACAAGATGAGGAGAACCTATTTGTATGGGACGCACTGATCATGGGACCTAGAGGTACTGACTATGAGAACGGTCTGTTTGAAGCAACGCTTACATTCCCTCAGACCTATCCAATAAGTCCGCCAAAGATGAAGTTCACAAGTGACATGTTCCATCCGAATGGTAAGTCCGTCCTCGGGACCACCTGACTGACTCAAAGACTAACTCATCATCATCATTCAATATTAGTGTATCCAAATGGAGAAGTATGTATAAGTATATTACATCCTCCAGGTGATGATCCAAATCATTATGAGACAAGCGCTGAACGATGGTCCCCAGTACAATCAGTGGAGAAGATCCTATTGTCTGTCGTATCAATGTTCTCTGAACCAAATGTTGAGAGTCCTGCCAATATAGAGGCTGCAGTATGTACTCAATACGACTCCACATCATCAGTCGTTCATGCACTAACACCCACCCATCGATCCATTCAGAAACTATGGCGAGAGGATAGAGAACTCTATCGGACAATGATCAAGCGAATCGTTAAGAAGTCATTGGATTTGGAAGAGAGCTAGGGATCCAATGATCATCTTAAACAGAGCGATCAAATAAATATAGATAGAATGTATATAACGAACAAGGAGGACATGACATGACAGGTTATTATGATTTACATTTTATTTGGATGGCAAGGTTATGGCTTCACCTGATCCTTTACTTCCTCCTGCTGCTTCAGCTTCTCTTCCTCTTGCTGCTTCTTCAAGGCTTCAGCCTCTTCCAGTTTCTTCCTCTTCTCAATGTAGTAGATCTCTGGAATGGGCATCTCCTTCATCTTCTTCTCAAGCTTGGCACCAAAGACGACGTGCATCAGATGTGCCTTCTGTACCATTGAGTTCTTGTTGGACTTTAGTTTGCGGATAACTGATTGTGCCTCGGCAACTAATGTTATGATATGATGTTAGAGTGTGTTCGCGGACTGGGGGACCTGATCAGGACTACTCTACTCACCTTGCTCCTTCTGAGCATCCTTTCTTTGTGTGCCCAGCTCCAACTGTGCGATGGCCCATTCCAATTGTCTTTCAAACTTATCGTCTTCACTTTCCTCCTCCTCAACAACAGCTTTTGTTTGTTTTGATGATGATGTTCCTTGTTCCTTCTGCTTCAACTTCTTTGCCTTGTCCTTTGCTCTCTTCTTTTGATTCTTTGTCAGTGCTACTGTAGGAGCTGCAGCTGCATCAATTGCAGCAGGTGTAGTTGTATCAACTGATGGTGTTGTAGTATTTGGAAGAGTTGACTCTATCGTCGTAGTCGTAGTAGTGGTGGTTGTATTATCCATATCTATGTGTTTATCTGTATCTTTATCAAATACTACTTTATTGAGTTTACAGGCGAGCAAATCAATCAACACTCTTTCGCTCGTTTTTTTGAACAAAGTGATAAATTTTTTGTTTATTTGGTGATTGACAAAACTCGAGGTCAATAGATTATATATTGATATTATATATTATTGTAGTCTACTTCCATCACTACCATAAAGCCCACTTACTGGACAAAGTATTGGAAGTTTGTAGGTTCGACGAACTGGAACTAATATTGGATGTAGATAGAATTGTCTTGGTCTGGCTCTGACTTGATTTCTGGACATTTACAATGGTTCCCATTTGTGATATATTGTCTAAGAATTAAATATATTAGTTATTGAATGAATTAATATAGTTCCAATTAAGTAGGTACTTACTTAAGAGTGTCATTTTAGTTATTTAGTTATTTGGAAAAGGTTAATAATAATAACAAATTAGTTATTTGAATCAAGGGGTATATATATAATTATATATCTTTAATTATTCGTTATTGAACAGGCAATGAGATATACTATCGATTGTGAAAAGACACTGTCTTTAATAGGTGTTGGTGTCTGGTCGAATTAGAGGAATCACTCAATCTTAAGCCTCACATCAACTACAACGTTGTAAATTGATTGATTGATAGAAAAAATATTAATTAATTAATTATATTGATTATAATTGATTAACAATATCAGACTTAACCTGGTTGGAGAAGGAGGGAAGATAGATGGGGAATGCAAACGATGATGACCTTACCAAGAGGCAGGGTAAGGATGGTGGGTGCCATCATCAACTAGTGGATTGATGGATAATTCAATCAACGACTCAAGTGGTACATACCTGAATAGATGTTTGGGATAGATTGCTACTTGGCGGAGAGTCAGCAGGTCAAATCACATACTATCACCCAGAATCTCCAACAATCACATATTAATTAAGTTGGGGCTAGTGTGTGATCATGATCAAGCCCCTGACCTCATTACCACGCATTGAGTGTGTGGTAGGGCCTTAATCTCTCGACTGTGGGTGGTTGTGATCAACTACACTCAAGCAAACAGGCAGGCAGGTGATATGTTTATTTACCTGTAAATGGTAATATATCAAGTTTGTTCAACACAGACCTTTGTGTTGGTGATGTGGTAGGTCTGCCTCAGTGATAAGGTGATGTTGGTACTCCGTATCAATCTTTATCTGTTTGCCCAATCAACTCCCTGTTTGATTGGTTGAATGGACCCTTGTTTATCAGTGTATATGTGTGTGGAAGATTGGTTATTCATTCAGCTGGCACTCTACACGTGTACCTCCATGTATATTACATATATGTCTGTCAATTTATTACATTTTGATTATTCCCTCCCCAAAAGATGTTGATGACAATTTATAAATCAATCAATCTTTGCCTGGCTATAATCTAGGGGGTGATGTTGCACTTGTACTATGTCTCCTGGGTCTGTTTATCATCGTGTTGCTGACTTCCTTTTTAGGTTCATAAGGAGTGTTCTTGGTCTCTTCCCCGCATTTAGGAAGAGGTGTTTGAGTTGTTGTTGTTGTTGAGTCATCTGTTGTTGAGGGTGACGACGTCGTCATCTTGATTGGAGTTGATTGTGACCTCGGACGATAAACTACTGATTGATCAATCTTGGCGCCCTTTCCACCACCAGTTGGTTCTTCTACCTTCAACCTAAACTCATACTTGGTGCTCATATATCTAGATTGATATGATGTATATACTATATCCTTCTCTGGTGTTGAAGGTTTATCTACATCTTTGGGCTTTGGTGTAACCACTTGAGGATGAACTCTACTATTGTTTATAGTAGTTGAATAGTACTTTGGGAAATAAGAAGTTGATGGTGTTGGATAGTTGTACTTGGTGCTTAGGAATGTTGGTGGAGGATTAAGTTTAACTTCTGATTCATTATCTTTACACATCTTTTGTATTTGTTTATTATATATTACTATTGTATTTGTACAAATTATTATATGATTGATCGAGCAGCTAAATACCTCGAGGTATTTATAGGCTTTAGACTATATTTTCTATCCCTGGGGATTAAATCTTGATGGCAATAATTATTTTGATTCCAGAGTGTGGTGTGATTGTTGAAACGCCACTAGTCGGTTGAATGAATGTCCAGGTCAGCAAATAATGACCATCTGATATTGCCGCCTACTGCTCATAGCTGTATGCTTACTTGAAACAGTAAATCTGTTATAATATTAAGTGGTGGTTTTATTTAGAACAAGGGATAGGAATATGATATGATAATAATATACGCTGGTGAGTTGAGTGAATGATTGGTTGATTGGCAAGCACTGGATGTCCAATTAAATGTTGTTGATGTCCTCAGAGTCTGATAACGACAGTTGGTTCACATCGATGCCGACTGACTCTTTCAGTTCAGAGAGAGTTGGGTACATTGATTCGGATGGTGGCATGAACGTTGGCATTTCATCAATCACTACTGAATCATTGATTGAATAGGTCATGTTGTTGGGTATGCCTCCAGTAGTTGTTGTTGTTGTCGTTGTGGTTGTAGAGGTGGATGCGAATGGTGGAGATAACATTTGTTCTGTTTCGTTGTATCCCTGAAGTTGTTGTTGCTTTTGTCGTTGCTGTTGYTGTTGTTGYTGTTGTTGTTGCTG